ACGTTCCTCGAGAGCCCTGATTGGAATGCTACCATGCGCAGCCGCGGTGCGCGAGCTAGCTCTGCGAGTGATCCTGGATCTGCGGGGGTGTTTGACAACTTTGCTGATACCTTCATCAATGCGTTTACGAAGCTGCACCGCCCGGATCGTCGGTTCCTTGAGGTCAAGGAGAAGAGCGATAAGCTTGATGATGATCTTGGTCATATTGAGAAGGTTATTGCTCGGGTTGCTAGGCGAGAGACAGATTTGGAGGTGGACTTGCGAGATCTCGCAGAGCAGTTCCAAAAGCTCATCCCGCTTGAACCCCATGTCGAACCCGCAGTTCACGGCTTCTCCGCTTCCATCGAAGACACAGCGACTCATCTACGGAAACTCAAAGACGTCACCGACCAAGACTACCTCGGCTCACTGCGCGACATGCAGGCTTACTCCATCGCCCTCAAGAACCTCCTCAAAGCCCGCGAGCAGAAACAGCTCGACTACGAACAACTCACCGAATATCTCAACAAGTCCACCACAGAGCGTGACACCCTGCAGTCGGGACATCACGGAGGTTCAGGCGCCGGAAGCTTTCTGCGCGCCAAGATCGAAGACGTGCGCGGCGTAGATCACGAGCAAGCACGTCGTGAGCGCACGCGCAAGTTAGAGCTCCGCGTCGAAGAGCTGACCCACGAGGTTGAGAGCGCTCGCAAGACGAGCGACATGTTTGACGATGAGGTTGTCAAGGAGGTTGCTGATTTCGAGCGCATCAAGAGGATCGAGATGAAGAGCCAGCTGGGAGGTCTTGCGGATGCGCATATTGAGTTCTACGGTGAGGTTGCTAGCATTTGGGAAAAGTACGTCCAGGAGATGGAGAAGGAGGGTATTGTGAGTACGTAGAGGAAAGCGGGGGATTCAAGTTCTATTCGGCGTTTGTTGGGATATGGCGTTTAGGTTCTTTAGACGATGATGAGGACGACGAAGTAGCTCGTTTAGAAGAAAGACATTCATGGCAATAGCACAGCCGGGACTCATAAACGAAGGGCATTGTAGTCTCACGAGTGAGTATGACTTTGAAGAATTGGTGTTTGATTCAAGAATCACCTCATGTTTCAGTCTTGACATTTTGGACCAAACGCCATCCAAGGTCTATTGACAAAGGCACAATATACCAACATAGATAAGACAAATCACAAAAACTCCGCTAATCCATGCAAAAAAGCACCCAAATAGCTTGCTACGATGCCCAAGTCATGCATCAACGCCCGCCCAAAGGTCTTGTCTCGCCCTTCTCATCATCACTACTCTCCTCCTCACTCTCCTCATCGCTGTCACTGTCCTCTCCCACAGCGTAATGCTGCGTATCATCGCCAGCCAATCTATCACGAGATTGCTCGCGGTCGTCTCTGTAGTCCTCGAACTGCTCATCATCGCTACCCTCAGCAAAAGCATCGTACAGTTCTCCGCCACGAGTCCTGCGGGCCTTGCCGCCAGCGGCCTTTTCGCCGGCTCGGAGACCCTCAGCCTCTTCTTCGTCGATGAGTTCGAATTCGTAGTTGTTGTGGGAAGTGTTGCGGAGACGGCGGCGACGGGCGATCCAGAAGTAGATGCCTAGACCGATGCAGAAGGCTGCGATGAGACCGACTGCGCCATAGATCCAGATCTGTGCTTTCTTGGAGGCGCCGAAGGTGGGGAGCCAAGAGACCCAGGATGATGAAGCTGTAGTCGATTCCTCGGCAGACTCTTGCGTGCTTGAGGGCTTTTCCTCTTCGGTGTTTGTAGGTCGAGCGGGCTTGTTGGGTCGTTCAGGATGGTCGGTAGGATGTTCGATGAGAGTAGGCTTAGTGACAGGAGGGGCTGAGGTTGTAGTAGCAGCAATTGTTGTGGTAGACACAATCTTATCGTGGTCCTTGTCGTCGTCTGCGTTAGGCATGGGTAACAGAGTTGCCTTGTCTCCCTCGATGGCTTCACCCCATAGCTTCAGGCGCCAGTCGGTGAAGCTGCCCTTGAATGAGTTCTTCTCAGTGTCGCGGACAACGATGGTCCACTTGCCGACACCACTTTCACCCCTACATCAAGTCAGAATGAGTAGATCAAGGTTAGCAGGAATACATACCAGTGAGCAACACTCATGAAAGTCCAGTCGATATATCCTTCCTCCTTGGCATCGCCTCGTCGCGCGACCGCGAGATGGCTGACCACATTGTCAGGGCTGATCAAGTCAACGCTCAGGTCACCACGTCGAGTGTGCTCAACGTTCATAGTAACAGTAATGTGCTCAACACGAGCGAGGTTAGATTCCTTGAGCATGTCCTCGGTAACTTCGAGCGTCACACTCAAACCATCTCGGCCCTCGGGGATCGACTTCTTGACATGAACCCAAGGAGAGAAATACCATGACTGTGGCTTGACCAGCGACCAATCCTTGGCTCGCTCGACCAAAGCCCAAGAATCAATCTTTCCATAACCGAAAACGTGGCTGAACTTCTTGCCAATCGTGGTATTCTGCTGGTTGGATTCGTCACCTTCAATCGGAATAGCAGTGTCCATGGCGATGTATTGCAAGTCTCTCCATGTGAGCTCAGGGCGAACCTGAAGCGCCAGAGCAAAGATACCGGCAGCAAGAGGCGCGGCAGCGGAAGTACCACCGTGAGCCTTGTAACAGCTGTTCTTTCCAACATCGGTTGTGTGCTGAATGAGTTAGTTAACATTCTAGACAAGGACAATATTGAACTTACAATAGCATCCCCGCTTCCACTGCTGTATGTAACAACCAACTGAGCAGAACACTCTTCGGCGTAGTAAGGATGTTGTCCAGTGCGGTCAACAGCACCAATGGTAATACTGTAGATGGAGTTGGTGTATCCATCAAAGTTGCAGTTGTCACCCTGACCGGCACCATTACCACTGGCAAAAACGTAGATGGAACCAAGACCACGACGTCCCTTTTGGATCGCCTTGAGCATAGCTCTTCGAATAACCACATCAGGTGCCTCCATCGTTTGACCATCATCAGACGGACCCCATGAGCAAGAGTAGATATGGTTGTCGTCGTATTTGTACATCATGGCTTCCGCTTCGTCGGCGTCACTGATGAGCTTGCTAAGAATTCGGAGACCGGCGACCTTGGCGTCATACGCGACACCAATACCACAGACATCATTGCGAGCAGCTGCCACTTCGCCAGCGCAGCGGGTACCGTGTCGATCCTCGTCCAAAACAGGAGCAGGTTCGGGGTCGTTGTCGTTGAAGTCCCAGGAGCCAGCGGCGAAGTAGTTGGGCTTGAGATCGTCGCTATGCATATCAAGACCGTCGTCAATCACGGCCACAGTAACGTTCTTCCCAGTGATACCATCCAGCCAAAGACCAGTGACATTGACATCGTGGCCAACTTGGGTGGGGTTCAATAGATGCCACTGTTCCTTGAAGATAGGATCCTGAATGTCCAGCTCCTTCATAATCGACGCCTGATATTTACTCATCAGGTCTCGAGCTTCCACAGGTGATTCGCGGCGTCCGAGTTGGGGAACATAGCCTTTTGGCGGTGGGGGAATCTCTCGCTTGAACAGGTGCTGTCGTGCTTGTTGCTTCTTTGACAAAAGAATACCATCAACCGGGTCAGAACCTCCCAGATCTCGCTTCCTTCTCTTTCGCTCTGTGATTTCTCTCTTCACAATATCGTGTTCGGCCTTGCGGGCGCGGAAAACATGGTGGTCATCAAGCGCACCAAGCTGGCCCTCGTGGGCAAATCCGAGTCTACTAGCGACTTGGTCGGGCGTCGTTGTCGTATCGAGATGGAGGACATAATAATCGTTTAATGCGTAATCTCGTGCCGGTCTGGAGCCATGAGCCAGAGCCGTAAAGCCGGCGAGGCTTAACAACGAAGCAATCTTCATGATGCGCGGAAGGAAAAAGAAACCTTGCAGCGCAAGGGGAGGTGCGAGAGGTCGAGAAGCTGTTTAACACATCCAGAGAAGCGCTATCGAACGGAGCGAGAACTGGAGCAAACGGAGAGGTCAGCTTCGATGTTGAGAGAGCGAAAATTGAATGGCGGCGACAGCGACGGGGGGTTGCCACGCGGAAGTCTATATTCGTGGTGGCTAAGGGGATCAAGAATGCAAAGTAAGGCTCCTACGTTTTCGTACCACCAGCGTAAGATTGTCGGCGCAGGTTGCACAGCTTATGCTGGTCGGGAAGAACGGTTTCTTATTATCGTACCTCGAAAATGCAACACAGTCGATCAAGATTTTCGCAGAAGCTGGGACGCTTGGAAAAAGGTTTAAGGAGGGAACAAAGAGATGGGGTTGGGATGCTCTCGTGGTGATGCGTGGCCTCGAACGCTACTGGGGAGGTACCACCTAAAGTTCCTGACAAAAATAGGGGACCTGCACTGGAGCGGCTGGTGGTGCGTGGCCTAGAAGGGGGGCCTGGGGGGGATCAGTCCGCTAGGGACACACGGCCACTTACTGGATATGCTCCTAGCTGCGCCACAGTGGACATCTCATGGACCAGTTCCATTGCAATGTAACGCAAAGTATCACGTTTTTAGTTTTCGCATTTTGCTTTGAGACGAGATCTGCAAATCTTAGCACCCAGAGAAATGCTCTAAAATATTGAATTCTCTGAACATACCAGTCTCTGCTGTTTTGTAATTATAGCATGCATTTATTCTCCTGCATATTGCACTGCCCAGGCATCATCATCATCATCTCATCCCAAACGCCACAGCTCCGCCACTCTTGACAGATCTCAAACACTCAGACACAAGATTAGACCAGATCTGGCTCCGTGCGTATCATCCTCCATCAAAACCGCACTTCAATAAGCGGCTCAATAGAGGCACGGTCCCTGAAACTTTGAGGAATTCGCGTCAAGAATGTGGTTGCCAAGCAATAAATTAAACATTTCTTAAAATGAAGTCTAACACCGGAACTCGCTCTAACAGATCTCATTCCATAGTCTATCGCCCCAACGCCATTTCTAAAGCCAACCCGTCCGTTTTTAAATCGTTATATGTGCACTCATAGTGACTCCTCTTTGTGAATCTCAATGCTTGGCGGTGCTCCTGTGAGAGCCTTGCACTGAGCGTACACTACGAACTGAGCGCCGACGAGACCGCATGTCATGACGAGACGAGGTCCCAGTCCAGTGAGAAGTAATCGCTTGGGTCCGAACTCTTTCGCAAGTTGGAACATGCGACTTGTCGCGCCCTGGCTCTTATCACCAGCGCCCTTGTTGATGGCTGATAAGAGGGTATCGGCAGGGTGAGAGAGAATGGCGGCAGCAGCACCGGCGGTAATACCAGACGTAAGCTCTACTCCAGTTGACTCGAGCTGCGTGAGCTTCTCCTTTCGCTCGGGGCCCATTGCACGGTAGATGACCTCGTTGACAGCCTCATGAACAGAGAATTGACCGACAGCAAAGGGAATCTGTTTGAACAGCAGAGGAACAAAGCCAGAGTAGAAGCCCTTAAAGCCTTCCTCACGCGCCATTCTTGTGAAGCCCGAAAGTAAACCATCGGCATATCCTCTCTGCGAAACAAGTCGAATTCGCGTAGCCTCGAGCGGGCACAGAAGAATATCAGCAAAGAATTCGGCTGATGCACTGGCAGTGAGGTAGACGCCCGTTCGGTGATCGACAGCCTTCTCAGGACCTCCAAGCATAGTGATGTACTTCTTCTTGAAGAACTCGTAGCCAGCGAACTTGGCACCACCCTGTACGAGGTAGCCCACTGCAGTTGGACCGAAGCCAGTCAGAAGCGCCGAAGCACCCTCCTTGGCGACGATACTGCGACCGGCTGAGAGCATGTTGTATCCCTTCAAGGCATCGTCGACCTGGATTCGTGTCTTGACAACATCAATTGGCGTGACGGCCTGTATCTTGTCAGCTTTCGATTGTGAGCATGTGAAGCATGCCACTTACACCGTGAGTAGACGTCGCAGCGAGGGCGCCTGCGCCAAAGAACTTGACATAATCGCTGATGGTGAAGTTGGGCACTTCCGACTGTTTCGTAGCCATGGTGAATGTCGCTCAATTACTGTGCTCGCTGCTCCAAAGCTGTGTTGCGTAGAATGCGCGTTTGTTGTGTTTTATGTTTCTCGCTGGAATGATGACGTCGTTCCTCATGTTCCGTAGCTACCGAGGAGCCAAGCTTGATCTTGCAGCCGGTTTTGCCGTCATCGGTCCGCTTTGACGCTTTTGGGCGTTTTCTAGCTTGCTTTACGAGAATTGCGTCGATAAGGGCAATCATGCAGCTGAGTTTTGTTATCTATTCTTTAACAAGTAGGATTTTCTTATTTGCAGTCGGTCATCTCGGGCTTTTACAGCTGGTATCCTTTAGCCTGCGTCTTTGCTTGGCTCCCGTGAGACCCTCCATCGACGGCCCGGATTTGAGGTGGGGTCATCGGCACCGACATGGCATCGGCGTCAGGATATAAACGCGACGGCGAGTGACATCACATCAGAATCCCGCGGGGTTACCATGGAATTGCGATGTCGCTATTCAGCTGCATTGTCCGTTTCGTTGACATTCGTTGATTGGCTCTTCCTCCCTGTGTGCTATTCCCGACTGCTCCGGGCGGCCAATGCATCTTATCAATGAAGAATGCCTGAAACCGGATGAAATCGCGAATATTTATTTATAGCTGACGCAGAGATAAAACACCACGGCATCAATTGGACCATATCCGATGTTTAGAGACAACAAGAGCTGAACTAAAAGTTGTGTAGCCATTCTGTCCACCACCAACTGTAGCGAGGCCTGTAGGGTACCTTGGTCAAAACTACAGGTCCATATCTTATTTGATGTAAGTCATGTTAAGGACAGCAAACAACTTGGGGTGTTGCCCGACTTCACAATGCTTTTGTCCCTAAGAGACTGCGGTATATCGATCTTCTGGGACACGCTCCGATTGACCTCACGAGGTCCTGGTGGTGCACAATCCTGACAAACGGCTGGCTTGCGTGCCACCGGTCTGCTCATTGGATGCAATGGTACTCGAAAAGGACTAAGTCAAAAAGAAGACTCCCTTGTCCCAGTGCTAGCAAATATCCTTCATCATTTGAACTCTTGATACGCCGGCCTGCGTGATAACATCGAACGGTATTCTCTGCACTTTGGCTCGCATGGCCTTGTTATACAATTTTCTCAATGGAGTACTTTCAAGGCAAGATGGCCGAGCGGTCTAAGGCGCTGTGTTCAGGTTCGATTCGAACTAGTAACGATTCGCAGTCTCGAAAGGGGCCTGGGTTCGAATCCCAGTCTTGTCATTTTTGCAATTCCATACTACTTGACCTTTCTTTTACATCACTGATAGAACTGCTGAATTACGTCTCTTCACCACCTTACCTTTTGGTTGAAACATGTCGGGGTAAAAATAAAGTAGCCTTAGATACCTTATAGTGCAGATAGTTGTTGTCTTGTACTTAATGACTGTAATAAGTTAAGAAAGTTATTGACTGAAACACATCTTCTTGTCATGGCCTTCTGCAGTCTTCTGGCTTTGACAGCTTCTAAGGGGCCAATATCGTGGTCTATATACACTGTCTTTAAATACAGATTTGCTATAGTCTTGCTTTAGACGAGAGGAGCCATAATACCGCCTTACAATCTGCTTCTTTGTCACCCTATTGCCTCTGCGTTATTCGCAGTAACTTTGTGCTCAGCATCTCCTTGATTATGAAAAACAAAAAGAGCGGCCTGCTCACTCTTGGCTGATTGCTTCAGTCTAGTGCGTTCGGAGCAGGTTGCAGTGCATGAGAAAACCACTCTGGACGGATTTCTCAACATCCGAAAGCACCGTCTATTATCTGCGCAATGCCTTGAGTATAGGATATGAAGTAGCATCTAATATACCTCAAGTTTCCCCTCTCCGGCTATCTAGAGGCGGTTATGTTCGGGCCAAGGCTGTTCGTGATGTCGATATTGGTTGAGATGTTGAAAACATACGATATCCAGCCTCCGGAAAACAACGTCCAGATGTAAAGGCAGAAAACACGGAGATAAATAAAACAACTGTTTCGTCATAGACATGTGAAGTCGTCAACCTGTCTCAAAACGGCATTCAGGACTTATAAAGAGCCAGACTGGCCAGATTCAGCAGGTCGGATAGTTCCACGGCAAGCAAACCGACCAATGATACAACACCCCCTCAGACAATACCGCCAAAGTCATGCGATAATAGATGCTAGACGCGGGGAAGTTGTAAGATTTAGTGTAGCATCACATAGAGCCTCGTAAGTTTAGGGTACCGTCTGGAAATGCACCACCGGTCTGGGGAAACTCGAGGCGAGAATATCCCGGATCCCGGAGATGTAAAGTGAGAATGAAGTGTTGGGCTTCCATCAGCTGGTTCTAGAGTTTGGGGGTGAGGCAACTGACGTAGACAGATGCTGTCACAAGACTGAGCCTATCGGTGGGCGCCGTGGCTGAGAATCACACGGTTTTTGAAGCCTTGGCAGTTTAGCTTTTACACGATAAACACTTCATATTTTGACCATGAAACTTGCAAATGAGCCGATATAGTACTCTGCAAACAACTATGGTGTTTTCAGAATTGTATCACAACGGCATTGTAATTATGCCGAAGCTACGGGGTATTTCTCCAGAGTTTCGAGTCTGGGGTCGAGCTACGGGCCCCCGATAATGCCCGACATGGGTGGCCCGGCTCTTGTCATTGTCACGGCACACCAAATGGTGATCATCGAACCACCGGCAGTCATAACGTGTGATGCTGTAAAGCCAAGGACGGAAAACGAGGACAAATAGCATTATGTCGATAATTATATAATGTTCGTTCATTTCCAATTCGGTATCTCATCATCAGCACTCACAATTGAGAACACGACCAAACAAGATACTTTACAATCCACGCTTCAACAAGACCATTACAATAAAGCATAACAACCATCAAAATGCTTCCCGCTGCCACTTCCGCTCACATCGCTCCCAAGTCAGTATCTCCACCTTGACCAATCCCTTGTTTCATGCTAACAAGCCATCAAGGGTCATCCCCATCGTCTTGACCGTTGGAGGCGCTACAGTTGCTGGCCGCTCGCTGAGCCGTCAATACAACCGGGACACGACAATTCGGGCGCAACCTACACAACGAACTCAACCTCAACCTCGATCGAGATACTTCGAGCTGGTTCTTGAGTCTGTTTTCGCATAAATACTTTACTTTGCTGGACAAAGGGAATGGATGATTCATGACGGGCGGCGCATTTAACTGAGGCATATTTATCAGCCATTTGGAGTTTTTGCTTTACGAATAAATACTTATTCAATCATCTCTACCTAAACACCCAAGTGATCATTGCCTTGAATTCATATCGGACCCTTGAAGATCGCATTTTGATCTGTCCGCCGAATGATAACACAGTCGTCGGCGAAATGCCGCTCAGTAGAAGTTTGCCGATGTTAAGCTTATTCCTCCAGTAGTTCTGCCCCAGATCATTCATTATTCCCCGAGATAACAACGGCCGCCAACCTCTCCATTTCCACCATTTATTTAGCTCAATCATATGGAGTACTCTACAATTCCATCTTTTAGCTCAATCCTACCATTCAAATTCCCAGCATGAACCCAGCATTACTCCATCACGCCAAGCCGGTTTACGGACAGTGTTCAAGCTAATACCGGCTTCATGCTTCCCTACTGAGTAATTGAGCAGCGATCACGTGCAGACCATGAAGCTATAGATACACTTGTAAACCGCGATACCACTTATGCGCTCTTTTCCTCCTCGTGCCTTTTCTCGCGGCAAAAATCATGTTCAACTACGCTACGATTGCGGCTACGCTTTGGCTGGCCTGTCCGGCCTCAGCGAGCTATGCCTTCTATGTTGGCAAGAACCTCACTCAAGATGGGAGTGTCATCGTCGGAGGCACTGGAGAAGAAGTTTCTAGCCATTGGCTTCAGCTCTTCCCGGCGCGTGACCATCCTCCCAACTCGACAATTACTGTTGGCGTCACCAAAGATGCTGTGTATCCTGGAGAGCTCATTCAGATTCCGCAAGTGAACCATACGTTTCGATACATGAGTATGGAGTACTCTGACTTTGAGGGTTTCCCTGCGCCGTTGACGAATGGAGGCTTGAATGAGAAGGGTGTAACGGTTCGTGATGTCTGGGCTGATAATCGGGATGAGTTGCTGGAGATGACGCCGAATCCTCAGCGTGGTGTACAGTACAGCGACTTTGCTCGCATTGTTATGGAGAGAGCTAGCAGTGCTCGTGAAGGCGTTGAAATCATTGGAGACTTGATGGCGAAGTATGGCGAAGCGACATATGGCGGTAACTCTCACCTCATCGCTGATAAGGACGAGGGCTGGGTTGTTTGGGAGATGGCTGGGGGCAAGAAGCTCTGGGCTGCTCAGCGTCTTGGTCCGAACGATGTCAAGGTCCTTTACCCTGGATACATCGAGGATTTTCCTGCCGACTTCAGGAACAACCCCGATTATGCTGGCTCAGACAACATTGTGTCATTCGCTGTTGAGCAGGGCTGGTGGAACAAGACTTCCGGCAAACCGTTCAACATCTTTGACGTGTATGGTCCTCAGGATCCTCGATACAAGGCTCGTGATGGAGGCTACAAATTCATGTCGCAGGCTGCTCTGGAAAACGCCACTCTTGCGATGGTTCCTGTGACCGAAGCCAAGATGATGGAGAGAGTGCGCGATCCTCGCATAGCAGATGATGAAGCTGGCTACGGACAAGTTGTTAGCCTACACGATGGAATCGACCGAGATATGCTGCGGATTTGGAACGCCCCGGCCACTTCTGTCGCTGCACCTTTCGTCCCATGGTGGCTAGGCGTCAAGTCCGTCCCTCCAGAGTTTGGCGAACATCGATATTTGACGACCGGTGCTTCGAGCAGCTTCCTCAACCCAGACTATCAACTGCAAGAAGCTTCCGAGTTTGCTGGCCGCATCTTCAAGCGGGTGTTGTACTACATGTGCTCAGACCCCAACAAATACCATCCCATAGTAACGGAGATGTTTGAGAATTTTGAGAGCGCTTCACGCATCCAGGTTGAAGGTTGGGTGGAAAAGACAGCCTTGACCATGATCAAGCAGGGAGATCGAAAGGCAGCCCAGAGCCTATTGACGTACTACTCTCATACTCGTGCAGCTGAGGCTCTTGAAGTTGGACATACGTTGAACAATGCTTTGGATGGATATATCAAGTTGACAGGAAAGTGGCGTGGCCCCAAGGGCGATCAGATCAATGATAGTGGTGAGGGTAACGAGACGGTCAATTGTCTTGTCGGATTTGACCCAGACAAGCCTAGATATCTCCAAGGCAACAACTAGATGCTCGGAAATAAGTAGTGAATTGAAATAAGTCTTCCGCCTACAAATGCCTCAGCCCAGCGTATCCCAGGTGAAGCATATCACAAATCCATTGTAACCGGCAAAAGTGGATCTGTTCCGCCTGTATCACGCCGCATCACCGACCTATCGACCCGCTCCGGATACATAAAATCGGTAGGTAGTCCCCCCGAGCTCCCCGATATCACCAAAGCGACCTTCTCGGAAAGCAGACCATGCTTGGTCTCGGACCTCGGAAGCACGCCGCCCCGGATTATATAAACCCCGCAGAACCTAGCCTAGTTCCAACTTCCCCAGATTCGGCACGCGCCAACCAGACGCCAAACATTACTCTTCAACTTAGATGGAGTCGGAATTGACGACACGGCCCGCCAAGATGTCGAAACGAAGCTGGTCCGAGGCCGAGAATGGTGAGAATCAGTTCCCGCCGCAGATCTCGAGGAAAGTCAAGGCTTGTACGGCGTGTCGAAGACAGAAGGTATGGAGTGCAAGTGGTGTGATGGAGTGTTGCTGATGATGAGTAGATTAAGTGCTTGATTGATGAGAATGGACCGCCTTGTCGACGATGTGCGGAGAAGGGACTTGGTTGTGTATTGGGGAAGAATCTACAGACGATTCTCGATGAAAAGTCACAGTACAGTAACTCCCCATCTATGACAATTCATCTTATCAATAGTCTCAAGATTCACTCAAGACGTGGTTTCAGACCTCTCTGACATGCACAATTTCCTCAAACAAGTCGCCGGGAGACTTGACCTAGACTTACCACCACTCCGCTCATTCTCCGGATCAGCAGAAGGACCAAAAGACGAATCACCAAGCCTGTCAAACAAGGGCCATCACGTTCCCTCACGCGACAACTCGCCAAAGCTCATGCCAGAAGACGATGATGTTCCATACGCGCCTATTCACTCACTATATACCCTTACGAAACTACGCGCTCTTCGGTCACCGGATGACATGAATTCGCAGCAGAATCCAGGCATGGAAGATGTGATTACGAAACGTCTCATATCCTTAGCCGACGCAGAACGACTTTTCAACTTTTACAGAAAACGTCTTGATCCTTATATCTACCTTATAGGCTGTCCATACGAAACGATGCAAGAATGTCGACAGAAGAGCCAATTTCTTCTCGTAGCGGTCCTCACAGTAGCAGCTCTCCACGACTCAACAGCAGATTACATCTACCCCGTGATAAGCTCCGAATTCCGCAGACTCTTCGAGACGTCAATATTCGAAAGGCGGCTAAGTCGCGATTATCTCCGCGCCCTGTGTATCGGGTGCTACTGGCTTAGCGACCTATCATGGATGCTATCAGGCCACGCGATACGAAGAGCAGCTGAATTCGACCTTCACAACAGCTACGACAGAGCTATTGAAAAATCTAGTACCGAGGACGCGCAGTGCGCGAGGATCTGGTACATACTCTGTGTTTGCGACCAGCAGCTCGCGACGCAGTATGGGAGGCCTTCGATAGTGCAGGAAGATCCTTCGACGCAGGGAGCTACGGATTTCTTGCATTGCGCTGTTTCGCATGAGGAGGATAGAAGGTTGTTGAGTCAAGTGACTGTTGTGAGTATTTTGAGGAGTATTCGGGAGTTGTTTACTGCGAATAAGGGGAAGCCGATACCAAGGCTGCATCTGAACCATATTTCGCATTTCAGGATACAACTTGATCAATGGTTCGCTTTCTGGACAGATCAAGTACAAGGTAACTCACTCGGCTCACTCAATGCATCAGAATATCGGAGCTAACGTGTATCAGAACGCTGGCCTGGCATCGGAGGCTTCCCAAGAAAAGGCATCATCCTCCACTACAACTTCGCCCAACTGTACCTATACTCCCACGTCTTCCGCGGCCTCTCAAAAGACGAACACATCCCTCACTACTTCCTCGACTGTGCTCTGAACGGCATAACAGCAGCAACAACAATCATCGATAAATTCGTTAACGACCCCGACGTAGCCCTCGGCATCGTCGGGATGCCATCATACGTCCACTCCATGACAGCATTCGCATCCATGTTTCTAACCAAAGTCGCGACAAAATACCATGATCTCATCGAACGAGATAAAGTGTATGAACTAATCATGGGGTTGGTTCAGCAGTTTAGGTCACAACCAGCTGGGAAGTGGCATCTGGCGAATCTCATGACCGGTGGGCTTGAGAGGATGGCGCAGACGCTCAAGTTGGAGATCCCAGGGGACATGGGACCGCCGTTGGGTGTTGAGATGGAACAGAATGTTGATGCGGGGATATCGGGTGTTTCAGGGGTTGACGCTTTCTTCCCTGACTTACCGGGCGATTTCTTTTTCAACTATGACATGAGCTTTGAGATGTCTGCCCCTTTGTAGACTTAGGAGTTGTATGTATATGTAACATGCCGTTGTCAAATCTGGAAGGATTAGAAAGTCAAGCTGCCGAGCATGGTCTCCAAAAGCATTACATACCGAAGAACTCATATGAAACGAGCGTATTCTGAAAGATAATGAGTCACAGTGAGGCAAGAGCATTGATCGAAGGAGGGAGAAACATGGGCTTTCTTGCATCCCTTTTGATGTACCGGTGAAAGATGGAGTGTTTATGCTGTCAAGAGAAGTTCTTCCTATGTTTACTCTGAATACTTCTAACTAGTCTATTTCACAAATCTTCATCCGACAATTCACTAGGCAAAGGCATACCGCCACCGCTACATCCAAATTCATCATAATGATAACAATCCCCCGAGCCCAAGATCCTAACAACTGTGTCTATCCAGCAACATATGTTCAGATCCTGATGTATGAGGTCGACCCCAACGCTCTTGAGCAAAGCCTGAGGGTACTCATCGCAGACATGATCAGCATTGCTTCGAATCTCTTTTAGCTGCGGGAAGGTGAAAGCCACATCCTTGGATAAGATGAGCAGATCATCATACATAGGGCCATTTGGGGTCTGCGTCCGTTCCGAGAGATCAAGAGAGATGATGCTAGACGGAAGGATGTCAACAAGAGACTTGACCTTGCATTTCCCCCGGCAACAGGTGGGGTATTTCGGGCCGTATAGAAGGTATGTGGGGAGGAAGAGTCTCTTGAGTTGGGCGAATTGCTTTAAGCTGGGTATTTTGTGATCACCTTGGCTACCGGTGTTTAGCATGTTAAGATGCAGAGTCTCAAGGCTGGTGTGAAACCTTGGCTCGTCGAGGAGGTTCACCACGCCCAGGACGTCAGAGTCGAACGAAGTGTAAGAGAATGTGGATAGAGTACCGGTACAAGCTGATAGAATGTGGTCTATGGCAGGGGCGGGAACGACGTTCTTGGATCGGATGTGAAGTTTTCGTAAGCAAGGCATATTGGGGAACTCGCCTGACGCAGAAGTAACCAAGGTCTCAAGCTCCGGCGTCCGGGCAAGTAAGTTTGGGAGAGCATATTCGGTCTCAAGTATCTTGAGAGTAATAGAGCTGACGCCCAGGACGTCGAAGGTAGCAGGTGATACATCGAACCGCCACCGGCGATCTTCTTCAATACTAATGTGATCAAGGTTCGGGAGGATAGCCACCAGAATGGACAGAAGTTGGCCTGCGACTATGGGGATGAAATCTCGCGACCTCATGTATTTAGGAGGACGTGTCCCTCGAAGAAAAGCTCGTTTTATGGCAGAAGAGCGAGTACTGTGGCTTTTGTGATAGAGGTCTTGGGCACTGCTTCCAAAGGTACGTGCACAAGTATCGAAAGCTTTTCGACTTTGATCAAAGTCTAGTGATTCAACCAAGCGGTTTTTCAAAAAGACAGTTTTGACAGCGCGAGCTAGGTCTGGACGAGAAGCAATGGTCTGAAGGAATGGCTCAAGCCGTCGCTCCCACGGATTCGGGACGTCCCAAGTTGTATAATAGGGATCGAAGGAATGGTGTAATACTTCTTGGGCAAAGGGTCGAAAATACCGCGAGACCAGACATAAATTGTACGAGGTCGTGTCATATTCAACTCTCTTTGGCTCTGGCGGCGCCCCAAAGGGCCACTGATACTCGTTGCAACAGTGGGGGCAGAAATATGCAAATATGAAGCGCAGGATATCGGGAGAGAGCTTTGAAAAGTAGTCCGTTGTAGACTTTTGGAGTCGAGTTCTGGCCATCTTCGTAGGTAAACGTAGTACCTCAATCATAAAGGACTAAGTAAACTTAGATGAGACTTCAACAGCCTTAAGACTAGTTATTTCTAAGACCAAGGCAAGTTTGGGCTCTAAAGTGAGGAGGGCGGGTTTGTGAATAGAGAATGTTGGGTGATGGTGGATAGAAGAGGCGGGGCGGAAGTTTAATTTAAGGTTACTGGGCGATTAGGCTGCTGTAGGGCTGTCCCCACAGCTGGCACAGGCTGCAGTTGAAACGCCACCCACCAAAGTCTACTAATAAATGGCCCGTGGGTAGGTAGTTTCTCTCTCTCACACCGCTGATGTTTTAGTTGTTGGTTCTTTGATATGGCACCTATGATCCTTGCCTTGGTCCCAGGCAGCAGGTGATAAAATGAAAATGAAAAAAAAAAAAAAAAAGGTTAGGTTCAATTGGGCAACAAGTCCTATCAATCTACTGATAGGCACAGAGCTGACATGAACATGACCGTTTACCACGCAAAGACTTTGATCGGCTCAAGACAAACAGTTCTGCCGTTCATTGAAACCACTGTTTATGATGCATCCTCCAATACACCTCACTTTATCCCTTATCGACTTCATATACCGGAGTCTAGCTTGTACCGAACACAACCGACATCTTCTGAACCTCCCACGCCACCGTTGTTGCCTGTGAAATAGATTAGAACTCCGATATAAATCTATAGCGATCTCGTTTGATACTCACAATCCCACCAAGTGTCTCCCATGATGATCCCGCAGCGAGTATTATTTCCAGGCAGTATCCCTTCATCGAGCGGATCAAAGATCTTAACCTTGTCGTCCTTCATGCTGCATCCCTCTACCCAAGACCAAGTCACTCGGTGCTTGTGTGTATCAATGTCCTCAAATTCCTTCACATAAGGTTCCGAGTCAGGCGTCATGTATAGATCCTCATGGCTGGAGTGGGAGCACGCATCCTCAATCACCTTATACACAGCGCGGTCTGAAATGTCGGCATGGCCTCGAAAGTCATCCTCGTTATTGCACTGTAGATTGCGGACCTCGAACGTTACCTCGGTAGTCGTGGGCTTTGGTTCTGCTGTCTTTGGCTTGGCCTCAGAAGTGGTCGTTGCTGAACCTGAGGGTGGCGATTCAACCTTCTTGGAGACGCGGTAGCTGTAGGTCCCGCATCCTACATCTATGCTCCCTTTTGTAGCCAAACCAGCAAAGTATAGTGATCTGTGACACTGAGTTTGAAGCTGCGAGTATGCTTTGGAACAAGAGAGATCGCAGGAGCCACCACCGCCTGTCCACTCAAAGTCGAATTCATGTGATGAGCACTTCGACTGTCGACGCCACAGGCTTCTTCTCTCTGCCCCAGTGGCGACGGCCCTCTTGGCATCTCCAACAACATCATCGTAGGTGAAATTTCGTGAAACTGTCTCGTTATTGTCCTCATCTACAGCATCGCAGAAGGAGGCTGAAAACAACTCCATGCAGTCAGCATCAGCTCCATAGGCATACATATCACATGAAGGCTGAGGCGGCTCAGCCTCCGTGCTGTTGCTTGATATGCCCCATTTCTTGAACATTTCAGAAAAGTACTTCACGGTGTCTTCCTCCATGGGACCTAGATCAATATCCTCCCTTCCGGAGTTATCTTTCTCCAAAATGCCAGTAATGCGAGGGACATCCGAGGCGATTGTAGTGGTTGTCGTGCTTTGTTCCCCGGAAACGCATCCTGTGACTGGGGCACAACTGCCGATACGGGTGCTGTGAGAAGTAACTGTCAGTCCGATACAAATATGAGTGGAAGAAGGCGATGTAGCTGCTTACCTTGTTCCCTCACCGTCTTCGCCTGTGTAGTATGAGAGAGTCAAAGTGCACTTGGGGGGAGCGGTCGTAGTACACTCCTCCTCGTCATCGTCATCATCATCGTCGTCCTCGTCTTTATCATCATCCTTAGGGTCATCCTTACCATTGCTTATTGGCTTGGGATTACCGGTCGGCAATGGCCCACCTTTGAGACCGTCAAGTCGGGACCACTTCCAGCCTCCAGGGAATATGGGGATAATGACTCCGTCATCATCAGTCTGAGTAATTGTTTCCGTATTGTCTGTATGCTCAGGGTCTTGAACCGCACTCCAAGTAATGACTTCGTCATCAGTTCCCGTGACTGACGCTAGTTCTCCTTCGGTTTCAGCTCCAGGGGCAGCTGTCACAGGCGGCCCATCACCCTCGGCAGTTGACTTTGGATCAGCAGCTTCTGAGGTGACTTGTGGGGGCATAGGGACATCCTGAGTTACAGTGCTTCCTCCCTCAGAAGGTGCTTGGGTCTGAGAAACGACGGGCTGAGTATTTTCATCAATGGGTAATGAATTCTCATCTTGACTGGCAGATGTAGCAGTAGATGAAGCAATGCCGTCGCCATCACCAGGACTATTGGTCTCTGGTGAACCCGACTCAGTTGCATCCGGATCTTCACCGGGGTTCGGCTCACCATTTCCGTCATTGACAGACGTTTGAACTGGGTCTGAGGGCGAGGTAGTTGGGAGCTGGCCAGCACCAGGAGTCTCTGGAAGAGCGCCTCCTTCTGGTCCAGTGCTCGGAAGGAATGCAGTCTCATCAACCCCAGGGGCGGCTTCCGCTGGAAGAGTGGTAGGCTGAGGCTCGGATGGCTGATCTGCGGGCTCTGAGCCCGGGTCATTGCCAAGGACCGAAGTAGCAACTGGTTGGCCTGGAGTAACTGGCTCAGTTACTGGTAAGGAGGTTGGGTTTGGCTCATTATTCCCAGGAAGGCCTGCTAAAGAGGTTGCTGACTCTCCAGGCAGCGGTATAACAGGCCTCGGGGGACCATGGGTGACAAACACAAGCGACGTGCTAACAGGATTCTCAGCCGGAAGAGGAGCGTCCTGAGATGAGATAAGACAGGGCGCAAAAGACGCTAGAAGAAAGAGTTGTAACGCCAAAGACTTCATTGTGATAAGAGAGTGTTAAAGAAAACTGAAGAGGTGAATATGAAGAGCATAGAGAGGAAAATAAAGTGATTGTATATGCTTGATATCACAAGAATTCCCAGGGAAATTGATGTTGGCCAGGACCCGCCAGGATGTTTTACAAAATACCGCGGAAGCCGGCAGTTTACAATCATGGAGAGTATCATGCAAGGAGCGGCCCCCAAAGCCAACAGCCCGAAAAGGCATCTCGTGCATGCAACTCTTGTTGCAAGTGAAATTAAGATCAACGAGACAGTCACTATATCCCGCAACGACGTGCCCTTTCAAAATTGATCGGTCAACTATCTCAGACAGCATTGTCATGAATCATATGAAGTCTAACAGGGATATGGGTTGTACAGCATGTGGCACAGACCTATAGACGGATCTTGTTATGGGTGAAGGCCTCGGACTCGACCCACAAACAAGACATCAGTGGGGTCTGTTTGCTGGTTGTTTTTGGTGTCCAAGAAATACAGGAGAACGTCTTCCGATTTCATGATGGGTTCATACAATCCAAGATTCTTAAAGCGCTCAGCGTGTTCTTCTTCTCTAGGGGAGGAAAGAAAAATCAGGACCTTGGTCTAAAATAATAAAAAGACTTAGCCTAGGTAGGCTTACGGGGACTCTTTACTAAAGTTTTTTCAGCGCCAGACTTCTAATCGAATCTCATGATAAGCTTAAAGCACTGAACAATAAAGATAGATGTTCAGGAAACGTAGTAATGGCCAACCTGATACTGACTTACATGGGACGTATATCTGGCCAAAAACAGCCATGTGGAGAACAAATGGACCCCAACTTCAGCTTTGCTCTGATTCAAAACCCTTGACGATGTGCATATGCCGAGCCAACACCTTCGGGCTATGCAGGTCAGGATGTCTACGCTTAACCTTGTCTTCCAAGTTCGGGCCGCCCCCAATATTCCCAACACTAACGTTTCATCGAGCGCTTATCGTGGGCAGCTGGAATGAAGGCAATTCAAACAGGTGGTTCCGATTGGCTTGAGTTTATTTCAGTCACATTCAGGATTGTTGAACAACAGCAGCCAAGGCCGACATACAGCTGCCGTCCAATTATTTTCGCATTTGGTGTTTCAAATTAATTGATGTTGAGCATACCATGATTCATTTCAAAAATACCTCATGCGATTGAGCCTTGTTTATGCCATGACAAGGGTTGACTTTTGGGATGCTTGAATGACCTTTCGTTTTCAAGATAGATACGGCAGTTTCTACTTAGAGACTGAACTAATTATAAATCTTTGTGTCATGACGAAAACTCATCTTTGGTTGATATAAGTTCAATTTATTGGTTCTTGTACTCTTTTTAATTCTTATATCCTCAGTCCTCTCTATCTGACCTAAGAATCTGTCTTTCCCAGGAACACTGTCTTTCAGGCCTGTCATAATGAATCTTTCATTCGCTCTTATCCTTTCATTGACTACGTCTGTGATCGCTGCTAAGTCTAAGCTCTCTGATTCATGGGAGATTGATGACAGCTGCGATCCTCCAAGGCTCGAGAAGCTCGAAGAGGCCCATTCAGAGATCGTTGAGCTTCTCACCAAAGTCACAAATGACCTCGCCCACGTACAACAGCCACGGCCAGCAACTCGCTGGGGGAAGCCCAATTGGAACCGCATCTCTCGGAACCTTGCCGGCCTCTTTGGCCTCCAGCCTAACGACGCCATTATTGAGAATGGTTATGACCCAGGAGAGCAATACTTTAGCCAAGTCCTTTGTAAGTATACTGGATGGATGAAACACTCCTAGAAGCCTTAAGCGGTATTAACAACTACTTAGATACCTACGATCGAATGTATCAAGCCCTTGTGAACGGGAAGGCTGTCCCGGAAAACGGATACTCTGGCAAGTTGACGGACCAAAGCCAGCATAGTAAGCCTCTTCTCTTGTGTGGAGATACTAGGACCTGGGAGCGCTTCGAAAAGGATGATCCAGATAAGTATGACGCCTCGAAAACGGTTGGAGAAGTTTTCCCAGAGGCGGCGAAGACAGGTGGTGCTTTCATCCGTGCAAACCGCTATCTCGGAGCGGGCCCTGGCGAGACAAAGCCCGACATATGCACGGGCATATACGGGATGACACTCCCGCGGCACGACCTCATAACAATTTGCGATAATACCCTTGAACTGGACGATGAAAAGTGGCCGGTGCGTGATGGTGGTGCGGTAGTACAAGGCACAGATCTTGATCGAGACCACTTTGGCAGGCAATCTCTAGTTCGTGTCATGCTCCATGAGTTTGCGCACTACTATGGCTCTAGGATGGAAGGGAGTGCGATCAAAGTGTGTATGTTGCCAGCTTGAACAGCTCAGTAAGTCCTGAATGTGCTGATGACATCTACTGTAGTGACGGACCAACAAGCCGTTGATAAGAACGGATGTCTACTATGGTCAGACGGATCAGCACGTCGAGTACCAGAGCCTACCAACGCAAACGGAGAACAGCTGCAAATACAGCATGTTTGTAAGTGGCACAGTAAAATAGGTTATCGTTGGACGGACTATCAGAGTTATCCTAACAAACTCTTACAGACAGCCTCAGATATTGCACGCATATCAGCAGAGATCAAACCAACAACCAACATGCAGGTAAGTGGAAGATATCCACATCAGAAGAATTAAACAGCTAAGTTTTGAAAGGCCAATTCGAGAAAGATGGCGCCTGGGTGGCTGGTACACTCGGAAATTCCGGTCCCTCTGCTGCGACCTGGACAGCTGAAACATATGCTTACTTCCCCATCATCTCGTAAGTGCTATACTCCTCCTCTTCTTCTACAGTGCTAATGGGAAGTTCTACAGGTATTTAGATAAGTGGGAATGGTTGACCACAGGGAAGGCTAGTCCACTTTGATAGAGCAATGGTAGGCTGTTCTTGTCTATAGTTAGGCTGGTAAGGCGAATAGTTCTATTGTCTATATTTAGTAGTAAATGTAGTATAATACGTTAACTTATTTCTATAATCGTTACAGTACACCTTTTGCATTCGTATTGCGAAGATTGCTACGGTCTGTAGCATGAAATAAATACAGGACAGAGTAACAGCATCCATTTTAGTGAAATGAAAGTTCCTGATAGGTAATTCTAACCTACTTCACCGACATTCGATTTAATATGTGAGTAGCCTTCAACAAACTGGCGCTACAGGATCACTCTTTCTTTTCCGGCTCCGGGCTAAGTATAAGAGAAGTGGTTAAGAAACCAAAGCAATGTCCCAAGATTACAAGACAAACTTGTTGATAGCCTTCTTCTTCGCCAGCTGGACCAACAAATCCTTAGGCTCCTCGAGGAAAGCAGTAAGGACAATGTTCGCACCGACCTCTTCGTAAGCAAAGTTGCCAGAGCCGTATATCTCGGACAGGGCATTGTGTAAGACAACACCATCTTTTACTAGACCTCTTGGGATTTTGTGCTCCCAGGAATAGGCTTTGGCTGATCTGCTCATCCTGTAGGACTTTCTGTTACCTGCTATATATTACGGCTGTCTTGCTATTATAAAGGCTTCAGGAATTGGCACCGTTGGCTTAATTATTTCTAGTTACTGTACGCAAGCAAGTAGAAGCAGGTGTAATAAAAAAGATGGTCAGTATTTATATATAAAAAAGGCTCGTGAATCAGAAGATAGCGTCTACTGTAGAACGATTCACGCTTGATGTTTTAGTTCTGTGAACCAGAAATATGTCGCCTTGGGATGTTGCATCTTAGCAGCCGGGGACAATAACGACAACTTTGTATTATTCTTGACAATCGTAATTAATATGATGGGTTGTAATCGGCATAAGAAGCAACCCGTCCGGGTGTCTCTCACGGCTATACTAATCTGCTGCCTTTAGGCACTTGTCAGTAAAGGCACACACGTAGCACATTGATTCGCTGTAAAGTATGGATAAAACTTTCACTTATGCGTACTAGTTACACATACTAGTGTAAAGTACCAAAGAGTCAGGGACTTTGGTGCTGTGTCATCGGGCTCCATTCGTATTGATGACCACAGTGAACGGTTGTCGAATCAGAGACTCAAAGCAGAGTCACAACAACCCAAGCATGGACCAATCCCAAGTGAGAAGTCAGACTAAAACGCACGAGCAATTATTGAGCTTGGGCAGTCGCCTATTAAAAGGTCCCCGCTGACAGTCAATGGGTAGAGAGTAGCTGCACGTTTCGGAATGGTGAGTAAGCAGAGATGTAAATGTAATCTTATTCGATACCTGGGCTGAAAAGGCAGTCTCACCGCTTGATGCATATGCACCAATAATAGGCTATTAGTCGTATCAGCTGAGGATACAAGATATGTACCTAGGAGCCCAGGAGCCGTGGAATATCATCAGTAGGCAACTATAAAACCAGGCGAGCGTGTCCTGATTTCGTATGTATCCACCGCACCAAGCATCTTCACCTTACTCTAGCATCAACTCCACGTCAAGACACCCAACATGCAGCTGATCAATCTCTCCGCCATTGCCCTCTTTGCTACTTCCGCTCTCGCGGCAGACTGCTTCGGTAACTCCCAGAAAGGTGTCCAAGATTTTCAGGATGCGTACTGGCAGGCTCGCCAGAAGATGTGTAGCAACTCAGACTGCGCTTACCAGCAGGGCTGCACCACCAAAGGATCAAAGACCATCAAGGGACTCATCTCTCTCACCGTCACTGCCGAACTCAGCCGCAAGAACACTGGCGGCAAGAAGGGTTTCAAGGATTGCTGGGTATGTATTCCTCTGATACGCTTGATGCTAAGGTCTTGCTAATTAATATTGCTTAGGATGCTACTGAGTATGTAACTGAGATCTTTACAAAGCTTATCTAACTTTCATAGGAACATCATCGTTCAGTGCGTCAGAGGAACTAACCAGATGAGTGGAACCTGGGAGTATGACGGTCAGCTGTACCAGTTCAATGGCTACTACTCTTAGGTCGAGGCAGGGTGTTGGATATCATTGCGAAGGCAGAAACGAGGGGGAAGTGAACCATGTGATTGATGTGCGATGGCTGAGGCAGTTACCGGGATGTTTCTTGTTCATCTATGTACTGTGGACATGTTGACTATAGCTCAACATAGCATGGCTAAATATAGGAGCACGAGCATCGTATTTCCTGATCTAACAAAAGACATCAATATGAAGATCTGGGGTTCGAGTGAAGAGCTTCTCAAACACCATAGTGAGCATAAGAAAGCCAATAAGCCGGGAACTGTGCGTCTCTGATCACTCGTCATCGTCGCGAGGAATAAAATCTGTCATTCCTTCTCCAATGGGTATATGTGGATGAGAAATACCTACGTGTAGCAAAGATATTGTTTGTGCAACAATTAGATCAGGTTAGTGCAGCATCAGATGCTAGTAGACAAGTTCTTGACAGATTCCTTGGAATTTTGATAAATAATATGGTGAATAGTTCAACATAATCTTGATCAGGCGGTCAATCCAGCATTTTCCTGACTGATCTTCCTCTGGTATATCTTTCAAAACTCCATGGACGAGCTCCGCTCCGCTGCCAAAAACGAGTTGACATAGTTGCTTCTCACCAAGCGACTGTGTCTTGAAGGATCCCCTAGTTGCCTAGGAATACCAGGTTCGCCACGTTCATGATGGCCATGAAAAGCCAGATCAGAATGGCCAGAATCATAGTAAACCACGAGTTGGTCATCTTGACGCCTTGACCTCGGAGTCCATCTCCATCTTCGATTATCCCCTCCGCATCTGTCTCGTCATCCATGTCACCAGTACGCCAGCGCGCACTGCCTGTTTGGACCGTCATGTATTTATCACGGCAGGTGAAGTAAATAAGAGGTGCGGTTACGAATGGTAGGATGATGCTGAGAGCCACCTGCGATCCATTGAGTGCTGCGTTAAGGCCTTCACGCCCGACAGCTCCTGCGATGATGATGCTTGGGGTAATGCTAATACTGCGAGTTATAAGACGGCGTAGCCATGGTTTAACGTTCCAGTTTAAGGCGCCTTCGCTAACCATCTGACCCGCAATGGTGCAAACGATTCCAGCCGAAACTCCAGAGAGCAACAATGCTAGAGCGAATATAGTGCCTGCAGTAGGTGAAATGGTCTTGGAAAGTAATTTGTGAATGCCGAAGATATCTGCATCGAGAGCATTTGGATTGTTGTAGAGCGAAGCCCCTGCGACAATGAGGATAGCCGAGTTGACAAAAAGCGCGAACGTGAAGAGAGAAACAGACAGGTCGATAATCGAAAGCTTGAGCGAGTGCTTGATTGCCTTTTCAGAGGGAACGTAGTAGCCTTTGTCGATGCTGTTGTCGACAACGGAGGGTTCTGAAGTGACTTGACGAGGCAAGAGAGCGCTCCGTTCATCGTACTCACGCAGACGGGGTTGAACGATGCCGGATCCAAGATACAGACTGTGAGGCATGACCGTCGCGCCGAGAATGCCACAGGCCTGGTAAATGCTGGAAAGGTATTAGAGTGGACGCAACAAACCAAAAGGATTCAGAACTCACGCTTCAGACTCGATGAGGTACTTCGATGGCAGATAACCTTGAAAGACCTCTCCAGGGGTGGTATCCTTGATCAAAGATAGCTGAATACAGAAGCAAATAACTACGCCAAGGACGAGACACATGATGAACATTTCGAAGTACCGTAAACCCTTCATAGATCCTTCAGGGCGGTAGAAGATGAGGAGGACCATGACATCGAGAATGGAAATGGCACATCCTGCCACCAGCGGAATCTGGGGGACCAGAAGGTTCAAGGCAATCGCAAATCCAATGACCTAGTAAGTCAGTATTGCAACGCAAGGATGGGAAATGGCAAGCGATTTACCTCTGCGATGTCAGTAGCAATGATAGCGGCCTCAGCAAAGACATATAAGACATAATTCAACCACCGCGGCAGAAACGCCCGGCAAGCCTGTGCAAGATTAAGTCCACTCACAGTCCCCAGCTTTATCGCCAAGCTCTGCAGAAAGACTGCAAACACATTGGAAAGCAAGACAATAAACAGGAGCCGAAAGCGATAAGAAGCTCCTGCAGCGATGTCGGTCGAGTAATTGCCCGGGTCAATGTACGCAACCGAAATCATGAACCCAGGCCCAATAAAAGATCCAATTTTGGCGAGGGTGTCTTTGAAACGCTGAAATGGCGTGCCGTTGTCGGCGGAACCAGCTGGTGCTGGCGGGGGGTTGGCGGGTGCTGAGCGCAGACCGCCTGAGGGCTGGCCATGGTCGAGTGACCGATGAGCCAGCCGCAGCTTCGCCTTTCCATGGTCTGGCGTTTCAGTAGCGGTGTTGTTGGCTATCTGGCCAGACATGTTTGACTCTGCGTCCGGGAGTGCATGAGAGTCGCCTTGGAGAGAAGTGCGAGTGTTGACGAGCCCGTTGAAGTCAGCGTTGGTGGTCAAGTCGCTAGAGTTTGGATTCGGGCTCTGGTTGTAGCCGTCATCGCCCTCAAAGGGCTCATCAGTATGAGAAGTCTTGTTCATCTTGATTTCCGTCCAATAATTGACAATGTTTATTTAAGTTGAAAGAAGCTGGTGTCGCGTGTCGTTTGCGTACCTTATTTATCAAGGTACAAAGTCTCAGGCTTATGTACCTGTCATCGGACCCGATATCTTCCTTCTCCGCTTAACATGTGATTGGTTTGAAGGAAGAAGCCGTGATACAGTGACGCTATGGCTTTGGTCCACCGGCAGTTAAGCCTCTGGGAGACGTTTTAATAGGCTGATTGGTGATTCACGCAGGGGACCCGGGTAGAACGGCACTTACAGGTACGAGACTCGGCTATCATCATACCATCTCGTTCACAGGCAGACCAGGGACAACAAATCCCAAAAATGGCCTGCATGTGCATGAGAACAAAACCAGTGCTTATTACAAGAATGGCCTAAATATAACATTCTAATGATATATACGGAGTACTTAGCTATAAACCCGATTTTGGTATCCGTGTCTTATTTTCTCATATTCTCAAAATGCACTCCTCCGGCAAGGCATACAACTAACCCAAAACAAGAAGCAGATCAGTAACCAGTACTATCACAGAGTAGCCAAAAACAGCTTCCTCAGTACACTATTACGAAAGCAAAATTATTATCCCTGCAATTACTATTAATGGACCAGAGAAGGGTTTGCTATGTGTATCCTGTCACTGCCTAATTATTCCATCAACGACGATAACAATGGCGGCCATCAAGAACATATGCGCAAGAAAGCGAGGCCGGAGAAAAGGGCACTTTGCGCTTCATACAGTACTTATGTGAACCTACTCATCGCCCAGAAACGCCCACTATGCCCACGTAGCTTCAGGCGTTCCGCTGTAGATCCATAAATACCCATCGTGCCATCCGATCCCTGCCGAACGACTAAACGATTAGAAGGTAATAACAATCATAAATTTACAGGTTAATCATAAGATTAGAAAATACACTGTAGGCTTAACATAATGTAAGATTTAGAAGAGAAGTTCTAAAAAATCTCTTAAACACCAAAGTGAACATAAGGAACCCAATAAGTCGGAAACTCCACATCTCTGTCCCTCTCACCATCATCATAAGGAATAATATCTCTCATTCCTTTCTCATCTCCCTGTCCAAGCCACTCCCTCTTCTTATCCAAGCTTTCAAGCCAAGCATCTCTCAACATTCTCGTGGCTTTATGCAACCCGCGACAAACAGAATCGTCGGTCATACCCCCTTCTCTAATAGCTTCATACGTAACTCGCGCGACATCAACGCAGTGCTTATCCCTAACCTTCCATAGAGTCCCAATAACGTGTCTGAAGCCAGCTAGTTGAAACGCGCTGATAAGATGTATGCTCTCGTCGATGAATTTGTCATCTTGAACATGTCCGGTGCTACATGCTGAAAGATATGCCAGAAAGGGTGATTTTTCGTGCAGGTTCAACTTCAAGATATCTCCAACTGTCAGGGGATCGCTGGTGTCGCTTAGGCAAAGATGGCTCTTGGAAGCGTCGTCGCCGTTGGTATATCCATGTCCTGCAAAATGGAATATCTTGCAGTCTCGTAGGCAAGAAAGCACATCTTGTTTGCTCTGAACATCCAAAACGGGCCTTATGGCCATACTCTCGCAGATCTCACTAACCACCTTTACCTCTGCTCGTGCTTGTGGTAGACGAGGGTGAGCATCTGTATGCTCCACATCTATCAAAAGAGCATGGCTGGGCCCGGTAGCAACTTCACGTTGTCGACGTCCGTGAACTAGAGCTCTCAGAGATGGACTATATGACGATACCACTCGGTCCATTACCGTGTTGCCAGATCGCTCTCGATGTCGTCCAGATGCATGAAGTGGGAACCTACTCAACGGCCCAGTAGGTATCCACCAAATGTGAGGCCATTCCTGTTGATCCGATGGTGTCTCCTTGAAACCCAGCACCTCGAGCACACGGCTCGTGATAGTATCCCAAAGCCACTCAAGCACATCAGAGGTTCCGAGGTCGAAACCCGCTGCACGCTCCATCAACTCGCCGTCGTCCAGATCTTTAAAAATCATTGATGTTATACGCTCTCGCTCGATGACTATTCCTTCGCATCCCATCCAGCTGCTGTTGATGACCACGATGGGACCATAAGCAGCTGCAGCACATATCTGTTCCGTGGTGAGAGGACCGAGAAAATCCTCAAATCCAGGCTTTTTTCGTACCTCCTCTAGAAGATCATCGAAGCTCTCGGCAGCGTTGCGCCGTCGTAAACCTCGGTCCTCTCTAGGCTCGTCACTCAACTGCGAACCAGTAGAAGATTCGAGTTCTTCGCGAAGACGCAGGAATCTCTCTCCTAACTGAGGAAACGCTTGCTGAAGCTTCTTTATATCTGTTCGTATATCATCCAGTGACGATGCTAAAATACCCCGTCCTTGTTCTAGAATTGCTAGTGCCTCAGACGGATCCCTGTTAAGCCTAATAGCAGCACCTGTTACCGAAGCCGCGAGACCTCTTGAAAAGCTGAGTAGATGCTGTCTATCACCGATTTCGAGTGACCGAGCCGCGGCAATGCCAGGTACAAGGTCAATGGCCGTCCGCCCTATATCGTAAGCCTCTTGCAGGCTCACGCACAATGGCATCACTGATGTTGCAGCAATTATGCGCCTTAAGGTATTGCCTGTAGGATGTTCCACCGCACACCGATAGCTGCGCACTGCCTCATCCAAGTCACCACTGACCCATGTTCTACTGAACCTGGCGGCGAAAAGATCCCCGAGAGTGGTCCAAAGGTCTGTCCTGAATGGAGAGTCCTCAGGCATCGATTCCAACGTCTTTTGGGTGATCGAGATTGCTTCAGTTATGTCATCCATGGGGCCTCCAACTTTGAACCGCTTCTTTAGGAGAGCTGCCAAGGTACTGATTGAAGTGGGCCGCTCAGTGTACGGATTTACCATTGCAGAAATGGCTTTCCTAGCAACTTCGATACCTTCTTCGAGATCTTCCGAGGACCCTAGCTTATCGTGTCTCGTGTCAAGAGCTGAAGCTAGGCGGGATAGTATGCTCTCAATCTCAGGATTAGTGCTGGAGATAGAAGTCAAAGCTTCCCTCAAGAGCGCGATTCCTTGGTTCAGATCCGATTCATTCTCTTGATTCCTCGAGAACCTCTTCAGAAGTATGGAACCTAGGTTATGCAGCTGGATATGTCTCGACGAATGATCATCAGGTGTTACATCTAACGCAGTTCTGGCATAGGAAACAGCTTCTTCCAGGTCCACCATGGAGCCTCTTATCATTGATCTTCTCGAGAGTGCTATCGAAAGGTTACCTAAAACAATTCTAAGGTTGGGAGAGTTCTTTGGTATGTCTTTCAAGCTCTTCCTACCAAGTTCGACAGCCTCATCGAGATGAGCCAAGTCCCCAGTCCTACTATGAAGAGAATCGAGGTAGTTAGAGTAGTTGCTGAGCTGTTCTGACCAACGAAGATGATCTTTACTAGCTTTCTCAAGATATCGCTTCACGACATGAATTGCCTCTTCGAGATCCTCCAAGTCGCCCGTCTCGTGGTACAGAACGTATATGGTAACGTTAAGCTTTCGTAGTCGATCCAACCACTCAGGGTCGTCTTCTGGCGTCGCAGCCACGGCTTCTCGAGTTAGTCTGATAGATTCCCGTAGCTCGCTCAGAGTCCTCGTCTCTTCAAAAAGCTCGTAGAGCGTCCTTGCTAGTTGAATCTGCCGAGCTAGTTTATCTCGTTCTCGATCGTCTGCCGTCGCCGATAGCGAGTCTCTTCGCAGGCGACAAACAGTTTCGAGGTCCTCTAGCCTCCCTAATTTGCCGTGCTTTACATCGTACAAGTCCGCTAATTTCTCAAGCCAGGTCGCAATAGTATTGTGATCTTCTGAAGATGATGCGACAGCTGTTTCTAAGCTTTCACGGGCACCTTCAAAGTCGCCTTCGACTCCGAGGACAGAATACTTCTCCTTCATCAAGATGCCGAGATTAGCCAGATGTGCGGCTTTCATGGGGGATTCGCCGGGGACATTTTCTAGCGACCCCTGGATCAATCTGATAGCTTCATCTAGATCATTCACGTTTCCAGTGTGATAGAAACAATCCCCTAACTGCAGTGCTAACCAGTACGAAAACCTCTGGCGGTCTGTGGAATCTGAGGGTGAAGATTCGACTGCCCTGCGTTCGAGGTTCGTCGCTTCGTCAAGATCACCAAAATTGTCAACCACATCCTTGTACCTCATGTACAAAGCCCAAGCCAGCGTGTGTAATAGCTTTGCATCGGCTTTGACCGATGCCTCCAAGATTTGCCGTGCAGTCTGGATAAGCTGTTCCAATTGATCGGGGTCATCCGTGTCGCGGTAACTCTGGATCAGCCCTTCCAGTAGGGCTTTCGGAGGAGTATAGCTGCTCCCGGCTACGGAAGTCCCAGGGACTCCTCTACCTTGGCGGTTCGTTGACGTTTTCTCCATGTTTGAGGACTTTGGTTTTATATGCGGAACGGGTTTCGGTGATGAAAAGGAACGGGGCAAAGGCTTTCTGGCGCCCAAGTTTGATGCAAGAATAATCACAAGGCCAATATTTGCACTTTGACTTCATTGGTTCGTTGTACTTTCGTGCATGTAGTAAATCAAGCTGCGGCGAGGTAGACTCTGGCGCTACCCTAGAGACACTGCCTAAATGCACCGTTTGCATTAGCGGGTTTGGAGGCCTGACACATGAAATAGCCGCCCGCCTTGTTCGGCTTTGGGTCTTGTTCCTTTTTCTCTCAACATATCTAGCGTACGTTATGTGGCAGTAATTATTCTGTGCTGACTCCAGAGTGTACTTTTCCGCCTAAAAGTCCCCAGAGCAAGAGGTTAGTACTGAGATTCTGTTTTGAAGCGGGAGACTTATATAACTCAACAACCAGGCTCGGCACATAATGTCAATCCTCGGGTTTGCGCTCCCTTTTCTTCGGCCCTTTCTGGGGCCCTATTTTGGCTTCATCATCGATACTTATGCCTCTGTCATGATGATTCTCTTTTTTCTCGGTTTTCCTTCGATACGCGAGCGACTTGTGCGAGTATTGCTAAGGGATGAACCCTTCTTCATTCCCGGACTTGGGCCCCTGTTCGTTCGCTATGTGATCCCGCGTGCCCGGCGATGGATGGGTAGCCTTGGCAGCTCAAATGATTTCCAGGTCGTCATTGTTTTCTTCCGTATCGGCCGCACCGCCTGCAAGGCAATCTATGCTTTCTTTGTCCGTGCTTCAAACCGGGAACAGTACACGTACATGCCTCTGTCGAATAGCTCTGACAGTAGTGAAATCCGCCTGATTAAGCTGCACCCCGGTTCTGGCGATGACCCTCTCCGAGTTGACATCTTACATGCTTCATTGGATTCGAATCTAGTCGGAAAGTATGAAGCAGTCTCGTACGCTTGGGAGGATGGTCATGCAACAAAGAAACTAGAAACACAGCGCGGTGCTCTTCTTATCACGCCTTCTCTGTTTTACGCATTGCATCGATTTCGGTTGAAAGAAGAATCTCGTATGCTCTGGGCGGATGCGGTGTGTATCAACCAGTCAGACAGCGCGGAGAAAGCGAGCCAGGTGGCATTGATGAATGAGATCTATGCATTTGCTGGCTGTACACTGGTGTATTTGGGCCGCGAAGCCGATGGAAGCGAGATGGTCGGAAACCTGTTACTTCAATTTGCTAGGGCTAGTTCGTCTCTCTATCGCTTATACGGTAGACATGCAATGGAGGCATTGAGACATGTTGGAATGATCCAACCTCCTATTAGGGAGGTATTCGACAAATATCAGCTTCCCGGCCTAGAGAATCCTGTGTGGAAAGCGTTAGCCAAGCTCTGGGGGAGGCCGTGGTTTCGGCGCGTGTGGGTAATTCAGGAATTTGTCCTCTCCCCGGATGTCCGCATCTTCTGTGGTGAATGGGAGGTCAGTTGGTCAGTATTCTACGTCGCTACGATCGACGCATACATGACTTTCTCCTTCTCGGTTGTTCCAGATATACCGAACGCATTCAATGACGCAGCAACGCACATGGGAACGCAAGCTATGCACATGATGTGCGAGTACCGGCGATCTGCACTCTTACACACTTTACGCGTTTCAGATGATGATAGTATGCGAATGTTGATCATAAATCCTGGAACAATGGTATTTGAGGAACAAGAGGAGTTCAACTTGGCGAGAAAGATGGATCCGAAACTGAGACTACGGCTCGAAGTACCTCTTCTTGATCTCTTCGCGCTATGTGACAGGAGCAAAGCTACCAGAGCTCGCGATCATTTGTTCGCGGTATTTGGTCTGTCCAGCGCGAATGAAGACGAACTTTTCCACGCAGACTACTCTTGTACATTTGACGAGATAGTTAGGCGCTTCGGCAAAGCGTTTGTACGCAGGGGCCAGTGTATGGACCTCTTATACCAAGCCCGGTTGAACATTCAATCCTCGCGGTTTCCATCCTGGATCCCTGATTGGACCACCAAGTTCGCCTCCGCGGGCGACGAAATTGATTACGACAGCTTGGGCCTGAACAGTGGCGGGCTGTATGCCGCTGCTGGCGATACTCAGTGCGTACCGTGGGTTAGTGATGACCCAAAGGACGATTGCCTTACAGTTCGAGGAAGGTTCGTCGACAAGTTGAGCTGGGTCGGCGGTGGCCACGTCAAACACGGCCCCATACATGGCCTGATATATCGTCTTAAACAATCTCATGACATTATTGCAGAACTTGAAGAAGCTTCTGATTATTATTTGACTGGCGAGTCACTTAAAGATGTATGGTGGCGGATGCTGGTGGCAAACAAGACGAAGCAATTCGGCCCCGTGTCTTCAGATTTTGGATCCGGACTAGGTTCCAGATGGCATGTAATGCCCGCCCTATGCAATTGGCTATTATCATCGCCTGCCGAGGAAGCCAAGGAACAACTTGTCGCACTTATAGGCCTTCCGTATTACAAGGCCTTATACTCTTGTTACACTTTGTACCAGATTGGGAAGACGGAGAAGGGAATGCTTGGTCTCGTGCCGCTCCTGGCAGAAGCTGGTGATGAGATATACGTCCTCAATGGCGGTGCAGTGCCATTTGTTTTGAGAAAAGGGAAGCGACTGCTGAATGGACGTCGGTTAGTAGGAGAATGTTATATCCACGGACTTATGAACGGCGAGGCGATACAGGGCGAATATGACGAGAGAGATGTCAGATTATACTGATATGTGCTGCGACAGAAAAGACTGTTGACCCATCGCGACTCCATGGATGCTACTCTGGAATCTCAATACACTCCCTTACTCTTGTCATTCATGCATCATAACTAATTAATTCTCAGCTCAAAATCTCTATTAGGAAGCTGGTTAAAAACCAAGGTTTAAAAGCTCTCAGAGATTGCTGATCCCTACTTCAATGGCTTAGCTCTATCACTGCCGACTCATACCCCGCCTTGAACATCAGCAAGATTACGATGTCGGGTTGCACCTCTTATCGACACTATTCTGCATGTAACCATGGATGGTTCAACTAAATATTATCTAAGCGGAGTAAACGGCACTTTTTGAAGATGACGATCGTCATGACGATCTTGAGCTACAAAAGCGAGCGATGCGCCTCTCCCAAGGACTAACTAAACGCAACGAAGTCAATTGCTGACAATGGCTCGTTTTCCCACTTTGGTTGCTCTGCTGAGCCTAATTGCGCAAAGTCATGGCCATCCATGCGATGTGAAGTATCCTCCCCAAACGAAACCAGTAGAGACCAGGCAATTCAGCAACAGCCGCGGTGCTGTTGCCAGTGAGAGCTCGATATGTTCGACAATTGGTATCGACATTCTGAGGCAGGGCGGCAACGCAGCCGATGCCATGGTCGCCACTGTTCTTTGCGTGGGGACAGTCGGTAAGTTTTCCAGGCTATTCTTGACCGCTTGACGCTGAGATAAAAACAGGCATGTATCATTCTGGTATCGGAGGCGGCGGCTTCATGCTCATTCACAAACCCGATGGCAAGAATGAATCCGTGCCCTACGAATTTGTTGACTTTCGTGAAACGGCGCCTGCGGCAGCTACGGAGAATATGTTTAAGAATAACGTGAACGCCAGTATTTATGGAGGACAAGCGAGGTATGAAATACCTTCCGGTGCTACGCCAATGACTAACAGCATTCTAGTGGCGTACCTGGCGAATTGAGAGGTCTAGAACATCTGCACAAGAGCTATGGTCATCTCCCTTGGTCGAAACTCGTGCAACCAGCAATTGACGTCGCCCGCTATGGATTTCCAGTCAACAACGACACTCTCAAGTACATGAAGATGACATACAGCAAGGCCGAGAACGAAAGCTTTCTGCTCAGTGATCCAGCGTGGGCAATTGACTTTGCACCTGCGGGAAGACTGGTCAAATTCGGCGAGAAGCTCACGCGGAAGAGATATGCTGATACGCTCGAGACCATTGCTTCTAAGGGAGCCGGTGCGTTCTACGAAGGATCCATTGCCGATGCGACTATCAGGACTTTGAAGCAGAAGAAGGGTATCATGACGACAGATGACCTGAAGAACTATTCCGTGGCGATTCGAGAGCCGTCTCAGATAAACTACCGTGGTGGAAAGGTCACTAGCGGCTCAGCCCCCTCAAGCGGTGCCGTAGTAGTAGCTGCGTTGAACGTTCTAGACGGTTATGACTTCCTCGGTGATCCTAGACGAGTCAACGACAGTGCTTATCTCCTCGATGAAGCATTCAAGTTCGGCTACGGAATGCGAAGTAATCTCGGCGACCCAACCTTTGTCAAAGGTCTAGGCGAGTATCAGGCTGAGATGTACTCCAACGATACCGCGCAGGAGATCCGCGCCAAACTAGATGGGCGTGCTCTTGCAGTCAAGGATTACGATCCTAAAGGTCTTGAAAGCTTAGACACCCCCGGGACTTCACATATCGTTACCATGGACAACTCAGGCCTTGCCATCTCCCTCACGACTACGATCAACCTCAACTTCGGTTCTCAAGTCATTGTTCCCGAAACTGGCGTTATCATGAACAACGAGATGAACGACTTTAGTATCCCCGGACAATCAAACGCTTTCGGATTCATTCCCAGCGAGGCCAACTTCATCAGACCTGGAAAACGCCCTCTTTCTAGTATAAGCACCACCATTGTCGAAGGACCTGATGGAAAGGTTTCGTTGGTGACGGGCTCTGCTGGCGGTAGTCGTATCATCACTGCTACTGTCCAGGTGGTTCTGAACGCGCTGGAGAAGAACATGACTGTTCATGATGCCCTGGCTGCGCCTCGTCTGCATGATCAGCTTGAGCCGCGACAAGTCACTTTCGAATATGCTTGTGACAACTCAACAGTTGCTTATTTGAAGGAGATTGGAAATAATGTCACTTGGGTTGCACCTGGACAGAGCACTGCTCAGGCTTTGAGGAGGCTGCTGAATGGCACATTTGAAGCTGCTGGCGAGCCTAGACAGGCCAACTCAGGAGGATTCTCAACTTGAACAGTTCAGACATCAAATCTCTAGTTCAAGGTAGTATTACAACTAGTATCTATCTACCTAGTTGTAGAAGTCATAAACCCGGTCTCTAAAGCTTCCATACCTCCAAGTTGCGATATCGAGCAACAAGAGGATTCATCTGTCTGAAGCCAATCCGTCCACCACGAACTACAGGCCCAGTCGTCCTATCAACATCCTCCCATGAAAACAATTCCAACCCATTAATCGAAAACTTGACATCCCGTTTATCGTGAATAACCTCAACCTTGTAATAAGCACCCTGAGTATCCTCCACATTCGGCAGCGGATCAGCCCCCTGCGCAACAAGATGAAACCCAGGTGACTTCCGCAAGTTCGCAAGATGGAAAGCCCTCTCCTCAGGCCATCGACGCCGAAAGTACGAAGCATGCAGCGTTCGTATATCGCTAGAGTGATACTGCGGGTAAGACCCGTTTCGGGGTTTGAGATCCTTGTCGAAAATGCTTCCGCCATCCTTGGCTGCTGCTGCGCCGAAGAAGATGATAGCCAGGCCTGGTTCTTGGATGGGTGAAAACTCCCAGGTGATGCGGATGCGCTCGGGAAAGACTTCTGGAACCCAGTAGACAAAGTCTCCCGGGGCAGCTAGTTCGAGAGTGTTGTTGGAGACTGTGGCCTTGACGGGGCCTTCGGCTACCCAATCTGAGATTGCGTCGGTGCTGTTGAAGGTATTTCTGTAGAGAAGCTTTTCAGCCATGGCTGAAGCGGCGAGGAGAGGGTAGAGGAGAAGACTTCGCATATTGTTCTGTTAAGGGGGGATTATTTCCACTGACTCTCGAACACGAGTATTCGGCAACTGTCCACGATTTTATAGGTTTTTGTTTATATGTTTTGTCATATTAATTCGCGATTTGATCATATTTAATTTCCCTCTTCGGGGGTAGATGTGCCGAGATGAGCAGATGCGATCCTATCATCTTCAGTGTATGACAGCGGATATGCTACTGCATTGAGTTTAGGTACCAGCATGTAATGCAATTCGATCATTCGGGAAGCAAAAGACGTGATTCAACAGTGAGTGCCGATCCTTTTAGATGTAATTGAGCTTGTTACCAAATTTCCACCAATAGAAGCGTCCCTGTTGTTCAAGGCTGTTCCAAGTCGTGAGACTTACATGGACGAAATAGCTTGACAGCTGAGATAAAAGAGGGTAGACGAATGAATGAGAACTAGTTTTTTTAACGCAATTTTAGTAGTAGTAGGGGAACCGACAAGACTGGCCCGCAATAAACAACCTGTGCTATGCATGGAAGAAAGTGAGATCAAGATTGTCGTTGATAAAATCAAAGTCCTGTGGAAGCTATGTCGTTTCCATTAGCAGAAGTCACGAATACTCCACTCGATTTGACATACCATCGAGCTAATGATATCGGTCATAATATCAGAACTCAGATAGTTCGCATCGATTGATAGCTGATTCCCACATGAGCCGTCATCATCACTACGACTTATCAGTATGGGGTGACTCAGTGCCTCTCGAACGGACATACTTACCAAGCCTCAGAAAATGGCAATTGTTGTCGAAGAGCTACTTGACGTGTGTGAATCAGCTCGCACAGTTTAATTACTCGCTCTCCAGCTTCTTTGTCCGATTTCGCGGCCGACTCTGGCCATAGTTTGCCTTTGATCAAACCAATAGTCATACTCATGATATAATATTCGTTCAAGCCGTTGAATGTGAGTGAGATCCGCTTTTCGAGAATATCCAAGACTTTCTCAACATTTTCGATAAGGAATGCTGAAATTTGTGGAAAGATCGTGATGGTTGATTGATCGTAGGCTTCATAAGTATAAGCTGACACTCGTTATTTTACGGAAGGGGTATGACAGGTAGTCTTACCGCGAGATCCAATATTGAGGTACATTTCATGGCAGATGTTCAGTGCTGCAAGGATTAAGCCTGTCCTACATGCCTGTTCTGGCAATGCCTCGTCGTTCAAAAGTCGCTGATAGTAGTCGAGGATCTTCGTAGAAGCCTCTAACCTCGCACGACGACACATAAGACCTTTAGGTGAGGAGGGAGTTTGGACTAGGAAGTGGAAATGCAGTAAAAGCATATACTGGTGCAGAACGATACCTAGCATGCTCTTTATGTATGTTGCGGTCTGACGCTGTCGTGGATCAGCTTGGGTGTCATCCCATGCCGGAATGTCTCGAAGTGCCTGTCCTAGCTCCTCCTCTAGCTCTAAGACCTTGTCGAAATCGACCTCTTCGCAACTTCCATTGATCAAGGCGCATATCCTTGATCTCACAGGCAAGGATCGATAGAGAAGTGCTTGAAAAGAAGTGTTCGTCATTGTAGTAATTGGCATGCCGGTTGAAGGGCCTTGCAGGGACTCCTCAAGACCTTTGTCGTCGATATTCAGTGGTGTTTTGATGTTGAAATCTCCTATTCGGACACTTGGGGGCATTCCACGTTCTATCGATGCCTGGAGATCGAGTTCGACAATTGTCACCCACAATCTTCGACGCATTTCTCGACAGAATGGCGGTATCCTGGCTGCGGAAACAGTTTCACGATGATATCCTGCTGCCATGGCCCACCGGACTAATGTCCCGCAAGAGGTCCAAAAGGAGCCCTCTTTGATAAAGTTTGCACGTTTAGCAATCAGCAAAAGGCAGTGGCTCACCAGGATGTCCCAGGAACGAGGGGGTTGGCTTGACTGACAACTAAGCCATGCTTCCGCTACCTCGACCCAGCCAAGAACATGATCGTGAGTTGTCTTGTGGCTGAATACATCGATACATACTTCTGGATGACAGCTTGCAGCAGTAGCAGCGACTAAAAGCATCTGGACAAGAAAGTGGACAGGAGTGGTGGACTGATCAACCCAGTGGCCGTTATACTTGATGATGAATGTTGGTATGTGCAGAACTCGATGCGTTATCTCATAGCGTTCGGTATAGGTCTGAACCAGTATATCCATGATTGGCTTTGTGGGTATTAGCTGTCTCAAAGTATTCTCCAGCGCATCGTGCTTTGAGATCGGGCGATGTCGATGCTTATCGTTGAATGGAGCATAAATCTCATCGCGAAGGGAGTTGATGGAGGGATATTGGATCTTGATCTTCACGATGTATGCCCGAAGATCGGTGAACTATTTCTAGTAAGGGAATGATAACTCTTAGAAAAAGGAAGAACATACCTGCTGGTAAAGGTTCAGGGGATAGCTATACCCGTAGAATTTGGTGGAGTTCCCCTGCCCTTCCAGATGTGTCATATCGACTTCTTGGATGGCAGAGGCTACATGATTGTCGAGTGTTCCTGTTGACGAACCCTTCATACGGGTAGATGCTGCCGCACCATCAGCCCCTTTTGGGGGACCATCGCCCAACAGACCGTCAACCGACGTGCGTCGCCCTTTGTCCCCACGGTAGGCGCACTCATCGGCATTTCCGGCCTTTGAGCAACGGCTACAAGACGGGAGCTCTCTGCCGCACTTAAGCTTGCGTTGATAGCACTGAATGCAGGCCAGTGGGGGACGTCTTTTCTTCACCCCTGGTTTAACCACACGTTGCGAAGTGTTCGGTAATCGGTTCATTGCGGCGGATATGAGTAACCTGAGAGTTAGGAAATTATTTAGTATGGGAATTGAGAGAAATAATTTGCCGAGCACAACATCTTATGTTCTTTCGGCTCGGCATATTCGGGGGCTCGGTGATCTCTAGACTCGGTCTTTTGTACCGGCCAATTTGGAGACTTGATTTACCTCCTACCTGCTTACCGCAAGACGACCATTCTCGTGCTTGTGTGATGCGTGAATCTCCAGTCAGTGTGGAGAAACTGGGGTAAAGAGATGATGTCGCCCCAGATTCTACATCCGGGGTGCTCACAAAGTATAAAGTGTAAGTAGACCCTACCGCAACAATGATCTCTACTCAAGTCAAGCATCAACGCCTTTATCTCATCTATTTAAAAACCCAACACCCACTCACTGAAGCTACGCTACTTAAAATGTTATCAGCTGAAGATGATCCTTTGACAACTTCTGTCATCTCCTCCTTCGGGCCCAACAGCTCACCCAGAGCGCGGGAGATTCTGACGGGGCTGATCCGATATCTCCATGCATTTTGTCGCGAGGTAAATCTCACTACAGAAGAGCTCTACCTCGCCATTGAAGCGTTGAATCGGTCTGGTCAGATGAGCAACGCTGAAAGGAATGAGACTTTATTGATCTCAGACTGTCTTGGCGTGGAAGCGTTTGTTCTCCTCTTCTAGCTTTTTGCCACTTGTATCTAACTGTTATGTCAGACTGGTTGATGCCCAAACACAGAAGATGCTCGAGCAAGATAACGGAACCAACTCTTGCATTCTCGGCCCATTCTATGTCGCTGACCCTCCTCAATATGCCAATGGGGATAGCATTATCCAGAAATACCTTGGCGGAGAAGTGACTTACTTCCATGGCCGAATCTTGGATGCCGATACTAATAAACCTGTAGAAGGTATGCCTGATTGATTATTGACTATCGTGTCATAAAGAGTGCTAATAGAAATTGCAGGTGCTTCTCTGAACGTCTGGGAGTGTGCAGTCAATGGACTTTATGATCAGCAGGATCCCAATCAGCCATCCGGAAACATGCGCGGCATGTTCACCTCCGATGCAGAAGGCAAATACGCTTTTTACTGCATTAAGCCAGTTCCTTATCCCGTTCCGTACGACGGCCCTGCTGGGGATACTCTCAAGCTCATGGATCGCCACCCCTACAGGGCTGGTCACATCCACTTCATGGTGACCAGGGACTCTTACAACCGTCTGATTACACAGGTATTTCCTGAGGACGACACTTATCTCGACTCTGACTCGGTGTATGCCGTCAAGTCAGATTTGCTGTTGAAGTTCAAACCTTATAACTGCGGCTCACTGAAGAGGACTGGAGGCAACGATGTCGATGTGAAGTGGGAAGTCAACTGGGATTTCAAAATCAAGCAACAGAAAGATTAATCGGCCGTTAATCAAGGCCTTATCTTTCTATAAGCAGTGGAATTGAGTCAGTTTTAGAGGTTTATACGAATGTAATTCTTCGTGGAATTACTGAAACCCGTATTAATAGCTTAACTATAGGGTGAGATATATAGCCCGTCCTCTTACAAACTTCCCATTTTGTTGACTTGAAAGACATCTCGATACTTGACCTTTTCTGATATTTTGTTAGGAATATATGGTAAGATTGGTTAAAAACGATCTAAGTCAGCTTGTAGAAAGAGCAGTGGCGCGCTGCTCAAGATGGTATTTTCTATATCAAGTCAATAGACCTGATACTTACATGTTGCATCACGCACCTACCTCGGGGCTGTAGCAGCCGCCGGGGCATTCCATTGCCATTGGTCTAATCAATCTTGTGCTACAGAATCTCTTAGAAGGTCTAAAGGCTGGGTGATCAATCTGCAAGTCAGCCCCTTTGTCTCACCTTTGCCACGCAAGGCAGGAATGCTAAGGCGATGATGAAACGACGCGCTGCTATAGGATCTCTGTCACCTCAATTAAACCTTTCTTGCTGGAGTCACGTCACCAAATTTGGCGGACCCAAGCGAATCATTACACTTTGTGCTCCGTCCAATCATCACGGAACACATGGCAGAACTACGCATGCCCTGCGTTCATGCTGCATAGGGTCCAATTCGCTGTGGAAATTGAAGATTGACGTACAACAGCATCGATGCCTAAGCCTTTCGGCGGAGTAAGAAAATAAGCCACACAGCTGAGTAGTGTGACAAAATCAAGAGGAAATTGATCATGTCAGAATTCGACAAGACAGTTAAATCTTTATGTCCGTTTACCTAAGGCATACTTTCGTGCAAGTGTTGTTTTCCTGGCCACCAGTCTTTCTGCCCTGAGATCCAGCCATTCCACATAGCCACAATGAACTCCCTGTATTTTTGTCCTGAGGCACACATGTCAGCATTAAGCCTCACACAAAACCGGTTCGGGCCATTCCCCAATGCTTGACTTGCATTTCATTAACAGTTGTGCGCCAGTGTTTCAAACTGAAATTAACTGATGCGAAATGGTGTCCCGACCTGATATTGAAAGCACCGCATCCACTTACAGATTCCTTATTGAGCAGCTCCCTGAGCACGAGCGAAATCTCTTTGGTGCGGCTCGGCTGACGTGGCCGCCAAACTCGAGTACGTACTATATCTCAACTCATCAGTTAGCACAGTGCGGAAAATCTCAGTCACCGTGCTCACCCTCTCAACCTCTGATCTGCCCCATCTCAAGTCAATCAACTCCCCCCCTTTTGTACTCCGGACTCTCTACTTTGGCGAGTAAAGATGGACCAGACAGCTGCAAACTCCAAACCAAGTCGCGTATCGCACGGCTACAACCATGTCAACACCCTCGCCGACCATCACCTTTGTTGGAGAAACAACGACACGACGGGGTTCCTAGAACCAGTGTGGCCGCGAGAACCCGATATTCAAGTCGCACGCAAGCTCGCCCTTGAGCATCTCCCAGCAGATTTATTTTCTGATGCCTGCATCTCACCCTTCGCCCAGGGCGCATTTCATCGCCTGTATTGCCTCTCTTCCGACCACACGACTGCTGAGTACCTCATGCGCGTCGCCCTTCCCGTTGATCCCTTCTTCAAGACGGAAAGCGAGGTGGCCACCATGGACTACATCCGGCGGAATTCTTCAATACCGGTACCCGAGATCATTGCCTACGCGTCTAGCGCCTCAAATGAGCTCACCTTCGAGTGGATTCTCATGGAGAGGATTCGGGGCGTCCGCCTCGAGCAAGTCTGGGACACGATGCCCTTCCAGGCCAAGATGCATCTCACAGTCGAGCTGGCCCGCTCCCTCAAGGAACTCAGGCAGCGTCCATTTCCCATGCTGGGTAGCATTTACTACGCGGATGTCTGGAACCAGGTCGACTACATGCCCACTCTAGGACTCGATGCCGGCATTGATGGCACCTTTGTTATCGGGCGCATGGTCTCTACACGCTTCTTTCGGGATAAACGCCTCCTCCTTCGCCCTAACCGTGGGCCCTTCACCACAGCGCGGGAACTCGCTACGTCCCAGGCCACTCTGCTCGCCCGGCGCATTCAACATCTCTCACCCTCTCCTGGGACCGAGTACTACTGCGAAGCCGACGAGATGCTTGCTGACGATGGAGCCGAGGTGCTCGAGACGGTCGATAGGCTTGTCGAGGTCGTACCTCGAATCTACTCAGCGACTGACGACCCGGAAGACATCAAGGTCCTATGGCACGATGACATTTCTTTGATGAACGTGCTTGTAAATCCCGAGACATACAAACTTGTCGGCATCGTCGACTGGGAGTCTGTGAGCATCGCGCCAGCCTTGGAAACAGAGGACGGGGTCCCACATTTCCTTCAGGGAATTTCTGTCCAAGAACCTCCACCAGTCGGATCCCTCCCCCCTGAGGAAGAGGAAGCCATGGTCGAGATCCGCAAAGATTGGGATTTGGTCCTCCTGCGCCGCAAGTACGCTGAGATCGCGGGACCCATGTATAGTCTGAGTCTTGGAGCAGATGCGAGGATTGATCTCAAACGAGGGCTATCTAGGTCTTTGGCCAACTTTGAGGACAGATGGACAAGCGCACGGTATTGGCTAAAGCAAAATTTTGGGGCGAGTGCCTGAGATCTGTCTTGTTCCAATCTGAGGCATTTCACAATTACAAATCGTTCATGTTGCACAACCGTCTTCTTTTCGTGGTGGCTTTTTGGAGCTCCCTTGTGGCTTGAAAATGAGGCCAGCCAGAGACGACTATCTCTACCGGATCGAGGCTTACAGTCGCCCGGCTTATGTATGTGAAGCTTCATCTTATGTAATTGTACCTGTTGTGCAACTAACATGCTGCTGGTCAAGCAGCATAATGACCAATAACGCGGCCACTTTTTGGAGCTCGGACAGGTGAGGGGATTATATATATCCAGACACTGACAAACTTGGCAATGACGTTACATCTGTTTTTCGTCCTTATCGCTATCAAGTAGCGAAGCCGAATAATTCGGGCGACAACAAGAGACCTTTGTATACCTGGAGATCAACCACCGTATTAACATGTCCAAAAAGATCTTTTTGAGCTTCCTCGACGAGATTCCGGATGACAAGCTGGAAGGATTCCCTCCGCGAAACGGGCAGATCACCCTCTACACGCAGAAGGAACAAAACGGCCAGAATTACCGTCTCGATAAGCAAGGGGTATATCTCATGAGCATCCAGTCATCCAGACACTAAACGCTGACTGGACTTTGACAGTTGACATCCGACAAGCGCCACAACCTCCAGATCCAGGCAAACAAGCAAGCCAAGTCTACTTCGGTTCGGAAGCAGGCACCTAGCACTGTTGCCACTGTTCTCGTTCTGGAGTGGTCTGACCCGGCGGTGACGCCTGGCCAGGTTCGCGATGCGTTCAAAAAGTCATACAACAATGGTGGAAGCGTGGAGAAGCTGGGCACGCAGCCAAAGCCGGAGACGAAAAAAAAAACCAAGTAGTAGGACTGCGTAAGCCTCAGGCCTGTCGGTTCTGTGCGGCATTCGGGCTTATGGAGATGCCAGCGTTGCGTCAAGGCGTTGTTTTTGCAGATATGACCGGCTATCTCACCATAATAGTTAGGTAGGATTGCTACTACATGATGTAACACCTGGCAGTGCGTATTTACTACTAAGCCCTTGCTAAAGACGGGCGGAAGCGTAGTGATGCGGCTAATATGAGTTAATAACTCAGCAGCAAGCTCTTTCTACCTCTAGACCTTACGAAAGGCCTGTCTGTAGATGCCGTCTTCGCCTCTGTTGCCGATTGTCTTTTGCGGGAGACCCAAAAACAAGCGACGGTACTGCGGATCGAAGGTTGATTGATGCCTAAAGCTTATGACGCCTCCACGAAGCATATCAAGGCGGATCGAAGGTGAAGGGGATTTTGAGACCTTGCGGCACTTACTGCCTTAATGGCTATTATCGGAATCATTATCTTCTGAGTCAGAATCCTCATCAACTGAAAGCAAAGGAGAGTTCTCTTCACTGCGTGTCTTATACCAGAGCATCATGTAATACGCAGCCTGCTGGGATGTTGTCTGTACCTGACCTACTTATACCTGGCAGTGGAGACTACTCGTACGATGTCTTAGTCCAACTAGTCAGCCATTTCTACAAGGGGAGTCATAATAGTATCCCCCCTAGTTCCTACTAATCTAACTCATTCTTAATTAATACAAGCGATGACAGCGCAGAGACTAGAGGAAGTGCCGGCACAGGGGATCATATTGCAAAGGTCTCGGAAACTAGCGATCAACAACTAACACTGCCACGTCTCGACAATCAAGTCCTTGCTTCTTCTGCTCCTACCGTCATATCAGGAAGTTGCCAAATGCAATTAGGGCATGGAGAGTTGGTGGAAATTGCCGTGGAAAACGTCAACAGAACCGCTACACTATCTTTAAAGGGAAAAGAGCCGTCCACGGGCAATTCCATTCTACTGGCACGTATCCCTAACAGAGAGGGCTCGGGCCATGTCCAACCCCGCATAATTCTACCCGATTCCCTCAGCGGCGTGGTTCGAATCGTCCTTGACCATGGGGATTGATACATGGAACAAGCTTTCTGAAACTTCTCAATTACCTGTTCCGAGACACAGACAAATCTCTCTTATCATTGAAAGGAGCCCACATTCTTCAATGCTAGAGAATGGGGAATCTGGTTCCTCAAGTTGTCAGATAGAGGATAAGGAAGAAGGAGAGCATTGAAGCAATTTCGTACCTAGGCGATCTCATTACATTGGATCTCTATCTTACACCCTCGTTCTACAAGCATAAAGCGTATATCAGAGGCGGTGAGGCTCGTGGCTGAGAGCTTAATCAGCAGACAGAACTTAGAGTCGGCGACATGGCCATGTGCATAACGACGAGTTTCGAGGAACTGGACTTGGCTGGCCAGAAGTTCAAGATTAAGCTACTAAGGTACGATGAAAGTTATTTCAGGTCACTTCAGCCTTATCCATGATGGTGATTTATGCGACAAATGTTTTCATACACCTAGCTGTTAGTTATTGAACAATGTCTCTCGATCAATCTTGTCCAGCAACTTCCCGTCAGTGAACCAAACATCCATTGCCTTGGCCATCCCTTCAACATAAGCCCGAGGGGCATCATCTGACATAGCCTTGACAAGCAAATCCTGCGACATTTCGTTCGTATTATCCGCCCGCCCAGTGGCTACCACCTTTTCCTCGTAACGACGGACAGCAAGATCCATATCATCTGGGTGCGCCTTGATTTCATGGAAAAGATCCAGGGCGTCTAGCATAGCCAGGTTCGCACCCTCTCCTGCAAACCACGACATGACATGAAGAGAATCTCCGATAAGACTCAAGCCAGGGTGATGATCGTAGCGTAGACCCAAGGGCATGCGATACTGTGCGCGGGGAGTCATGTTTGTGTCGACATTGCGGATGACATCCTGGAGACGCGGGTCCCAGGTGGAGAAGAAGTTATCAATCAGATAGTCGGTCATTTTCTTCGCGTCATTCCAGTCGAATGAGGGATCCTTTGAATGCCAGTTCTCTTCGACTCGAAGACAGGGGTAGACTCTCACGCTGTCATCTCCATTGCGCTGGATGAAAATGCCACTGCCTTCGGAGAGGAAGAATGAGGTGCCACGACCGATGAATCCTCCAAGTTCGGGAAATCTCTTGTCCAGATCGGATATACGACAATCGATGACTGTCAACCCTGTGTACTTGGGCGTCCAGCTCGTCAGAAGCGGTCGAACCTTAGACCAGGTTCCATCAGCCCCCACAAGAAGGTCAGTTACAACAGGCTCAGGCTGGTTCTCAAAAACCAGCTCAACTCTTCCATCCTCTTGCGGAACAATCTCAGATAGTCGATGATCCCACTTGATATTCTCCGGGTCGAGAGACTCAATAAGAATCTTGCGAAGCTTTGCCCGGTCAATCTCCGGACGTCCCTCTGCATCAGCAGTTGCTTTGTGGAACAACCAAGCAACGGCCTTTTTATCACCAAAACGATAATCCTGGTCGTGATAGCGTGCGTACTTTTTGAACTGCTCCTCAAGACCAGCTTCGAACAAGGCTGCTTGACCAGACTCTGGATGGAGGTCGAGGGAACCGCCTTGGAAGCGAGAGCTAGTAGACTTTTCTCGCTCGAAAATCGTAAAGGGGATCGAGTGGTGTTGCAAGAGAGCCGCGAGGCTTAGACCAGATGGTCCTGCTCCAACGATGGCGATGTGCTTGGACATGATGAGAAGATTATGATAATTCTTTTTGAAGTAGGACTTGTTGGGAATGTTGGTTTGGGAGATATCTCATACGGTAGAAGCGAAATCAAAGAACTTATATAGACTTGGCTAGGTGTCCTATTCGGAACATACGGCCAACCTATACAATTTTGAACACCACATGAGACTCTCCTTCGCGAAATGTCACCAACGAAAATGATCAACAATTAACCCAATTTTTACCTTTCGGTGATACCCATGATGCGAACACAAAACCCGGCATCCGATGATGTCGGCCTTTTCGGCTTAACTTCTTCCAACCCTCGGCCTTTTTTTATCTCGGCAAATATTATCCAAGTTTGACTCAGCTGCTCTGAAGATGAACTTCCTTACTTTAAAATAACGTAATAATCCAGGATGAGTGCTTGAAATGACATGAAAACCTATCATCAGCCTTAGTCACAATGCAGAAACTCACACCACAAATTGTTATTGTCCCAGCATCTTTTGCCCCACCATCACTATACGTCAGACTTGTTCAGAGCCTTGCACAGTATTCATTAAAGACAACTGTCATTGATCTCCCGTCTGTGGGGTTTCGTGACACGCTGCCAGCTGCTTCCATGGAAGAGGATGCTCAGCATATCAGGAAAATCACTACGAAGCTAGCCGATGAGGGCCATGAGATCATCCTGGTGATGCAGTCTTATGGCGGTATATGCGGTACAGAGAGTACGGTTGGAGTCTCCAAGACAGAGAGAAAAGCTGTTGGGAAGCCGGGAGGTATAATCCATCTCGTTTATATCAGCTCCCCTGTACCTGAAATCGGAGGCTCCGTCAAGACCACGATGGGCGATAACATGCCCCATTTTATGAAACTCGAGGTAAATGGTCAACGCCTTCACAATTCAAGCTTATATCTAATGGTTGAGTAGGGAGACTACCTCAGATCCGATCCTGAAGGCTGCGCCATCGTCAATTTCTCAGACCTTCCGAAAGCCGAGGCGTTGATATATGCAAAGCAAATGACAGCACATTCCGCACTGAGTTTTGCTGGGCCACTCAAAAACGGAGGATATTTGAATATTCCCGTTGCATATATAGTTTGTGAGAAGGACATTTCTGTCCCGCCTGTTGTCCAGAGATCTGTCATTGATATGATTTCTAAAAAGAGCGGTCGAAACGTCATTACGTTTTCTTGCGAGTCCGGACACTTTCCAACTGTCAGTATCCCGGGCAAAGTAGCCTCTTTTATTTACAAGGTTGCTACTCAGACCTTTGAATAGTAGTGTTTATGTAGTTTCACGAATTAATCTGTTTTCGATGCTTTTCAAACGATAGCTTAATGGTGTTTCCGGTGACCAACAATGCTTAACCTCTGGTGCCGCTATAAATCATGATGCATCCGAACTGAGACGACAGGCGTCGTCCATAGCTCTAGCAAATAACTAATCATATCTGCTATAATGCCAAATTTGGCCCTAAATATCTGCGTGCGCATTTGCACCCCTAGGTATGAGACAACGTTGCTCTTCCAACATGACCGTAAACTCGGCGTTTTGCCGTTGAAAACAATGACCACCGATCATCTGACACCCTCCGACGTCGGGTCGGCTAGGGGTTTTCAATTATAATCTTGTCCTTGAACCTCCAGTTGTCCGATCTGAATATGCCGTGTACATACCAGGAGTATGCCGAGAAGAATAGTCCGAGATAAGCCGGTTTCCTACTTGTTTTTTCATACAACCAAGAATGTTCCTCTGACATCTTTCAACGTAGTTTATAATTTAAATTGAATACTTTCCAGATCATCTTACTACTAGCCCAAGAACAAACCTAGTAGGGAAAGTGAACAATGGCTAACAACACTCGCGACCTGCACACACTAAATACCCTCGCTGGCAAGACTGTGATCATAACAGGCGGCGCAAACGGTATAGGAGCCGAGACTGTGCGATTGTTCAACTCATATGGAGCGCATACAGTTATTGCCGATCTTGAACACACTCGTGCTGAGGCGGAATGTGTCATTCGATCCTTGAAGCATCCTGCCTCAGCGGTATTCGTCAGTGTCAACATTCTCCTCTGGGATGAAATGAAAGCCCTTTTCTCCCAATGCATACAGCATTTTGGCAAGGTCGACGTTGTTGTAGCTAATGCGGGCATAATGGAGAGTGAAAGTCTTTTTGATATTGAAACCGTCGACGAGCAGGGAGAATTACGCGAATCAACCGAAGGGTTTCGCGTGATTGATGTTAACCTCAAAGGAACCATTAACAGTAAGTGTTCTTTTCCACTGTTGATTTTCTTGATTGATCTTTCTATGGCTGACTGATTACTCTCTTGTAGCGTTGCGGCTCGCACTGCATTACATGCAACACAATGAACCAACTTCTCATGGTGGTCTGAGAGGATCTGTGGTTCTCGTTACTTCAACATCAGGATACTTCGGAACTACTGGCGTCGGCGCATACATAACGTCGAAGCATGGACTCACGGGCCTACTTCGAGCGTCACAGCAAGTTGTGCGAGGCCTTGGTGTTGCGGTCAATGCTGTTGCTCCGTTCTTCACGCCAACACCAACCTTCAGAGAGTTGGCCGAGAAATGGAAGGATTCGGGCCTCCGGTCGAATACCCCAGGAGATGTCGCTCAGGCTATCGCCCTTGCCTCTGCACAGAATGAGACTGGAAAATGTTACATGGTAAGCCCAGTTTTCCCCAGTCGCCCGTCACTGCGATCTAATTTTGGCGTAGGTTGTTGGGCGGAAATTGGTAGAAGTGGAAGATAGCAGAAGCCAGCTTATTGAGCAGTGGCTTGGACAAGAAATGACAGAATTGCTACAATCTGCTAGCAAACTCTTTGAGGACAATGGTTATCCCTTGCCTAAAAGGCACAAGGATCTCTAACTTAATGCATTAGTCCACCCCACAATATAGTATAAATAACTTTAATACCTAAAGCAACTTTATTTATTTTATATTTATATCTGTCGACTGTTATATGCCAGGAACATCTGTGACATGTTTCGTTTTCCTCGTAAACTTGTCTCTGAGTTTCAGATTCAGGGTAGCTGCCGAGTCGTTTTCTGGAGACCCCCACTTCAGCATCGTAATCTCAACTTGCAGACTCAATTGCTATCCAATCGGAAGGCAAGATGGCCGAGCGGTCTAAGGCGCTGTGTTCAGGTTCAATTCGAACTAGTAACGATTCGCAGTCTCGAAAGGGGCCTGGGTTCGAATCCCAGTCTTGTCAGATTCATTTTTGCAAATCAGACGATCAAGTTACGCTTTATAATCACGGTGGGATGGATGTACGCGGTCATGCTGTGGCTTGTATACTCGTATCTCCACAAGCCTTTGGGGCTCGAGGGGACACGCAAATGGTTACAGGGATACAGGGATGCAGGGCATAAGGTGGCTGCCAAGCCACTGTCAATGTCCAATTGGCATTTATTTTTATTATGCCATAAGAACTATTGCTAGTCTTGATAGCAGTTAAAATTGCAATGTGTCTAATCTCAATAGAGAATATTCTTCACGTCGTGGAATGTCGAATAAGACCTGCACGTGCCGATGACGATAAAAACCGCAACAACCATAATTATTGAGTTAAGCGCACACGTGCTTCAGAACAAGAATATAATGGGGACGAGTGCTTGGCGCCAATTAATTTCATTCCAACAAGCCCCCTTGTAAGTTGTAGCCCTTGCAACGCGCGGCGCTTTCGGATTTAGCAGTCATATATGTACATTGGACAGGGGACCTTATCTTAGTGCCAAACCTTGTTTTCCCCCCCAGGTCCAAGAGCCAAGGCACTTGGTGCTTCATCTTTGTGTGAGAGATGCTGATGCCAAGAACCCCCTCCCCCTCGTAGAGTGGTAGAGTGGTCATCCAGCCACAATTCCATGACGACCTTGCCAAGTCTGGCTGCTACTTAAGAATCTCGGTGGCCACTTTATGTTTCCTTTGCTAAACATCCCATCTCTCACCATGATCTTCTCTCGTATATCTCTCCTCTCGTTGTTATCGGGCGCACTGGCCAGTGCCGTCCCCCAAGGAGCGAATACCTGGAAGACTTTACCTTCTATCCCCATTGCTTCCCGGCAAGAACATGGCGTCGTAGCACTCTCGGAAAAGACCCTTGCAATCATTGGTGGAATCGTTCCCAATCGCGCGGCCAATGGCTTTGAGACGACTGCCCTTATGCAATTCTTCAACACGCGCTCGAATTCATGGCGTCGATACGTCACTGAGGCGCCCGTGAAAGTTAATCATCCCAATGTCGCGGCAGTCAATGGCAAAATCTACCTTCTCGGCGGACTTTCAGATATCGACAAAGGCGCTTGGCGAGCATTCTCAGACTCATGGGTCTACAATCCCGACGTCGACGAGTGGACGGAACTCGACCCGATCCCTGAGAGTGAGGAACGAGGAAGTGCAGCGGTCGGTGTTTATGGAAATATTATCTACATGGCTGGAGGTATGCGAACCTTGGAGCCAATTGGACCAGGCGGAGAACAAGATACCGTCAATTTCGTCTCTGCCTTCAACACCAAGACGTCACAATGGATCGATCTTCCTTCAGCAGCAAAGAAGCTCCCCGAAGGCCGTGATCACGCAACGGCCTCCATCGTCGGAACCAAATTCTACGTTCTCGGCGGTCGTCTCCGCGGCCAGCGCAACGTAAAAGACACGGTTTTCATCCTCGATCTTGAAAATCTAGAAGCTGGCTGGACAACCAGCGAAGGCAGAATGCCTACTCCGCGAGGTGGTGCCGTTTCCGGCACAATCGGCACCAAAGTCTACGTTTTAGGCGGCGAAGGAAACACAGCGCCCGAGTCGGAGGGCATGTTTGACCAGATTGAGGTCTTTGATACAAAGACCGGGAAGTGGGAGGAGCTCGGTACGATGAAGCTGCCAAGACATGGAGGTGCGGCTGTTGCGATTAATGGTGGCATTTACCTTCCAGGTGGAGGCATTACGGAGGGAGGTTCTCCGGTTGATACCCTGGATGTCTACTGGCCATAGCCGGACATTCTCTGTTTTTTATATGTGTATTTCTAGCGTTTAATGATTGATGTCTCTTGACTGATCCTTCTAGTCCGTTCGGGTTCCGAGTGACGCTTATTGTACGTGGATGTTTACGTAAGCCACAATCGTGAGCAGAATTGTCGATGCAGGTAAGTAAGCTTATCCTTTGTATATTGCTTAAAGTGAATTCGATGGTTTTAGTATAGCACATCATGCATCATTTGGGACTCGGATAGGTAAAACCAACTGGCCTTGATCCTTCATTAGATGAAATGACATAAGCCATGATCAATAAATACCGGGTTCAAATAATCATGTTACAAAGATCCATTGCCTAAGCTACCTTAGTCGAATGTCCAAAACGACCAACGGAAATATCCTATCTGAAGATCAGGGAATTTTCAAATAGTGATGACATAACAGAGAGTACATAAGTTAGTTTATGTAAAATAGCTAGTTGTGAGCGTACATGATTTTTATGTTTTACAGAAATGTACTATTCCTCCCCAAGGTCGACTTCAGCCGTGTCTATTGAACAACTGCCCTGGCATAACTCAGAGCCTGCTGCAGCACCAAGATGCATAATAATGGGTGAACGGGATAGGGCTACAGTTGGTTCCCTTCCGATAACAATTGCCGAAATTACCTCCGGTAGTGTAAGCGATCGATGGGTTATTGTTGTCGCATCGAAGACCATAACCAGAAGGCCAGCCACCATCAACGTCGCAAATATCTCCCTCGTTGCGCGAGTAAGAGATCATGCCGCAGTCATTGGCGTAGATGGTCGCGTGCAGGTCACCGCAGCTGGGGCCGCCTCTGGGGTCGCCCAGTGTGCATGTCTGCCAGGTGCCTACTGCAACTTCACCATCTCTGCAGCCTGTTCGGAGAGCTGAGGAAAGGGTGGCTAGGCCGAGAGGGAGAAGCAGGGCGTTTGAGACGTGCATTGTGTCTATCGTAGTTCTATTGACTTGTTAGCATACGGCATCTTGTCGAAAGGCGCGCCAAAGGCTAGGTTCGTCAAGAACTTACGGAATTCAGGTGACAAGACCTAATGAAAGTTTGCTTGGTAGTTGTTGAGAGAGTGAGGAATCTGAATCGGAAGACTGACAGGCAAAGGGACGCTTTATGTAGTAGAGCTCCTGCGGCTGGACATACAGAAACGCGAACCATCGACATAAGACCATGGTATCAGCCTATTCAGTCGCCGAGACATGACCAAAGTTCCAAAAAGCAATTACCCAAATTTCTCAATAAAACAGAAATGCTGACAATGTTGCACCATCGGGTGGATAGCATTTTACCGGAACATCTCACCCAATTACTCGGTCCAAGATTGGCTCTGCCAGGGACTATCAGCAAGTCAACAGAAATCTTGTATCAGCCATGACTTAGAGCATGGTATTACAAGAGGATTTAACATCAGTGATTGGCTATTGAAGTTCCAAGGTAATCTCAGGTGTATTTCAATCGGCTTACTGTGCCTGTTAAGCCCGCTTACTGACATGGCCATATTCTTAGTTTTGTTGGGGAATACGACATATACATCCCGATTGGATATGACAATGATACCTCGGAATATGAAGGTGAGATTTATCTTTTTGTAACTGATGAGCAGGTAAACTTGGCTGGGAACTGATCTAAACAATCATAAGAGAGTAAGGACGTATTTGTTGTACATGTTTCTGGATACGGTGCTTACGGCCTCCAGCGTCATTTCCACGACTCAAGATATATCAATACCGAAAGATGTACTGCAAAGCACTAGGCTTGTAGTCGACCGGAAGATGAACAATTTCCTCTTCTGGGTAAGTGCTTGATCGTGGCTTTAAGCTTATGTTTTGGTCGCCGCTTACTATTCAGGGGCGGGGCATAATAATCTAGCTCTTGCTTACTGATCGACTCCGAGCATGTAACTGTGCAAGTCGGCCTTGATTTGACGAAATCTTGCACTTTTGCCGTTTCTTGAGCCAGGTAGGACTCCTGATAGTGTTATCCAGATTGCTAAATAATGCTATATTAAGAAAGTCTATGCTGCACAGAGTCTGAGGAACTGTACACAAGAGCTTGCTACTGACAGGCAGACAGTTCAACGTATTTAGTTGCCAAGTCAAGACTGGAAGTATTCATACACCCTGCGATAATAGTCGGAGTGGCCACGCAATACCTTTGATAACATAAGCACAGATAGCTTTCGCCGTCTTTGTCTTTTATTTAGGTTTTTCGGACGGGATTCTTTTTAAAAGACCTTCGGCGAATATTCCGAAAGACGTGGCACTAGCACTCATGCCGGGTAAAAGCCTGGCTATCCAGTAGCGTAATGGGGGACAACAAAACATTGTATTCATCCATGTTATCAAGATACGGCACTGGATACCACAACTCCGTGTTTGACGTCTTCCTTAGGCTAACAGATCTTTTTCATATGAGCAAAAGATTTGAAACGCTGAACATGAAGAGGCTGAGGAGAGTAGCGATTCGACAAACAATAGGGGGGAGACTCTTACCTTGATAATGAAGAACTATCTAGAAACGGCGTTTAGTACCTAAGTAATGGAACGGCTAGTCGTCGCCGAGCTCGTGCGTAGGCTTATTGTGTAATGATTGAGAAGAAAGCTTGATACAGCGTTACACCTGTTGCTTAAGGTGTATGCATTTCATATGCAGCTTGTTTGGAATAAAGTTTCTTGACTAATCTCTTGTAAAAGTAGATATATAGAATATGAAGTATTGGAATTCTGGATGCCAAGTCCACCTAATGATCACGAGGCTCCCTATCCCTTCGAGAGCCCAGGATCACCCTACTTACATCTAAACGAGCTTCACAGTGACGACACCCTTACTGGGGACAGAGACAGAGACAGTGTTGCTGTCAATCTTAGCGTCAGTGGGGGCAAAAGACATGCTGTTGCTTGTAACATAGGCCTTGGCAGATACTGGTTGGTAACCCTGGAAGGTAATCTTGGAGGTCTGCCCGCTCGATCCCGAGTTGGTGATAACAACTACAAGAGACTTATCAGGGTTGCGGAAAGCGCCCACGATGACGTCGGATATAGAACCAGATGCTGCAACTCGCACAGCGCCGGGTCGAATGTAGCGAGACCACATGGCGAATGCATAGTAGATACCAGAAGGTGTAACCTTGACACCGTCGAGCGCGTCGAGCAAGTGGCTGGCACTTTGGGACTGCTTGACTTCAAAGCCCTCCCAGTAGAGGTAAGCAGAGAGCTCCGCGTTCACCATGGCGACGGCGATCCTCTGCGCCCACGAAAAGCCTTCGTTCTTGGCACCGCTCTTGTACCAGGTCGTGATAAAGGGCTCGCTACCATCACCCGCTTCCGTGTTCCACTTTGGCAGAGACGTGATTGACAGAGGAGTCGTGGCATCAGAGCTGTACGAGTGTGAGGTGATGACTCCAAGATTCTGGGTTGATCCGGCCTTGACGAGGGCATCGGTGTAGCTGCTCTGCACCTTCCACCCAGTAGCATCGCAGCATACGATTTGTACATCGAGTCCTGCAGACTGGATGGCTTTGTGGAGCATTGGGATGAAGTCGATGGCTTCCGCAGCATTGGAGCTGATTTGCATCTGACTATAAGAGGTCGTGAAATCCGGCTCGTTCAGAAAGCCGATGTGGCTGATCTGGAGGCCCGAGGACTTGTAGAACTGAACGTATTGAACCAGGAAGTTCGCATAAGCTTGACGCCAGTCTCCTGAACTACATGAGTGCCCGGGAGAACCGCAGAGGAATCTAATACGACCAATTAGCCGCTGTTACTTTCCATGTCATGCTCAGCAGGCGATCAAATTACCCAGGTTTTGAGTCATCCCCGCTGGTCTTCATGAAGCCAGGTGCACCCCAAGCGTCGGCGAAGATAGTCTTGACACCGTATTTGACGGCCTGGTTAGTGAACCATACCTGGCCGGCGTCGTCGTTGTCCCAGACGTACTTGGGCGGACTGGAGGGAGACCCAGGGTTATTTGGCTCGATGTTGCCTGAACCAGTTGAGCCCGAACCAATCTTATTCCTGATGATGCTGAACCCAGCACCATTCTCGGTGCTAAATAGATAGTCAAGAGCTTGCTGGCGAGCCTGGGTATTGGCGTTCTGGAACTCCTTGGCTCTGCCAAACGCCTGGGAGATACCGAAGCCGTCGATGCGCTGGTGCGTGACGCCCACATCGACCTTGACGGTAAGTTGCCCACTCACCAAGCCCAGGAAGCCGATGAGGGAAACAACATTAACAGATGCTTTCATGTTTGAGGTTGGGCTCAGAGCAAGATGAACGAGAGTTGGTACAAGATTGACTGCTAGTTATGACTGGTTAGTGGGGAAGTTGGCTTGGCATTCTGCCCCTTACCTACTAATTTATCACAAACAGATACCTATATATATATATATATGTGTGTGTGTGTGTGTGTGTGTGTGTGTGTCTATCAACTCCATCATGAGAGTAGCTCGTCGTGTTTGCCTCAAAGCAAAATCACGGTCTACTGGGAGCCCCGGCCTCTCTTATTCCACCAACCAGCTTCGCTCCAGCCTTTATAAGGCTATTATATCGCAATCAAGACGAGTATAGAGGAATGATTGACATGGGCTGGCCTATGATTGATCATCAGTTGTCAGTTCACCTTGACCACAACAACAGGGGGCGGCATCTCCCGGATATAACGGCACAGAACAGATTGATCTAGTTAGTTAGCATAGGTTCGGCCTAGCCCGACTTGGGTATGCAGCTTGTCGGAGGAAATGCTGTCTACTCCGTATCTCATCCTTAAATTCCAATTCGCGGAATTGCCTTTAGGATGAATTGCGCAGATAGGCACGGATACAGTAGCCACCCCGCACCTTTAGTCTGGAGATGTGTCAGGACTTAGAAGCCCCTCTACTGTATTATACTCCAGGTGACACCTACTGTACTTATCAGTACCGGCTCCCATGCTGTAGATCCGGAATATCACGGCTTAGGCTTGGATGCGCTCTAATCATCTTTATGTCTGTAGTTGCCCACCACCAGTGTGAAACCCTACCATCCCATGCGGGTTTATGCACCCTCAGAGGATAAATATGCCTTTTCCTCTCTGCCTAAACCATCACTTTTAGCCTACAAAGAAGCCAATCTTAGTCCTCTCCGAGTTACAGTCGACCAAACTTATTGTATTGCATTGCTCGCACACCTAATACATGTCTGCCATGGATCAAGACTCCGGCCACATTGCACAACTTAAATCAGTCCAGAATGTCCTCGCAAATATTGTAATTCCCAATGCCCATGACATACGTGGACATGTCACTCTACCTGCATCTTTAGATTGGCAGATGGAGATGGGCCACAGATCCGCTGGACATCGTCTCAGACAAGGCCAGGGGCACCATACCACCAGGCATTGTCAAACGCCCCCCTGTCAGCGCCGAACCTCCACTGGTTAACCTCTCTGCCTCCATCACTTTCTAAGACAAGAAGATCGGCCGGCAATTCGAACTGGCAGTCCGTCCCTCGGTGAGCTTGGCGCAATGATCGCGATATGGGATGGCCAATTTTGCTCGTTCCAACTGCCGGGAGGGCCAACAGATCTTCATGGCGGCCAGCATTGGGAACGAACCGCTTAATTGGGTAGCTGTGAGTGACGGAGAAGCAGTCCTTACGTCTCAATTCGGCATACACGGACTGCGAGATCCGTCCATAGTACGCTCTCCTGAAGGAGATAAGTTCTATCTCGTCGCCACAGACCTCAACGTTGATGGAGCCTATTACGGTTGGCAGGGTTGGGACTGGGCTCAGAGTGGAGCAAGCCGATATATTGAGATTTGGGAGTCAGACGATATGAGCTCTTGGTCTAAACAGAGGCATGTTCTTGTCGCTCCTCCTGAGGCCGGCATGGCTTACGCCCCTGAAGCCATCTGGGATCCTGAAATTGAAGCATACGTGGTGTACTGGACCTCGTCTCTGTATGAGCCCGGGACTTACTTCACAACCAACATGTCAGATCCTCGGCGAAGGCATCCGTCGACTCGAAACCAAACCCTCTACGCTACTACCCGCAACTTTGTGTCGTTCACTCACGCCGGCAAAAGTTATGAGTGGTCGTGAGAAGTCAGGAAAGTTGGACGCATTGATCATCAGGAGCGAGTCGGACGGCTGCTATCATCGCTTCGTGTGTGACCGAGTCTCTACCAGAGTCGACGTAGAGAGTTATGCGCATTGCGGTTCGGAGGGCGTGTACCAGGAAAAGGCCTCGTCAATCCTGGCAGCCGAGAGTGACTGGACACTCGTGGCCAGCGGCATTACTTACAACACCATGGGCACAACTTATGCAGAAGCGCCACTCGCCTTCAAGGCCAACCCAGGTGATCGACGGGCTCCCGGGTACTATCTTTTCTGCGATCAGATTTGGAGTGGTGCACCAGCAGGAAAGCATATGGAGGAGCAGCTACACCCTTACTGGACTAGGAATCTTAATTCGGGCAGCTGGACGCCAACCGAATGGGACCAAAAACCAAACTACAGGTATGCTCAGGGGGTGATGCGACATGGCTGTATCTTTGGTCTCACATCAGCTGAACACGCCAATTTACGCGGCGCAATGTTACTGCGCATTTATATCCAGCCGCCGGCTAAGAGAAACTACGGCGTGGGAGAGCAGCTGGACCTGACAGGTCTTAGAGTGTCTGCATTGTATTCAGATGGAGTTGAGGATCAGGAGGTTTACCCCGGGTATGGGGGCTACGCTGTATCCGGCTTTGTATCAGACACTGCCGGAGTAAAAAGGGTGCTAGTCTCGTATAATGTAGCAGACATCACCAAGACGGCTCGTTTTGAGGTGGAGGTAGTGTAGACCGCACCTTGCTTCTGTATGTTGACTTGCCATTCCAATTAACGAGAACTTTTTCAGGAGTCTGTTTCATCTCAGCTGTGCCGGTTACCAACTTGGCATAAGACGGTCCATCTCTTGGCAACCACTACGTGCCGATCAAGCATAAGCGGGGTAGAACCTTGTAATATCTCGTTGGGGTTAGCGAAAAGCCATGAAATGACACGCAAGATGGAGCAGTACAGTGGAGTGACACAGGTTTGGGTTTAGCCGGATGCTCGAGAAGCAATTGGTGGTTATGTGCTGTGACATCGGACACTTGTCCGCAACGTCCATTAGGTTGCAGACTCTAGCTAGGTGTCGTGGCCTCCGAACTCCGCATCACGAGGAGGGAAAGATGTGGGCTATTGGAATTGGTATGGATCATGGAGGGAATTGGCTTGTGGCTTTTGCCTGAATCGGTGGAAAAGCCGTAGCGTGTGTGAGGCGCGTGATATAAGCACCGACTGTGGGAACTATTAGCTCAAAATAACCCTAAGCTCTGGACCAAAAGACATTAGGTTATCTTAGTCAGATATATTACTATTTACAACCAGTATTCTCCAGAGGCTATCAGGACTCTCGCCAGATAACAGTATTTACATAGAAGGTTTTATAATTTCCATAAACTTGCCCTGGATAGGAATAGTAGGAGGCAGCCATAAACAGCCAAGCTATTTCTCGCTGGGGTCTGGCAATTGAGATTGCTTAACTGGTGAATTCGGGCTGACAACGAATTCCAACACGCCGATCTTGATTCCTTTGGCAGTTGTGACGCAGATGTTTTCTTTGCAGTTGAGACTTGTGGCTGAGAGCTTTCATTACCACACTGAACTTAGCTCGACCTGTCGTCTAGAGTCCTTTGTCTCGGTTACCCAGTCGGCCGACTTCAATGGCGTAGCGTGGACCTATGGCCATCACTCAAATTCTTCAATTTGCACAGTATTCCAGCTCGATCATCTGAAACTCGGCGGCGGAATATGTTCATCATCCATAATGCAAGGGATTATAGGTCAGTGTGTCCATGCATTCGCTCTACTGAGCCAGATGTGTATTTTCTAACAATTGAATCCCACCATTAACGCGTCACGACCTTCCGGTTGGCCCAAACCTTTCCGAATATAACACCGACATATGTGTCATCTGGTTTGGTCAAAACGATTCGGATAAATGATTGTTCTTGTCGCTATGCGAACTGCCATCTTGGTTTCCTGTTGTCTCGCTAGATCCTTGGTTTTGTGGTATTGAGCTAGATTATCTTCACCAAGGCACTAGAGGTATCTTCTCCCAGTCTCTGATAGGGGACTGAAATCTCTTCAAACGTCGGCCTTATCATGGTTAAATCCGAATTCCTACTGTGATATTCAGTAAGACATTATGGGCTAGATGTCTTATTTGCAGTCGAGAGCTGTGGCTAAAAGTGTAATCTCCCTTGTATTTACAAGCGAAGTGCCCCAGATTGATAGGCCAGAACGACTGGCATTGTAGTGGGGATGTGGACAAACTGCATTGCAACTACCGAGTAATGATCAATCACATCCGGTGCAAGGGATGAGCGATCGATCGATACTATGTTTCACTTGCTATCCTCCGTAGCGTAACCAGTCCTGTTTCAGCTGCTATTCTCCCTACCGTAATCAGCCTTGTTTCACTTACTAGTCTATGTAAGGGCAGTATTCATTGCATCTTAGGTACCAAGTACGCAAGAATATCGCCAATCCATGAGGCTTCTATCTGTCGCAGACAAATAGATTAAAATACCTGGCATATGGCTGACAATCAAAAGGGATAGTAAGACATTACATAATGCCCACAGCGCGGAGTGAACTATTATTTGGCGTAGAATATTACATCTAATCTCCTCCCTTTATTCTTACAGTATACTTTACCTGGCCATTGTCCATAACGCATAACCACGCAGATTTGTGCTTGAATAGGTATCAGCTCTTGCCTACCATCTGAAAGATGCCGAACTCAAATCGACAGTCCAGTGAGATGACGCCGATGCCCATCTACGACTCTTCAGAGCAATCACCTAGCAGCCGGCACGTGGCATTTTGCTTACAAAAGAAATGGAGCCTCCTCATTGCATCCGTTGCGAGCTTTATCGCCTGCATGGTATTCGCCTCCATGTATGGATTTGACTACTCGACATTGAGTGGCAACGACAACGCCAGGAGCGATTGGTCATCGCTTCGCGAGTATTCGAGCTTTCACGAAGCGAAAAACGTGTGTGGTGCAAAAGATGAGGTTGCCAACATGACTATTTGGAATGCAGCTGTCGAAAAGACGGGACAACTGTTGGATGACATGTTTACGTATGTTCCAGTCAATCATGGCATGAAGTATACTCGCCTTGGCTGACAAAAAAACAAAGGATCACGGTTCAAGCGTATAGACGCGACCAGTTGAAGTATACCCTCGATCATCTCACCGCTTACAATACGTCCTCCCTATACGAAATTGTCGTTGTCTGGAACGATAACAAGTCACCACCACCGAAGGACTTCGTGGGCAACAACTATGTTCCTGTTAGGTTCAGGGTCTCCAAACAAAACAGTCTCAATCAAAAGTTCTTACCAGATCCTGGATATATGACTCAGGGTATCCTCCTCTGTAACGACGACTGGAATTTTAATCACACTGATATTGACTGGGCATTCCATCAGTGGAGGAGATCGGGTATGAGTCGTCTCACGGGCCCTTTTGCGGGCTGCTGGTACAACAACGAGCATGATGAAGCCATGTATAGCCTCTGCAGCGAAAGGCCCAACAAGTATCATATGGCTCTCACAGCTCTAGCTTTTACGCACCTATCATTTTTGGAATACTACTGGTCAAATGATTCACTAATGGAGAGCTTGCGGGAATACGTCGATTCTAAGTCTAACTGTGAGGATATTGCCCTTAACTATGTCGCGAGTATGTTGACTTGTGAGGGACCACTTCAGATCTTGGGCCTGGAAGGGCTTGATCACCAAGCTGTCCAGCAGGGCATCAGTACTAGGCCTGGAGATATTCAGTTGAGACATCGCTGTCTGAGAGAGTTTAACAAAATGTTTACTTACAATCCGCTTCAAGAGGTTGATATCTATTTAAGAAGAGGGGTTGTTTCTATCTAAGTAAAACCTTTATAAATTTATATCTATTTCTTTATTTCTAGACTTATTGGGGTTGGCATATGAGCTAAAGTTTTCTAGATAGTATATAAAAGCTAATGGCTACTATTCCTACTGCTTAATAGTTAATATTCAAAAACTAAACTTTACATTATATAAAATCTTAAAGGACAAGTAAAGCATACCGACATTTAGTCATAATACATAGCTATATTTATTAGTAATTGCTGGCATTCCTGTTAAAGGTCTGTAAGGGGCTTCGGTGGCTAATATGTTAGACATTGTAGTAAAATGTCTAAGTTATGAGCTACATGTGTCTTATTAGCTAAGACTTATAGCTAAGAGCTAATATTAAACTTGGTAAAACCTTACTTAGGGAGGCTCTGCAAAAATGCAAATTCAGGAAAGGCTTAGAACCTTTTACTATTAAGATTAACAAATTGAAATTCTTTTTCTTTACTCTCTTTAGTATTTTTATATCTTTATAAATCTTCTTAGCTATTAACTATATAAAATTATATATTTTTTTTTCTATTTATATTCTTTAAGCGTACTATTATTTAAGTTACAAGGGTGAACCAGATACTTAATTAAATAAAGGTTAGTAAATAATTATATTATATTTTAGGTTATCCCGCCCCCTGTCTGCATGGATGTCTTAATATTATAACAGCCACTAACCCTGCTCCCCTTTTCCCTGCCATTAGTCATTGCTAATGTGACTTTGCCCCATTCCAGATGATTCCTTTATAGGTCTGGGCATTATCTTAACCTTACATCGAGAATACTCCATTTATCACAACAAGGATTCATTAGACTACGGAGCAAAAGTAACAAAATGATAACTCAATTTTCGCCGTCTGACCCTATCATATCGAGAATACTCCTTACTACTTTCTCTGTTTTGCTCTTCACTTTATTTGCTTTCAACACCCTGCTCCCTTCTGACGATCCGTATCGTTGCCAGCCGCTACTGGGAAGCAACGGACGCTATGGCAGTTGGATAAATACTCCGAATGAGAATGGCTCTCGGGCACCATTTACCAACTGGCAGCCCGAGGGTTGCATGCTGCATCACTATACGCCAGATGATATAAAGCAATGCATGGGTGATCGCCCACTCCTTTTTTCCGGCGACTCGACAGTTAGGCAAGTTTACTGGGCAATGGCACGACTTGTAAGTTATCTCATGCAGGTGTTTGCATCATCACTTTCTAATTGACAAATGCTAGCTGGATCGCAAAATGGCAGTAGAGCTTCGTGAGAACACTGATCTCCCGAGTAACTACATATTCAACCTGAACGGTGTGGAGTTGAGAAGCATCTGGAACCCCTATCTTGAGACCTCTGCCTTTGCCAGCCAACTTGAGGTTTTCAGTAAGAAAAAGCATGGTCTGCATGAGGAGAGGCTACAGCATTGGAATCAAGAGAACCATGGTCTATACTCAGAAACACATGATGAGGTTCCTGGTCTTGTTCTTTTGGGCGCTGGAGCGTGGTTTGCTCTGAGGCAATTTAACCATGTCTCGTATCCCAGCTTCAAAAGCGCCTTGGACAATATCACACAGATCCTTCACCTCGAAAACCTACCCGACTTTGGAACAGCTCCGATGGATGCTCAAGGTATAGGTGATGAAGTATTCATTGCCCCTGCCAAACCCCCCGATTACGATCTACTTCCTAAATGGCGAAAGGCAGCGAAAGGATATCAGAGAGGTGAGCTAGAAGCCCTCAACGAGTACCTGTATAGCCAGGAAGACAAGCATCACCTTCGGCTACTTCGATCCTTTCCCGCACTCTCTTATCAACAGCCCGAAACTATGGTTGATATAACAGAGACGGGGATGCATGTCATTGATTCGGTGGCCGAAATGAAAGCCAATATTCTCCTTAATCTTCGATGCAATGCCAAACTCGATAGAAAGATTGGTCATCCATTTACACGAACCTGCTGTACCGATTACGGCCAACGCTCATGGGCCCATTCTATTATGCTTTGGAGCACTTTTGTGTATATGACTTTCTGGACTGTTATGCAGCTTCTTAATATCTCTATACCTACAACGACAAAGCGGTGGATGCAACCCAGTACAACAGTCGCCACATTTGCTGTCGCTCTGCTTTACTGCTACTTGGCAGATCGCACGCAGATCTTAGCCAAAGGTAACAAAGAGTTTACGCCTCAGGAAGTCCGAATTCTTGCCTGCATCTGCCTCATTATAGCCTTGGTCACAGTCCGCAAGACCAAGCCTCATATAGCTCCTTGTTTTCCACTATTATCCAACAGTAATCTGGCGGAAGACACAAACATCCTGAGCAAGGATCAAATCGATGAGTGGAAAGGGTGGATGCTTTTTACCCTTCTCATCTATCACTGGACTGGTGCTCCACTCAACAGCCCAGTGGAGATTCTGAACCGTCTACTTATTTCTATCTACGTCTTTCAGAGCAGTTACAGCTATACGGTATATTTTCTCGTCGAGAAGGACTTTTCGTTTCGCTATATCGCTGTAACACTCTTACGCCTCAACCTTCTAAGCTGCACTCTCTCTTACACCATGGGCACAAACTATATGTTTTATTTTCTCCCGGCCTTTATCAGCTTCTGGTTTCTGATCACATACGCTACACTTGCTCCCTATCGTCGCCTTAATGATCGCAGCGAAATAGTTATCGGCAAGATCACAGCATCGTTTATTATAGTAACAGTGATACTCAACTTCACTCCGGTTTGCAGAGGGCTGTTCAAGCTTCAACAGCTCGTTTTCAGTGGCAAGTGGGATCACGATGCATTCATTTCCCAGGCGGTTGCCGACGGTGTCGTTCCATTCATTGGCATGTTTGCAGGCGTGATTCGCCAACACGTCAGACACAGTAGCACTTGGTACACAGATTACAGAAATGCTATCATTCCATCGATGGCAGGACTTCTAGGATACTCTTACTTCTATGCCCGTCTGGAAGATAGGAGTGCGTTTACATCTCTTTATCCTTCTGTATCAATCATACCCATCATGAGTATTATCGCGCTTCGGAATGCGACAACGACTCTGCGAAACTACAACTCGGCCGCTGCTGTCTGGCTTGGGAGATACTCTTTAGAACTCTACGCCTTCCATTTTCATATCTTGCTGGCTGGAGATGGAAGCGGTCTTCTTCTTCTAGATAACTTCACACGAAATAATGGCCTCTTTATGGGCCGTTGGCGTGACCTTGTTATTCTACTGCTAACATACCTCTATATCAGCTATGCAGTTGCTGAAGCGACAGATGGTTGTACTGGACTGTTGACAGACGCAAATACAAAACAGTTCAGCACTATCCAGTCCATTTTAAAACACCTAAGTAAGTTAACCCTTATATTCTATTCAACTTCAACTAGCTAGGTATTAACCTCTGCTTATAGCGGACATAAATACTCTATTAGGAGTTATAATTATCCTTGGTTTATTTAGCCTCTTAAATCGGGTAGGTAAGACATAATATTAATAAGCAAAATATATAGTTAAACTAATTAATCTTTTAAATAGACTTTTTAACTTAAATACTTAATAAAAGCTCTTACTGATCAACTCCGAGTATGTAAGTGTACAAGCCGGGTTTGATTTGACGAAACATTACACTTTTTGCGAGTCTTTGATTTGGGTAGAGCTTTCGATAGTGTTGTATAGATTATTGATCGCTGATTCATCAAGTACAGCATAAAAATAAAAACTGTATATCGCTCACCATTTTACCTGGGTCAATGGCTCATCGGTCTTGAACAATAACGTCAAACGTATGAGTATTATTAGCGGCTCATTCATTGTTTGTGTTCGCAGCCTGAAAGCTTAACCTTATAGACCGCAGTTATCCCATAGGTAATTATTCGCGGCATCCTTGCCAAGATAGATGTATTAGCCGCCGAAGAACAGGTAGTACAAGTAATCATTGCTTAGTGGCTAGTCGAAGTCTCACACGTGGGGGTTCTGGTAGGATCAAGAAAAGCCATGGTGCATATGGTCTGAGGAACTGTACACAAGAGGTTGCCACTGATGGCCTAGGTCCACGTATTTAGTTGCCGGGTTGGAGCTGGGAGTGTTCATGACCATACGACAAGAGCCGGCGTGGCTATACCTTTATACGTAGCTATAGATAGTATCTGCCGTCCTTATCTTTCAATTATCCCGTGCTAGGCTTAGTAATATATATTCTGGTAAGTTATCAGGATTTCTAGTAGTTAGGATTAAATATTAACTAGCTATCCTTATTTATTAAAACCTTAAAAAAGTCGCCATTTATAGCGCCGCTGCCTTCAATAATTCTAAAGGTTAGAGCCGTAATGGCGTTATTGCTCTCACCCTACCACGTCCGTCAGGAGCGAAACCATAAATGGGGAAGAAAGACGTTATCTCAAGCAGATTTGAACAGAAGGTAGTATACCCAAGTATACCCAAGTCCATAGAAGGGCCTTCCTCTTCCTAAATCCATCGCTATTGCTGACAAAGTTCAATTACATACTTGGATTAATAGCTGTGATGACCAAATACACGCAACCTCAACTAGTCTTGTTCACAACCACAGCACTCTCCAAGCTCTTGAGGAGATAGTATCATCCATTTACACAAGTCTAACAACCTCCCACCCAAGATTCATCCTTTGTAGATCCTCAGTGGGAAGTCCCATAAATCCGTCAATAAACACGGGCCCAAGCACCTGGTAGTCCTCCTCGATCTTCCGCAGGGCCATTGGAACCGAAATACCTTTGATTAGGGCAATAGTGTCTCCTTTTCTTATTGAAATTGGACCTGATCCAATCAAGCCATTGTCTGAAACAAGCAAGCCTCGCCTTCCCGCTATTTTATTGCAAGTATCAAGGAAAAGCTTGCTGCAGCCTTCACTCTGGCAGATGGCCCCCAATGCCCTTGTTGCAGCGGCTGCAGTATCTCCTGGTACGCGATCCACCTCGATCCCAAGTTTTTTTATTATCTCAAACATTCGTCTGAAAGTGTCTTCTTGTTCTGAGGTAACCTCAGAGCGAGGTACAGACCGGCCAGTTAGTGTGAGCATGATCGTCCATGGTATAGATTCATGCAGCGTGGAAACGAGTGTATCCTTTCTGATACGTAAAGCCCATTCGGCCATAAGCTGCACGTTGCTAACAAGCTTCCCATTATTTGTCATTTCATTGCTCGTGAGTTCGCCATCTTCGCCTTTTTCTAGCGTTAGGCAGTAACATGAAATGCCCAGAGATGCGGCCTTTACAGATAGCATGTTTCCAGAAACCGACAGGTAGAAATCTTGGTCAGTCAATGGCCGCTTTTCAACACCATGATAGATATAGGAGTCGGGCAGCCAACTCTTGTTCTTTTGGCTCCAGTCAGGAACCCAGCTGGGAGCATCCGGGAGACGAGAGCCGCAATCAACGAGCAGAGTAATCAGAGTGGGATTCCATTCCATCAAACTGACGAAGGCATCGCGATAAACTTGGCCAAGTGGCTTGTGATAATCAGGGGTAGGCGGGTGTGCGCCGAGCCGCCGCAGTACGCTATCAATCGCATATACTCGGTCATGCGGCCATTTCTAATCACGGTCTCTGATAGCTTGTGCAAGGGCAACAAGGTAGTTCTGCGGTTGGAGACCAGGATGGCAGATCAGACTGTACATTCGAGCCTTAGTACCCTGTATGCAGTCGAAAGAGCACTTCGTCAAGTTATCTGTGAAATACAAAATAGGGATTGGCAGGAAGGCCAAGAAGAACAAGAACCAAAAACCAAACATAAAAAGCGTGAGGAAGAGGATCATGAAAGCCACTACTCCATGGCCAATCCCCAGGCTCAACCGAACAAAACGTTTGAATCTGAGAATCTTAGCTGTTTCTAAAGCCAGAACGCAGTCATGGACTGAACACCTGCTATCCTGCACATCACTGTTCAAGTAGCTACTCCGCCTAGAATGACGAGGAATGGTCTGCCAGACATCGAATAGAGCCTGCCATTTTTTGAACGAGTCGGAGCGGGACACTTCATCGTGTACTCGTCGCTGAATCTCGCTGACTATACCCTTGACGGGATCAGTCAATGCCTGCGTTGCCGAATGCTCGATGAAAGTAAGGGCTTGATGCATGACCAGCCAGGGAATGCCCTTTCTTCCACAAACAAGAACGGGGTTTGTTGCGAGAGTCATTTCCTGAAATGTCCAAGCGCGAGAAAGCCAGGCTTGATCCGGGAGAGCATTAATTACATCCTGGCTGGCAAATGGAAGGTTGGACAATCTTTCTGCCAGGGTCAGTTTTCGAACATGATGTCACACGCATACTCAAGGAAGATGCTTCAAAGAAGGTGGACTTACCGATTCGATCTGTATATTTTAATCTTGCATATGGCATGGCATGAAGGTACCAAAGGAATGTACCTCTTTGGTATCGCTCGGCAATAAGGGGTTCAATGCACAAGTTTCGAAAAGCAAGGGGCAATGTGTATCGACCAATTTCAATACAACGTCCGAAAAGAGAAAGGGAACGCTGAGTATTGCTACGAGGGCTTTGCGGAACTTCAGAAGGGAACAAGCGAAATTGCGAGATGGCGTCGATATACTTGGCAGCCTGATCGGTTTTCGTATTACCGATACCCAGCCAAACATAAACGGTTTCGGCCAATGTGTAGATACTGCCCATCAAGACAATTTGTTGCTCCTTCTCGCTGGCATCCTCCTGGTTCATGCAGATTGCATCAACCCATGTTGTCAATGACCGGAAGCATTCTCGAAGCGACGTCAATGCCTCATAACAGGATTGTGTGATGTTGATATCGCAACCGTTGCAGGCAATCTTGTGGTGGGAACCTTCGCCCCAAACATACGAAAGCGCAGTGAACTTGGGTAGAGTCCGCAGATCAACTGTGCGTAATGTGCCAGTTAGCCGATCACTATCAGCTGGATCACTCTGGTGAACATCAAGCACTCGTATGCACTGGGAACCGGGAAGTAGAGGGAGATTATCGTAAACTTGTCTTGCTGTAAAAGGGCCTATATTAGGCTGGTTGTTACGGTCATTGCTAGGCATTGGAACGGCGAGGAAATTGATGAAGGAAGAAATTGCCTGGGAGGGGAAACTCAGGCTGAAAAAATAAGAAAGGGTTGAAAAGCATGCAAAGAAAGTCAGCCGCACCAGGCTGACAGGCTGCGCCTTCCTCGACCTGAGCGTACAGCAGAGAAGCGCCTACCGATGTAACTGCATTTCTTTCAGAGGCTGATTTCATGTCTTTCCCATCCAATGACCTACAGCCACAATCAGCCCTGGACTGCACGACCATGCGCTAGATCCTCTCACGTCCAATCACGACGGTCGATAGACAAGGATACAAACGCCACGTCCTGTAACGCGGGAGGGGTCCTCGGGGGGCAAGAAAATTCAGGCCTGGATATAAGGTATTAAAAATGAACTCAGCAAAAGATATCTTAAATTTAGTAAAGTTAACCTAAATCTATCTTAAGTTACCTAAGTCTTTTTGTCATTTACGATTAAGGTCCTGAGTATTCTTTCCCCCCCCCAAGGGGTATGCTAGGTTTAGTCCTACAGCTGAGGCACCAGCAACGGTCCCATCAATAGGCACCTCTGCCTATACAGTCCCTTGTCCAACCTACCACCTGAGTCCTCAGCCTCTCTTTTAGTAGCAGCTTCTCTTAACGCAGTAAGAACAAAGTTCTAGGTATGGAAATAAATGTAAGTTTTATCTCCTAGTATTTTGTTATCCAATCTACTCTCCTGGAATCGGAGGTATAGATCAGGCCTCGGCATCTAATTTAGCCAGATCAAAATTGCACGCCTCATACTCCCACTTCGTCTCAAAGCCTAGTTTCTCATAGAACCCCCGTATAGCAACAGCATCAATGAGAATCCCCTGCATACCTCTCTCTTTCAGGTTCTCCATCGCTTTAACAACGAGTGCTAGCCCAACACCTTTCCCTCTGGCCGCCTCATCAACTCCGACCGCAGCGATGAGACCAGTCTTTTCTCCAGAAGGAAGGAGAGGAATAAATGCGAAAGCATCGCCGACTGAGGATCCGAAAGAGCACATGAGAGTCCAGCCAATCTGCTTATTGGTGTCGGGGTCAATGGCGACCATGACTTCGTGGTGTTGACCTCGTGCTGCGAGGGCTTCGTAGATCCCGCCCCAGGTCTGGATGACGTTAGCTTAATAAAGTAAATGCCGCAAATACTACTACTTACGAACAACTCATTTTGTTTAGCCATGCATTCTTCGTACAGTTCCGGTGACCATGGAGTGAACTTGATATTTATTTTTGAGACTCGCTCCATTATTTCAGGCGGTACAATTTCGGCCTGGATGTCCTTGAAAAGGTCTCGGACAGTATCAGTGGCTTCATATGAGCCTAGGTAGTTAGTATTTGACCGTGGTTACTTTGAATGGATCACTGACCTCTGTGAGAAAGGAACTCTTTTGCTTCGGGTGAGAGACTGGTTGGCACTCGGTACCAAAACCTCGGGAAGATGGAACCCATCGCCACGGACTTCAACTCCTGACCTGCAACCTTCGCCGCATCTTTCAAACCAGCCTTTCCGTTCTCTAGGAGTGCGTTACCGAGTCCTTTACGACGGTATTCGGCTAAGACTCCGATGGCAGCGATATGCCCAGAGTTCCCGCTCTTGGAATAGTATGACAGACAGAATCCATGCTCGTGAATCCAGTGCTGGCCCTTTATGCCAAAAAGAAGCCCTGCGAACCGAACCTGCTCGATAGGCCAGTCCGGGAAGATGGTTTGCCACAGCTGCCATGCTTGTTGGATATCTTCTTCTGAGCTGGTGAGTTCGCGGATGGGATACTGAGAGACGCTGACAGCTCCGTCATCTTTGTTCTTCTGTTCTGCCATCTTTAATAGCAAAACTCAGAGAATGGATTGAATGATGACTCTTGAGTTTTAATGTGGTTTTGATGTAGGTTGTTGATTAGCAGGATCAGTGAAGGATAATAAACGCCTCAAAACACGTGAGCTGACTGAAAGGTGCGGAGATATGCAAGGTTCCGAGGATCCTTCCAAAGAAGGAAGCTGCGGAATCCTACAAGACATGGCTTATTTATAAATTTACTAGTGCGACAAAAGAATAAACTCTATAAATCATCTAGGATATATCCTCCTATTTCCCCTCCCCTCCCCTTCAACAAGCTTACTCATACTCTCTCTAATTCTGCTAGTAACACCTACTCACTCCCAACTCCACGGCGTGGTCCTCTACTCATCTTAGCCTCATCCTTAGCCCTCTCAATCACATCCTCCCAATTCGGCGGCTTGCTTCGAAGGTCCTGTCCAGCAGCTTCTGCGTCGAAACCAAACTGCAAGAGCGCATCTTCGCTGCACCACTCTCCCGTCGCCATGAGTCCGACAGGAATTTTGCCCTCCGTATCTCTATCAGCAACTTCGCCAGCGCCTTTTCTTCCTTCGGGAACGACATAGCCTGCTGGAACGGTTATGGCGGGAAGACCGCAGAAGTTAGCGAGCCAGACATATTCCATGCTTTGAAGTGTATAGTTTCCGTCGTTCACGCCGTAAGATAACTCGGACTTTCCACCGCGGATAGGCGCACCAGCACAAGCAGTAGTGGGGGTGATGATAAGCATGCCGGGGTATGTCTTCCAAAGATACGAAAGATGCTGCATCAACATTCCTCTCAACTTCTGAGCCAGCAGATAATCCGTCGAAGGCGTAGTCCTTCCCAGCGCAAGAAGAATCTTGTTAGCAGGCGTCAACCCCTTCGTATCATAAAGCAATGTCGAAGCATCAGTCAGAACAGTCAGTGCATGCGCCATCTGACCCTCAGCAGGGAACGGAATTTCAATCGGGACGAGAGTGTATCCATGTTTAGCGGCCAAAGACTCAACAAGCCCACGAACCAATGACTGGACACTCGGTGTAGCGCGTGAGATCCATGCATCGAAGATTCCGAGGACTTTCGTTACAGGCGGTGAAGGTTGCAGGGCCAATGGTGGAAATTGCGTCGAGGGATGAGGCTCAGCGATGGCTTCGTACGCAGCTGCCAACGACTGCATATCAACAGCCAAAGGTCCCTGAACAGCACATGTCGGTGAGTGATTCGCACCAGGCCAAGAAGCAAGTCTGTTATGAGTAGGCTTCAATCCAAACACCGAGCAGAACGAACCCGGAATGCGAATACTGCCACCGCCATCACTTCCCAAAGCGAGGGGGATAAGTCCAGAACTGACAGCGTACGCAGGACCAGATGAGCTTCCACCCGTATAATAGCCTGAATTGAAGGGGTTACGCGGCGTTCCTTGATTGGGGTTGTTGCCGGTCGTATCTGATAAGCGTCAGTCGATTTGAGAAATAAGAATAAGAATACGGGGCTTACCTAGTCCGAACTCGTGCATGGCGAGCTTGCCGATGATGACAACACCTGCTTCTTCGAGTTTTCGTACGATCCAGCTTGTAGTTGATTCCCCATCCTTGGGGGTTTCGGTGTAATCTCTTGGAGAGCCGAGAGTTGTTGAGTAGCCGTCTAAATCATAGTCGTCTTTGATAGCAGAGGGAACGCCATCGAGAGGACCGAGGGGTTGCTTGTTCTTATAGCGTTCCGTGGAAGCTTCAGCGGCTCTCATGATACGCTCAACATTGAGCTCTCTCCAGCCTTGAGCGTGACGGCCAGGTGTTGGGCCATCAGTTTCAACGAGGGGCAGAATTGCCTTGGCAACATCAACCGGGGTAAGCTCCCCAGAAAGATACAGAGCTCGATAATCAGCTGCCGAGTAGAATTTCGACGGATTTAATGTCTGGGAATTATTTGCCTGTTGCAAAGCCGAAATCTGAACCCTCTCACCGCGTTCTTTAGCCTCAGCCTCAGAGAGCGCGATCGGCACAACAGTTGGGTCGTAGCGAGGCTCGAAATGCTCAAGATAAGTCCGGATCTTCCGGAGCGAAGCGAAACCCGCATTTGCCCAGGCGGTCTCACGAATGAACCGAATCCATTCCATTCTGCACCATCAGCAACCCAAAAACGTCTCATAGTATTGATAATAAAACACTTACAAAAAAGCAGCAGCAACGAGAAAAGGTCCTCTCAAGACAGGATTCCTGTTCCGTTCAATAGCATACGGCACATGAGGTCTGCGATAAGCACAAAACGTCAGCACATGATTCGTCCATCACGCAATGCCATGCTTACCCCTCCTGAGGCTCAGGATAGTTAAAAAACCGCCTCTCATTATTGAAATTACTCATATTGAAGAATGATGACGATGAGAAAATAGGTAGGTTTGAAGTTTATGCAGGAATTCGGGGAATTTAAACTCTCGGATCGGGCGGCCACCGCGGAGACCGGTTTATGATTTAGCGGTGTTAGTCATGGATCTACGTACTTCGGAGTCTCGGAACGCGTGATCTGATCTGCAAGGAGGATACGACTGGCGAATTACATGTCGAGGATTGGGGGTGAGTTGTATCAGAGGCTCAAAGCGGGATTTGCTATTGAAACGTAGGCTTAATATAGGCAGCCACCAGCACCCAACCACTTAATTATTGAACACCTTGTCGTTGATGGCAACGACCAAAGCTGCATAATCCTGATTATCCAAGTAATCAATGTATACAACATTGGGGAACGATTTATCACTGACTTCAGGCAGAAGTCGCGTGAAGAGCTCTTTGTTGCAGGTATAAGCCAGCTTCTTAATTGGCTTCAACGACCTTGGTGCAACCTTGACGAAAGTGACGACATCGCCATCCCATTGAGGTGCTTGTTGAGTCAGCGTCCAAGAAAGCAGGAAAAGACGCTTATCCTTGGCGGACATGTGACCCTTCATCTTCTCCAGCTGGTCATTAACCATGACGACAGCGTCGTCTTTGTTAGAGTACTCGTTGCGAACGTTCATCGCTTCGTACTTGTAGAATCCCTTGTGCGCATAGTCACCAATGTCGAGATCCCACTGCTCCATGACGCAAACGACTGCTGCCTTGCCGTTGCCGATGAAATCGTCGAGCTTGAGCTGAGTCAGGTTCTTGGCCTTATTCTTGTCTTCGACAATGAACAGGTGGTTCAGTTTGAGAAGCTCTTTCATGAGATTGTGCCATTCCTGCTTGGTGAACTCTCGCCATTCGTCGGTATCGGTTTGAAGAGAGTGCGAAAAGTTCAGGATGATCAGTTCGCCGTTCTTCTTGGTGAATTCATTGACGCCTGAAATGATGTCGGAAATCGATTCGCCTCGACCGCCAACCTTGCCGGTGTAATGGCCAGTCCACAAATGGCCACCTGAGTACTGAGGACGAAGATCGAAATATCGAGCACCATGCGCAAGCTGTCCCAGAACAGAGACAGACTGGCATAGAACGTACGGGTCAATGACACCACCGGGTACATCGCAGTGAGACACAGTCGACATACCCGAGTCGTGGGTACCCAACATGCAAATCTGCGACAAAGGTCGATGACCCAGGGTATTTCTGTTCTTCTGCATCCAATCCGTAGGCGGGTTCGAAGAGTGGAAGTTTCCCTCCTTTCCAGAGAGTACAAACGTGACGCACTCATCGTGCTCCCATCCCAATTCGATCTTTGAGCCGCGAGGGTTGTTCAGCGCCTCCAGGCCGTCGAGCTGAATCCAGATGTTTGCGGGCTTATCGCGAACGTGGATTGAAAAGGTCGCCTTGGTGCCCTCTAAGCTGTATGTGACGGATCCACTGGTATCACCACGATTCTTAAAAGCGCCATGATCAAACTCAACGTATGTGCTGGGAACTTTGCCTAAGATATGGTCAGATCTCAATTTATGTCTCAAGTCCGGTCGATTTACCTGCATCGATCCACTCCGGGAATCTCCACGCCTCCATCTGGTAGCTATTCTGCTGGGTCCGCTTCCATTTGTACGGCGTACCGTTGACAAGATTGAGATAGCCGCCCTCACCCATTTTGTCTGTGTATTTCGATGGCAGTAGATAGTTTGAAGATGTCTAGGGATGATCAAAGCGGAGTAATCTGACTATTTGTATGTCCTCAACATTTTCTGGGTCTAGACCCTTGTTGTTTCAGCTCACTAGTGCCCAGCTGAAAACCTCTTGGCATTTCTCGGAGGCCACGTCCATTGGAGATCTTGGGGACTCAGCCACCGGCAACTTACGCTTCAGTGCTTTGCGTTATTTGACGGGAGAGATCTTGAGGCGTCAATGGCGTTACCGAGATACGTGGGGAAGAGGAGATCGCCAAGGCAAATACTCTCCTAGGAAATTCGACTCTGGTTTGTGAGTATCCTTCATTGCTGAAATGCCTTTGAGATGGTGTTCTCAGAAACTGCCAAATGAAGGAGTATAGGGTAGTGAACTAAGTTCATGGGCATGATTTAAGCTCTCAGCCACAAGTCTGAACTGCAAATAACGCATCTGGCTCACAGCTTTAGGGTAGCCAACTATCATTTTACTTGGTATAGAAATCCATCGGGTTTTACTGTGTACCATACGTGATCTCAATTAGCCTAGATGCGATTCGCCAATAGTAGATTTATTATTGCGGGTGTGACTTATGTCGTTGGTCTTGTCTTTCTTCTGCGTCGAAGAACTCCATTGTCAAGATCTCCCTGGATTAAGTACTTTCTGGCATTGTCCTCTGTTCTGTCCCACCCAAGCTGTCTGTCTCTCGTTAACAGTCGCTCAGCTATCATAATGCGTGTCTTATCTTTTGCGTTGGCCCTTTTCGCGGTTGATATGGTTGTTGAAGCTGGAGTTTGCAAACCTGCTCGTGAGTATTCGAATGCAAGACGACTCTGCGATTCTGACATATTACATTAGGTACTACCACGACTGCAACTTCGGTTGCCGAATCGTCTACTGCCGCCGTTTCTGCTGCCTCTGAGACCTCTGCCATCGAGTCGCTGACCTCTGCGACGGAGACCTTGAGCACCGACTCAAGCGAGATCTTGACGACTTCTACCGCCGAGGCTGAAACTACATCGACCGAGGCCGTTTCTACTACTACCACTGATGCTGCTTCCACGACCTCTGAGGAGGCTTCCACTACAACCACCGCAGGCCCATCGCTCACACCTGGCTCCCTCGTAGGCACCGGACCCGTCGCCGGCCTCACCCTCCAGGGCGTCGACTCACGCTTCATCCCCCTATCCTTCGCAACATCCGGCTCGACCCAAACCCTGATCTTCACCCTCGCCGCCAACGGCCAGCTCGCGACAGGCACCAACAACAACTACCTATGCCTGAACTACAAGCCTTCTGGCGTTCTTGGGCCGCTTGTCCTGTGCCCCTTTGATAACTTCCAGAATGCTCCCTTGCAGTGCACCCGAGCGGCCAGCGGCACGCTTTCTTGCACTGCGCCGAACGGATCATGCAGCTCGAGTGGAGCTTGTACGCGACCTAACAGCGGGACCGCATTCTCTCAGTTCTATGTGGACGGTTCTCAGAACGGCTATTTTGGTCCCGCCGACTTTAACGGGGCGGGTTACTCTGCTATTGATGTGATCCTCCCCGAATGAACATAGAACCAAGGCTATAGCGGTATGGTGATTGAAAACAAGAGCCTTGTCATAAATTCTAGTTTTAGCTAGAAAAGTAAAATGATATTATTATTCTCCTGTATATATAAACAGAACACCTTGCAGTCCTCGACGCAGCATAGTCCCCCTCCATGCTTTCCAAAACAATGGAATTTGTGATAAAAGGAGTGGATAAGAAATCAAATGCAAAGCCCCTGACTTCAAGGTAATTATTCAAAACTCCAGCTAGTCCATCTTTTACGCTTTTGGTGAATTTCTGACGGTCAAAAGCCAACTACAGCAGCCTCCAACAGCTCACGGCCCATAACGCAAGTCTTCAACGTGGCCATGAGTTTTGCTTGATAATCTTCACTTTCGACTATGGTGGCAGGGGATAATGACAAGAATCTTGGGCTGATCCCGTGTCAGCAGGGAGAATACCTCAAACAGGTAACAAATATACAGTCTTTTGACAAAGAAAATGATACCAAGTGTGCATGGTCAATCCTCAGACCGCTGCCTTTGCTGAAGTTCGTGGCAAATCTGATTGACATATTCTTCTGAAAGCAGTTAGTTCCTCAGATCTGGCCTGACGACGCAAAATACTCACCCGCAGCTGGCCATCTCCTGCTTCTCCTCCTCATTTCTGGTATCAAGGAAGCAATCCTTTCATCATAAATATCATGAGAACATCCCTTGAGAGTAGCTAATACACCATGTAGCATGCATATCAATCTTACTAGTGAGAACTGTTTTTGGTTCTCATCTTCCCCGGAATTAGTAGCAAAGCTAAATCGTGCACAAGTAACAACCCTTGCCCTACACTGGCGCTCGAAAGCTCGGTATGTACCTGGGAAGACGCGATTGGGCCGACATGAGTCAATTATCTCCATCATGTGGGCATGGAGACAACTACCAGCATAGGTAAATATGTGAAGATTGGGAGAAGAGTATGCGCTTTAGCCTTACCTCGTCGACAGTTCGAAGGACTGATCCAGATCTAGGTGTTTCGGGTACTCGTCAAAGGGAGGAATGAAACTTTCAATCTCGTCCATTAATTCACAATGTGGGTTTGCAGTTCGAGGGTCGCGTTTCGAGTCTTGAACGTGCTGTAGGACGCGTCCACATTGGAACACAATGCTACCAAGGTCCGAAACGCGCTGGATAGCGCTTTCAGGTCTCGGGGTCCCGTTTGGATTTTTTAAGACAGTAAAGTGATGTCTAATAGCCCTTACCATATCGTGGCCAGGGGGGCATGCGAGAGGGATCCAGTTGTGCTTCCTATGAAGCGTTTGCAAGGCTACCAAGCTGTCATATTGTTAGCTTTTTGACAAGCAATCGCGTATATACCTTTGGTGGAGCTTACATATCTAGGAGCATAAGAGACAATCTCCACTCAAGAGATGCTAGTATGTTCGAGAGGTCAACATCCAGCCTCGCCGCCATTGTGAAGGCCGAGTTAAGAGTCACATGTGCGAGCTCAAGCATCCCGTGCCCACATTCGTATAGCGCAATAAGACCCTGAGTCTGCACAAGCTCAGCATGGTTTGGAAGGCGAAGTTGCATAAGCGCAGACAAGGCCTTGACAGTGACATAGAGCCGCTTGGTCTGTGAGCACGCCTTGTGATCGCAAGGTGGTGAAGCGACAAGGAGAACGGCTAGATGTAAGATTGGCCATGAGAATTTGTCAAACTGAGAACGATGCAAACACCCAGTTGTGTGAAGATGCTCCACGAGAAAGAATGCCTCAAAAACGGGATCTTCAAGGAGCTCCAGTAGCGTGCAACCCCGATCACGAAAGACTGCCCCGACACCATCTACTAGCCGGGCCGTCGCAATGGAATCATCGGTATCATACGCCAACATAGCCTCCATCAGTTGAGATTGGCCATGTTTCGTCAAGTCCCAGCCGCAGGTGCCCAAAGAGAGGTAACAGTCCGTGGATGACGGCTGTGAGTTATCTTTCTCAACAGCCGAAGCCAATGGGTCTGCTGGATGCTGATACTCGCATAAGGCTGGGTTCCTAGCCACAGTTAGCATTTCACCAGACCGTGGTAGCGCGTATAGCTTACGACGCGCATCGCGAGCAGCATGGCAGCGCTCGGTCGCATCTTTGCTTGCGATTGATGCAACGCGTGCATGATAGTGAGGCCTTTCCGTCGTCTCGGAATCGCGATGCCATGGTTGAGCTGCTCATCACGCTGGGCTTTGAGTAGGGTGCCAAAATAAGTAGGAATGATGGCTCGAGCGCGTTTTGTTTTTTATTTTGTTGTTAAATTAGTTGTTAGTACATGCACCGGGCCCGGTGCAATAATTTACTTATGTCATCAGTGACTGTTATCCGCACAGCCGGTTGTGCAGATATCCAAAAGATGTTTATCCGCACCACCCCCAAGAAGAGCTCAATAAGGCAGAAAATATGATAAACTACATCTATAAAGTCATTGAGAGAGATGATTGATTGAAAGTTCAGATCTAGGACAGAAGGTGAAATGTAATACGCTACGCAAAATTACAAATATGATTGTTCGCCAAAAATGTGTTGCCTTGATAACTCTCGCTGAGACATCATCAGCTTTAAGTATCAATCAATCAATACATGTTCTCCAAACGCGTCATATTTGATCCTGAAATGAGCATCCAATCCAGCACTGCGAGCAATTCGATTCGCAAAGGGTCCTGAAAGAGGTCAACTCACGCTAATTCCGCGCCTAGATAATACTTACTGATGGCTGTCCACCTCTTGGCAGCATACTTGATATACGGCATCACTTCAGCGATTTCTTCAATGGTCGAGTCATCCTCCGGATCATTTACTATGATGCACAGACTATTCATGCTGGGCATAAGAGAGATAAGTGATTCCATATGTAGGTCGTCGTGCTCATCGTCAGAATAGGAGCACAAGACGTCTTTGAGGAGTCTCCACGTCGATTTGCGAGAACTATGGGAAGCCAGCCATTGATCAGGTTCAAGTAGCTTCCCAGGTTGACATGATGTAGAAATGTGAGCGTGATGTAGAAATAAGCAGCTGTGAGTGTTAGCTTGTACACGGGCGCTGTGGAGTAAGAGGACATCAAACCTGGATAATAAAACGGAGTGGTGCATATCTGTCGTTTTATCCTTCAGTGCAACTTCCACCATCCGAAGAGTTTGTGCGTAGATGGTATCACACTCATGTCTAGAAACCCGAGGGCTCCGCTTCGAGTCATGGATATGCTGCAGGACGAATCCAGATATCGATACGGTTTGGTGCATGGACAGGGCACTCTGAACAGTGTCACCAGGTCTTGGGGTCCCCTCGGGAGTTCTGAGCAGCGGAAGGTAATCTTCCACAGCTCTTGCCATCGTATGTCCCGGGTGGCAAATGAGAGGGAGCCAACCTTCATCTCTATCGTGTGTTGACAAGGCAAGCATGCTATCACATCGTCAGCCACTCCCTCTCTACGCAAGGGAGAATAGACTTACCAGTCCAACAACATGAGAGATAACCTCAACTCCAGAGCAAGTTTCAGACCGAGAGAGTCCAGACCGATGGAGTCCAGCTCAATTCGTGACGCCATACATATGGCTGAATTGAGGTTGAGATGCGATTGATCGTATAATCCGTGACCGTACTCATAGACAGCAACAAGAGCCTGTATCCGTATAACCCCATTACTACGGGATAATTGTGATTGCAGTATGGGCAACATAGCGAGGACGGTCAAATACAGCCTCTTTGTCTTTAAGCACGCCGTATGATTGCAGGGCAGCGTCGTAACTAGCAGTATAGCAAGAATCAATCCTGGCCTTGAGAGGCCTCTGTCCTCGTATGCATAACTGCCCAAGTAATCGGACCGCACCAGTGGGAATGACTCAAACACTTCGTCTTCGAGAAGAGTCTCAAGGGTGCAGCCGCGTTCCCGCAAGATGATGTCAACAGTGTTCATCAGCCTATCCTCGGATACTGGTTCGGGGTACGTGAGATAGCGTTCAGCAAATATGGCCTGCATCAACTCAGCTTGACCATGCTCTGTCAAGTCCCAGCCGCAAGGGCCCAACTGGAAAAGGGGCCTCGTCGACATTGGTGGCTCAGAGTCATCGTCCTTCAATCTTTCAAAAGAAGTGGTTGAGCCCATGACTCTAATAATGTGAGTTGAAGTCCTTGTCTCCGAAGACCCGCATATCTCGTATTTGCAGCAAGCAGGGTTTCTGTAGTGTCAGTAGTGTTGGTCAACGAGGCTACGCGTTGCATGACTTACTTGGCGCATCGCGAACAGTACGGGAGGCCCTGATTGCACGTTGTCTTGCGGTCGAGACATCGCGAACAAGGCGCTAGAGCTCTTCGATAACTACGAGCTCTTGATGGCATCTTGAGAAACAAAGAAATAGAGAGCGTCTGGTGATGTGTGGTGTGAATCTTCTTGACGCGTCTTGTGTCCCTACTGTCCTTACGTGACAGAGTTAGGTGAACTTAAATTGCTTAGGGTCTCGAATTCTGTATTCTGATTGGTTGTGTGGTGTTTTACCTTGTAGGGGGTGTAACTGAGTATTGACAGCGTCCGCAAGTTGCCAATAAAAAGCTGTTGCTCCAGATGGAACAAAAAAGACATTTTGACCAGAAAAGAGCGTACTTGTGAGGTTGAATACCTTTACAAAGATCAAAAAGTTAACTCTGATGAGACTGGGACTCGAACCCGGAGGATTGCTCCACCAGGTGCTCCACCAGGAATTGGTGTTAAGGTTAACCTTAACCTGGCGCCATAACCAACTCGGCCATCTCACCGATGTCATTGGATGGAAACCAATTGAGTTTGGCTAACCTATACACAGTATGATCTGTCAAGAATCTGTATAATATCGGGATCTCTGTATCGTGCATCATTTCTGGACAGTAGACTGGAAATACTCATATAAGTGAAAATTCAGCTTGTTTCAGTTAAACGGCCTTGCCTAGCTAACTACACGGTAGGCATAAATCCTGCGTTCTAACTCAACTGGTTTGTGACTTACTGTCCCTTAACTAAAAATGTGAGGGCACCCAATGCGTACCCATCCAACCCAGTCTTGAGCGTCGGATGAATGACTGGAGCAAACTTGGAAGAATGATTGGCAGCAATACTCTGTGCCACAGTCCCCTCCTTCTCAGCCTTATCCCAAACCTCTCCATCAACACACCCATAAGTAAAGAAGCAATACGGCTTATCAACAGCAGTAGCCAAGATCGAAAAGTCCTCACTAAAAGCCAGTTTCGGCATGTTTCTATCATATTTCCCAGACCCTTCGCCAAAGTGCACCGCAAATGTCTCCTCAACTCTTATAGTGACACTTTCGTCGTTGATCGTCAGAGGAAAAGCTCGGGTTTGCTCAAACTCTGGACTTTTGAGGACGTTGGCGCACGAGCACTCTGCTTCGATTACTGTTTTTATACGCTTCAAAAGATGCTCGCGGGTCGCGACCGTAGTAGATCGAGTGTCGACGCCAAGAACGGCCGAGTCGGCAATGACGTTCTCAGCATCGCCAGCGTGGATACTCGTGACAGTAATCACGCTCGACTCAGCTGGGTCAACCTCCCGACTGACAAGCGTTTGCAATTTGAGAATAGCGTTCGCTGAAATGGCGATGGGATCAATGGCTGTATGAGGCATACTCGCGTGTGAACCTTTGCCGTGGATGGTGACCTTGTAGTTATCCGCGCTCGTGGCAACAAGTCCTCTTCGTGTACCGATTGTACCAGCACGTAAAGGTCTCACATGTGCTCCTAGAACGAAATCTGGAACAGGAACATCATGTTTGGTGTAAAGACCGTCGTCCACCATAGCTTGCGCGCCAGTACCTCGCTCTTCAGCTGGTTGAAATGCCAGCACCAAAGTTCCAGCCCAGGATTCCCGGGACGAGAAAAGAGTCGCCGCGGCACCCAGCAAAGTCACGATGTGCATGTCGTGGCCGCAAGCGTGCATAACAGGTTTCTCAACTCCACTTGCAGCATGGATCATTCGCTTGGTGCTTGCATACTGGAGGCCTGTAGTCTCCTCGACTGGTAGAGCATCAATGTCTGCACGAAGTAGGACAGTGGGGCCATCGCCATTGCGGAGAACGGCAGCTAAGCCATGACCACCAATGTGAGGTTTAATGACGAGATCTTCGGGGCCAGTTTCTTCGAGTCTTTTGGCGATGGTAGCAGCTGTTTCGACTTCTTGGTTGGAGAGCTCAGGGTTGCGATGAAGATGCTTGTACAACTCCTCCAACGGTTGAAGGTCGGGTCGATGCTGATGTACTAAGTCTGACAGAATTGATTGTGACATTTTTGCAATAGAAATCGTTACAGGAGTGAGGGTAAGAGGAATAAGGGAGTCAGATAGTGTGGAGGTGGTGGATTATTCATGCTGAATCCTCCGGACGTTTACCCGAGTCATGTCATCTTTGCTTACACCATCATCGCTGGGCCGAGTCCGCTGTCCTGACCCAACATATAACACCGCATAAATTCATCATCAAATTAGGAAGCTTCAAATAAAGCTTAGGACTGTTTTAGATTAGACTGTTCAACGAACAGTGAAGTTTCGCTACTAAGATTATTAACGATAGTTGACGTTTCTCCCCTAAAGAAAGTAACCGGTCCCCTTCCGAAGCTTTCGGGGACAGCTTCCGAGAATCTAAAACAGAGCGCCTAGGAGAATTATCGGCGAATCACCAGAATTAAGTATCAGAGAAAAGTATTCAAGACGGACATATGAGATTTAGGATACAAGAATACAACCGAGTTAAATTAAGTCTAGAGTTAAAGGTAATTATATACCATGAAGTTCTGCGTCTAATCAAACTACAGGGCTACAGTGACAACGAATCTCAGTCGCTCACTGTCTGTCTCTCTATCATCTGTCTATTCCTGGAGCCTTTCCTTATAGTGCTGCATACTCAAACACAGGCTCATTAGGCTGGCAGGTAGTGTTGAGCTTGGGCATCTCTCCATCAACAAAATAATTCTTAACAATCTCTTGCGTACAGTTCGATGGATGCGCCATTAGTCCGTGCTATCATGTCAGTTAGCAAGGATTCCACTTTCTAGTATACAGGGGATACTTACACCGACACCTTCGTGAACCACGACTCGACTTCCTCGGAACTGAGCGGACACGCCCCAAGCACTGCTCAATGGCGTGACGGGGTCATACCGTCCATTGACAATGAGAAGTGGGTTACTCGTCTTGACATTCCTCAGCTTATTGATATCAATTTGCTCTATCGCAGAGAACTTCCACTGCGCACAGAACAGTCTCGCAACTGTTCCCAGGTCAGAGAAGGATCCCTCAGCTCGATGAGCCTGGAAAATAGAAAACAAATCATCCTGATCTTCAACCCGGAACGAAGAGTCGCTGCATGCAATACCGTTGGTGACGAACTCAGCAGCAATGTTCCACTCGCTTTCCAGCGGGCTTTCATTTCGCATCTGGAACATCGCTGTGACGTTATTGTTGAAAAGGCCTTGGATGCGGTTGATGATGCTGGGGTAATTTACGGGACTGTAGAGTTCTCCAAAGATGAGATTTTTGAAAGTGATAACAAGCAGGTTTATATCATCGCTGGGAAGATCTTCCTCATCGATGTCGCCGCCGGGGAGAGTTCCGTTGAGATAGCCCTCAAGCATCTCTCTAAACTCTGTGAGGAGGCTCTCGCCTGTTGTACTGTTTCCGTGATAGTCTGCGAGAGAGCAGAGTTCCTTTCCGGATTCAACACACTCGTCCAGAAGATTGGAAAGTGATCGCTCAGCATCTCTCATGCTGTTGATCCACGTTGTAGCCGCATAGTCATCGGCTTTCAAGTTGGCATCGATCAACATGCGGCCAATACGCTCAGGGAACATGGAAGCAGTAACTTGGCCTAGGATAGTGCCATAAGAGACACCCCAGTAGTTAAGCATAGGTCCTTGACCCAACGCATCAACAATGGAGATCATGTCCCTCGCGACAAAAGGCGTGCCAACAAAACGCCCGGTATCTTGTCGGCTCTCATAGCAATTCTCCGCTAAAGTACCAGCAAGTTCCCAAGTCTGATTCCTGACAATATCCCAGGTCTCAGCTTGTGGAATCGTGTTAAACTCTCTACGACGAAGACCCTTGGCACTTGTGAGATTTGTGCTCGTACCAGGGCCCGTTCCATTGCAGATGAAAGGAATTGTACGACCAGTTCCTCTGGGTAATTGTTAGTGTTACATAACACCAAGAATAGGAAGAGGCTGAGCTTACCGGGGGTCGAATCCAATGACATCATATTGTCCGCCAAGAACTCTGTGATGCATGTCAGCATTGAAAATGCAATTCCACCAAGGCAACTTACTCGGCAAGTTCCTTTCCCGACCAGACGATGGCCTCGACGCCTGAACCACCGGGACCGCCGGGGTTGTACAGAACGGTGCCTAGATAGGGCTCTTTGGTGGCTTTGGCTTTGATCAGGTCAAGTTTGATGGTTTCGCCGTTGCTTGCAGAAGTATAGTCCAGAGGAACGGAGAGTCTGGCGCAGTCATAATTTCTTTGTCGTCTGTTTGTTGAATTGTCTCCAAAGTCCAAGTCACATTCTGACCAGTCGATCTTGGAGCGGTTTGAGTTCTTGAGGTCATCTCTGGGTTTTAAAGAAGCGAAAACATCCTTTGGTATAGATGAGGCTTGTGCTACCTGGAGAAGAAGATGGCTCAGAAAAACAGTTTGAAACTTCATGATGACCAAATTGATACGAGAATGCGATATGGAACATTCTAAAATTCGGGATATTTTTCACTCTATTTAAGCATAAATATTTAGGACTTTCAGCGTGCTTGTCCGTCATCGCAGCACTGCCTTGTTTGTTGATCCAAGGCTATGTTTCTCGGCAAAAGCCAAGGATTAGTCGTACGTAGAGACGGAACAGCCCAGACTCCACCACCCAACCAAATCCCTATTTCCAAGACGCGTTAATTCATGGCTCAACAGCTGAGCCTCTCTAGCGGTATATTTCGCCTGAAATGGAAAGTGGACTCAAGCGTTGGCTGAGAAAATGAGATCTGCCTTGGGGGCCAACGCCTTGGCGCCCAGCTTTAGTTCTCAGCTTGCGAAGATCGACGTTGGCTCTAGGCTACATGATGCGTCATGACGAGGCTCGCCAAGTGAAGGATCAAGAATTGGAATTGAAGGATGGAGGCGCAGGATCAAACACGATGGATGTGAATGCGGTGAAACAAAGAGACATGCACTGAAGTATGCTTATGACGCGTCTCACAAGATGTTTCTGGACGTTTATGGTGCTTAGCCTGACGACGGACGATTTTGTGTTTCTGGATTCGATCGTAAACTATCATGAATAGAGCTAATCAATCAGCCTGACTGTACCATATATCTTAGTGGCCAACCTCTCCAACTTCTTCCTTTCAATGCGTGCCCCCTCAATTCCGCGGTCCTGCCGCGCCAACACTATGAACTCAATAGGCTCAGCTTCGATCACACAGTAGGATGCGAAATTCTTTTCCCCATAATCTTCACTCTCCTTAAACATGTCCTTTACCGATACCATTGAAGGGCAAGATGGAAGCTCGTGATTAGAAAGCAGCAGGCCTTGGCCGATAATGTTATATTCGTTTTTTTCCGCACTGCGCCTCAACACCAGTAGTTCACCAATAACTGGCACCTTGATTATCACGTCGCCTTCATGAGCGTCAGCGCAGAGTATCGCACAAACTCCGGAACCAGCAAATAGCTGCACCGACCCTTTAGGAGCTCCGTTGAGTTCGGCTTCCATCTGTGTCGAATCTGTTGGTGCTCGATGAGAATTACGAATCAGGCCCGCAGAAAGCTGGCCGCGAGAGTCTTGAGATATTCTCATGAAGGTAGGCTTGAATCTAAACGACATCGACGGGTACTTGCCGCGGCCAAGGGGCTGAGGCGGGCTCTCCATTCTAGCTTCCACCAGGGGCCTCAAGAGCTCATGATCGTGTGAAAGCTCGAGTGCATTAAGAACGTCCCAAATATCCGTCCTCGGCGATTTTACGATGCTTGTGAATAACTGCGCTGGGTCTAAAATAGGAGAGGGCTCGTAAAAAGGCTGAACAGGCGGAGTACCTTTTGGCCACTGGATCATTGGCAATACTCCAAAGATTTTATCCTCTAGTCTTGCGCATCGGAAAGGCAATGATCTTTCGAGTAGCATGTGGGCGGGGATAGGTGCTGATACATGTGAACCCAAGGCAAATCGACAGCAATATAAACCTAGTTCCTTACTAGAGACTGGATCCTGCGGAATTATATTCGATTGACGGTAGGTTGCGCGATATATAAAGTCGCACAAATCGATCTCGGATCTTGAAAAACTATCGGAGCCGCAAAGTATCTCCAACTGACCATGGCTTCTGGTTGATGCCACGACTTCTTGGATGATCCAAAGCCGTCTCCAGTATCTTCGATTGGCAAAGGCAGAGAAGACAAGCCTGAACTGAGAATAAAACTCGCGGCCTGAAAGTAGCGAATGCAAGAGGAACTGTTCTTCGAGCTCCTCAAAATCTTGCTGTAGAAAATAAATATTCCAAGTTCCGCGGCTTGATAAATCCGTTTCCGTCCAGCGGTGGTACAGGCCTGGACTGAGCTTCATGATGCTGTTCATGGATTCCCGAAGCATTTGGCTGTTATCTTGATGAGGCCCGACACAAGCCAATACCTTAGATGCTTTGGAGAATATATCGCCCATCATGGCAACTTGATGTGACTTTTCGGCGTTGTCATCTTGATTTATACAGATGGAATCAATCCAAATGAAGATTGGCTTCCCAGGTAGCGACTGATAACAATTCCCGACCTGTATCAAAGCGTGGCGACAGTTCTCTGTCACCACCATATTCTGCCCGTTGATTATGATCTCTTCGGCGAGACCGCTATCTCCCCATGTGTATGAGATAGCATGATAACTGGGGCTTTCTGTTGTTAGGTAAGTGCTGATGGACAATTCCAGAGGCTTATTTGACTTGGAGGTGACCTCAATCAGCCGAATCTGTCCAGCGGGGTCAGCCAAGGGCTGGTGTTTAAAATCGGGCTTGTACATTTTCTCTCATGTCAGAGGGGATGGTTTAAGAAGAAAAGAGGAGAGATATGATAGCGGAAAATGACTTAAGAGGTTACAGAAAGCGAGTGAGCAGAGAAAAGCAGCGAGCAAAGGAGGGAGGTTAGTTTGTAGAAAGGAACACCCTCATGGAGAAAGGCCGAGGAGAACGATAATCTAAATTAGCCTATAGCGAAATCTGGTTGGAATTTCCTCCCAGGGGCTATGCAAATATCACTTGGGTGATAGGTCGAAGCCATACCTAGAACGACTGTCTCGATTGGTTAACGTGTGCTGCGCCTATACTGTGACTGACCAAGGCATATTTGTCGGTCTAAAAAGGCTTATGTATCCCAGAAGGCCTCTAGGTAGGTTATAAGGGCACCTTGGCTAATGTCAGAAGCTTGTGTTACTCCCCAAGGCGAGTAAAAAAGTTACAATTCGCGTGGCTGACATATTCTTCCGTCTGCATCAAATCTTCATGTCTGCCTACTGCCAAGACCCCATTTCAACCAACACTAGGAGCTCATCTTCGGTCAATGTGATGGATCAGTTCCGTTGTACGGCGGCTATCCAAAGAATACTATCCAGAACAACCAGTAAAGTGTGAGCATCTGTTTTGCCCTCGCCGCTTCAGAGAAGCAGCCTGCGTGCCAATTTCGGGGTGCTGAGTGGCCACCACCTTTCCTGGCTGCAGGTTCGGGTCAGCTGAAAATGCGCGCGGCTTATCAATAGCACGCATGGGTTTTTACCAACGTAGAAATACCCCGCATCTCCTTCATCTATCTAGCTGAGAGTATCTCAACGCCTTGCTTGTTCGTAGTCTGATCGTTCCCTAGACGTGGCACCTCAACTTGGAAGCCCTTAGCTACTATCGCATGGATCGCTGATCTGCCTATTGGACGAGCAACAGCAACTGAATTACTCTGCGAGATACATGATGAGCCTGGCGGGTTCATTCAGGCTCCTATCAATCAAAGTTGGGGAATATTGAGTCACAAGGTGGCGAAAGATCAGTCATAACAAAGTTATCTTAACACAATGCTAATCTTAGCATACTGGCACTTTATAAAGCTTTTAAAGACAAAGCTTACAAAATTTGTTTAGATAAACATTTACCGGGATACGGGATTAGTTATAATAGGTCTTGGCTACTATAGAAGTCAGGTTTTCTGGCTATTGCCGGAATTTAGAGCCTGTTGGTTATATTAAGCTTCTGATCAACGATGATTATTGAAACAGTGACAGGTTATGTTTGATTCTTTAGTTTGAATTCAATGAATCCACTATCTAGTCGAAGCGTAACAGAAACCGACTAAGATATGCTATTTCGACGTTGAAGTCGGCGGAAGTTATGTTTTAGCCCAGAATTCTCAAGAAGAATATTCCATCTGCCATCACTCTCCATCCCCCTATACCACTCATCTGCCTTTGCACCGTCTCCGAGCCATTCTGTGTGAATCCCAGGATCAACCCACGTCGAACTTGGGCCCTGGAGAGGTTCCCCAGCCCATCCCAGCTGCTTTGCGAATTCTCTTATGTACGGAATCATGCTACATGGAGCGCTTTCCATGTCTTTCGTTGACTCGACAGGGTCGGGCTGCGGGCCAAAGAGTGTGACTTCTCGCTCTTGCTGAGCCTGAACGAATTCGATCGCAACGCTCAGACGTACTCGGACCGTTGTTTCGGAAATAACCTTGTCTATTGCATTCTTGATAGAATCAAAAGATAGTGGCTGACTCAATCCGCATTCTTCGCCTGTAATGGTAAGAAGGGCAGGCATTTTTCCAATATCGACCATTCGAACATCGTATTCCTCTGCTAAGAGAATAATAGTCATCGCTCTGAAGAGTGGCTGCAAGATGTAGAACCGCTGATCCCTAAATGTTTGTTCGTAACAGTGTCTCGGTTCGACAGGACAGGCCTGGACATGGTCTTGGATAGATGCCACCTTGCTGCAAATTCTAGCATTGAGATCGTTGATCAGGCTCACCAGTGAGGTTGTTGATCCATCAAGAGGGGGGGAGCAAGGGATAAAGAACTTTGCCACAAATTGTCCATACTCGATATCGCTTTGGTATAGCCGATACCATTTGTGATAGAGCCAGTTCTGTAAGACTTTGCAAAGAAAGAAATGCATTCGCGTCTGACCTGGAAAGATGGGCGTCTGACGCGGAAAGATGTATATCGGTACGCTCTTGTTACAGCAATCCTCGGCCTGGTAAACGCTCAGGTCCTCTATATCCTTGAAATTACAGCCAGGGCAAGTATTGGGAGGATAAGGACATGGTGTGAACGGCCGAAATACTGAGCGCTCATAGATTCCTGCGCGATGATTTGCTTCCATCTGACCGCGAGCCTCGATCAGAATATCATCCTGTAGCAGAGGACCTCTTTTCTTATGAGATCGAGATGGCCACTGCGACATTCTGGGCTTTCTGTCTGTCGGGGTTTTGATAGTCGGGTGGCGGTGTTGATCTCTAAGATTGAGGGTGAGAGAAATACGTTCGCTGAGAATTGAGATGGTGCTGGGCTGGATACAGATAGCTATTTATATGTCTATAATACTGAGTTTAGGAAGCTGGAGTTTCTCGGCGTGACGGAATGATAAACAATATTCTATTTAAGCTCAAGACTGCATAACTATAACCTAATTAAGACTAGTTTTATTAATTTATAAACTAATTAAAGTATTAAGTTCTATTTACTGATTTAAGCTCTTAGCTATAAGTCTAATGCTAAATCACTGCATTGGGTATATGAGAGGGCATTCAGAAGGGTACCTTACCTATGCAGGATTAATTCCTAGAGTGGGTCTTGGTGTTGTGAGAGAGAAACAGCAAGACCCGGAATAACTAAGACCTGTACGGATCTCCTCTATCTGCTTCCGCTTGGCTCGTGGTTGATTCCGAGGTCTTGGCGATAAACACCAGAAATGGAAATGAGCTCGGTTTCGAACAAAGGGCAGGATATCCCATTCGTCCTGTATAGATGCTCTTGCAATGTAAGATGGAAATTCGCGATCGCAGCGGTGCTGCACGTGAACCGACGACGAAGATAAGCGAGGTGGTATGCTGAAGCATTGTCCTTCCAATCCCGGGGAATTGATACGGTAGGGACAGTCTCGCAGATCCATCACGGATTTTGAGAAACTATTGTCATTTTCAATTGACGCAACGACTTCTAGTTAGCGGCTACTTCTTAGGTGACCTGAAACCACCCTCATATCCTCCATCAGCATAAGATACGACGCGGCGGAAGAGACAAGGGGGAAAGTAATGCTTTAGATTACCTTAACGAGCCCCGGGGTACAAGGAGACTTGTGATGTTACTTTCAATCAAGGCACTAAAATAACTTAGTCTAAGACTCTGTAAATCTATGCTAAATTATACTAAGTTTATCCAAGCTTATCTAAAGTTTTTAATTACTTAGGATAGAGATCCTAAGTGTAATTATATCCCCCCTGACAAGCTCTGAAGAACCAAATATGCTTGGATCTTTTGCAATTGAATGACATCATAGACAGTGTCAGAGTCTGACACCAGTAATCACTCCCGGTCACGGTAAGTCCGAACCCAGCACAATGAGACTACCCGTTTGCTCTCTCCGACGGGTATCTGAGAGACTGCAAACCGCCTGCCTTTAGGAGGGCAAGACAGGCTAACAGCTTTGCCGCTTAGAGATGTACATAGCCTATCATGGCGGTGTGCCAGGTCTTCGCGTCTTTGCCATCTGGACTCATGTGAATGGAATCAATGTGGATGAAACTAATATTTCCAGGCAACGACGGACAACAATCTCTGATTGGGGTCAAAGCGTAGCGACAGTTTTCCTGGCACATTTCAGTTCTCCGTACTCAGCCACCAGTTTCAACTGCAGACAACGTATCTTCATTGGCAGGCCTTGGATGTCGCTCCCCTCGATGAGACCACTCTCTTCCCGTCTGTATGAGACAGAATAACAATCCAGACCCTCAGTTGTCTCATCACCACGGAGGGGCAGCTCCAGAGACGCGTCAGGCTGGGACGTGACTGCGGCGAACCGAACTTGGACGGCGGGGTCGGCCAGGGGCTACAGTGTGTTTGAAATCAGGCTGGCTCATTTACTCTCCCGTCAGAGGTGAATCTCAGTGCAAACGAAAGCTACGCACGGAGAGACAGAGATGAAAGAAGCTCAATAGCTCGCAGCAAGCGATAGAGGGAGGAGGAACACTGTGGACAATAGGAGCCATGCTTCATCGGAAGATATTTAGCCCAACTTTGCGAGGGTCCGGAGGAAAGCTGGAGAGAGTTGAATCCATTGAAGCTGGCCTACAGTGAGGTCTGGCTGGATTTCCCTCCCACACCTGTGCACGGATGACGTGGGCGGCAGAGCAGGCTCTCATCTGAGTCGCCGGCTCTATTGGTCAACGTGTTCTGCTTCCCTGCTTATACGACCCGATCCAAAGCAAACTTGCATGAGACCTGTAACGTGAATTGCAGTTACCCAACCAACAGTAAATTTGCAATTTTGTGGCTGGCAGAATCTTTCAGCTTTCCTAAATGTCCACTGTCTGCTTACTCCTAAGCTCTCGTGTTTTGATCAGCCCTCTAAACTCATCTCTAGTCATTGCGAATTAACTTATCCATCATCAGGCAGCTCCGGCAGGTTTAATATACACAGAAAACCTTTAGTAAGTCATATCCCACTGTCTAAATAGCCATCTCGCACTGGTTAGACACATTCTAGACACCCTGGATGACCATTGCCTTTGGTGGGTGTCTTGCAAAGATACGTATATGGGTCTGTCGCAGAAACTAATGGCGTCTCAATAGGTGGTACCGTCCCTAGCCCTTACATCCCTACAACAAACCGACACCATCGCAAGACCGTACTCTAATCGTGCCGCGTCGTCCAGTCTCCAGACATGGAAATTTCGCTCGAGAGCTGTGAGCTTTACACTATCGCATGGATAGCTGCTCTTCCAATTGAACGAGCAGCAGCAACTGCCTTACTTGATGAGATACATGATGAGCCTGACGGGTTCATTCAGCATAAAATCGACAAGAACTCGTACACCTGGGGACGAAGTGGGAAACATAATGTCGTCATTGCCTCACTCGAAGCAGGAGTCGACGGTACGATATCAGCTGCAACTACTGCGTTAGAATTGATCTCTTCACTACCCCACATCCGATTCGGACTATTGGTTGGAATAGGAGGAGGCATCGCAAAGCCTGATAAAGAGCAGGATATCCGACTCGGTGATGTTGTGGTCAGCGAACCTGTCGGAACGACTGGAGGAGTGGTTCAATACGACTACGGAAAGGCAAAAGCAGACGGCGTCTGGGAACAGAAAGGTTCTCTCAACGCGCCCCCTGAAAAGGAAAAGGATGAGTTCCAGGTGGACGAGCAGCGTGTCCATCTTGGACTTTTCCGGAACTCCCTACGAGTCATGGATGCCAGTTTGAAGGAAGATATCTGCAATTTGGTATGGCCAGGAACAGAATGCAGTGAAATTACATCCGCACAAGTCGCCTTTTGCGTTCCCGATGAATTGCAATATGCTTGCCGCCATTGGGTCTATCACTATCAGAAGATCGAGAGCCCTTTGCTCAACCTTGAGGAAGTGTTCACGTTCCTGCAGAAGCATCTGTTCCACTGGTTGGAGGTCCTGAGCCTCGTTAAGAGTTTTAGGGAAAGCTTTCATGCCATCCGGCAATTGCAGACCATCTTCAAGGTGTGCATAGCTGAGACATGTCTCAAAAATATAACTAATAGTGTACAGAGCGAACGAAACAAGGCGAATGGCCAGCTTTTGCGCGAGATACACAGTTTTCTCCAAATGAACTCGACAATTATCGATCACTACCCCCTTCAACTTTACTCCTCTCTGATGTTTTCTATCCCGGCTGGTACCCGACTGGGCCAAATGTTGCCGAGAAGATCTCCCTCATGGATGCGGCATGTTCCTGAGCCGGTCCAGATCTCACAACAAGCTCAGTACATACTAGAAGGCCATGAGAGGCCGGTCAGCAGCGATTTACACTTCGCACTAGATAACTCACGCTTGGTTTCTCGCTCTAGTGATGGCCAGGAAACTCGTATCTGGGACCTAGACACTGGCGACTGCATTCGTGTCATCACAGATGATAACCGGACTTATAAGGGTCCATCCAAGCTTTCATATGACGGATTGTGGCTAGCGGCTACTTCCAGGAAGGACCAAACCGGTTGGGGGAGAGTTTTTTGGGAGTCCGATCATAAAGGATCTGATACCGACAGCCAAGGGGATGAATCCGATATCTGCAGCGAGGAAGAGAATTCCAACGCCAGCTGCGATGAAGAAGAAGCCCATCCTAGTGCTTACTTGAATCTTTGGTGCGTGGATACCAGCAGGTATATTGGACCAATTCCCTTACAGGGCGATGCATATATGCAGCCTTTCCAATTCTCCCCGGACTCTAGACTTGTGGCGTTGGTGAAGCATCCAGGCTCCGCGGTCGTTTTACATTTGGACACGACTGGACTCCCCCGAGAAACTTGCCTAGCTCGTTACGACAAAATAACCAGCCCGGCGGGGTTTTGTCGTTCTGGAATGCGAAGCAAACACTTCACATCACCGTACCGAATAGAATTTTCCCCCGACTCTTCCTTTCTCACGATCATATCAGGTGTTACCGGCAAGTACGCGGTGTAGGAAACCAAGACTTTCGAATGCATCCGATATCAGGAGATGAACCCGTTTGTTCGCACAGTTTTACAATCCAGATCGATTGAAGCCAACACAACCTCAGTCGCGGTGACTGAGGATGCTTCAATTATGGTGGCCAGCGACTTTTCTGCAGAGAATAAAGGTCGAGGATTTCTAACGACGTGGAGTAAAAATATGAAACTCCAAATCAGGTGGCTCGAGTCTGGGGTAGTCATCTGTACTCCCGGCATCCAGGGGATCGCTTTTGTGCCTACCCAATTTTCCCCTGATCACACCATTTTTGCGTGCATGTACGGTGACGCATGTGTCAGAACCTGGAGAGTTGAAACCGGAGAATGCTTAACAGCGTTGCATGGTTATGAGTTGGGTCTCTCGCCATGGAGTATGTCTGTTTCTCCGGACTTCAAACTCATATGCTCAACTGCAGAGACACAAACAATAAGCGTTTGGGCGAATGATGCCATTGAAACGGACCGAAGTTTAAGAGACCAACCGAGATCGATTGAGTCAGTGGTTTTATCTTCTGATCGCACTCTTGCTGCCACTTCTTTTGACTCTGGAATTGTCAGAATCTGGAATATGGGTACCAATGAGCACATTCATCAATTTCAACATGGATCTCTGGGTCAAATTACCCTCATGCGTACTCACCCAGAGCTCCTTCAATTCTCAGAGGATAGCAAGCATCTGTTTGCGTGGAGACCCAGATCTTTTGGTCACAATGAACGCGATGATGTGCCATACTTGGTCGGCCATCTCGTAGTTTGGGATTTGATTCGGGGTAAGCATATTGTCAATTCTCTAACCTCGCTTGATTCTAATTATCTCGCTACTGGTTTCTACGACGGTTCTGCAGTGTCCATTGCTCCCGACAATCGTTTTATCGTCTCAGTCCTGGGTAGGCGGGTCAGAATTATCGATGTTAATAACCCTTTTGCTACTCGAGATCTAGATTTTACAGGGGCTGTCTACGATGTAAAGTTTTCTCTCGACTCTCAGTCTGTTCTTGTTCTTTCATCCGATACATATCTTCAGAGTGAACATGAGAGAGGTAAATGGCTTCTGTCGAAGTTCAACATAGCTCAGGCCGATCACATCGTTAGTATCAGATCACCAACCAGAACCCAGAGAGTATTGGTCGTTTCTTCTGACGCAAGGTTTCTGGTCTTACAAACATCTGATGGTCAGGCACATGCGATATTGACTGGCACAGGAGAATTACTTTATAAGTTCAGACTCGAAGGGGACGAACATCATGTTTCTCTTGTCGAGAACGACTCAACTCTGCTTGAGTGTCAAGCCAGATTCTTGACTTTGAGAAACTCCTCAAATGGTCAAATCATTCGCCAGCTGCCAATAGATTTTGGCTCCTTTCCCCGGCGACTCAGTTTCGACACGAACACTCAACAAATTCACACGAATTTTGGCACAATTGCAATCCATGGACCTTCGGCAGATAATTATCCTGACGAATTATCCCTAAATAACAATTTAACCGGATTTGGGATCAGTTGCGATGGATCTTGGTTATTGTGGAACAACAAGAAGGTTTTCTGGCTACGACCTGCATACCGACCTTGGAATGAAAGTATGGAGGTTTCTGGATCGACGGTGGTTATTGGAACAGTTACAGGTCATGTTCTATTCTTTCAGTTCGATGAGCCAAACTACTTGACGCGAGAAGATGATGACCGCTTTTGAAGATTGAGCCATAGCTATAGCATGATCACTTGAGTCTAGTGTAGAAAGGAAAAAACCCGCACCCTCTAAAGCAACTTGTCGTGCTTTTGTCCAGGGTGGGTGTGAGTTTGGCCAATCAATTATGTACTGAAATTACATTCCTTCTCAGCAGTGCATATTTACGCATTAGACTAAGATCATCCACAGCTATTTACTTACGACTTTACGAAATTACTGCCCTTAACGCCCGACGCCCAGATAAAACTTATACCATCCCCAGGGTACTAGAAGACTTCTGATATTAGACTAGGGTACTAAAAATACTAAACCTAAGATCCTCTAAATCTATACTAAATTTTATTACATTTAGCTAAACTTACCTAAGGCTTTTTGTCACCTAGGTACCTAGGTAGGATTGGGGCCCCTCAGTCAGACAAGCTAGAGCCACTAAATGCCCCAACACAGGGCTGAAAACTCAAGTACAGTCCGCAGGGATATCAAATGTGCATTTCCGCGATTTTCTAGGTATTTCTTGCTACAATGGAATTAAATATATCAATAAGATCACATAGGCTTAACGTATCTATAGAGATAATACTAGAGTAATCAGCAAGAAAAATATAGCAGATTAGCTACTGAAATCCTTAGTCAGAAGTACCGATTTTACATTTGATATCCCTGAGGGCTGTACCGCGTATTTTGCCCACGACATCCCTATCATCTCGCCAAACCTGATGTCCAAGACGCCATCCGATTCACGGATTAAAAAAGCTTGTCACCCCTGCCCAGATCCTAAGCTTTACTCCAAATTCACAGTCCAAACTCCAACGGGATTTTAACCCACTCACGTCGCAGGGATATTATTAGCCATGCTACGACAGCGAGAACATGGGGGCCAAAATGAACCATGATTTGCGGATTGGATGCGGTCAGCTTACAGATCGTAGCCTGTAATACCATTTTGAAACCAGGCTTAGCGAAGAGGATCGTCGTTATAAAGGCTCCAAGTTGCGCCCCCATTTAATCCTGTCTGAGTGATCTGCTCCCTTTCCCTGTCTCTTGGTTCTTCCTTTTTATTTCTTGCTTGGTTAGCGATTTTTGATCGTCTCGAGTTGCGCAATGAGTCAACAGCAGCATCTTCCGGACAGTGAAGGCCTCCAGGTCAACACGGACGCTGAACAAGCCGCCAAAGCTCCAGAAGTTGTTCCCGGTTACGATAACGGCAATTACTACATCCCTCCCGGTTATCATCATCCTCAGCAGGCGTCATCGGATGGAGTGAGGATTCCTTTCGGGCTTGGAGTTTGGACTTTCGCTGCGCTAGTCGCTCTATGTACGGCTATCGTTGTCGGCGCAGGTGTAGGTGGAGGATTGGGAGCTGCTTTGGCAAATAAATCGTAAGTTTAAAACTCGAATGTGCTCAATCATGCTTGTTGACATGCCAAAAGTAATGATTGCTCAGCCGACTCAGCATCTGGTACCGCTCCCGCCGCGACAGCAGAACCAACCGCGACTTCATGCCCGACGCCCGACAACAGCACATCAGTCAATGACACAGCGCCCTATGTACCGAGAGCTGCTGACACGGTCAGCCTGCTGGGGTTAGATTGCCCCGATTCCAAGAAAGACGAGACACGGTACAAGACCAACAAAGGCTACGACTTCAAGTGGTGGTGCGGTGTCAATGCAGCACAAGGCACCCCGGCTGAGGGGGGAGGTATTGTTGCCGACTACGCGCCTATATATGCCTACACGATTGAAGACTGCATGGAAGCTTGCGGTAACATGATCGATAAGGACGCCGAAACCGGTAACGGAGTGAAATGCGCAAGCATCGTTTTTTCGAAACGCATGAAGGACGAATTAGACGGTTTGAACGCGAACTGCTGGTTGAAGAACAATTCCAAGGCTCAGGTAAGCTTTCTGGTCCGGTTTGACGAAGAGACGATGCTAATTTGATGATAGGGGAGTAATTGGGGTTTCAAGGACGATTGGTATGCATACGCAGAGCTAGACAATTGAACAAGTCGAAGTGGGGCGTTTGAGACTGGCAGGAATACCTAATGATTCGATTGATGTACTCGAAGGAGTTTAATTCTAGAAATGATACCAAAGTCTGGCTCTGTCGGGGCTGAAGCTATTCCCAACTCACGACCTGACGCCCGCACGTGAGGGAACCACGAAAAGGCAGGCGAGAATTAAGGGGAAATGAGCCCCAGCCTTACCGTTACATCGAATTCCCAAACCAGAAAGGCCCTGCGCGTTTTTGGGCTCATCCTCAAACTGTGCCAAGTTTTTGACAGGTGTTGGCGACAGGGATGGTAAGCACAGCCCTGGCGCCAAGAACAGAGGGATCAGTGACGATGTTCGGCAGTTGTTCAGTTGCAATTTGTCAGCACAAATACTCTTTGTGTCTAGTCCTTTCATCGGCAGCTTCACGATGAAAGGAGACGATGTTCAATTATTGTGTTGTAGTCTGAACTTTAGCGGTGATAAGGTTGCTAAGGCTGAGCGGGAGGGTCCACTATTTGGCTACCCCCACTTTCCGGTGCGCGTGGCATCGGACTGACGTCTCGTTAATTCGTTAATTGTAAGCAATGCTTTAAGTGAAGAGTTACGGCGAAGCTACGACGAGGTAGTGCCAGATATAATCAGAAGTCAGCTGAGAATATGTTTCCCTCAACTTGATTGAACACGTTATGGAGTTTTATCAGCTGCCTGGTCATATGTGCAAAGAATAGGTTCTCCTATGCGACGTCAGTGTTGCGCTGCAATTGTCATGAGGTAAGAACCCAGGATTATACATAGAATGATAAACGTGGCCTGCATGTCTTTTGATGATTCTGCTACCCAAAGTATAAAAAGCTTAACCTAGTCGTCCTGGCGATCTAGGTCCTTCAACCCCTGTCCTACTCCGTATCCTATGCCCATCGTTCTGTGTGAGCTTTGCTTGTCCAGCACCGAAACTAGATCAACTCAGGGACGTCCGGAATAGCAAATCCCTGGCCGTCCATCCACATATCCTCATAGTCTCCCGGGACCTTCCACGCCAGAACAAAGAGTCCTTTAGCGACATACCTGCGAAAGTTTGACTTCTCGGACCCGCAAACTTCCACCATTTCCTCCTCGCCTGGATCAGAAATGACACGCTGATCCCAATGATCCACCAACTTGGGCAAGTCTGTCACACGGACAAGGACCACCTTCATATGACCCTTGGGCTTGGGTTTCAGATACTTCTCTGCATCATCAGAAAAATGCATCTGCAGGAGAGAACGGACATCACTCGAGGGCTTGTGAGCCTCAACCACGGCCCATCTGAGAAAGCCGCGTAAGAGAGTAGTCTCCCACATGGCGATATAGCGAAGAACTTCCGCCTCACAGATGAAGTATTTGGCCTTTGGGTGGTCAGCCGGCAAGAGGTCTCTAAGCTCCTTTTGAAGAGAAAACAAATAACCTTGTGCGACATACGCGGGCAGATTACGCCAGTCTGAGATATCGTCGGCCCCCGCACCCAGCAACTCGTATACATCTCCACTGCGTTCGTACAGTTCATCTAGCCTATCCCTATACGCTACGGAGTAGTCAGACTCACCCATCTCATGGCTGGTTTGTTTCGCTTCGGCCAAAGCCTTTGATAATGAATCCAACCTCTCAAAAGCCCACCGAACATCATCAATGGAACTTGTCCTTGATAGTGTCGTACAGAAAATAGTATAGATTAACAGGACTGGGGATACGTGTCCGACTGATGCGTCTTTGTAAGAGTCGTTACTTGCGGAGTCACGTTGCTTGTTGTGTATGAGTTTCGTTGTTATTCAGCCGAGGCGTTGATGCGAAGGAGCTTGATAGAAACTTATCCATGCAAGATCCTTCGTCTTTTTATATGTTTTCTATATAAAGTCAGTTGCATCCTTCGCAGGGCGCTACAGGCCGAACAATTGTGTTGGTACTGAAAATTCGCATTGTGTTGCGGGGTCGCCGAAAAGAAGCCAACTGGTAATGAATAAAGGCGCTGGCTATGCTTAAAGACTAAATCAGCATCAGGAGTAATTTTTTCATTTAAAGATCCTTTATGTATCCTTTATGTATCCTTTATGCGTCCTTTGAGCTCAAATAGTACTCAGTTACGTGCTAATAAACTGATCACAGATTTGTGCATCTCGGATTTGACACAGTAATCATTCAAGGCCTCACCATGACAAAAGCCTAATATAGTGCTATTTCTTAGGCTGATAGTCCAAGGTTAACTGTTATAATGTCTAAGTTGGGAGCTAGATGTGTTATTTGCAGTTGGGACTTGTGGCTGAGAGCTTACATCAGGGGACAGAACTTAGTCCAAGGTTAAACCTAATTCCCGGAAATTATTCATCTTTCGTTGCATCAATCATCGGCGGGATGGGCAATAGACCCTAACAATTGTAATGGAATTTGTCAGTGTATGTGTTGTTGGCACGGGGCGTGGTCGAGGCCCATGTCGTACTAATAATTTATGAGCATTCTTTGTCTGACCGGAAACCCCGACGAGGACATCATGCCACAGTAAAAGAACTCTTTGTCCTCGAGATGAATAACCCTACATCATGTTATTTCTGTTTGCCAGTATGTTCAACGAGGTGCAGGTCTAGACTACTGACATCACATCTAACTCATCATCCAAGCTTCTCATGAAACAGGCCAGGTTTAGGATGACAACAGGACATTGACCCGAGCCTCGGCCAATATTGTCTAACTTCATACTAGGTAGGAATAACGGCATGAATGGACTCTTGTCGCTTGGGCTATCTCGTGCTTCCCGTCCTTAGTCGAGTCCTGACTGAAGCTCAACCTTCCACAACTTCTTATCCAAATACTCCATCTGCTCAGTTCGATACGTGTCATTCTCAACATGAACCACAGACGAATCATCAATATGAAACACCATATTCTTCCCTCCATCCCACTCATACTCAGGCCATTGAACGTCCCCCATACCTTCAAAGTTGGGGTTCATCTTGCTCGCAAAGCTAATCCACATTCTTGACATCTTAACAGCCACCTCGTCGAACGACCCAGGTCTCGGCTCCGTTGCATTCAACTGAGCCAATCTCTCATAATTGCGGAACACGAATGGGATATCAACCGAGTGTCCAGCTCCTTGGACTGCTGGGCGATCACCTGATACAACGTCGAAGTGATAACTGTATGCAGTGGCATTACTATTTGCCCATTTCCTATTCCAAGCTCGTTTGGGTGCATGCATAGCTCTATCACCGCCAAAGGCTATCGCACGCTTCCACTGCGATCCGTATGAAGCCAACGGATCTAATGGGCGTCCTTGGAAAGTAGCTGGCAGACCGACGCGTGGAATATCAGGGTACAGTGCCGAGATGGCTTCGATGGTAGCTTTGCTTGCGCCCTCTTTTCGCAGATATGCTTCCCACTCCTGTGTCGTGTTGATGCCACGCTGGGCAAAAAAGTCTCCGTCGTCTGATGCGACTCCATTGATGATGGGCACTGGAACGAACTTGGTATGTCGAACGAGCTCTGAGCGACTATCGCGAATGAAGTCGCCGTCGATAATATCGAGCCAAACTGGGAACGAGACGTTGCCAACGATCTGAGCGAGTTCCAGTGACGGTACCTTTCGCAGACACTGCAGAGAGTCCTTGGCAGAATCACAGTTGGTCCTCTTGAGGAGCGTCTTGTATCCCTTCTCAAAGGTTGGTGCGTCTTTGTCCTCCACCTCTCCAAAGGCCGTGGGGAAGCCAGTACCACTCTCGAGAATAGCGGCTCTGAACAGTCCATCGTCTCGACCTCCAAAGGCAGTCAATTGAGACGCGATACTTCGTGCTCCTCCACTCTGGCCCCAAATGGTGACCTTTGTGGGATCACCTCCAAACGCGGCGATGTTCTCTTGGACCCATTGCAGAGCAAGTCTCTGGTCGCGGAAGCCATTATTTCCAACGCCTGCGGCTTTGACGGCGGAACTCCAAAGGAAACCCCATGCTCCGAGACGGTAGTTGATTGAGACGCCGATAATGGGCGAACCTAGTTTGACAGACTCGTCGATGATGTAGCTGAGGTTCGACGAGGGATCACCGCTGTAGCCTCCGACGAGGCCGCCGCCATGGATCCAGACAAGGACAGGAAGCTTCTCCTTCGCAGTTACAGACGGTCGAACGACATTCAGATGTAAACAATCGTCAGTGCCACCTGGAAGAGGTCCGGAAGGATATCCGTACTGATAGCACTTAGACTGATACTCGGTCGCATTGCGCACTCCGTTCCAGGTTGAGTTCAAGGGCTGAGGGTGTCGAAAGCGCAGATCATTCAGCGGCGCCTGCGCATATCTCATACCAAGGAACAAGTCCTGGTTGTACAAATGATTATGAATCCCATAGTATGAACCATTCTTAAGTTCAACAACAGGACTGTTCCGTGGCACTGAAACAGCGCCCACGGCAACAGCCAAAGCCAGAGTAAGAGAAGAGCCCAACATCGTTGCCAAGTCTGCAGATCCCTCTCGCGAGCCCAAACAAGATATTTATACTCTCCACTTCGAAGCACTTACACCATGTCTGCTGAAAAGCGGCCACCGGCACCGAGCATGAGAGCAGACGGCCCTCGGCGCCGCGACCGAATATGGGGTCTCCCCCACACTCTGGGCTCTGGGGTTGCGGGGAAGATCCCTGAATAGCTTCAAATTTCTGCAGCTCTAGCATGCTTTGGGACGAACTACCCGGGTCTACTTCGGCACTCGAGGGTAAATGACGGTTGTCGTGCCTTGGTTCGAGGGATTGGTGGGCCAGATGAGGTGTTTGATAGGTACTGAGATGGCTTGAGGTAGTATTGAGATGGGGGGGCATTCGCCGATGGATATCTCGTGGCATGAAAGATGGATAGTTCGGCGAAGGTCTGTCTCCTGGTGATGTGGGAACAGTGAAAGGCTGCTAGGTGGCATAGATGAGGGTCAACGATGAATATGAACGACGTGTAGTTGAACCATCTCATGAGAAGGATACTGATGAAGTCTGATGAGTATTCTATACAGAAACCAGGCTTAGCTATCTATAAACTCCAAAGCACACCAACAGCACCTCGCTGAACAAATACAAACGACCGCCAAACACATCCAACTGTCCCTCATCTCCTCTCCCTCAGACCTTTCGTCCTCAGCGTAAACTTAGCATCCCCCTCCCCAAAAGGTAACGAAACCCCATCATCCAAACTCTCACGCCCCTCATCTTTATTATGCCCATTACTCTTAATAATCGCATCCCGTAACACATCACCGTTCTGATTGACCTCACTATCCGCGCTGCCCCTCCGACTCTCTGTAACACTACCCGAATCGCCGTCGAACTGCGCCGACATGGTGGACATGCGTCCCTTTATCCTTCCAGCCCACAGACCGCGAACACCGCCCTTTTTGCGCTCTGGTACTTGGTCGCTGCCGGCGCTGCAGACGTAGAGCAAGTATTTGAGGTTCGGAAGGGTGTGCCGGATGTCGACGACGCGGAGACCTTGTGATGAGCAGAGGGCCTCGATGTCTTTGTTGAGGAGAAACCATGCGTATTCGAAGCGCCACTGACCTGCTGTTGAACCTCCTCTGGGAAGATAGAGAGGGAATTCTCGACGCGAGACTGTCCGGTCGGATAATTGGGAGATATCGTCGCGCGCATATGATCTGGAGCCAAACCAATCTAGAGGATATGGTAATGGATGCGCTAGGTAGAATTGCAAGTGCTTTGTCAGCAGAGCCACGACCCCTAGACCAGCGGATAAGAGGTCTTCGGAGATATTTCTCGCAGTAGCCGCATCGTATATCGAGTTCGGTAGTGGTATGTTGCATATCTGGAACGAAAGCGGCGGCGCATTAGGAATCGGGGTAATCGGGAATATGTCCGAAAGGTCGGCGCAGATCCGTCTTCGCTGCCCCCGAATCTGCTGCTGTGTCTGCTCAAGAAGCTCCTCCGAGGCAGTCAGTTTCTCTCTACTACTCGCCATGTCCTTTTCCGCTTCATTCTGAAGCTCTCTACCCTTGACGATAGCTTGGCGCCTACTCCGTATTGACTCCTGTAAATCATCGCGCTTCTTTTGCGCCTGTTTATTCGACCGTCTTTGCGCTGTAACATATTTATTCGCCATCGCGACAGCTTCCTGCGCCATTTGCGAATTGTCAGGCAAGCTTTCGTCTAATATACGGTTTATCTCTTCCGTTAATCTCTGTTGTGTCTCTATCGCGTCTTCGATTGAACTCTCGAGGTTGGCTAGCTTCATGAGGGCATTGTATGACGATGTGGCTACTTGGGGCGCTTGCTTCGGCTCGGATATCTTGTTGGGGAAGTCGAACGAGTATACGCCGTCTTCGAGGTGGAATATCAATGCGTTGGGCGGGAAGGTTCGGTCCATCAAAGTGCCTATGAAGTTGAGACGGCGCAAGTCGATTGTTTCTTCGAGCAGAAAGATCCATGATTCGGCTTTCGGTCGGCGCGCCCAGATTCGTAGGATCATGGAATGACATCGTGAAATAGCCGATGCGCAATCTTCGAGACTGAAGAATCTGAAATTGAAGCTCTGTAAATAGTCAGATCCCGCTATGTGTCGCAATGGACAGCTTTCCTACCGTAGCTCGCTCTCGCACCTCGCTGATGTAGACAGGCTCAGCATCCACGTCCACATGCAGCGAGTAAAACACATCTCCCACAGCCTCCTCATACAGCGTCTCTAGATTTTTCTGCCGCGCCCCAAGATTGGCATGAGCCAAGCTCAAACTCGTCCTTCGCTTCTGTACCGGCCTGAGCGCATCTGGCCGAGCACTACTCTTCCTCAAGCTCTCCGACGACCGCGACGGGTGCAATTGACTCGATTCTTTAACCACCTGTAGCTTGCTCGTAGCTAGATCGGCGTCGTCTGCTGTTCTAAGACTCGTGGGCGCGAAGGATAAATTGCGAAGCCAGATGCCGCGAAGGTGACGAAGCTTGCGATTCTGCGGGAGGAGACGGGGACGACGGGGTTCGGAGAGGGACGACATTCTGGCAGTGGCATGCTGCGTTTAGCAGCTTGGACTATTGGTGCTTATGACATTTGTGGAAGCTCCGAGGATAAATGTGAGGATGTGCGTGAAACGTCATCAGTTCCAATATGGGAGCTTGGAGCTTAGCTGGAATTGAGAGTCGCGATAGTTGCATACCCGCTTTAGTGACATCACAACCGACTTAACCTGGACTTGACGGCAATTGTTCTTTGGCTGGTGAGAGCTGTTTTACAGTACCTAGGTACCTAAAATGCATTGCAATCTATTTATGAATAGTTATCCTCGGTAATTGTCACCCGCAACGATGGCAATTCGCATTTAGTTCCAGTCTAATTAATGTACCCCAGATTTGCAAAACAAGTGAGACATCATGCCGAGAAGGAGCAGGGAAAGCATGAAAACCTGGGTCCTCTATCCTAAGCGACAAAAAGACTCAGGCAAAGTGAGTAGAATTTAGTATAGGCTTGGTGGTGTTTGCAACAGGTATTTTTGGTACCTTGGTATAACAGCAGAAGTTTTCTTGCTCGCTAGGTGGTGCCCATGAGCACTACATCTTGAGCTTCAAATCTTCCAAATCCGCTGTCCCCAACAGATTGATCAAAGGCAAAAACAACTTTTCCCCATTATTTTCCGTAGCATGAATCTTCTTGAGATCGTCCCATGACTTCCAGTACCAGCCCTCGCACTTCTGCGGTTCAAGGATCTAGCCATGTCAGCTTATTACCCTGTACAACTTGCAAGACAAACCCGACCTGGGGTTGGTCACCCTCATTGACCATCTGGCAGGACACAAAAATTGTGATGTAGTGCTTCTTCTCTGTCTCAAATACATCGTTAGTAGTGGCGATATGCTGGAGAGCCTTGACCTTGAGGCCTGTTTCCTCAAGGGTTTCTCGCTCTGCGCACGTGAGAAAGCTCTCGCCGTACTCGAGATGGCCACCTGGTAACTGAAGGGTGCCTATATGCTGTCAGCTTCTACTCAAATTCATGGTTGCAGAATACTTGCCGGCTCCGTGACTCCCTATCCGCTTTCCAGTGAGAAACCTGCCTTCACGGTTGTAGATGAGGGCGGCGACGCCAACGCGGGGGTGGGGAGCTTCTGTAGACATTATGGTACGAGTCTGTGTTTATAAAACAAAAGAGATGTCGGTAATGGGTCCGCGATATTGTTTATCGAGGAAAAGGCAAGGGTCTGACTTCAGTTTTGTGCTGATTAGAAGAATGCCCAGCCAGGCGCAGTCACCCAGCTAAGCTGATGACTCATCGTGAAAGCGTACCTTGCGTGATGAGATGTGCTACAGTGGCGGGCAGTGATGATAGAACTGGAAAATCAGAGCATCGTCGGAGGGAATTGGGATAAATTCTACTGCATAGCCTTGTGCAAAAGAATGCTATTGTATTGCGCGCGCATACTCGAAATGTACCCATGCACCACTGTATCACAGGTACTACGAAGTACGAACCAACAACTCTTGGTGGACAACATTTGGGAACGGTAACTCTTGGTGGACAACATTTGGGAACGGTACAAGACCACGTCGCGACATTGTTTCTCTCGTAGAAGTGTATTGGATATACCTAGTAAACCACCTTTTGAACGCCCATATAGTTCGTACGCTATGAAACCAAGATCTAATCATGTGTACTCGCTAACAATTCCTCATCAATTCATGTCCACATCCCATAGAACCCAACCATCCACCATACTCTGGCATGCAAAAGATATACGCAAAAGCGCGCGCCTAGCAAGAATGAGTCCTAAGATAAACAAGGTGGAAACCGTGGGCGTCGCTGTGTACGTCAAGGGGCAATATCTTTCCTGCTGCCATGTCGTACAGCCACTTCCCAGTGGATGCCAATCACCCATCCACATTTCTGCATGCCTCGGTTGCATGAGTGTTCAATTGCCCTTTCGAGTCAGCGATATAAGGGACAAACAGAGCATTTACGCGGCTCTGGCAGGCCCTGCGAAAAAGGTCTCGCCGAGCTCCTCAGACAGTCACGGGAAAGGCTGCGACGGTGCAAACAATCCATACAGCGCATCCTGCGAGATATCCTTCTCCTGATCATTCAAGAAATCCAGCAAACCTGGTGAGTGACCAAACGCCGGATCAAAGTGATCCATATGCGGGATGTAATCCGACGCAGTAGCAGAAACGTAAGCACCCGTTGGTGTAGAACTGTTGGTGTTATTAGGCGCAATAGCAGATGCAGCGGGTGCCATGGCGAGAGGGAAGAAGAAACTCTCATCGAGACCAGCAGGATGGGGCTGTTCTGTACCAGTGGAACCACTCTCTTTAATACTGGTCTGGAACTCACGGACCATGTCTTGGAGAACACTGAGGGGCTTCTTGAGACCAAAGTTGCATCCGACCTGGAGTTCGCTGAGACATGTCCAGAAGAAGGAGATGGGTTCTGTGAATTGACCTCGTTCATGGCGCTCTTGACGGAGGATGACGATGACGGCGGAGTAGACTGCGTATGAGAGGAGGAAGGGTGCGCGACGGAGTGTGAAAGATTCGCGGTATCGGCGAACGAGCTTCTGGATCATGAGAGCGCTTTGAATGCATGCTTCTTCACCGCGACGCTTGGCGGTCTCGTCGGTGTGGCGGCGAAGGTGACCTTCCTCGAGGAATGCGCGGTGTAGCAGAATGGTGAGAGCGTGGAATGTCGTACTGAAGTATCCTGATTAGTATCATTGTCTTTACATGCTCAACCGGTAAGACTCACTGTGGGGTGATTTGATGGGGTGGAGGTGTGATGGTGAGAGTATCGTCGGGGTCGAAGCATAAGTGACTGGGAAGACTGCTTTGCCACTTTTCAAGCTCCCTCTCAATGGACTCCTTCTTATTGAGAAGATACTCCGTTGTGTACTTGACACATTGGATACCATAAAGGTCATTGATTCTCGTGGAGATTTGCAATATCCTCACGAGGCTGCTAAACGTGGAAACGGCGTGGGCAGGTTGGCGCCCGTATGGAGGGGGAGCTGAAGCTGGCGACTTGGGGTCGATATAAGGTTCCCATTCTTCGAGCTCTTCAAAGGTATCGAGGAGCTGAAGGGGGACTCTAGCTTGTGCAGATGCAAACATACAGGGACGGCCAAGATACAACGCTTGCGTAGCGTCGGTAGTGAAGGCAGCCCAGTAAAGACGCTTTCGCATCTCTTGCTCCAAGTCCGTCCGCAGTACACGTTGCTCGTTGACACCGCCTGTGCTCTCGTAATCAGGACCCAGCATAAGATGGCATCCCAGATCAATTATCATGCGATGTGCTGTTCCTGACAGACTCCAACCTGCACTAGGTTTGCCTTGTGATACAAGCGATACACTTGTAAGCAGCAGAGCAAGAGCAGAAGGAATACTGGGCTTGTCGAGTTCATCTATCAAGAGCTCCCTGAATCGATCATAGAAGCGTCTTCCAACACTTTGAGGATCATCGGGATCGGCGCGGAGGGATGGGCGGTCGCTGTATAGGGAAGTCGAGTAGAAAATGGCGTTGAGTAGAAGCTTGTTCGCGAAAGGACCTCCGCCACTAGCAAGACTGTCCATAATCGCAGGCCGATAGGAAATAAGGTATGCATAATGTTGTCGATTGAAGTGCAAATCCAGGAGATGCTTAGCAAGTTCTGGGTCTGTACCATCCAAGTCCATCAAGTCTCGCGGGTTCCGGAACATGCGTGCCTCTCGCTGTCGTTGAAGGGCAGCGTTGCTTATAAGCCGAGCTTTCGAGGCCGATATAGCATCGTCGCCTTTTCGTGTCATCTTATTGATATTCTCTCGGTGCTGTGCGCGCGATGTCGGGTTCATGATACTGGCGAGACCGTGAACCGCAGAGACGTAGCCGTTCTCGTGGAAGACACCAGCTACTCGAGCTTCGCTTGGTGATAGACCGGTGCCGTCACCATTACCGTCGTTGCTTATAGGACGAGGGACCAATTTCACAGGCGCGAGCTCTGTAGAATCGAGCTGTGTCTGTGTCGTTCGTGAGAGGATCGTATTGAAGCTATCGAGTCGAGGTTTCGTCTCATCCGTCGGACCAACACTGCTCCTCGGCGGCGAAGAAAGAAAACTAGCGCCCATTTCCTGCGCAGCAGTAGAAGCAGTCGGTGTGGGAAGTGGACTCGCGATAGCAGCAGTCGAAGCAAGACGGCTCAGCCCATGGGTAGTATAGTCCTGCGAAGCGCGGGACGGATGGTCCGTATCCATTAGCTCCGCCGTCCACGCAGACTGCATCTCGGACGTAAGGATGCCAGCAGCCTTCATGTGATCAAGCATAGCGGCGACTGTCGCCTCAAGGCTCTGCACGCGCGCGCGCGACGGTCGAGGTTCTCGGCGGGCATCGTGAGGGTATACGCAGGGGAGGCTGTTGGTGCTGCACTCGACGCACTGCGGGCGCGTGCCGTCGCAGCGGACTTTCTTCTGGCGACATGGCGTGCAGGTCTTGCAGAGAGCGCCGCCGGACGAAGGGCGCGAAGAACTCTTGGAGTCCTTGCCCGCTTGACGCTTGACGATCTTGTTTGGACCCGTCATTGTCATTGTTGGCGGATTTCAGGGATAGTGGAGTGATGGCGCAAAACAAAAAAAGGAATTATCATGAAAAAATAGAGAGATTGAGCGAAATGTTAGGTTCGTTCTCGGCTCAGGTGAGCGGCATCGGTGGCCGGGTGTTCGGTGAGTCGAGGGTGTTCCTGCGGGGAGCATCGGGCGATATTTCAAGGTCAACGGCCCACTGCTTGTTAGCGCCGGACCACTAGAAGCAGGGCCCTTCGCCGCTAGCCACAATCTTCCCCAGGTCCAGCCCGGATCCACCCGATCAAGCCCTCGGAAGCGGTTAATATCGTGACTGTGAGTGGTCAGCGAGTGCATGGGTGTGAAGGAGGATGCCATCCTCGGAAATGCAAAGCTCGAGTATCTAAAGTTGATCTACTGATCTCGAGATTTGGAGAGAGAAATGATACCCTGAGATGAGAGTCAATTGGGCGGGTTTAGCTCGGGACCTCGGTATTGAACTTAAACTTGACCACCAGCATCAAATGTGACAGCGAGATCCTCCACGATTTCCTGAAACCCCGCGTTTGTCTATTCCGAAAAGAGCTGTAGATGCATGAGCTCGGAGACATGGCATTTCAACGGTCGGACGGATGATTCACATGTTCCTTGCCAGCAACAACCACGTAGATGGGCTGATATCACGAACATCAGGAAAAGACTCAGTTTAACAGAACTTATTCGCTATTTCCTTGCTGCATGAGAAGTATTCCAGTCTGATTCGACCATTTTTAGTAGCAACCTGGTCCACAAAGACGATCAGCAGCAAGATGGACACTTCTTCGGCAATTGAGAGTCTGTAAAGTAAACAGCATTTTCTCTAATTAAGCCAACATGTGAAAACACGGTGAATGCCTAGGTTCCTTGCTCAATGCCTAGTGGCTCAGAAGGTGGGAGTCTGCCTTGTAACCATGCAGTTGATGACCAAGCACTTATTGAGCTTCCTTTCATCCCTGAGCTATCACCGTAGTTTCGAGCAACCACTTTCAGGTTCCCCAGATTTTGCAATGACTCACAAACCAAAAATGGGATTCTTGGTGGTATACGGATTGTCCTATCTCCAGGGACGTTCTCCAGGGACGTCTGAAGCCATAGAGTTTCGCAGATTTTTCGGGAATGTAACAATAGTGCAGTTTGAGGGTGAATACCGAAACCCGGCCACAACGTAGCTAGAGCCTGTCTTACACTAGCTAGGTGCGAGAGAGCTCTAAACAGTAGCTTTCCAGAAGTAGTAATGAAAGGCAGGAGGTATAAGCCATGGCTTATTGACTGGATATTGCTTCGACAGTAAACATGCTCGAGAAGGCTTGTATTAAGTCGTCTTTGGGTTCTCCAAGACACCTTTTTCTGGCCTCTGATACGGCCCATGACTGATGATGATGTCTTTAATACACAGTATTTCAGCACGGGCTCAATCTTCTATTCTTTTCATTGTTGATCCTACCATCTCTTAATAGTTACAGTATAACACACTCACTGACGGCTGGTTGAATCTCCTGTACGCTAACCACCGGCCCCTTACCCTTCACCAGAGCGTCAAGCGCCGGGTCAAGAATGACTTCCACCTCCTCCGCCGTCTCCCTTGCCTCCATCGCAAACAGTCTTTCTCTTATTGACATAGCCTGGCCCATAAAATCCGCCCCAACAGAGTCGTTCTCATAATCAACCAAGTACTCCGCCATCTCATCGTTTCTATAACTATCCGTGCTTGCAGCCCAAACCATCGTAAGAAAGTCGGGCACAAAGCTAGCACCGTATGGTCGAGCACTTTCACACTGCTCTACTAAAGCAATACACTCATCAACGCAGTCGTGTGAGTTCCCCACTAGCGTCAAGTCTGTATCCCAGATGCGTAAAGTATGTCCAATCACCGCAGTCATGGCGAGTAGAATCCCATATGCTACTCTGTATGAACTACAGACCCGTATCGACATCGCCGGTGCGTTGGGTGCTGCTGTTGATATTGTTGCTAGTGCAAGGAGTTGTCGGACCTTGGGCATCTCGAACTGCATTACGTCGTAGATGGATCTTAGTTGACGAAGGTTCTTCTTTGGCGAGCGCATCAAGATAGATAATTCTCCCATGGTTCCAGATTCTAGGCTCAGGAAGCTTCCTTGGTGGTATTTTACTGGTCGTGGAGTGCCGATTGTATGGCACGCTTCCCAGAACCAGGGACCAAGCTCAAACTGAGGGTTCAAGAAGCTCGCCATAACCTAGATGATGGTCAGCTTTGGAAACACATTCAAGGATAGGGTTGGAGTACGGCGAGTTGGCTAAGTCCCACCATGTAGTCACCCAAGTCATCGAGCTGCTTTTTCATAACAGCTTCACGAAATAAGACTGATATGACCTCTCGATGTTGTTCTATTGATTTACGGTCTACCCAGTACTGAAGGGTGTCAATAATAGCGAGAGAATATGGTTGCGTAGAAATTTACTTACATGGCAAACAAACATGATTGAAACAACCTGCATCTTCATCATGATCTTCTCCTTCGGATCAAGTATAGCACTTCTGGTTGCTGCTAAAGCCTCTCCATATCTCGTCAAAGCATCAACTCTTGAATCCTGACTCCGATGTGATTTGTACAGAGAAACCATTGCGCTTACACAAGAGTCGAGTGCTGGACTAGAACCAATTTGTGCTACGATTTCTGGGATAAGTTTCCCACCGAATGCTCGAATGTCAAACCTGGCATCCTCAGTCTGAAGGATGTGAACCAACGAAGATGAGAGCTGGGTCTGTTCATTACTGGGGCGTCGTTTAACAAGGCTCTGGTCGTCGTTCTGAAACGAGTGGAATTTCCATCGTTTGACGCCATTTCCAACGCATGGTACGCCCACTCGTTTACATCTTCCGCAAGTTGGTTTAGCTTGGTCGCACTTTGGCTGTCAACACTGGAATATACTATGAGACATATTGTCATGCTTACTTTCTTCTTCTGCCTACGACATCCGTCGCATCCGCGGCTCGATGGTGTTCCTGGCATGATGGCGCTAATGTGTAGAAGGTAATACGCGCGTTAAGGCGAGGACAGTTCAGATGCTAATAAATCATGACATCTCGAATCAACCTAATCAGAGGTATCCACAGTGGCCGAGCTTCGGTGATGAGCGGTGCTGGGTGACGTTAAGTTTGGCTGCGCCTTGGGAGGCCATGCAGCTTTGTATGGCAGGGATCGTCGGCTGACCGCCCGTCAAAACAGGGGTTGAGGATTAGTGTGTCAGGGCTCTGAAATAAACATTTAATAGCGGCAAAGAATCTCTTGTGACGATGGACAGGACTTAATGATATCCTTTTATTTGCTATGCGTGATTTACCGTATCGAATATCTAAAGCCGATGCCTTGCTTGTTGAGGACCAGGCTAATTTTGGATACAGCGGGATTACTTGGCGGTAGGGCTGGGCTGACGCTAGCATTACGAATGACAATCTCTCTGCATAGCCAGTAAGAAAGACGAATCATTATTATCGTTGTATTTACAGCTTGTCTGGGACAAATAGACGCATACGTAGTTTATATTTGGTCACGGATCTCACCGGCGAAGGCCAGTAAGCACCTAGTATCTTTATCTCCGAAATTACATGTGCCAGAACTTTTGCTGTATCTCTCCCAGGCAGGGGCTGTAAGACCGACCAACACGGGGAAAATGACGAAAATGACGGGCGAGATGCGTAAGCTTGTCTTAGTAGCCTCTCAATATTTTTGGTAGTGATGGTCAAATATATTTCAAGATCACTTTCCTATGAAGCTATGAAATCACATTTCTAAAGATGGGCGATGCGCGCCTCATGGTATATCGTAGCATGAGATAGAGTGAGAGTGTTTGTGTCGGTTCGCTACATCGACGTACGTCTGTACTTCTTTAAAAGTGTAGCTATACCTTCTCTATATGAAAAAGAAATAGGCCAGAAATTCTCCAGAACCTTTACTCATTTCTTCTTCTCCTTCTTCTCCCGCTTTTCCTTACAAGTTGCGCACTCTCCAGAGCTGGGTTTCTCTATGTGTTCAACCGCCGGCCTGCATTTACGCACATCTCGAAGAGCGCATGGCCTTTCCACAACTGGTTCAAACGAAGCTTGAAGACCACATTTGCAAAGATGGACGACACGTGTTTTTGTACACATTGTGACAGGAGGGAAATTTCAGGGCTTTCAGTTAGGGATTTATAGGGTACCTGTATGTTTGTATGCAAAATTCGTTGCTTTTGGTGGCGGAGTTGGCGTTAGAGCCGAACCCATTTATAGATATACTGGTCACAGGTTCACGTTAATAACAAGGCCATCAACATGATTCTATCACCGTAAATTGACTGTTATAGTGTGATTTCAGAAGTGACTGTCGATTAATAATCCTATGAGCAGTATATCGCCAGTGTTGAGACAAGTGACTTCTTGGCCTCCTCCTACTTCTTCTCCTCTGCCTCTTTCGCTAGCCTCTTCTTTTCACATTCCTTGCACTCTTTGGCACAAAACCAAAAGTTCACCGGTTCGTTTGTCCAGCCCTTGCATTTTGATGTCCCGGCTAGATCACACGGGCGTTTAATGTAGTCTCGTTCTACTTCCTCCCCACACTTGCACCAGTGGTGAACGATTCTTGTTACACACATGTTGAGTTCAGAATAAGTAGAGCTTTGAAGTCGCTAGCACGAGAAATAATGTTGTGGTAGAAGGGTAGATGTCTGAGCCGAGCTGTTTTATAGATGTTCTGGTCATATATTCATGTCAAGAATAAAACGTCCAAAAGTGATTCTAGCACAAACTGGCACTCTTGTAGTGTGTATTTTCGTGTGAACTTCTAGCCGTCAATCCATCAGTGGAATCTCATCTGTTTGCAGCCCTCCAAATATAAGTGGTACGGGAGTTCAGTGGTTCGAGTTATAGACTACCCATTGGTTTTCACTGGCCTCTTCTCTCCTGCTTCTTCTTGGCTTCCTCAGCCTCCTTCCTCCGTCTCTTTCTTTCACATTCCTTGCATTCTCTATTAGAGTGTCGAATATTTCGTTCTTCATTTATCCAGCCCTTGCAATTCGCCGAGGTGCATGGATGATCGACATATTCTCGCCCTGCCTTCTCCCCACACTTACACCAGTACTGAAAGATCTTTTCTACACACATGTTGATTTCAGAGAATACGAGTTCCAGCGGTTGGTAAAGGCGGTAAATGTGGCAGTGGGGGAGTTCAAGTTTCTACAAAGCCATTTTATAGCCGCACCGATTATTGATCACGTCAGTGAGGAACTGTGATGAGTAATTCTTATTTGCAAGTTCCACTGTTATTGTGGTTGGAAAGTTTTAGACGTGACCAGAGAAATGAAGAGGGATCAGCGTTAGGTCATATGTCTTTCAGTTATCCAGATAGTGAAGACAAAATGATCGAACCACATGTTTCCAGTGATTAGAAGTGGTGACTATTCTGCGGTCTTCTTGGCTCGCCATTACTTCTGTTGCTCGGCCTCTTCTTCCTCGTTTTCCTCCTCGCGATGCTTCACATCACACTCACACCTTTTTTCCGAATTCCATTCTTGAATTTCCTCATCATCTGTGCCTTTGCATCCTGACGTGTCCTTTGCTAAGCACGGTGGTAATTAGCTTGAGTCCCTCTAGTTCTGATTCTTTGCCACACTTGCACCAGTGCTGAACACTTAGATTGGTGCACATGTTGAGATTGCAGTGGGTAGTATTTCGTGGTGTCTTGGTATTGAGATCCTCTGTAGAGAGTTAACCGTAAGCTGCCTGGAAGATGTAGAATCGGGTTGAGTTAGGTAGTTGCGAGTTCAGTTGCGCCTTGGAATAATAATATCCTCAGGGCCTGAGACCGAACTGAGGTGAATGATGGATGTCTAGGAACTCTGATCCACCCAGACATGTCCACTAACCATAATTCCGGGATATTAACCGCCGGAATGGCCTAATGTATTCGTTAGTCACACCGGTCTGACACTTGACTGTTGTCACTGATGGTCTGCGCGGTATTGTGTCTGAGTATTGACGTGCGCGTAAGTGAATAAATGACCAAGTTGTTTGAGTAATTACGCGCACTTGAGCACAGGCGTCAACTACAGCCAAATCTAGCTCCCCAAGTAGATGTCCTGCAGAGACATTGAAGTTGTCACAGGTTTCTCTATCGATTTTCCAGCTGTTCTCAGGGTTGTTGGCGTCTTCAACATCAACAGGCTCCTGTTGTAGTATTCCACGGAGGTAAAGCTCGCCGGAGCAAGCTCCGAACGGCGAGTTACAGTCGTAATAGTACATCAAGCCGACAAGTCCAGAAAAGGCTTGCTTGTAGTTCATGTTGAGTTCCAAGTTTGTATCGAAGGTGCTTAGTGGAGACTGCCAAAGATACCAAGATCACTTTTGGCCAGCGTATGAGCTGATGTAACCGCGGAGTATGGACTAAAGTACATCCTGTTTGGCAATCCGAAGAAGGCAAGAAAACATAAAACCCCGACTCTGGGGCAGGAAAATACTTAAATAAATTGACATAAACTTAGACTGATCTTTTATAGAATCGACAAAATGTAGTATCTAACATGAAGGGTAGAGAAAGGGTTGATTTAGCCTGCTAAGTCTGCCCGTCTTCCGTGATGCCCAGCCTTGACATCTGACTGTTGTAAATACACCTCAACTTCATTAGATTATCCGTGCTACTCCCAGCTGGTATTCTGCAAAATTGCTACACTACTCATCAAAGCTGTGACAGTCCAGTGATATCCCATTGAACCCGTGGTTGCCCTGCCCAGAAATTGGAAGCCTCCCGATCTTTGGCCAGACGCTGGTCCCGAGGCAGTGTTGTCTTCGTGTATCATCGCAATAACTTCAGAACTTCGGGAGCGGTTTGAGCCTGACTTGCTTGTACGACCTAGAGATACGAGCTCCCATACCATGCTGTAAGCGGTTCTCTGAGCTTCTGATGAGATACGCCACTCGAAGGACTCTGTTCTGCGACTTGCACCATGTTCAACCCTCATCGAGAAACTGTATCGAGGATTGGACCTCGAACGATGGTAGGACATGGTGACCTGGCCGGAGGGAGTGTTGCAACTGGGTATTCCGGGGAGTTGAAAGATGAATCCGTCGCTGGATCTGATTCCTGATGATATCGGATCCCCAGCAACGCTGGACCCCGGGAAGAGATATGTCGGGCCTTGCCAGCCGCGAGGCATGCAGGCTGCATATATAGTATGGGCACCGGGTTCAGAGATGACGAGAGCCATTGTAGAGGGTGATGGTGTCCAGGTCAGTTGCATGATTTGAGGGAACCCGATGTCAACGACTTGGTCTGAGATCTGGTAGGGGCCTTCAGAACCTGAGGATCTGTTGGCGTATACGTCCTCCAGGCTCGCGACAAATGCTGGAAATATCATAACGAAAGTTAAAAAATTGGCCTAAAGTGAGGGCTTTCCGCGTTGAGTTCCTGTGAAAGAAGATTGATACCAGGAAGCTGAGTCTCTTTAGATAACTACCATACTTTCAAGATTGAAGAAATAAGTTTATATACCGTATGGATTCATGGTTAAACAGCAGTTTGGCTATGGAGAGTCTCATTCCCCCTGACCCCCAATCAACCAAAGCAAACTCTTCCATCATCCAACATTGACATATTGCTGCCTCTGACCAACTCAACCCGTTTCAGTACAAATGGGCCGCTGTTCCTATTAGAGTCTACATAAGAATGGTGATTGGTCTACCGAGATCTTATAAGGCTGATGCCTTTTCCCATCACAAGAACCATCTTCGAGAATACTTTCCTTAGCGGGAAGAATCGCGCGGTGCCCCCTGCGTCGATTTCTCTTACACATTTTTGCCAAGACGACCCCTAGGCCCCTTGGAACCGGGGCGCTGGGTCGGAAGGATCTCATGTAAGCAGATCATCAACTAAAACAGCTTTTCCATGAGATGTCTGTGCCTGGGCGCTGAGGGCCAAATAGCCAATTGTGTACTGCAACCGGTAGGTCAAAGGGTCTGTGGCTGTGCTACAGCGCTGCATACAGTACGAAATGGGAATTAGCGTTGCTTCGATCGGAAGAGCCCTGGCGGCTGTGGCGCTGATGCCATCGAAGGCGGGCGATCTGGTTGGTTGGAGGCGGTGCAGGGATAGCGCTGGACTTGCCGAAAGAGGCTGACTTTTTGTCTTAGGGACGAACATGAATGATGAGGCTGAGAACTGAAGAGGACGTGTTGCGAGGGCTGTGTTGGGTTTCCTCGGCTGCCGAAGGATTGGGGTCTAGATTTGGACTGTGGGTTGATGGACCACTATTCTGCCTCGTCGTTGCATTTCACCATTTTGGGGAGATAACAAGAAGAAACATCCTCGTGATGATGGCTTTGTGACGATAAAGAATATGTATTGGCTACTGCGGAAGGAATTGTCTGATTGTACGCGGCGGCAAGATAATCTTTAACCGTCAACAATGTTTAAATCTTTTCACGTTGTTTGGCAGAGGTCATTTTTACACCAAATTGTGAGGATGTTACCATTCTTCTCCTCAATTTTATTGTTCAGTTATCCTAGAAACTTCAGATATTGATGTGAAACTAGGAGTGATATCTTTAAAGTAAGGCACCGGATGCAAGCTGAGTTCTCTCTGCTGATTTAAGCTCTCAGCCATAAGGGGAGATGCAAGCATCAGCTGTCAGGTCTATCAACTCCAAATAGAGCAACAGTACAACATCGCCTTAGATTAAAGAACCCCCATGCTCATAAGGCATGTCGATCGACATCTCATCCGTCTCATGCGCCCATTCATCATACCTGTACTCCAGCTCCATCTCCACTTCTTCAGGTCTAGGGCACTGGTATCGCGTACCACCGACAGTGCACTCAAACTTCTCTTGACCCAGCATCGTCGCAATGAAATTCTCCAACAAAAGGAAAATCCACAAGGGGTGGCTTTGCGTTCTGTAGCCAGCCCAGGTCTTGACGCACTCAACCCGCAGGTTGTCAAAGGCAAAGGCGCGAAACTCCGCCATTTGAAGCCATTGCATGATCTCGTAAGGATGGGGAGCTGTGAGATTGTTCATCATGTCGAGAAGTCTTGTGCGCGTGGTTCCGTCGTCGAGTGCGGGCTCTTTGATGGAGGAAAGGAAAGCGAATGCTTCAGCATCAAAGGTCGTCATGGTGAAAGCTGGCAGAGCGGAGGCTCGCGAAAGGAAACGTGCTTTGTAGGAGTTCTGCAGCCGCTCGAGTGTATCCAAAAGACGGCTCGAAGTGTCTGTTTCGGCGGTAGTATGCACTTCTTCTGGTAGGCCTTGTCCCGTGGTGCAGGTAACAATGGACTAGCTGAGGCGCCTCACGATTGGAAGTCGGTAGGTCGAGAACTTGTAATCACCACACAAAACCCAGGCTCTAGATTGATGATGTAGAAATTCAGAGTTCAGAATGGTGGGAAGAGCCGAAATACAGAGAAAGGCTTTTATCAGCTGCTGGGCAGTGAATCACTGCCATGGGCCAAGACGCAACAGCATCAACCAAGCTGATTCACTGTCAATAGGCACTAAACTCGTCTGCGTTCTGTTTTCTTTTGTGCTTGTCATGGTGTTATTGCCTTTTTTTGTTTTCGGTCCGTATTGATTGTTTGTGTGATACCGGCGCTCACTTATTCTGTTTGGAGTTCAGGACTTGGATTAGTGAGGGGCGAGAACTGGTTTGGAAGCTGGCTGCAGGTAGTCTTTTCATTTATTGAACTTCAAGCTGGCGAGATGACGTGTTTAAATGCATCGGCAGGGCAAAGCAATGTAGGTTAGAGTCTGTAGTTCATATCTAATTAGAAGTCATGTCGCTTGATCATGCCATTTCTCACCACACAGTACATGACTTGAGCCTTCTGGTGAAGCTTGACCAGATTGAGTTAAAGCATGGGTTCCTATAGTTCATATTGTCTGAATTCTAAAGGGAATTGGGTTTATTCTTCATTTCTATAGCTACGAGGGGAATATACTTTAATTTGTTAAACTTAATCTAGAGACAAATACAAATGGTTATCGTTGCCTAACCTTCAGGGAGCAAGAATATCAGATCTTAATTTAAGGTATTAAAATAAACCAATAACAATGTTACACTAAGTTTATACTGAATTATCCAAGCTTTTCATTATTCAGGATTTAGCTTCTGAGTTTTCTTTCCTCCCCTAAGCCAGCCTAGGTACTTCCCTATAGGTAGAATAACCCAATCCTCCCACGCCTAAAATAAACATGCTTATTTCAGTATCGAAGCTTAGGTAGTTTCAGAAGGAAATCCCATGATGCGGGTATATCCATCTCTCGAAATCATAGGTGGTGGCTCTCACCTCCTATACTCTATATCATCTCCTTTCCGCATAACTGGCTTCCTTTAGATTTCAGGTATTAAGATGGCTATTACTTACAGCTTTGGCTCGCGGGGATAGGGTGTCTCATAGAATGATATCAGGAGTTATGGAATATTATAGGCATAACTCGAATGGGTTCCGGTCGAGGGACAGATGATAAGAGATTCAAGTCCAACAGAGTTGATATTTCCACTAAGCATTGTCCTGATAAAACATAAAAGTGCTGTCACGTTATGATTTGAGAAGAAACTAGCCATAACTAATGTTTAACAGAGTTATAGGCGCCTACAGCAGTCAGTTGTAGACACTAAGCTTAAGACAAGCTATAAGTTAGAATACTTGCGTATAAATGTTGATAAGAAACCGCGCAACTTCCCACTTACTTTATGCTGGTAGCATCTGTATTGCTCATGGGTGCATGGAAGCTCTTTGCAAGCAATCTTTCCCGCTTGCCACCGTCAGCCTGTCTAACATGTCAGTAGTTGTCGTCTCTCTTGGATACACGTACTGCAAGTAGTTCTACTCCATTTCTATAACGGTGAACGCATAATGGCCAATTATCACGAGTTCAGAATTTTAATTAAATAAAAAAAAGAGTATTATTATTATTAAACAAGCCCATGCACTCTCAGAAGTTGCCCTAAACATAGCTCTGACAGAAGCAACTCCAAACCACCAAATTAACCAGCCCCCAGGTAGAGAAATGAAAATATCAAAACGAAACTGCAAATTAAAAGTGCTCAAGACTAATCCTCTCTCAGGCGTAGTAGTCCCCACTTCCAGAATTGTCATAGACTCCAATGTTATACTGGGGCTTTTCGTAATCAGCGCAGCGTTTGGTGACAGATTCAGTGACAGTCTGGGTCTTGTACATGGTGTATGCTGGCTCATTGTGGTACTTGGTGACAGTAGGTTTCCAACCGTATGTGGTGACGGCCTTGGTGACAGTCTTGGTGGCAGGGGCTTTGTAGACGGGCTCTGTGACTGTGACAGCCTTGGTAACAGTCTTAGTCACGGGGGGGCTGTAGATGGTAGCCGTGACTTTGACAGTCTTGGCGTCGGGAGGATCGGCGACAGAGGTAACGATCCTGGTGACGGTCTTGGTGACAGGGGCCTTGTAGATGGGCACTGTCACTTTGACGGTCTTGGTGGCTAGGGGGTCGTGAATTGACTTTGTGACCGTGCAAGTCGCAGTAGCAGTTACAGTAGCAACCTTTTCGCAGTCACATCCATAGCCATAGTTGCCAGGGCTAGCAAAGGCGATTGGAATGGAAGCAAGAAGAAGGGCTGGTGTAGAGAACTTCATGTTGTGAGATGTTGGAGGGGTCTCGTGATATGGGGGGTCTAAATGAATGTGGCTAAAGGAGTGTAGATCGAATAAGAGTTGGATTGTTCTTCATTCCAGTGCGTCGGCATGTCGAGATCTTTATAGTGATTTTGGCCTTCTTGGGCTTTCAGTATAATCTTGGTTGCCGTATAAGGCAATATCAAGGGAGAATTTTGGTAGGTAGACTCGCAACCGTTATCTGAGTCAACAAAGCGCTAAACGCGGCACAAATCGATAGTCCCTCTTTGCAGCCACCATCCGGATAGACTAACAAAAAAGATCCGAGTCAAATAAGGGGTAATCGCGGCACAAGTCAATAGTGGTCTCTGGTTGCGTCGCAGTTTCACTCGTATTTAAATCTCCGCGCTCTCCCTGAATTTTGTTTCGGCTCCCGCAAATCTGGTAGTTAACCTCTGAGAATCAACCCCTTCAGTTCAATTCCCTTTTAGGCCAAGAAGAAAAAAGGAGTCTTTTTAAGTACTAAACTCTAAACGCTTTGCTAGAGCCACTAATTGATATCTTTAGCCGCAACACTGGGCTGATATGACTAGAGTTGTTCCCACCTTTGCTTGTCTTAGTTTCATCCAAGAAGAATTGCGCCTTGAAGCAGTTATTATTATTCATGCATTTCCGGGAGTATAACTGAAGTACCCATAACTCCAGAGTCTATCACAGATATGGGTTCCAAGCATCTCAAGTCGTGGTCACGTTCAGCAGTAAGGTCTTTGATCAAACAGCTGCATATCTCAGAAGCATCCTGACTAGCTCGCTACAAACAGAAGTGTGAAACAACTTGCCCCTTTCCACTATACAAGCAACTCGTGGGATGATTTGTGTATGTCGCTTTTGCTGTGACTCTCCGACACGCCCTGCAAACCTTGAGCTTGCAATCACCTTTCTGTACAATTATGTCCCGCTTGGCACCAGAGCTGCTGCACGCCATCAGGTTGAGTCCGTCGAAGGTGATATTGTCATCATCATCTATCCGCCAACCTTCTCTCAGCGTCTTGTCTAGCTTTTTCCTTGAGCCAATGGAGTAGCCAGCGGAATTTTGACCTAGAGGAAATATTGTGAGCTAAGTGCAGCGTCTAATGAAAGTCTTCTCACATTCTGTAGCCGCTTTTGTACCATTCACAATCACTTGTTGCCGGGGATTTCCAGGTGAATAGAGGAAGAGCTCTTCGTCTTGGAGGTAGAAGGTGGCCGCATCCTCAGCATTGAACTGATTACAGCAAGCGTCTTGTTTGGGCGACCCTATGTATAGGGTATTGTTGGCGGCTTTTAACTTTTCTGTCCCGTTGTACACTATCTGGAAAGTCGAGGTCCTCCTGATGGGCTTGTGTTGTTTTGTAAGTGAACCTGCTGCAACATAGCCAGCGATGATAGCCATGATGAAAATAGAGCGCATGGTCCTTTCTTAGACAATAAAACACTGGGATACAGTATAATTAGCCAGAACATGGACGTAGACAACAACGGATTTAGCAAAGTATTTATCAGCATAAACCTCCTGTTGAGGGATGAGATGGTGCTGAGTGAATGGAAGGGGACAATAGAGAAAGGGGCGGCGGTTTATTGAGATATTCTAATCAAGCGGGATGGCGTTCCAATCTGCACGCATATTGGCAATATTATCGTCTATCCATTGCTGGTAATTAAAATAAGGGTGAATATCACGTGGATGTACAGCAATTCACCAACAATTACTGCATGGAAAGTCCAGGGTGCTGCAATTGGTAAAGGTTCAACATAGAGATGAAATATTAGCTACGATTACTTCACGTGCCACAAGATTCAAATGGGCAATTTTATCATTGCGAGAAGTTTCTTGTTCGGGCCATTACCTTAGTGTATATATTTGATGAGAACGTCGATGGTAGGAATTCTTAGTCTTGAGTCTCGATAACACGCCCCCTGCTTGTGATTCTGTTCCATGATTCTACATCTCAGCACCCAAATAGGAACTGTCTTAGTAATCGGCCCTTAAAGTTCTAGTGTCTCTAATGTTGCAAGCCAAGCGGCGGTCTTGAAAGAAGCTCGCCGATATTCGTCAAGGCCCATTGCAAACCTACCACTTCGAGATATGCCAATGTTGATTCCGCGTTCCACATCTAGAACACTGGTGCTGCTTACAAAGTTGCCCAGTCTAAGTGGACTAGATTTGATTTATCCTAACCCAAAAATAATACTGCAACGATCAGATCGGATCTGGAAACCATCGATCGCGATCGATTTTGATGACAACCTTGTGTAGATTTCAGGCATTCTTTCTCGTGGCTACAGCTACCGACATACCGTGAAAGTTGCGTCATTTAAGAGTTTCTTGATAAGGTAGATGGGGGCTGGAACAGCGTTCAGAATTCAATATATAACATCTCATTGGGCTTCCATCCATCTCAGCACTACAACAATTCGCATCATTCAAACACTTGCACCATTCACCATATCAACAACTAAACCTCATACCCCATTCTCACTAAATCAAACTCACTTATTCAAAATGAAGTCTGTTATCGGTCTTGCCCTTCTTTCTGTTGCCTTTGCGGCTCCTCGGGACGGCTCCAACGCTGCCGCTCTCGAGAAGCGCCAGTTCAGCCCAGCTGATCTTGATGCCTTCTTTGATTCGCTCAGCTCTCTCCTCGGTCAGCTGCCCTATGAGCCTACTCAGACGATGACGGATATCCTTACTTTCTCGACTTCTGTCTCTGGTACTCCCACTGAGGTCACTGTCGCCACTACCACGTCTGATGCCTTCGATGATGGCCTTCCTTTTGCCAAGCGTCAATCTCCCGGTGACCTTGCCGCTATCATCGCTTCTCTCAGCGCTCTCATTTCTACTACTGCCACCCCCACCGAAGCCATTGGATGCGCAACTGATGTTGTCGATGTCCCTACTACTGTTAACGGCGTTCCTACCGAGGTTTCCAGCCTTGCTGCTGTTCCTACTGTCGCTCCCAGTGCACCACTTCCCGGTGCTCCCGCTGCCCCCGCTGTCCCTGGAGGAGTTTAAGCTCCTTTCGCTCTCTTTAAGAGATATCCAAACCTTCAAAGTGGGTTTCCCCCAACCGCTAGTTTCTTCATGTGTGCTAACCAATCCTGGAGGACCATCATGTCAATTCATAACCAGCAGGGTAACCTTGTTGCCTTTGAAGTCGTTGTACCCAGAGAAATGTGTTGTTTGCAGTTGAGACTTGTGGCTGAGAGCTTAAATCAGCACAGACAAGTTGGTGCTATTTATAGGAGGTGGTTAATGGTGTAGAGGAGCTTAGAAGTTTGTTTTGGTGGATATAGATCGTTTAGTCTGTGTGTTTCAACATCGCACTGATTTTACTTACGAGCAATTTGTGCCAATCGTAATATGGTGCCTTTGACATAGACAAACTTGAGTGTACTGCCAGAGTGACCTCTACTACCACGCCTTATTCTCTTCCATGCCTAGCTTCGATGTGTGGAATTGCGGTAAGTAACATAAGGGCTCGGAACTATTCCCAGCAATGCTAATTCGATATACCGGTTAGCTCCACAAGACAATGATGTATGATATTGACGCTACGCTTTGAGACATTTTTCCAGGCGCCCTGTCGATCATCTGTAATACTCCATTCTTCAAGCCATTTCTCCATACGCCGTTCTCCCTTCGAGCCACTATCGAATATGTTGAATCCCATTCTGCTTTTCGATTTAATATCCATCTGCTGTGCCGTGTCCCCGCAAGGGCAAGCCCCATGAGACACGGAGCATGTCTACCAATGTGATGCTATTCACCACTACAAACAATGCATTCATCCCGCTCACGATACCGTGCTACGGCTGGGGAATTATTGGACTCAGGAAACAACAGATATTGAAAAGGATATCAGGGGTTGCATTCCTAGTGTTTGAAGATTCGTAATACAACAACGACAATGAGATATAAGATGATGCCTCCATACGCCGACTTCTGGCCATCAGTTCCCTACAGCCTCTCACCAACTCTCTACAACCGCCATCTCAGCCGAAATGTTTCTCGGAGCTTTGCTTTTGCTTTCTTTCAGCAACACTATAGCGTATGCCCAAGACTCAACCTCATTTTCACGATGCGCCATCAACGATCCTACTCCTGAACAAAGGGCCAGTGTGAAGGCACTAGAAGATATTGAGAAGGTGACAAGGATCGAAACATCTAGACATATCTGTGTCGATACCTACATTCACGTTGTAACCTCAAACGCATCGGAGGCAATCTCTCAACGACAGGTAGCTGCCCAGTTCAAGGTTTTGAACGCAGCATTCGCACCTCAAAATATCTCATTCGATCTGAAAAACACAACCTGCACTACTAATTCAACATGGGCTGGCGGCGGCGATGAGATCGGAATGAAGAGGGAGCTACGTCAGGGCGACTACAGCACTCTTAATCTTTACTTTGTCGACACAGCGAGGCTTGGTAACACAGCCGCTCTAGGTTACTGCACCTTTCCCTCAAACACCACCCCTGGGTCCGATGTATTTATCCGTGATGGCTGTGTAATTGAGGCGCAGAGTGTTCCTGGTGGCGATGCTGCACCATACAACTTGGGCGGCACCGCAATCCATGAAGTCGGGCATTGGTTCAGTCTTTTTCATACCTTCCAGAATGGATGCGATGCTCCAGGAGATTCTGTCGCTGATACCCCGGCGCAAGGAGAGCCGACAAGTGGTTGTCCTACACGAAAGGACACTTGTCCCGATATCCCTGGTGACGATCCAGTCCATAATTATATGGATTACTCGTATGAGTGAGTAATTTATAAAAGAGTTCAAAGAGTTCAGTACTAATTGTATGTCGCAGCATTTGCTATGAAGAATTTACCCCCGGCCAAAGAAGCCGAATGCACAACTCCTGGGCTACTTACCGTCAGCGACACGCGACTGGCTATTCTGGTTGACGAGGTTGTGATTGATGATGAACTTTTATTAGATATTAGACTTGCTTAGATACTTGAATACGATCCCTGTTCGACCTATTGTCCTCTCATTCTTGTTAGGCCTTTTCATAGTGATAGTTGTTGGTCTTGCTTAAACACTTCGTCGCGACTCACGAATTCAGCAATCTCATGACCTGGATTTGGAACTAGCGTCTGGATTGAAGACGTGCCCACTTAAGACTTCTAGCATTGTAACTATTCAGGGGCGACCGAATGTTCATCTTGACTACTCTGGATGTGTTGTCATCAATTCAAGGACTGTCTCTTACATATCGTAGATTAGAATGGTTTGTGGTCGACGTTGAACGATTGAAGCTTACCAGCAATGCGGCGGAAGGATGAGACAGTCAAGTCAGGTATAGAAGCGAAGTCATCATCATATCAGTATTTAGAAAGCGATCCTGTAATGCCTGGTGTTGAGTAAGGACTGTGACTTTGTTAAAAATACCTACTACTGATTACTTATTCTGATTTTTATGGCGTAAGAGACTTGAAATCTTTAGCATGTGCGGAACACAGATGGCAGTGTACGAGTCAATTGCAGTATCGTATCAGATGTAAGACTAGATCTGATCAGTGTATGTTCAGTCATGTGCAACTTGCTTGAGTCACGATGGAGGTCAAGAGAGTGTATATGGCAAGAAAATAAATCTCATATTAAAAGTCGCACACTGGTGAATCGAAGCAACACCTGAAGATAAAATCGTACAGGATCTCTAGTTCCAACAAGTATCGATCAGACCGCATTGTCAAGACCTCTCGGACATGTCCTCAAAGGCTGCTAAACCAAGCCTTCTCCTGCCCCCAGATGTCCCATTGAATACCCGAAGGAACCGCTGAAAACACAACCTTAGACAAGGTTGCTGATGGCAATGCAAGGAAGAGCGGCGTTGACGAGGCCAGCAGCGGCCTGTGGATTGTTAGTAAGATTTATGTATTGTTGGAATGGGTTACTTACGTTTCCGGGGCTGTCCTGGCAGCAAGCAGCATTGGCCTGGCACTCCTTGTTGAGGAGGTTGTTGGCAATGGCGATGACATTGACATCAACCTTGGAGCACTGGCTGAAGAGGCTGAGGCCGTTGGCGATACCGGCACCGTCGCCAACGGAGTTGCCAGCAGGCTTGTTGGTGACCTTGTTGCAGCAGTAAACGCTCTGGCCGTTGGCGCAAGAGTTGGAAGCCTGCTGAACAGTGAGGGTGTTCAGAGAAGGTCCACCAATGGCGGCGGCGGCGGAAGCGGCCAGGAAAGCGATGACAGTGTAGGCATACATCTTGAAGGTTGTTGGGTTGAAAGTGTTGGTTGAAGTGTTGAAGTGGTAGTGAATGATTGTGATTGTGATGATGAGATGAGATGGATAGATATTTGCGAGAACCAAGAGACTCTTATATAGCTGAAATCATGACAGGTCTCAGCAGCCTTTGATGGGTCGAGACAGTAATTTTAAAATTCCATCATGATTCTGCATTGCCCTTTACTCACCGCTACACATATCCATCCCTGTGGATGACTATTGCATGCTGGAATGTCTTTCATCGACCTGTGTTGTGTCAAACAGTTGCATTGCTAGTAGCTTCACTAACAACAGGGTCTGTCTTGAGGGAGAGTTCTCTATTGTTGACAAGGTCACTAGTTTTTGGTTCTTAGAGGAATACTACTACTCAACCTATTAGCTACCATCAGCCATGAATACATTTGCCAATGAATTAGCTGCAACTCTATTGTAAACCTAATAGACTCTACAGTGCTTCATTGGTTACGCCCCTATGCTTACTACCGGCGATACTGGTCGGGAATATTCATGTTGAGACTTTGGACTTTGGAGACTAGTGCATCGGTGAAACCTTCGGTCAATACTCTCTGGGCATTCCGTCGTATAGTTTGGAAGAACAGGGACACAGAGCACCGTTCCTTGTGGCTCAAACAGCATGTATTTCGCAGTCGGCAGTCGTGGTTCGCTCTCTCTACAGGTGCCGCTTAAGCCACATACTCCAATCTGCCTTATGCTGCGAAACGGAGTCAGCCACCAGGAGGAGGAAAGAGGCTGTGCCGTGTCTCAAGGAGCCGTGTCTCACTGAGCCGTGTCTCACGCTGAGTTGTTCAATGCAGATCTCGCGAGCTAGGCGATTTGGAGCTTAGTGCTCCTGGGATCATCGCATTTTCATTTTTCGATTTGTTGGTGGGGTTTGCGATCTGCATGTGGCTTGATCTAGGATGGAAATAACCTTGTCAATCTGAGATTGATTTGATCCTTGGCGAGTTGGATCTTGGTAACCGATCGTCAAGCGATCCAACGATTTAGGGCAACGTAGCTGAGGAACTTCACACATTTTATTAATTATGCCATGTTCAATATTCCCTGATGAAGGCATCAGCATTCCGTAATCATAATCAATATACAAGTCTGTGGTATTTGCTCTATGTAAGTCATACATGCGCAAGTGAACCGAACCACCATCGACGCCAATGCGTTCGTACCGTAAGCCGTTAACCATTAGCCATAACCATTCATTTGGGACAGGCCAAAACCATGTCGTAATCATCATTGCAAACCCAAACCTAGCCGTATCGTACATAACAAAGAAATTTTACTCTATATCGCCTGCAGCGATCAGTGGGAATTTTGCCTGGCAAGTAGTCGCCGCAGCCTCTTCCCCTGTCTTCGCCTTCGCGTCTCATATTGTAGAGTTCGTTTGGCAGCTGTTGAGGCGGTTAGTGTCGCCCTTGGTCGTCAAGCAGTAAAAGTTACGTACCCCAATCTTTTGCGACCTGCTTCGTCGTGGGATCAACCCACGTGTAATGTACAGCCCGTTCGGGATATCGCGAAGCAATGCCTAATGACTCTCCGGGATGTAGATACATGTGTCGTTCGCGAGCTTTGATGCTGATTTGGCGAGGCTTTTCATCATCGTCATGGTCAAAGCATAGCCACCCGTCTTCATCCCAGACTGGTATCTGATTATTTATTCGATAGTGCCAAGCTTGGAGGCCTTGAACTGTGCGTCGAGGGGTATTACCAAACTGGTGGGCAAACTCTCTCACGACACTTGACCAGCTCAATTTCCTGTCGTATCTGGCGTAAATGATGAAGTCTCCCTGTTCTATGGTGTACTTTTGGTTGCTGCGATGGCTGGAGTCCTCATCAGATGATATGTCATGCCGGGAGCTGGCAGTGGGTGGACAAAGGCGGGGTGTGAAATGCTTGCCTGCAGCGTCATATGGAGGACTTCCGTAGAAGCTGCGTTGATCATCATTGAAGCCACCGAGACTGAGAGGGAGAATACCGAGGCCAGTTACTGTCCTCTGCTGTGAAAGACTGTACTCGGCGAACGAGTTGGCGATTGGACGACTCGATGAGGGCCATGACTGTCGAGTGGGAGGAGGCTTTCGATCCACATGGGCAATCAACTCGGAGGGACTTGGAAGTATAATGCCTACAGAATGATCGCTAATGCGCCCAATCGGTCGTGCGGTAGCTTCAACTCCTCGATCAAATGCCTCAAAGCTCGGTAGCCGTATCGAGGGACCCTTTGGAGGAGGAGTGACGAGGTATGGTACACTTGCAAGACTAGGTGCATCTTGGGATTCGATATCGCTGTCTTTTGGAGTCATTAGTTGATCGGAGTTTGGCATCATGGACCTCTTTACGGGGCTTACCTTCAGTCTTGACATCCGGGCTTCCTATGTCTGAGGTCGGTGGAGTATGTTGTTGAAAACAAGGGTGAGAAGGGCCGGTGACAGCATACCGATATGCCCTCATGTCATGCTCCGGGAAATTGGATCTCATATTCATCATGTTTGTCGAGTAATCAATCAACCAGACGGCGATCGTGCCCAGGGGCGAAGATCGTGATGATATGAAACCAGGGAAATGAACTTTGAGATATTCGGAGAATAACAGATAGTCAAAAACGATGTTAAATAAAAGGGATACATAAACAAAGGGATTGTTCAGGGTCTAGTAAGTTTTAAATGAGACGTAAGTGTCTATACTTGTATGAAACTGTTTTACGTCCCGAATCTAGTGTCATGATTAGAGTATCGCCCCCTGATTATAAAACATCGTGTAAGATAGAGAAAGGCTCGTTGACTCATGGCGATGGGTCACGATTTCATTCTGTTTGTTGATGCAGCCTGTTCAGCCGAGATACGAACGTCATGCGCAGTTACATCCATCCGGATCAGTTCCAAGGACGGCTAAAGACAAGCTTGAGGGAGCCCAGCCCAGCGGGATGGAAATGCAAGGGGTGTGGGATAAGATCTACGGAGGGGCACTACTGCGCTTTTCAGCCTTTCAGGGTATATCGAATAATATCCCGGCGTCTGTCAGTATTTGTTACAGTAGTTTCAGGCTGTAAGCACTACGCAACAGTGCTGTTGCTTTTTTTCCAATGGCCAACAAATGAAAAATGTACACATTTATGGTAACCAGTAAATAGGGTCAGATGACATACTTCTCGCTTGCTTGGCCTTGTTCTCTCATCATTCTCGCCCATTGTAGCCACAGTACCGAGCCAACCAAGAGTCCTTAACGGCACACACCCAGCCACACTACACAGAACGGTCTCAGTTTCGAACCCACGACCCAGTTCCGTAGCTACCCAGGGTTTAATGGAGGGGTCTTGTGGAGCATTATTAGATTACTGAGTAGCCTTCAGGGATGGAGACCACGGGATCTGCGCCCCAAGACATAAGGGCGTGCCGGAGAAGTGAGTCAAGATCGACGCTGTTGATTGCCGGAAACTGAATCACTAGTAGCACGAAACCAGGTTCTTGAGCATACCCCAGATTCCGTCTGAAGGCTCCAGACAGGGGTTCTCGGTGGGTGGGGGGAGAAATGCAGTGGAAACCGTCTGGAGTAGGGATCTGCAGGAACTGTCTCACTTTCGTCCGACATATATCGGAGCCGGCGGCTCACATCGTGAACAAGAAATGAAACACGGGACAGGAGGTTTGCCTCCGCACAATGGGTTGTTAGTACGGACGGGAAGTCATGTACGCTCGGCCATGTTTATGATTATTCAGAAGACAAAGCGATAACAGAGACGGAATTAAAATCAAATGTCTGTCTTTAGATAAGGGGGGATATTGACATCTGGCTAAAAGTCGATATGAAAAAGAATTTGGACAGAATATTTAGCCACTAGTGGACATTGGCTTTACGGTAACTGAGGCTTGACCAGACGAGGCGATGGGATCAGCGATCTCGCGTATCGTAGATGCAGCACTTTGCCGCCGATGCGGCCTGCCTGGCTTGCATAATGGTTGTGCTGCCGTGATGCATCCCATCCAACCTGAGCCGGAAGAACGGTTGGTAAATGATCAATCCCAGCCAAGACCCTGAGATAGCCTGATCGACATGCCAGAGGGTACTACCCTGCGCGAGATAACTGCTGCGTCTGCAACGGCTGCGTGTTAATAGAATCCAAGATCTCGATCGCAAGCAGATGGGAATTCACGCCATAACATGGATTTGGGAACTTACCAATACTGTTCGGGCCTTTTGGATGGCAGCCTTCTTTTGTCTCAGCTTGAGCCGTCACTTGTGATGCATATTCTCTGTCATGATGCTATGAATTGTCACTGCATGATGAGGAAATATTGGAGGCAAGATCTGCTATATTCTTTATTCTTAAGAACCCCCATCCTCTAAAATATCTAGGCTCCTTGTTACAGTGCTCACACTACTTGACTATCTATATCAAAGGTTTCCAACATTTGAATCTTTCGCCACCAAATCATTCCGCTAGCTTGACCTTGCGCTCAGCATGGACCATACTCTCAACATGGAGAGCCAGTGCTTTGTACCAATCGACACATCCTTTTCCTTTGCCTCGTCACCTGATGCCCCAGTCACCCCTACCTCATCACCTAGATCAGACTGGATGGAATCAGTGCCCTTGGATTACAGCGATGTCTACAACAACGCATACTACTGGACAAATACGACATGTCCAGCCTCTTCATTCATGTCAGACAGTACTTGTTCCGAAACCGTCCGAGGAGGCTTGCCGTATCAACATGTTTTACATCAACAGTATGTCGACATCGACTATCAACAGTTGCCATATACAAGCGAGGTCGACATCAGCCCAGTCGGTCCGATCAGTCCATTCCCGATGCCCACTACACCTGGAACAGGCGACAATTACTTCACTGTCGGCACGATAATGTCTCCCCAAGCTCTGTCCCGTTCTGGGAGCATTGCGTCCATGCCTTCATTGTCTTGTTCCAGCGACAGCCCTCTCTCAATCGTTTCCGAGAGACGGGTCTCAGATGTCTCAAGTTGTCTTGACCAGGACCCTTACCCACTCAGTGTTTGCCCGCTGCGGGACTCCAGGTCGATCTATGATGCGGAATCTCCACCAGAGACGCACAACCTCGCAGACGAGACACCAATGTCTCTTCAGCGGAAGGCTCCGAAATCAAGAAAGCAAACAATCGAGACATCTGCTTTCCGAGCAACAATCATCAAAAAGGCAACGGGTGCATGTGACTACCCAGGATGCAACAAAGCCTTTCGGCGCATTGAGCACCTCAAGCGACATAAGCAAACGTAAGTGAAATTACAAACTTGGCCCCCCCAAGAGGCGCATGTCTGACAAAACAAAACACAGATCTCACGGTGAAGGAGAAAACAGCTTTGTCTGTGAGTTTTGTGGAAAGGATCAATTTAATCGTTACGACAACCTCCAGACTCACCGAAGGCTGCATGCGCGACACAACAAGCGCTATCGCAGCATCAAGTTTGTTCCTGCAGCGGTGGACATCATTGCAGAAGAGGATCGCACCAGGAAGAGACGAGTTACGTATAGGTCCAAGGGGATGGCAGTGCAAGACTGGCGGGTTCACGGATGAGCGTGCGCAGTTGATCTCGACGCAATTACCTTCTGATATTCAAGATACTTACTGTTGTGAACGGGGAATTTCATAGGTTTAGAGCGGACTTGCAGAACCCAAGGCAGAACAGCACTGAATTGTATATTATAGCCCCAGATAACGAGTCATTTGGGAGCTTCTTCTATTCTTGTACTATGGCTTATCAATGTTATTATTGCAATTTCAATCTCTCGTTACATGACGTGTGTGTGAGGCGCGTGCTGTAAGCATCAGCGGCGGTTTCTATCAACTCAAAATAACACTCTTATCAAATCAGTTCAGGCAGTATACCGGCTACCTAACACAATTGCCTAAGATAAGCTTTCCAGCCTATCTGACTCGTTACATGACACGGCCCATCTAGGAACCTCATCTCCAGTATGTTGAGGTTTTTGGCAGCACGTCAATATCACATCACGGGGAGCTGCCCCCAGACGCTGGTGGGGTTTCCAAGTCGCAAACTAAGCGAAATGGGACCCCTGCATATGTGAGGGGGGTGCTTGATTGGCCCCAAGACTACGTAAGGCTACTAATATACAGTAGTGCCTGTCTAAGTACATAGTAAGCTAACTTAGTACGTACGGAACGATGCCGCGAGACGATGCCCCTGTCTGTGCAGACCACCATCACCTTCATCGCCAACCATTAGCTCGAAAGAGACCTGATTTTCATAGCCTATCAAGAACTGAATCGCCCGGATAATTGCCAACGTAGACGGAGCTGAAAACTAGGAGAGGAAGCTCCGGTGACGTACGCTATGACCCGAGGTTGAATGTCAGCCTTTAGTAAACAAAAAGAAAGGACACTAGGTGCTCGATTCCCAGCGCCCACCTCTTCGGTTCCTGTACCCACTGCCAGCCAGGATCGGGGCTACTGGGCTTGCATCGCCGTTGGTGTGAACTGTGCCGCATCTTGACATGGAGTATAGTACAGTCAACGCAGCACTTGTTGAAGCTAAAAGTGACCAAGGCAACTTCTTTCGGAGAAGACACCTCGGAAGTAGATAGCGTCCGATCGAGTGTCGATGAATCTCTGGCGGCCCATCCCTAGTGGCAGTCGAAACTGCTGTTAGCGGTAGCGGTAGCGGTCGCGGTAGCGGTCGCGGTAGCGGTCGCTAAGTGCCTAGGTGCCTAGGTACTAACTTTAGCCGGAGTTTAAACTCACTTCTGCATTTGATACTGCTCAATTGTCTTGATGCATGTACGTCTTGATAACAAATGTATTGGTACTCTTCATGAGTCATGCGATGAGTGATCAAAGCTGCAAGATCTCCCTAATTCCGCATGGTACCTCTCAAATCGGTGTCAGATTGCAGATCACTCCACTCACTCACTCACTGACTCACTGACTGCCCTGCCCTGCCCCTTGGATTCCATTCCCCACACCAACCAAGCCAACTTTGACGCATGCCACACATATGGCAACAATAAGCAGGGGGGGTTGCATTAACACAGACACACATGCGTACGTACGTACGTCTGATATGCCGCCCGCCTCGATCTGTGCCAATCACCCCCATACCTTGATTTTCAATTGCCCTCAGTTGTTGATATTACCCAACCGCATTCCTTCACCACTCATTCACACCTTAGATCTCGATTTACTGCTTGGCAATTCCTCCCGTAATTACTGGGCACTTAAACTTAAACTTGTTGTTATTACAGTTATATGCCATTCAGAGGTTGCAACGCCAGTGTAGCTAGCCATCCCACGACCCCCTCTCCGACCGACCTACTTAAAAGCTTAGACTACACTTCGATCGGCACTCAAGCTTTTACACTTCTGTCAACATACCCGGCATCCATGCCTGTCAGCCTGTCCAGCCTCCACTCCACCATGTCGTTTGACTCGTTCAGCTCGTATCAGCTTGATACACCAGATATTCTAGACGGTCAAAATCCGCGGCCTTCACATGACGAATATCAATTGAGTCCGTTTGATACCTGCCAAGTCCCAGGCATGATGCAGTATCAAATGGACATGCATCAAGACTTGCAAGAAGCTGAAGAGCCAAAGTCAAATAGTAGACCGAAGCTCGGCTATAAACGAGCTTCATCGGCGTGCAGTAAGTAAAATTTCCCGTGTCCGGCTTTTGGCCTGCACGCTCGCTCGCTTATCCATCTGACATTTCCCCAGAACAATGCAGGCATCGCAAGATAAGATGCATCGCCTCTTCTTCTGACGCTCAAGGTCGTTGCGTCAGCTGCGTTCGTTTGAAAAAAGAGTGCAGCTCTTACCTCACAGGCCAGTCGTCGGTTGATGGCTCTACTCCTATTCGAGTAGCCAGGTTCTCTCCTTCTGCGGATGGAGGCCTAGACGCTTATGATCTAGCACAAACCTCTGCCACCGTGGATCAATATGTAGACGTTCAAAAGCCACCTCTAGATTCGTCCAAAATGAGGTCCACGACTTCCGCAGGCCCCATAGGCAATGGAATCCCGTGGACAGATAGCTTTGCATCTGAAATGAGAGGTTTGTTCCGCTTCAACAACACAACTGTTGCTGCCGATCCTTACTAACACGGATTTGCTCTAGGAGAAGACCAAGTGAATCTCATCATGAGAAGCCAGAGTCTACCAGGCTGGGATGCCGCAGTCATGGGGCAAATTTCAAATTCAAATCCAGTCAACTTCGACTTAATCCAAAGGGGGCAGCTCTCAGAGGTCCCTGCTATCTCACAATTCTCAACAATGGTGGATAACAGTGCAAATCCTCTGTCTCAAGCAGATCTCAACTTTGCGTGGAGCTCAAACTCCTATGCACTTCCAATACGATCTCTTCCCGGGCTACCTGAGTCTCCGAACATTGACAATATGTTTAACGGTGGCGGGGAGGCTCTCTTTGATTTTCAGTCGAGCCCGGTCCCCAGCACGAATCAGCCACTGTCTCTGCAAATCAGCCCTGCTGCACAGGGTCGCAGTCAGTCGGTGCCTTATACCGGGTATACCTTTAATTCATTCTGGGAATGATGATTGGAAACCGAGATTGCAAGCTAGGTCTTTGTACAAGTAGCAGTAACTACTTGAAGGTAAATGACTGTATGATATGGCGTTTATTATAGCGTTTGGAAGGATAATAAGTTATGGATAACGGCAAAGGGTGCATGGATGGGTTCAATTACTTGTAATGGTAAAAAATGGTTCACCTGATGGATTGTCACATTAGCTCAGTGTTTTTAACTTTGATTTATCGTAAACCGTCCTTCCTGGTCCTTTTTGTATGCTTGTACAACCTTGACTCTCTTTACGATATGTGACACTAACAGCTATTGACTTTTCCATCTTCTTGATATATAGATTTGCTTCATTCTAATAACACTCTGGCCATGTTATTTTTAACCGATAATTCTTAGGTAGTCCCAAAAGTCATCCTTCTGATCCATGCTTACTAATTCGTGCTACCAGAAAACCGGCACCGCTCGAATGCTGTATCAGTGGGGCCAGCCACAGACATGTTACAGGCTCTTGGATCTCAGCTAACTAACCTAGTTCGAGGGAGGAAAGGCTCTTGGTACTAGCAGTTGATGGAGTCTTTGAGACATTGGGCGACCAACAGTTTCCACAAGCATGTCTCACTTTGACCAGAAGTCGGCCGAACTTTCTGTGACCCGTCGATCTTTGTGGCTGCGTCAAATACCGGAAAATGATCAATCACCTGAGGTTCTGCCCTGCAACTTTCTCTCCTGGCATGCCGCGGAATGTTCATCAACTCACCCGAGCGCCACCAACTATTTCGAGGCTGCAGCGGCACTACGGTAGATTGATTGGGTATGTATATCACGGTTATCACCTCGGCAGTCGATCCGGCTACATTTCCGCCCCTCTCGTTCACCTTGATAGCTTCTCGTTACTCCAACAGGTTTGAAAAGGTCTGCACGATGAAATCATCCCGATGTTCACACGACTCGAGTCCCTCTGACCATCGGAAACCACCGTCTCTATCAGAGATCCTCCAACTTCAACCTCATCCTCTCCCCAGCCATCGTGGCTTATGTTCTCCATCGGCCTCTGCATCCCCTGGTCCATCACCCATCAAGGTAGAAACAACTTCTCTTCCCAAGCCTGTTCATCCTGATTTCAACTTACCCTGTCCTCTTCCTAATCCGTCAACGGGAATCTCAAGTCTTCACACACGCACCCTCATTTTCAATCCAGCTGCACAAGCCCGACGTAATGATGTTTTGGATCTCTACCCTGGAAACCAGACCTATACAGAGATGCTGGGTCAGGTAAGCCAGGCAGCATATCACGGTCTTCTACAATAGTATTAATTCTGAATAGATCATGTCACGTTGCCATGCCATCTCCAATTTCGCTGAGGCCAACCGGGGAATGGTCTTGAAACAGTACACTACACAGGTGAACCCAGCAAGGCTACCCAAAGAGCAGGATATCAACGAAATGCTTAGAAATCAGGAAATAGTCAAGCAATTACTGCAGAAAGTAAATTCACTGCAATTCTCCCTAAGAGCTCAATCAGGCCCTGGACCTCCTCAACAACACATGATTGGTATGTCTGATTACACGACGAGGCCGATGATTGCGTCGACAGAGCTTACAAAGCCAGACCTGGTAAGAAATCCATATTCTCTGAAGGCCAGAACATGTCTAACGGTTGACAGCCCGTCGGTCTTCTAGCGAGATGTGGCAATTGCACTAGATTTACTGCTCGCTCATCGGGACAGCGGCAGACTTTATGTCGAGCTTGCTATTCTCTCCAAACAAGACAGGGAGCTAAACAAAGCACCAGGCGTGATCGGGTTCCTTGAAACCTGAAACTTCTGGCAGCCAAGTCAGTGCCGGTACGGTTTCGATTCCCAGAATCAAGCGTTGTATAATTGCTGGGCCGGTTTTGTAATAGAAGTTTGTCAACTACTTGCATGTAATTAGCCATTACTTGGAGCTGTTCTTTCAAACAATGGTATCTTCCAGGTCACTCGTCTGTTTATGAATGATTTCGTGATGAGGCTGTTACGTTTTTCTCAATGACATGTATCACTTATGCATGACTAAAATCTTGTAGGCTCGGATATGGAAGTTTGGCGAGCCTCAAAGGTTCCCATGAAGGCATCGTCATACAGCTAGTTCTGACAAAACAGCACGACCCGAAGGTGAATCCTCTACTGTCGATCAACAGACTAACTTTCTTACTTGAAATTTATTCGGGCTTATTTATCTTCAACAGGCATTACTTAATATTAATAGCACGATAATATCTACTATATATTAATTTATCCTACGTGAAGCGATATTAAACTAAATGCTTCAAGAGCTTAACCTACAGACATTATCACATACTCATTGAGATTGAGCAAGAGTTTGACTCCGACTAACCTACATACTGACTCGGTGCATCACGTAATGAAAGATACTGGGCCAGGCCAGGACGCTGTAAATATGGTTTAAGGGGCAGAACACCGTCATCAAATTAATAGGTAGTAGTTGTAAATAAAATAAACTAAAATATTATCCCCCAACGTTTTGCTTCCTTCGAGTGATGAGGTCCAGCAATATTCCTATTTCCAATTTGCCCCCTCCAGTTCATCTTGGATCGCGGGCTAGGAGCAACACCAGCTGTTGTGGGATTCAGAATCCATGTATGGAAAGAAAGACGCTGCGCCTGAATGACAGAGAAGTGTAATAAGCTGTCCTCGATGACGGATGTTTCGACGTCAGTTTCTCCATCATCTGTAAACTCTGCTTCATCTTCTGTACTGCTTCCACTCTCACTGCAGCTAGCGTCAGACCAGTACGAGGTATACGACGAGGGGGTTTCCAAATATCCAAAGGTGTCATGTTTGTGCGGTTCCGTATCACTTTCACCTGAAATACACAGGTCATGCCCTTGTTGAGGGGAAGGCCTCAAATCATCTTTTGGAGGAACAGGGGGGGGCTCAAGACTCCAAGCGCTGTCGGGCTCAGACTCATTTCTCTTGATGGCAGTAGGCCTGGCTGGTTGAATATTCTCTGAAGACAGATAGGGTCGTTGATGCAGTTTAAGCGGGGGTCGTAGAATGCGACCTGAAGCAGAAGAAAAAGACCGCAGCTGGGAAGCGGCTTCTATCTTTAGACTTCTCTTTGGGAGTGTCTCGGGTACGGAATAGCACGATGAGGGTGATACTGGTCGTGAATGAGAGTCTTGAAGCGAGCATTCGTGAACAGAGTCGTAGTGAGGGTAACAAGGGCTTTGTAGCTTTTGACTCTGGTATTTCTTGGCCTGCAAATTTGTGGTGGGCCAGCTATGTAATGCCTTGTGTGACTGAAATGGCATTGTCATGTTTGATCCAATGATATCTCAAGGGGAATGCGTAGAACAAAGCTTGCCTGAGCTTTGATATGAAAAAAGGCCGAGTCAGTATCAGCGAGCTTCTGCGTCGCAAAAGAGAAAGACAGAAAGATGACGAGGGTTCGCCTAGTGTTTCAAAGAAGGTCTTGGGTGTTTTATAAACGATCGTGGTGCATTGCTGAATTGATAGAAGACTTGAGTGCTGGATGTAGTTATACTTTATAGAATCAGCAGCCAACATGTCCAAAAGCTGAAACTGGCGTCAAGTTTATGAGGTTGGCGGGATCTTTCTTCTGCAAGGCAAAATTGTCATCAACCGGTTTCGTCTTCAGTTGCTGCCGCCTTGGGCTAGATTACTCGAGTGTGCGGCTGACCATCTCGTCTACTACCTCTGCCCTATTGGCTTATCACAACTGCAAGGAGAACCCGTCTGGAATGCAAGCCTTTCTGTAGGGTTGGCAGAACACCAAGTTCTATGTTATATCTCACCTACGATTGGCCAACTATTACATCTCGAGTTCAGATCGCGGGATCGATCTAGATGCTTTCGTTTTGGATTAAAGATCTCATGCATATGCAAGACATTTGAGAGGTCTTTTGTGCTTCGTGGAGTACCAAACTGACAGTGATCGCTCTCCCGTGTCTTGTCTCCTGGTGTGTCTCACGTACCATTCATCTACTGGAAAACCTGCTTTTGAGAGGGGAACAGATTTCTCCGAATGGCTGGATGAATGCACTGCCATCCATCATCACGATTTGGATGCTGTGAAAATCGTATCCTTGAGAGTTTAGCCATCGATGATGCTTGATCTTCACCTTTAATGGGTAATAGCTATGCAGGGAGCGTTACTTCTGTTGAATCATGAAACCTGTTTTTTCTACAGTGTAAGCTCTAAGATGGATAAATGAAATATGTAGATTACGGCATTGGCCGGTTTTAGCTACTACTTTGAAACTCGTCACGGATGACCCGCAGCGGACATTTACATCCCGAGAATTGGAGACTAGAGCCCTTATCCAATGCCAGAGCAGATATCACGGTATAGTAAGACGAACTAACGCCCATCAGAGTGAGCAGAGAGAAATAATTTACAGCCATGATACATTTTCTTGAGTAAGGGTCAGACTCAAGACGAAAAAATGAAGCGGTGAGCGAGAGACTGAATATATGTGATATGAAATTCTTGGAATATATTAATTGAGTAACCACTGTAAATCGTCGGTTGTTGATATCCCGTTTAAAAGTCCTACCCTGAACCTCAGATCTCACAAAAGCTAGGTTCCCTGTGCTGATATAAACTCTCAGACAGAAATCCCAACTGCAAATAACACATCTAGCTCACAAATTGGACATTATGCCATCATGGCTAGACGATTCCTACAATTCCCCCAAAGCAATCTCAACATAGGATCCTCGATTACAATGCGTGGGATTAGCTTGGGCCAAACAATTTACTAATTTGTGTCCGAGATGGACTGGAGCAGAAAGTTCAAAAAAGAAGGATCACTCATCGCAGACTAAGACAACGTGTGAATCGTATCTGAGTGACGCAAGCGAAGGTAAGCATAGAATTGACACCTCGTACAAACTTACATCATGTGGGCGGGTGATCAATGCACAAAGAAAACAGACTGGTAATAGAGATGATCATCCCGTGGAGGATGTACTTGCTGTTGGAAGTGTCCAGACGTATTCAGAAATGCCATCTCGATGAGCATCTGAGTTGGGGCCGCTCTTAGTTTAAACGTCGATATTTATAGCATCGCAACCAGTGGCTTCTTGATTAAACGACTGTCATAGAACCACGCATTACATCTCTCTTCTCAATAATACCAATGTTTATACTACGAGTAATACTATTGCTATGAAACTTTCAAATCAACAACGCCAGATTGACGGCCCGAAAGGGCATGCCAGTTAAACATCGCGAGAAATTCGAACGCGGATAGTGGACCTTGGTGTCGCTGCTCGATAATTCATTCTCACCACACAATTCGTACCCTCTGCAATGAAAAGGAGACTACAAGGATTATCGCCGGAATATCCATTCCTCAGTTGCAGAGTGATAGCGAGTCATCGGTGTACTTCCTCATCACTTTGCTGTTTCTAGCAGACTCGAACCAGTCAAGGGAGTGCTAGTACAATGTTAGTAGTATGTGAGGGGAATAATTATGACAATGGATCGACGTTGATATCAAACTCTCCGTGGGAACCAGGCTAAGGACGGAAACCGAAAGTCCCGGTGTCGATATGCAAGGGCGATAACAACCTTTTACCCCAGATTCGTAAATACTTCGATCTATTGGGGATAGTTAGGGCTGAAGTGGATCGATGTTCGGGATTTATTATGTGGGGAGTTCGAGTGGCTCCCTTTACTAAACAAAGGTCTTACCAGTAACCTAAGCCGTGTTTCAGTCAATGAGCCGTGTCTCTGATGTGCCGTGTCTGAGGGAAGAGAAGGACCGAATTTTCACGTAGGGAGCATGGCAAAGTGAATTCCTCGTGCTGATCATCCCTCGCAGTTGGCTCTGTGCCAGGTACATGGTAGACCTGTTTAATCTGATACGCTACAGCAGCCAATCACGTGAGGCAAAACTGAAGGGCATTGTTTTGGCACTGTATTGACCTAGGTACACCAATAAGTTGCTCAACAGCAAAGAGATTGTTGGCTAGTCTAAACCGATACTTTGTGTTCACACCAAAACTAAGGCATAGAGCCAGGTAGTCATGCCAAGACAGGTAAATAATCCAACACTACTAGCGTACTTCTCCTGAGAATGTGTCTCAGCGTCATATCCGGAGCAGGACTATGCCGATCCCGAAGGGAATGACAAACTATCCGGGGCATCGAGGAAATGGGCGAGGTTGCACTAACGGGTTCCTGCGTAACAGCCTCCCTTGACCCAAAATCGACCGTAAATCAGATATAAAGAGTACAATGCAACCCTCCAAACCAAAATCTTCTCTCATCAGCATCTCTCATCTCAGCCTTCGTTCAAGTTTGATTTACTACTTCTCACTCCATCACCTCACAAACCAACAAAGCCCTTCTTTAATATCTTCTGTCTTCGACAACCCCAATCCTTCAAGATGCAGTACATGACCATTGTCGCTTTCCTCGCCGCCACCGTGGCCGCTGGTCCCCAGATCAGGTCGTACCCTTCCATCGATCAGATCACTGTCGCCCAAGCCAACAATGCTTGTGGTAACAACATGCAGGTCACTTGCTGCAACAAGGTTACCAACACTCCTGCCGGCAACGCTGTTGGCAACGGTGCTGGTATCCTTAACAACCTCAGCCTGTTTGACCAGTGCTCCAAGCTTGATGTTAACGTTATTGGTATCGCCAATGGCCTCCTTAACAAGGAATGCCAGGCAAACGCCGCCTGTTGTCAGAACAGCGGTGGCAGTGTACGTGCTCTCCAATCACCTTGTGAAAAGCTTCTTATTAACATCGCGAATCTAGGCCACCGGAGGTCTTGTCAACGTCGCCCTTCCTTGCATCGCTCTTAGCAGCCTCCTCTAAGCGCTTCGAGCCAAGCATGGTTCGAGAGTTTGGATCAGTCCGGCATCTATACATCGTATTATCATCACGCCAATTTGGCGACTCACAGTCCTTACCTTCGTGTTCTCGTGCACCATGCCTGAGTTGAATATTTGTCATTGTTTTGTGGGGTAATTGGGGGAGAAAAAAACGTGCTGTTGATGGTATGCATCTCACGACAGGCCTGAATGGTTTGTCAGGTGTAATTCAATCATCGGCAAGGGCCATAATATAGAATTAGCACTCAATCATATCACTATGCGGCATTCAACCATCATCGTCACCTGTGATTACTTGGTTTTCTTTATTAGTTACATTCAATCACTACTAACACTCACAAGTACCATATTGATTTATTGTCGCCAATCTCTGCGTCCGCCTTCCTAATTCCTTCTGTGCCTCTTAGAATCGTAGAGTAGAAAGAGTTAGGCCGATATCAAGACCCTTCGGATGTCTTCTCCGGCACACCCTGGATAGCAACTTCGCTACAGTTCTCTATCCTGAGTTACGCTCTTAGCCACGAATCTCAACCGGACACATTACAACTGACTTTTAACTTGGATACTACACCAAAACTTTGATACCATACATCTATATATAAGGGCTTAACACCGTCAAGTAACTATGTTGGTATAGATCGTTTAAAACTAATACTGTTGAGCATAGTTGAGAAGTTCGCTCCCAAGCACAAAGAGGACAGGCTCCGAAACTCTGCGTACATCTGCAGAAGACATCTGAACATTCCAACTAAGATCGTACAGCATCTCAATTTCCATCGAGTTAATTTGCTCCAAGGTAAAATAGTGAATACCACTCTTCTGCAGAAACCTCACCCATCGAGCATTAGGCGGAGGATTATCGTACAGCTGCTTGACAGCAATGATCATAGAGGTCAGCACTAAGCAATATGGAGCACTGGGGTTGGATCCGGATGCTCCGGGATGCCGGAGCCGCCAACGACCAAGATATACTGCAGAGGCAATCATAACGACTCTGGGTAATTTGAATGCTATCACGAGAGTGCGGATAAAAGACGACAAGGTGGGCAGAGAGTCCGTTGCTGGACCTTTTGCAATGAGACTACATGTCTTTGCGGAGTACTCTGGGCTTTGGTGCAGATAAGGCACAGCGTCAGCAGCAATGGTGGTGATGTAGTTCATGAAATAAAGGTCGACGAAGGCATCTGTCAATGGCCGGCCCACACTCCGACATTGTGGAACTGTTGAGTAAGACGACATGTCTGCCAAGGTCATATATGGCTAAGACACAGAATTAATTAGTAACGACTACTTGGTAGGTGCGTGTTTGAACGATGGGGCGTGAGTGTTGGGGCCAGGGGGTCGAATATATTGCCAGGCTTGAGTCAAGACGTTGGCTTGTCTCCAGAATGGGTTTTGGATCTCCTCACTTACTATTGAGTTGAAAGGGATAATCACCTCTGGGCAAGGGAACGGCCTGCAAAGATGAATTTGAGACGAGTTTGCAGCGCCACGGATAGAATTTGACAATGGCAAGACTATTTGTATTGTCAAAGTAAGGTGGATGTTATTGTGCATCATTGTCATGACGCACGTTTCAGTATCAAGTCCAAAGGCAACTGAAATACAATCTAAAAGGTCTCTCAAATTCTTAATGGCATTGTGTTCAAGGCGAATTCTTTAGGTTGGCAAGGGAACATCTGTTCCCAGCGATATCCAAAGCCCGATGATGGCTCTCGATGAGCAATATGTGATCTCTGTACCACATTGGATGCAGGGACCGACTAACTGGAATCTTCAGAGAGAATACGGATACACCTTTTACCTTAATTACTTTGTGCGCTTGCTGGAACGGGCAAGCGGCTCCTGTCTGCCGAGGAGAGGGAGAATCTGCCGTGTCTGACATAAACCAGGAACTTGTAGGCAATAGTTAAAACAATTCTAACGAGGGTGCCTGAGACACCTTTAAGCGTTTGTGTGGCAGCCCCTTCAGATCGGTCCGACTCCCTGCCGTGTTTCTCGATGTCACTGATCCAGTGATCTCCATGTATGTCATTGTCTCTGAACGGGGTTATTCGCTCTCAAGCTTTATTATCCTGCATCCCTATTATATCTTGTAATTTGGAATGTCAATAGTCTGTTGAATAGGTTGGTAAGTGAGATTAACTGTAATTAAGAACGATCCCTACTCACTACCAAGTAAACGAATTCCTCCCTTGATCTGCCGCCGGTGGTATCCAAAGTCTGCTGTTAGTTACGTAGTGCTGGCGATCTTTCATAGTAAAATTACTCTTTTGACGGTGATAGTAAATTAGCAATGTAGACTTGCATAACATTTTGTAGTTCACATTCCGCCTGTCACTTAGTTCGTTCAATATTTACTTTTGACAGAGATGAGAGGATCAGCGATTGGGATCATCCTGTACAATATTTCATTCCACTAGACTTACGAAGGGTATCTGTCCTGTTTGCTCAGCCTTTGCGTACCTGGAGCTGAATGCTCCCTGCGCGAGAGATACGTATTGTGTAGATATAAAATCTGGAAGGCTTACCATCAAGTCCCAAGTATTCTCTATCCTTCTTCAAACACACTCCTTTTACACTCATTACAACGCAATCTTGCAAATACTTCAAAATGCAGTCATTCCTTACTCTTGCATTGCTTTTCGGTAGCACCTTGGCCGCTCCCTTGAACCCTGACAAGAATGAACTCACTCGTTCCGAGGGCGCTGTTGGCCTGGAGAAACGTCAAGTCCTTCCCCGATCCGTCATCCAGATCATTGACTTGGACAACGGTGAAGACTCCGAGGCTTCTACTACCGATGCTTTCGTCATCGAAACCACTGCTACCAGCACCACTGCCTTCGGAACCCCGACTGACTTTCCGCTTGGTGATCTTGGATCCACGGATGACAGTCAACAGCCGGATCCTAATGGCCCCATTAGTGGTTTGGACAAGAGACAACTTGATGCCCTGACTGGCCTCCTCGGGGGACTGAAGCCCGAAAGCCTGAGCAAAAGACAGCTCGATGCCCTGACTGGCCTTCTTGGGGGATTGAAGCCTGAAAGCCTGAACAAAAGACAGCTTGATGCCCTTACAGGCCTTCTGGGAGGGTTGAAAACCGAAGGCCTGAACAAGCGACAACTTGATGCCCTGACAGGCCTTCTTGGTCCACTACTCGGCGGGCTAGGGGGTGCGCCACCTGCCGTGCCTCCACCTGTACCCGTCCCCGGAGCCACCACTACCGCTGATGCCACTACCACCACTACTGGAGTCATTCCCACTGCTACCGATGCTGTTCCCGCCAATCTCGAGGATTTCCCCACCTTTGGTTCTGAATGAGAAGGACGGGAGAGGAGAGCGATGCATTTGATCCAGCAGTCCTAGTCACAAGCTTGTCCTGGCGTATCATACGCGTCATGCTTAGTATTATTTTAGCTGTCATACGTTTCTTGTGTCAAAGTTTCATGGCGTTGAGATCGGGATTTGTTGGTGAAATGAAGAGACGCAATATTGCGCGTCGCACGAGGGATGGGTCATTCAGTTGGGTTTATCACTGAATATAGAAGCCTTTGAGCTATCAAATATAAATCTAGTTTGGGTTTTTGATATGTTGTTCATAAATGAACTCACGTGTTAGTTTTACAGAGTTTTGACTTTATTCGTTGTGATCCATCCATTAATTTCCCCGAATAACAACGCTGCCTGACAGTACTGCTAAACAAATCTTCACTTTGTGTTCAGGTCAGCATATTTGCTACTGATTCACTTCCATCAAAAATTTTCCAGCACCTTTTCAAACAGGATAAATATGCAACAGGCCATATAACTTGTTTAAATTAGTATTATCGCGAGAGTTGTTATGAGGTCTAGGGTACCACGTGACCATGCCGACCTTCGGATCCACATGAGCTCGCATTCTCGATGGGCGGCGATAGTTAGCCAAACACCAAGTCGAGATATCCCTCTTCAACAGGGAGATCGATACCGCATCTAACGATCTACACCGAACAACGAGAATGCCGTCGATGGCCCGTTGAGTTGACCTCAATGGCGTCACAATCGGCTATCGCAGACCCCCGCAACAATGTATAACCGCGACTCAAGGATAATGCGCAAGCTCCTCGGCAAGGCTGCGACCGAGACCCCCGCAGGCGATTCAGCCAACCTTTCGATAACAAGCGCGCCCGCTTCTACAATCTCAGCCTCGTTTCGACCGCCGAAGTCGCAAGATGCCGTGTATAGAGCTGGTGTTCCGATACTGGCCCTCGATGTTTCGCCCGATCGAAGAGCCGCCGTGCTGGCAGGTGGACATATTCTGAAGACAGTGGTCCTCGATGATCCTCACAACTTCAACTTCAACTTTCGCGAGGGTGTGGACTTGAGAGCTGCGATTACTGCTCAGCCTGCTGGGGTGAAGGGTAACCAGGCGGCGGATCAGCTCAGCATTCGCGATGTTAAATGGCACGGTGGTTCAACAATCTTCACAGCTTGCGCGAATGGCAAGATCTTCGCATACGATGTCGCACGAGTCGGATCTGGCGCGGCCGAGCCATTGGAATACATGCAGATGCAGGAAGATTCGCGTCAGGTTAACACCCTCGATGTCAATCCACATCTCAAGAGCTGGCTTCTTTCAGGCAGCCAAGATGGCATGGCACGTGTTTTCGATACTGCAGCACCTCTCCAAGGACGATCGGGCGGCATCACCTTTCGGCAACGATTCGCGCCCCTGAAATGCATCGACTCGGTTCGTCAAGTTAAATGGTCTCCAAAGGTCGGACACGAGATGGCATGCTGTACCGAGGGTGGAGTTGTGCTCAAATGGGATGTACGGCAACCATCAAGACCTTTGCTGCGGATCAATGCACACGAAAAAGCGTGCGCCTCTATCGCATGGCATCCGGACGGGAATCACCTCATTAGTGCCGGCCGAGATACAAAACTCCATGTGTGGGATCTTTCGAGCTCAGCCGATAAACGACAGAAGCCGAAATGGTCTGTCACAACACCTGCGCCTATCTGGACTATCGCATGGCGACCAGGCCTGTGGTCTGCTACGGCGCAAAGCAAACGCGTAGCTCAAATAGCAGTGTCCTACGATGATAGCAGCTCTCGTCGATATGGTACTTCGGCAGTACACATCTGGGACCTGGCTCGGCCAACCATGCCATACAAAGAAATCGAGAGATTCGACGCTTCACCGGCTACTCTGCTCTGGCAAGACCAGGACATGCTTTGGACAGTTGGTCAGGACGGACTGTTTGCGCAAAACGATGTCGCATATGCGCCCAAGGTCATTGATCGCCAGTCCACCTCATCTATGGCATTTTCACCGAAAGGCGATGTTATGATGTTCCTTGACGAGCGATCACATCAAAGCAGTCGACCTCGTCCTCCAGTCACACACCACGCAGAGATAGTGCCTCGTGGCCCCTATGGATCGAGCCCCAATGCCCCCATGCTGAGCATCAGCCGCAGCGACTCGGAGGAGGATGTCATTGGCAGTTTTCTTGGTCCCAGACGACGGATGAGTCGAAGGAAAGCAGGTCGATCCACCAATTTGAGCACGACGCCACCTTCTGGATCTGGCCTCGATGATAACAAGGCATTCCTGGCGCTTGACCAAGCTATCAATGTCACAGGTGTCTTCAAGACTCAGCAAACGATGGCTTTCGGTCGACTGCCTGCTGTAAAAACAACACAAATCTACCAATATCTCTCAGGATTATACCTCGAGACGCTCCACCAGGAGCTCCCATACGTTAAAGACGGCAAGCCGCTCAATGAACGAGTCGCTGTTATTCTAGAACATTACGCTCGCGCAGCCGAAAGCGTTTCGTACTTCCGATTAGCACAGACTTGGCGCGTTCTCGCCTACACTGTCGGTCTACTCCTCGATCGTCGCGCTCAATACCACCTCGACCTCCGTCTCGGACGCTTCCAGAAGGTGAAGATAGAAGAGAGAAAGGGAAGTGGAATGCTGAAGCCCGTTGACTTTTATACTGCTAGTCGAACCCCCGGCGACGAAACGCCCCGACGTCCTTCTGGAAAGTCAGGGCTCGGCAGCCGCTCTTTGAGCACTCGATCACTCCTTGCGATGGGCTTCGAGAGCACATCGAACGTCCCAACTCCGCTCGCGCGACCGGCTGACGCTCTAGATAATTCGAAAGAGCATGCACAACAGGTCGGCAAGAGACTTGCAGCCGTCACGGAGCCTGATGAACTTCGTCTTGGGCCTGGCATAAATGACAGGTTCGAAGACACCCCCCGAAAGCGGCTCGACTCGGTTCCCATCTCTGATGTCAGCCATGAAAGCGAGAGCTCACAGATATCTAGCACTGAAGGATACGACTTTTACGACGCCGAGGTCCTGCTCAAGGCCCTCGATGTTCCACCCCCCAAGAAGAAGGAGCCTCTTTCGCTGGACTCCACGATTCCAGAGGTACAGAGGGTGACGCGCCATGATTCGGACGAGAGCTTTGCTCAGATGTTTTCGACGTCTGATGCGGCCAAGAAACCCTCGGCTTCGACACCAAGAGGCACCGGACCATGGCGATCGAGCCTCGCGAGACACGCCTCGGACATGGAGAAGGATAACGAGTACCCGAGTCACATTCGTGGCGAAGAGGTTCATGCAGACACGCCGACGGACTCACCTAAGTCACGCCCACATAGTAAGAAGCCGCCGACAGACTCCCCAGAGGATCTTTTCTTAATATCTCAAACCACAATGGGAACCGATGATTCGTTCCCGTCGCAAACATCAGAGCCCCTACAACCTGAACCGTCCCCCCCCAAGATTGTCGCCGAGTCACTTCCAGCGAAGGAAGACTCCCCGCAGCCACAAGTACTTGTTTCAGCAAGCCATCCCAACCGATCCAGCAGCCCTGCCAAGGACCTATTTCCTGCGCAAAAAGATCTACGGCCTCATATTGTTGAGACAGACTTTCTCCCATGGGACGATGATCCTTTATATCCCTTCCCGACCACTGTATCTGGTGAGAGCCCGATTGTCTCACCGCTTGATCCATACACTTCCATCACAGAGGCTTTGCACTACGAGTCGCGAACTTCTGCTGTTAATGCTTCGGCCATCGTTCTCCTTCTCAAGCCTTTAGTACCCGACTTCGTGATCGACTATCACCAGGCTAACGCAGTCCTGCGACAGCACCATTCGAGACTGATGCAAATGGGGCTCTTCATTGAGGCGTCGCTTCTACGAAACTTGTGCATCAAAGGATGGCCAGAAGGGTTGCCCCAGTGGGGCGAGAACTACGCAGCAATCTTCACACCAGCGCAGCAGAACGGAAAGGTTAGCTTCCTTTGCTCTGCGTGCAAGAAGCCTAGGGAGCTTGATCCCAAAGATGGGCCCGAAGCTATCTGGACTTGTGAGCGCTGTCGCACTACCATGGCACCTTGCGCTGTTTGCGGCCATAGAGAGCCAACGCATGCAGAATTCGCGCCCGTGGAGCTACCAACCGCCTTGGGCTCCCCAGATGCCTGGCTCTCCCAATGGTGGTATTGTCCTGGCTGTGCACACGGCGGTCATGCTTCCTGTCTCACAGCATGGCACGCTGTTCTCGATCAGCCAGACTCTAGCGGCTCAACTACCTTTAGCGATGGCTGCTGTCCCCTCGATGGGTGTGGACACGCATGCCTCCCGGGTCGATATCGCGGCGAAACCAGCACGGCACGATCTGATGAGATTGGTCGCGCGACTGTCGAGAAGACGAGGGCACGAGATGAGCGTGGAGCAAGCAGCAGTAGACGATCAAGCCCTCGTGCAGGTATAGATCGATCTGTCAAGAGTGATGGCAATGACATACCGCAGAGCAGGGCGGTAGGTATGGCGAGGGATGCGCTAAACAAGGGCAGTGGAGGGATCCTCAGCTCGAGCCCTGGAAGGGCTGTTGTGACGGGTGAGAGGGAGAGGAGGAAGAGTGTCAAGTTTGCGAGCACTGATTGATAGAGCTACGGTGGACGGTGTTGTTACATTCAGCATAGCGCTTGGTGATAGATATCCGGACGGAGTGGAGTTTATAAATGGGTCATATTATGGCATTTTAGCTACATTATTGCTTTGCCACGCTTATCTCAAGTCCCCAAACCCAATCATAGTAGTCGCAATCTATTACCTTCCCTCTCTTCGCTGTTTTGCACATATCCTGCAATTCTCGTCGCATGGAATCCTTGCACAGATGTCGCACTTCTCGTTTGTTGGGACCTGAACCCACACTTCTGGCGGATTACATTGAAGTACTTCTCTCATTGCACAGGGCCACGGAACTGCCTCTACATAGATGATTCTGCCGCATGCACAGTAAACGAAGACGGTTGTACGCTGACACATAGTTAGAAATGTTAGTGGTAGTGATAGTGGTAGTATTGGTAGTGGCGATAGTGGTGACAGTGGTGATAGTTGTGTTAGTCGTGGTAGTGGTGGTAGTTGTAAATCCGTTTTTCGCTATGTAGAAGGATATTGGAAAGGTTAAGTTTACAATTCAAAAGGATCTGGGGCAAGAAGGGCCTTTATATACAGGAAAAGGTGATCGATTAAGTGAGATATTGGAAAGCTAAGTTATACAATCACCACGCCATGGGCCTTCCTTAGAACTCCCTCCGAGGCAATCTTTTTGCTAGTCTGACCTTGCTCACTGCAATGACAGCCTCATACACCTACTAGTAACTGTGCCTTTATCACGGTTGACACATGTCTCACAGATCAACATAATTACATTTCATGCAGCCCCTCAACCGTGAGACCTAACCTGATTGTTAGCCAGACGATACCAGGTTTCTGAAACCCCGATTCAAGCTTAGTTTGGAGCAGCGTCGTAACATAGATTCAGGAGTATGATATCATTTCGCCTCAGCGAATAGAAGAAGCATGTTTGTTACTTATTTGATGTATTTCAGCTCAATTGTTGGTCGTATTCACTTCTATCATCCTAGCCTATCCAGCTCGTGTTTTTTCAAGTCTACGTTCCTTGCATTTTTCACAAACCTCATCCGATTCCCTGATATTGAACTCCTCATACTTCAGACCTTTGCACTCTGACGTCTCAACTGCATCGCAAAGAAGCTCATGTCTTCTGCAGCATGCCTCCTCACCACATTTACACCAGTACACGTAAACCTTGACAATACACATGTCGGGCAGGGAATTTAGGAAGTTGGGATCCTGGCGTTGTTGTCGAGTTTAATTATCCAAAATCGAGAAGATGGTATTGAAGTTGACAATAGGGCGGTAAGGTAAGACATAAAATAAAATGAAAATCAAGTTGCTGAATTCGAATGAAAGAGTTCTTTTATACCCGTTTCTCTTACGTTATTCAGGATAGAAAGAGACTTAAGAGACTTTGCATTGAATAGCAGGCCCATACAAGCTATTCAGGGGCTAGAAGTCTCGAAATTTGCCTTAACGACCCGACTCTTCACCACTCATCGCGATTCAGCAAACATAGATATCATCGATATTAATTACATATCACTGCTCCATTGTTTTAGGGATGGAATCAGCGCTAGTTTACTACAAAAGTCTATCTAAGTGATTTCGTGGCAAGTTGAAAGTCTGACATTACCCAGGACCCATTCAGATAGAATTGATGATCTAAGAAGATCACCTCGTCACGCAGCTGGCATTTAATATTTCAGTATAATGTGGATAGATGCAAATAATGAATTGAGTAGTGTGGCACGCAAAAGACTAAGACTTCTTTCACCTAATATGCTGTGACCGGTGTAGCTATCAGACTTGATGCTTAACGCTGGAAAGCAAAATCTTCCAGGCGTCGATATGCTTTGTCAAGATCATCATTAATAATGATAATATCATGTGCTCCAGTCTCCGCAAACTCAAGTTCGAGCTGCGCTTGTGCCAAACGCTTCGAGATGCTTGCCTCGTCTTCTGTTCCGCGGCATCGAAGTCGGGTTTCAAGTGTTTCGAGACTTGGAGGTTTAAGGAAGACATAACGAGCTTCTAAGCTAGAGAGCTGTATGGTCTTGACCCCTTCCATCTCGATGTCCAGGATGGGGATCAGCCCCTTGTCCATCAATGTAGCCAAGGCTTGTTTGCTTGTGCCATAATAATTGCCACTGAAATAAGTGTGTTCGACGAACTCATTTTGCCGGATAATTTCTTGAAACTCGATCGGGGAGCGAAAGAAGTAGGCAACTCCTTCATCCTCGCCAGGTCGCGGCTGGCGTGTTGTGTGTGAGACGGCTGAAGAGAAGATGGTGGGATGGTTGTCCTTCAGTCTCTGGATCAAAGTACCCTTGCCAACGCCAGAAGGACCGGATATAATGATGGGGCGAGTGTCAGGCTGCACTGGATGAAGCAAGTTCAGCATGTTGAAAAGAAGCGGGAAGACTTTAGGCAGCACGTACCTGTCCTGAGATTGCGTGTCGGCATATGTGGATTCGAGGATTCCATCTTCTCAGAGGCCCAACAGGAGAGAGTTATCCACTGACCGAAGTGACGTGGTGAGAGGCAGTTGAAAAGAGGGGGAAAGCCCAGGAGTACAGGTTGGGGCAACGCGACTTATATACACAACGTGTTACCCGCCACGTGGAAATAAGAGTCACACAATAGGCCTCATGGCTATGAATGTTACGCGCCTGTGGCAAACTCATTCTAGATATTGCCGAAATTTGATTCGTTTGTTGTGGGCTCAATGAAAGAATTGGGTTGGCCAACAGCAACTTGCGGGACACATACACCAAATGACCCGTGCCTGAGATAATACGTAAAGCCTGGATGAAAGAAACTTTTACAGCGGTCAGAAGCTTTAATGGTGTGGCATAAGTGAAACTCACGATGGGTTAAGTAATAGAGGTCTACTGAGTGAGCGTCCCACGACATCGTAGAACCTAAAATACGGTCCATAATATAAGCTTCTACCCTAAAAGCTTCTGAGACGTGACCAGGCTGTGGGTTGAGACAGGCATTAGCACAGCTACATGAGCAGTATAGCTCGTATAATCCTTTGATTGGAGCTCAAAGTCCAGAACATCTCAACGATGAATGACAGGTAGAAATATTAAAACTCCAGATGTAGTTGAGGCTTGTGGCAGCTGATGTACATATAATCTCGGCAAAAGTAAGTATTCTTATCTAAACCTCATGATAAGCTTTCGCAGTGACTCAACCCCTTAGACTTTCCGTCCTTTATCACGTTTTATTAAAGCAAGAATAAGCATAAGAGACAAACATAGATCATTTCTGAAGTTGACGCACCCGATGTGTAGCAAACGAGCCCTGTAAAGCGACTGCAGCCATCCAGAAGGCAATATGCGGTTTTACAAGTGTTTCAGACACAATCAGCGACAGCTTGATTCTCTCTCATGTATGATACGTGATGACGATGGTTGTTGGGATGTTATACACGTTGGAGCCACAGCTGTGGAACTACCACCAGAACTGGTACACCAGCTTCGAAAACCAGGCCGAATGTTTATTCCCATCGCCGAAAGGGAAGGTGACTGGCTCTCAGACAAGTATTTGTGGATCATCGAAAAGGGACCTGATGGGAACATCACGAAAAAGAGGCTGGAAAAAGTTCAGTTTGTGTCTCTCATGGACGCACCAAGATAAGTAGGCATAGGTTCTCACCAGGCAGGACCTGGCAGACTAGGTAGGAAAGAGAGAACGCAAGTCGTGATTCAGAATCTTATGATCGTACTGGTACTAGCCAAGTAGGAGTGTGGCCACGGGGTTCCGAGATGTTTGTCCTGGATGATATGACTGACGGGTGAAACTATGGACAGAGGTCATGAGTCTAGGAGAGCAGTAATGACACACGATATCATGCAAAGACTTGAAGTACTTATACCCGGTTCACGCTTCTCTTTATTCCATTACCTCCAGTAGCTTAACCTTACAAGAGAATTTGAACAAGACTTTCCAAACATTCAGCACTTTCTTGCTTTTATCTTTCAAATCTGAGTTATTTCAACTTCATGCCTTGGGCAGTATCCCATACCCTACAGTAATGGCCGGCTCTGCTACCGTTGCGCTTTGTTGTCGAACTGAGCTTGGTTGGAGATTGCAGGATCTCAAACGCCGTGTATAGTCAACAAAGACTTACTAGTGGAGAGATGCAAATCTCAAAACAGAAATGGTTCAATAACATAATTGAAACCGTCAATAGGTAACTAGAAAAAGAGGGAGGAAAGAAAAGGAAGGAAAAAAAAGACTGTGAGAAGGATTCAAAGAAACGAAGGGTGTCCTGGAGAGGATCAATACTCAAGTTGACAGTTGGAACTGTATACCTATTGAGGGCAATGCTACCTTTGTCGCTCTCTCAAAAGTAGCCAAAAAGTGGAGGGGCATAAAGGATCACATATCTAGATGTCTTAGATTAATATTATTCCTTAGTTGTCTCCTCAATATCCGGGCTCGTCTCAATCATGTAACAGTGCTGGTCAATAATGAGAACAAATTATACTGTGGTAGCCATCAAGCCAAGTAAGGTAGGGAGCAGCCGGGACACTGCAATCCACCTTATCTGCTAAGACGCTGTGATATAGCAGTCAAGCACCTGGGCAAGCCTTCAAAAGGCAGGGAGGTTCGAAATCCACTCAAAGACAATTTTCTCAAGCCGGCTTGAGAGCTTCAAAATTACAAACACAATTACAATGTAGTTCAGTGACATGTGATTAACTACTCATAGGTAACTTTAGGCTATTTACTCAAGTGACGGTTTGGTCTCGTGTCTAATCCATCTACCCATCCAACGTCGATTGATCTCCTTCGCCTCTTCTACCATTCCCAGCTCTAGCAACAGCTGAATTGTCCCCCTAGCAGCGGAGTATATAGCTGAGCTAATCCAAGCCTGCGTCGGGGCCGTATGCTCTCCAATGAAGATGGTGTTGTGTTCCGTTCGGTGATATGCTGGTATGTACAGATTATGCTGCTCAACATCAGGACGACACCACGATGTCGCAGTGTGTTCATCTTGTAACCAGCATAACCTCTCATAATCGCCGGTGTAAAGCTCTCGCGCTTGCTCCCCATGAAGACTAACGATTGCGTCGAGAACTGTCTGGACATGCTCTTCATCAGAAAAGCTGACGTAGCGATCACTCCAGTCTCCACCGCGGTAGTGTGTAATCAGCCCAGGTCGGGACTCGTTCAGTCCGTAGACAGGATAGTATAATGCGCCGATGGGCCTACTCTCAGGAATAGAGTAGCCACCAAAGATAGGGCGCTCACCTTTCTCCCAGAAACGCTCGGAGAAGAGGAGGGAGACTTTGCAGGCCGATTTGAAGCGTAGGCCTGCTTCGCTGATTGCGCGGCCGAGGACGGATGAGAATGAGGGGAGGTCCATGAAGCGGGTCATTGTGAAGGGGACTGCCATGATGGTGTAGTCGTAGTCTTTGGACTCAAAGGTCCGGTTCTTGACGCTGGGGTACCATGAAAGTCTTGTTCGAGCTTGGCCATTTTCGTCCTTGATAGACTCAAGCTTTCTGATCTTGCGATTTAGAACCAGACGATCGGAAACGTGAGGGATGAAAGCATCAGTGAGTCGATTGAAGCCCCCGTCAACGCACTTCCACTCCGTCTCGCCCAGTGAGTCTTTCGTCCCATCTAACGCGAGATTTGAGTTGTGCACCATCTCATCCCAGAAGACATCATAATCCGTTGCAGTCCAAATAGCATCGGTGACATTCTCACTGGCACGGAAGGCTTCCCTCATCATGCATTGTTCACTCCAGTCATCGTAGCCCTGGCTCATGACGAGCTTGTGCGAGCGCCAGACATCGGCTTGAATGGCTTTCAGCATAGTTTCGTTCTTCAGGATATCATTCATGCGGTGCTTGGTTTCGTTGTACTCGGTTGATACCATAGCGGGCGGTTTGGCGAGGCTTGAGTTTGCGAGAATGTCTGTTCTCGTTGGGATGCTGCCATCAGGATGGCGGCCGGTTCCCCAAGCAATAAGCTCATTAGGATGATGTTGGATCCAAGGGATAAGGTCGATTTTCCACTTTGAGTCATTATAATTCATCGAATTGAGAGTTTCGGCCAATTGGAAAGTCAGGCGATGCTCCGTATACTCATGTGTAGAGTTATCACTCTTATACGTAACAGTATACGGCAATCTCATCGGGCCCATCTCAGCAAACTCCTGTGTACCACCAACAAACTTGGTTCTGAAGCGGCCGCCGACTCTATCGCTAGCTTCGAGGATCTCCCAGTTGTGAAGACCTATGCTGTCTAGCATGAGAGCGGCGGTGAGCCCAGAAACACCACCTCCGACAATGGCGATGGAAGCATTGGGGGCTTGAGAGATGGAGGTACAATTTAGGGTTGCGACATCATCGAACCAAGCTCCAATTGAGTCGAAATTCTGCATTTGAGGCCTTTCGTTACAGGAAGGGATTTGTTGAGCTTTTGGTGGTAACTTGCTGCCATGTGCGGTGCTCAAGAGGAGCAGCAGGAGAACTGAGGCGCTCCAGCGCTCATCGGCGAAATGCAACATTGCGACTGTTCGGTAGGCCTGATATACTATAGAAGAGGGCTGAGAGATAGCGAGTGAGGCCTTTGAGCTATAAGTACTTCCACCTTGAGCCATGCTCTTCAATCACCATTTGAGGACTGCATCGCTGCGAAAGTTCATGTCAACCTTGATGGAGCATTTTGCATCTTGGGGTATTAATTAATCACATCGCAACCCAGAATAAAGAATCATGTTTCCATAAAATCTGCACAGCAGTTGCATAAGTGAGAGCAAATGGGAGCTGATCTGCATTGAAAAGACCCTGATGGCTTGGCGCCAACCCCATCGAGGACATCAGCGCCGGGCCCCAGGGCCCTGTGCATAAGTATTGAAGAAAATAGCGGTGATTAACAAAGAAAACATCGCTCACCAATGTTGCAGTGCAGTAAAGTGTGTTGTCGTTACAGCAGTGGAGCTATCTCTCCGGGTTCACGTAAGAAGTAGCCCATCGCAAGACTTCAATCATAAAGCATGGAAACATTGAGACAGATTTATGACGATTCAGGATAAATTATGACAGTAAAGACCAGTGTAGTATAGATTATGATACCGTTCGTAGAGTCTCTAATGGAGAATGCTTTAAGCTGGTCACAGAGATGAACACGATTGTGGTGAATGACCAAGAAGCTAAATGTCTATTTATTTATATATGAAGAAAATATTCAATCCAAGTTAAGCATATAGGAAACTCTAACTCAAAGTGCATCTCTATCGATCAGGCCTACACTCTAGGTCCCCAAAGCCTCAACCTCTCCGCCTCAAACCCAGCCTTATCCTCCGCCGTGGTCTTCAAGAACCCAATCTCCTTCCAGATGTGGATGTACTTCCTCACAACAGTCTCAGAAACAGGTCCAACCGCCGATAACGACTTGGAGTGCTCAAGCGAATGCTTCACACCGAGAACAAGACCACCACAGGCCATGCGTAGGTATGTGTCTTCAAGGAAGTCTGCGAGCAGAGCAGCGGGGTTATCCTGCTGAGGAGCCTTGCGCACCATGTCGAGCCATTGCTTGAACGGGACTTTGTTGGGAATGCGAAGGGCGTCGGAGAGGATGTTGTTGACGTCGCGCCATTGTTGGCCGATGGGGTTGTCGATGTGGTAGATTGGGTAAGGGGTGCGGTCGGAGAGGATGAGGTCGGTGAGAGTATCGGCGATGTCATTGACGGGAGTCCAGTTGAGATTACCATCGACGTCAGGAAGAGCGTTCAGAGTCTGGGAGGATTTAATGAGGAAGCCAAAGTGCTCCATTGGGTTCCAGTAGCCGCTTGTCTTGGACCCAGCGATCTGACCAAGACGCACGACCATGGGACGGAAACGATCTGTGAACTTGTGGAGAGTCTCATCAAGCATCCTCTCACAACCCCATTTCGCTTCAGCGTACCCATTACCCAACAGTGAGTCGATGGTAGTTCTCTCCTCGGGAACAACAATCTTGCCGGTCTGACCAGCAGCAAGACCCCATTGCCCAACAACCCCAATTGACGAAATCATCTGGAAGCTGAACTTGAAGTCCGCGGGACGACTAGAAGCACACTCACGTCCTAAATCAAGAAGATTGCGGAAGACCTGGAACTGCGACTCAAAGCCAGAGAGAGGACGCTTCGCACTCATGGGCCAGGCATTGTGGATGATGTGCGTAACAGACTGGATCAAAGACGCGTATTCGCTATCCGCAACTCCAAGCTTAGGCTTTGAGGTATCGGCCTGGAAGATCTGTACCTTGAATTTAAGATGCTCTGGGAAGCGGATGCCCTTGTCTCTCATAGACTTGTACTGACGTGTTGTGGGTTCTTCTCTGTTGGGGCGGTTGAGACATATGACGGTGCGGACTTCTTCGAGCTGCGCGAGGGCGTAGACGAGATGGCTTCCCAAACCGCCTGAGGCGCCTGTGACGAGGACGACGTTTTCGTTCTTGCCGAGAGGAGGGCCATTGGGATTTGAAGTGGGTGCTCTGAAGCCAGCGGTGTACTTGTTGACAAGCTCAGTGATTGCTTGCTCGCGTTCGGCGAGCTTGGAAGTGTCGCTGTGGGTGATGACTGTTTCTTGGGCGACAGCTTCAGAGACAACAGGTGCAGGAACAGCAGCAGGTTTAGAAGCCGGAGTAGCCAAACCCATTTCTCGCGCCAGCATAGTCTTGAGATCACCAACAGTCTGACACTCCATAAACAACTGCTCATGCGCAATATCCAGACCAAACGTATCCTGGAATCTACTCGCAATAACAAGCGACAGAAGCGAATCAACACCACAGTCCGCAAAGTTCGTCTCATCATCTAAATCAGATCTCGCAACACCACTCTCCTCTGAGATAATCTCAAGAGCGCGTTCAAACTCAACTTCAGCTGATTCAGCAAACTCCTCTTGGAGTTCTGGGGTAGCACTTCCAGTGGTGGTCGTGTCGCGACCAGAGTCACTAGCTGCAGAAGATGAACTCCCAGAGACATCTTCGTCTGCACCGAGGAAGGCTCGCAGATCTTTGACGGTGGGGTGTTCGAAGAAGAGAGCGTTGAAGTCAAGATCAATGTCGAGTTCTTCTTGAAAGCGAGCGGAGATGGTGAGACCGAGGAGGGAGTCGATGCCGACATCTGAGAAGGTGGTGCCGTCGGTGTAGTCGGAGACATCGATTCCGCTTTCCTCTGAGATGATGCGGATTGCGGTAGAGAACTTTGGTGGTTCTACCTTGGCAGCTGGTTTGTTCTGTGTGGCCTTGGGAGCGGACTCTTTAGGCTGCGAGGGAGTGTTTCGGGGCTTGTCTTGTGTCTGGCGCTGAGGCTGGCCCTTTTTGCCGCTCTCAATTGAGAGGATCACTTTGAGGACTCTTCGTGGAACACCTTGGATCGCAATCTGTCCAAAGAACGCAACAACTCTATCCTGGTCAAAGATAGTCACATCGCCATACCAAAGCTTATCCTCTCCAGCACGCATCTGAGTATAAGTAGTATACTCCTTCTCAAAGTCCAAAGCCTCAAACAGCTCCAGCGATCCCCAGCCATGGTTCATGTAAACATCGACATCAATGTCAGTGTGGTCATTGCAGTTCATAGCAAAGCCGCAAGACTGAGTAAGAGCGTCGATGACGGCGGGATGAGTGTGGAAGTCTCCGTCGCGCTTAACGGTCCCGAAACTGATCTTACTAGAAGCTTCGAGCGTTTCGCTGTTGAGAACGACTTCGTCGATGGCGCGGTAGTCGTCGTGGAAGCGTGCGAGGGGACGGATCATGCGGTATGCCATGGGGCGGTTGAAGCGTGCGCTTTCACCGGTGGTGATTTGGTTGCGGAGATTCTGCATCTTTTGCTTGGTGGTGCGGGCTTCGTTTTGGAGGGCGTCTTGATGGCTTCGGTCTTTGAAGCGGACTACACAAGCGGAGTGTTCTTGCAGGCTACCCTTATTCTGCTGGAGTGTCAGTAGGAGTCCACCGGATAGTAATCAATGAGGTTGTACTCACGTCAAAAGACATGAACTTGATTGAGACCGATTGAGATGACCAGTCTGCCTCAGCGTGAGCCTGAATAGGCTGGCGAGATCCATCGCCGCGGAGGATCAAGGCCTTGGACACGGTCATGTCCGAGACCACGACCATACCATCTTTCTGCTGTGGCTGATACCTCTCAAGCAGATACTTACCCAGAGTCAAGGCGATATCAGCATAGACAGATGGGGTGCAGAGAGGGATCCCATCGACCTCGTGACCTTGGACCAGTGGACTCAAGTCCTTGCGAGCAATATCGGCCTCAACTACAATATGAGTCTTCTTGGAGTCGCCACTCTCTTCAACAACACTGTGGATGGTAGTGCTCTCAAGCTTAGACACATTGTTGATGACCAAAGGAGGATCACCCTTTCGTAGTGTCCAGTCGTTGACATACTGGATCCAGTACTCCTTGAGATCCCAGCTATAAGCTGGAAGATCAACGACTGTATGTGCGCCAGGGAAGTTGCTCTGGTAATCGGCCCAGTTGATGTTGGCTCCAGCATCATAGAGACTCTTGAGCGCTGCAGAGAGCATATCCCATGGTGCTCGGCTACGCTGGAGGGAGGCCACACAGGTGATCTGCTGACCGAGGGTGGGCTTGACCATACCGGAGACAGCTGGGTGAGGACCAACCTCAAGCACCATTGAGCGATCACTAAGAAAGCCGTCGCGATAAGCGGTAGTCAATGCAGTGAGCATGTTGACGGGCTGTCGAGAGTGTCGGGCGAGATATGAGGCATTGAAGGGATTCTCATTCTCGATGACAGTACCTTCCAAGGGACACAGAACAGGGATCCTGGGATCGGAGAAGGTCACTTTGCTAGCGAGCCTCTCGATATCGGACACCACTGGCTCAAGCTGAGATGAGTGGAATGCGTAGGGGACCTTGAGAAGAGTGGTCTTGAAGCTAGCCGTCGTAAGCTGTTCCTTGACCTTGGCGATCTGTTCATTCGGACCAGCAAGAACAGTCTCGATAGGAGAGTTGATACAAGCAGTCTCGTACTCTTGGCCCTGTAGTGCTTCAGCAATCTCCTCTTGTGACCCCTTCACCACAAGCATGGCGTGGGTACCACGAGTACACTTCTGCTCAAGAAGCTGAGCTCGACCACCAACAAGAAACAGCGTATCGGTGTCCGACAGAACACCAGCGACATTGAGAGCAGCATACTCTCCAATACTGTGTCCCACCACAGCAGTTGGAGTGATACCCCAAGACGCCCAAAGTTTGCTCAGCGTAATCTGGAGGCAAACACTGGCAAGCTGAACAAGCGAAGGTGAAAACTTGCTAACATCAGGCTCATCAGACTGAATGAATGGAAGCATAGAGGGAAATCCCAAATTCTGAGCAATCCTATCAAGCGAGAGAAGCTCATTGCGCACAAACTCATTCTCCTCAAAGAGCTGCTTTCCCATTCCAGGGTACTGAGCTCCCTGACCAGTGAAAGTGAAGACTACCTTTGGTGCAGCCTTGGGTCGCGTGACGCCAGTATTGTTCTGAAGAGCTGTTTCGATCTTGGAGCAGATCTCCGCGGGGGTTGCGCCTGGGACGAGAATGCGGTGTTGGTGGTGGATGCGCCGGGCAGTGGTGGTGTAGGAGAGTTCGGCGAGGGAGACGTGTGAGTTTGTGCTGAGAAACTTGAGCATTGAGCGCATGTTTCCTTGGAGAGAGACACCGCTCTTTGCGGTGATGGCGATGGGGAATTGGACGCGAGAGTCATTGCTGGCAATGAGTTGTTTTCTAGGCGGTGCATCCTGGATCAACAGCGCGGAGTTTCCTCCCGCAGCACTGAAGTTGTTGACAAAGACACGTCTCGGGTTTGTTTCTGTTCCTTTCTTCCATTGTGTCGGTTCTAAGGCAATGCGGACGTTTCGCTGATCGAGATCGGTGGGGAAGCGATGGTTGATCTTGTTCTTGATGCCGCAGTGTGGAACGATGGTGTCCTTCTTCAGCATCTGAAGGACCTTGATCACACTACAGACACCAGAAGCAGCTTCACCGTGGCCGATATTTGCTTTCGCTGAGCCGATGAAGAGCTTCTGGGACTCTGTACGGGAGACTTTGCCTTTTGCTAGGGGTGGCGCGAAAGTCTCGAGGACGCTGGACATTTCTGTGGCATCACCAGCTTGCGTGCCGCTATGCAGTCGATCAGTACGTAAGGTTAGACAAGGGATAGGGAGTTGGCTTACGTTCCATGCATTTCGACATAGCTGACACTGTAAGGATCGACAGCAGCCTCGTTCAAGATCTTGTTAAAGATAACCCGCTGCGCACCAACATGCGGTCGAGTAATCGACTCCGACTCAGCAGAATGGTTCGTATACGCACCGAGAACAACACCCAAGATCGGATCGTTCTCCGCAATCGCATCATCAAGCCTCTTGATAATAATAGTAGCAACACCTTCACCTCGACAATACCCATCGGCACCATCGTCAAAAGTCTTGCAGTTCCCTGTGCGCGAGAGAAAGTGTCCCCTGTCAAGACCAGCGTGGTAATCAGGATTGGTCAAGACATTCGTACCCCCAGCGATGGCAGTGTCGACGTCGCCTTGCCATAGAGCATTGCAGGCTAGATGGATACCAGCGAGGGATGATGAACATGCTGTGTCGACGGCGTAGCTGGGACCGCTGAACTTGAAGAAATAGTTGATGCGGCCGGGGATGAAAGCTCTGTTTCCGCCGGGGATGTAGTACGTGTCGATGTTTTGAGCGCTATTCGTTTCCATCCAGTCGTTGCTGGTGACGCCATAAAAGATACCAACACGATCAGGTCGAGTAGAGGGTGTAGCATCAGGAACGATACCAGCTTGTTCAATCGCTTCATAAGCTGTCATGAGAGCTAACCTCTGCGCGGGATCAATCTGAGGAGCTTCACGTGGAGAGATATTAAAGAAGCGAGCGTCGAACTCGGAGGGGTCATCTAGCCAGCAACCAAATGGTGTAGCGCTCGTGTTCTTTCCTGCGCCGGTAGGGTCGACGTGTGTTTTCTGATCCCAGCGAAGACTTGGAACGGGCTTGTGGACGTCGAGACCTTTGTAGAGAAGATCCCAGTAGGCTTCGTTGTCCTTTGCACCAGGGAAGCGCCCGGACATGGCGACGATAGCAAGCTTTGGTTTGTTTGTGCCAGCATCGGGAACGCTGGGGGCACTGGTTGGTTGGCTGGGGACGGTTGTCTCTGGAACGAGATATCGAAGGGACGTCTTCTTGAGAGCAGTGTAGATCAAATGCTCAGCACTAGAACCAACAGACTGAACACTAAACTGCTGAGACCCAGTAGTCTCAAGAGCAGTTTGGACATCATCAAAGATTGAACTCCAGCGGAGAGGATGAAGAAGAGCTTGAGCAATGGCATCTTCTAAGAGTGTCGCGAAGCTTCGCTCTTCAGGCTTGGATCCTGTGCTGGAAAGCAGAGGAATCTGTTCAGATGGTGACACAGCCTTGTTGAGCATCAAGCCATCAACGATCCGGCGAGCATCGTTCTGAGAGTACAGATGCGGTGCATGGTAAGCGCCATAGATGGGAATGGCTTTGGACGTGATGCTCTTGGAAGCAAGCCACTGCGCAAGATCGCTAAGACGCTGAGGCGGACCGCTAACCGTAATGCCATTTGGTGCATAGGCACTTATATAAGGCATGCTAGTCAAGACGCCGCCGTCCTACAATATTAGTATCCAGTTGTTATCTCAGTGTACGTTACTTACATTGGCATCCCAGAACTCCTGGAATGCTTTGGCTGCCTTTTGGCCCGGGACAAGAAGAGCCCAGCTCCTGTTCAAGTCTTGGCTTGGATCGACTCGTCTAGCTGTATCAGTAACGAGAAGGCCTGTTCGGAAAGCCGCGACGACGGATGACACAGCCATAGGGATCAGATCTGCTGTGAAGCTACTGCAGCTAACAGCCGCAGCTGCAAAAGCGCCGGTACAGAGACCAACGACCCTTGTATTCTGCGCGTCATACGAAGAAATACCCGCTTGACTGCTCACCGTTAACACTCCTCTAGTCATAACTAAACTGTTGGCAACGTACCTAATGAATGTACCGAGCTGATACAAAGTCGTCATCGCCATATCAAGCGCCACGCATCGCGGTCCACTCTGATCCCAGAGAAGAAGATCCTCGTGGCATGTAAACCGCGGAAGGTCCTTTCTGATACTATACGGGATTTTGAAGAGCTCAGCGCGGAGGGTATTGTAGCTCTTGTTCAGAAAGTCATGAAGGAAGAGGTTGTCGCGCTTCTGGAGGAGGTGCTGTAAGTGAGGTTGGACCTCAAAGGTTTGGTCTCCAAAGAGATACAGCTTCATGTGGGAGGCCATGAGAAAGGTGTTGAATCTTGTAGATGTTTTTGGTTGAAGTCTATGATGTTTTGTCTATAGCTACTCTTCTCTCTTAGCTTTGATGAGACGATGCCTCTTTTATCTACCTTCATATCACTCTCATTCCTTCAGTCGACCTTATCACGCCGTCATCTTCTATCAGAGATCTTCATCGTCTTACTCGGAGTCCGGCATATCAGACTCTCAATCTTGTGAATGCCGTTATCAATGGCCGCTCATTGCCGACGTCAACAAAGAGGTTTCATTCCCGATACTGAGCCTCATCATACTCAGATAATGCACGTATGACCCAAAACAGACATATTACCGTCATTGTCGTACAGAACATCAGCCATGTTCCTGTATCAAGACTTGTAAGACGGCGTCCGAGTCTCGGGAGTCAGGTCGGTTCAGCTCGGGAACTTCACGGCGACTAAGGACTTCGGACGCCGCCTGATCTCGTCATCTCTCATAAAGCTTGATCCTATCGCATTGAATGTTTCTGTGTTTACACTAGCAATCGGAATTCAGTGTAAAGATGGACAAGACGGATAGAGACGCTGTCATTGAACATGCGACGCAGGTTAAACACCTCGTGCATGATCCTCACAGCTTCCTCACTGAGCTAGTCGCGCAGCAGCAGCAGTATCACTGCATTGCCTGGCTTTGCCACTTCGACATCCTCTCCAAGATTCCCCAACCTCCAGAGTCTATCACCTATTCTGATGTCGCCAACGAGGCTAAAGTCCCGCTGTCAAAGCTGCAGTCTGTAGCACGCATGGCCATGACTACAGGCTTCCTCTGCGAGACGAAAGATGGCAAGCTTTCTCACAACACCCTGTCTGCACAGTTCGTTACCAATGTTCATATGAAGACGCAGCTTCTTCATATCTTCAATCAAACTGTTCCTCTCATGACGGGCTTAGTCCAAGCTACAGAGAAATGGGGCGAGACGTCTGCGACTAATGAGACGGCTTATAATATTGTGCACAACACTGAATTGTCATTCTTTGAGCACTTGAAGACGAGGCCTGATCTCAATGAGGGCTTTCAGGCCTACATGAAGAGTCGTGCTGTGTCCCACACTGGCTCTAATGTCGAGCATCTTCTGAACGCCTTTGACTGGAAGGCTTTGGGACAAGCTCAAGTCGTTGATGTAAGTTCCAAGTTCCAGTTCTTATTGTCTGCGGCCACATGCTAATGGTGTACAGATTGGCGGAAGCAGTGGCTCTACATCTATCATGCTGGCGACGGCATTCCCGTTACTCAACCTCGTCATCGAAGACCTCCCAGAGCCCATTGAGAACGCAAAGACTCGTCTGTCCGACTTACCATCAGACATCAAGTCCCGTATTGAGATCAAGGCCTACGACTTCTTCACTCCTCAACCCATCAAAAACGCAGACGTGTACCTCTTGCGCACCATTCTTCACGACTGGCCCGACGCTGATGCCATCAAGATCATCCAAGGCATCGTCGCGGCCATGGGTCCGTCCAGTCACTTGCTAATTATGGACATGGTGCTGCCCAAGCCAGGTTCTGGGTCTGTGACCTTTGAAGCAGCGCTAAGACAGAAGGATCTCACCATGATTCAGTGCTTCAATGCACAGGAGCGAGAGGTTGAGGAGTGGAATGCCCTGCTTACCAAGGCTGATCCGAGGTTGAAGATACAGGCAATTGAGAGACCTGCTGGGAGTGAGTTGTCGGTGATTGAGGCTACGCTTGATGCGGCGCCGGAGCAGGCAGCGTGGTTCTAGGCAGCTCTATAGATAAGATCTCAATGACATGTTTATTTCCGTGCTTTTGCTTCTCTCGATGTTTTGATACTTGCCATGTCATTGTAGAGATGAAAGACGGCAAGTCAACTGTGAAAGTCTGTCTAAAATTGGTCACCGTGATGTTTCACAAACACCTTCCCCTCCATATTATGTTGACCCAAGGATCGATGGAGTCGTGATGCGGAAGAGGTTCTTGTAGTCGCGCAATTCTGATGCCCAGAATCTGGCATGGGGCCATAATAACACTCGCTAGTCGAGATGCGATAGTACAGACACGATGAGCGTCATCAACACCCAAACGTTACTGTGCAGTACGTAAACACACTCAATTGACAACCCTCACCCTATCTACTACCACTCGTACACATCTAGGACCAGTCCCCATCCTGAAGATCCTCCAACTTCTGTCCCGCCTTAATCTGCTCCTGCACCTCCTTCATAGTCCAATGCCTATACTTATGCCCCTTTGGAAAATTCGTATTCACCAACGGAACCCGTCCCCCACTGACAACATGTGTCAGCGCCTCAGCAAACTTTTCATACGCATACGCCTCCGGATCTTGCGACCAAACCCACTTTGGGTATCGCGATCTAATCAGCGCCGGATTCTTCATGATGGCGTCCCAATCCGTGTGCTGCTTCAGCTGCTGGTTCACGAAACCCATCTTCTGGCCACAGCTAACGCGCTGGAAGCGTAGTTTGTTGTACACTTTTGTAGCATTGGCGGCTTGGGACTTCCCAGCGAGTTGCAAGCATGTTGCGAGGGTCACGCCGTCTTCTATGGCTTGCGTTGCGCCGTTACCGGACGTGGGCAGGAATGCGTGCGCTGCGTCGCCGAGCTGGACGACATGGCCGCCGGGGGATGTCCATTGTTCGTGGGGATCGCGGAATTTGAGCTGCCAGTTCACGACGGAGCCTTTGGGGGCGGTGCGGATCAAGGCGGCGATGGCGGGGTGGACGGCGTCGTTCTTTTCCATCTCAGTGATTACTTCTGCTGGATCGATGTTTGGGATCCAGGATTCGCTGGCAGATTCAGCATGCTAATGTCTGTTAGTGAAATATCGGGAATTGGGGAGAGGTGACTTGCAGAGTGGATGAAGCTCCAGAAAGCGAGATCGTGGGTCAAACACATCATGTTGTGAGAACCATTTCTACAATTGTCAGTACATCCTCTCTCATCGGTTCCAGACAACTTACCCCAGCCAGAATTGCCAAATTGGCTTATCGTCAGGCTTAAAGTTCCACATCTCTCTCACCGTGGGATCCTTAAGCGCATGTTCAACAGGATAACCCGCGCGATAAATCGCCTTTCCACTCGTCGTCAGCTGGTCCGGCATGCCAGGAACAATAGTCATGCTCTTGGTCCTCAAGCCATCAGCTGCAACAACGATATCCGCCGTTCTCTTCTCCCCATTCTCAAGAACAACGCCTCCAGCGCAACCTTCAACATCCTCCCAGTACTCAACGACCTTGCATCCCCATTCAACATGAATGCCCACGCGCTCCGCCTGTTTCAAGAACGCGCGGTACAGCTTGATACGCGAATGGGCATTGACAGAGGGAAAGCCGCGACGGCCAGGTAAATGCTCTGGATCGTTGAACATGGGCGGTGCAGGACCCCAGATGCGCTCGCCGGTCTGTCTATAGTAAGACATGTCGACGTCGTACTGGTTCTCCTCAATCTCATAGCCCATGTCAGGCCAATGGCGCAGAAGAAGGATGGCGCTGGGCTGGATTTGAACATTATCGCCTGTCCAGACTGCACTGGGACTGCGGTCGATAATGCGAACGTTGTGTCCTTTGCGCCAGCATTCAAGGGCGCAAGTGATCCCGCCTAGACCGGCGCCTGCGATGAGGACGTTGATCCCGGTGGAGGGGTAACGAAAGACTTGGAGGTCGATGCCTCGCTTGATGGAGTCATCGAGTCTTTCCTGGGAAAAGTTTGGGTATTCTTGATGATCACCGTTGAGAGTGCCGTTGGGCTTGTCAGCCATGATGGGGTGGTGAGTGCCGTTTGTCTGTGTATTTGTCATGTTTTCCAACTGAATTGAATTGAAGAAGAGAATACGGAGATAGGTTTGTCTGGAAAGACTGCGAGAAGTTGATCTTGTTATGAGATTATGTGACGAGTCCTCTATTTGAAGCCAAGTAGACCGGCGATGCTTGGTGCGCTTGGCATCCTATTGTCAAGAACGCCACCATCTTCAGCTGCGCGTGTACAACTTGAGTCCCCGAAATGGATCCCGAAGACATCCCCATACAGTTTCAGTTCCTTCGCTATCTCATAAGTCTCTTGGCAATTGACCGGCCTACGGATGTCAAAGTGGTCCGACTTGGTTCTCCGTGTAAGCCAGTATCGACACTCCGACTCTATGACACCATGACTGTGCTTATTATCTTCAAGACATCATATCTAATGAACAATTCAATAGATAATGCGACGTAGATTATTCGGGGAGAAGTCGTTTCTTGTTTCGGGGTCCGAATCCCAATTTGGCTATGTCCTTGTGTCTGTGCAGCAGCCGTGGCGCCGGGACTCCCTTGTTGTCGATGCCATGGATCGATCCGTGCCGTAACGGTATCTTATCTACGCCTCAATCTTCACGGGTGCCGAGCTCCGAGTACTCAGATCGGTATACTGGTCTCCTGCAAAATGGCGCGCCGCTGATGTAGCCAGAAGGAGGTGCTCTCAGAACGTCTGTTCTTCGCATGAGCATCAGGCACAGACATTGTAGAGACACTGGACTGGGAAAACTCTGTGATAATTCTCAAACATTTAATTGGTTCGAATGTTCTGCTTTTGTCTTTACGGATACTCTATCTACACCGCGTCCGACGGTACTTCTCATTGAGACTCTATTCTTGGCGTGTCGGCAATCTTGTAGACATACTTCACTGCGCTAGCCTTTCCGCGCTGCAAGTCCCTCAAGCCCTTCTCTATCCCTTCCAAGCCCCCAGGCACAACCTCTTGCGGATGCGCCTTGAACCAGCCCTCATCCAGCCCTTTGCCAAAGTGTATCGAAAACGCCCGGGCGAATTCCTTCAAATCTTCATGTACACTGGCTACCGTAGTGACTGATTTCTCAATGGTCTTGGGGATATCAGAATAGCTCTGTGCAGGAATGATGAGAGTGATCTTCCCAGTCTCCTGGTCAAGGACCTCACAAATGGTCTGGTAAGAACCCATTTCAGATACAGCGTCAAAGGCGTGCTCTAGCTTTTCGCCTCTAAGGCTAGCCTTGATCTCTTGCGCGACTGCCGTGTGCCCTTTTCTGTAGTCAATGACCGTGTCGCCCTTGGATCTGTCAATCATTCTCTCGACGTGCTCTTGCGCACGACCAGCGATACAAATGAGTGGATGAATGTTAGACTTCTTTGCCAATTGTACTGCGTATGACCCAACGGCTGATGAAGCGCCCCAGATCACAAGAGGTAGCTTTTGATCGTCGGAGTTTGGATGCGTCGGGTGGGGAAGATTGAGCTTTGCGTAGAGGGCACAAGCTGCGGTGAATGCAGCGAAGGGTATGGCAGCACCCTCTGCACCCGTAGTGTCAGCCAACAGCACGCGTAAAAGTACATAAAACTGCTCGCTTACCTCGAAAAGTAGTGTGTTCCGGTAGATGAATGGTGGTGTATGCCCAGCTTACACCATACTCAGTGTAACTCCCGCCAGGCTGCTTCCCCTCGTGCATAGCCGCGACGCGATCACCGACTTTGAAGTCAGATACTCCTTCGCCAACCTCGGAGACAGTTCCAGAGTGGTCATCTCCCTGGTTGATGGAGGCCTTGCTTCCCCAGTACTCAGGTCGTTTCCTCTAGAATGTCAGCCTGGGGATGAATGAGGCTGAGGGTATTCTGGGGTGCTCACCAATCCTTGGGGTTACTACCAGCGTACTCAATCTTGACGACAAGTTGTCCAGGTCCCGCTTTCGGTATCGGGCTGTCAACGATATGGACTTTTGGTCCGCGCGATACAATAGCTTCTTTCATTGTGCTGGCAGCTCTGATTTGTGAAGAGAGTGCCTGAAGACAATTCACTGAAGTGCGATTGCGCAAATGGGAAAGCATTGCGACGAGATAGTTCACCATCCATCTTTGTCAATCCAGAATGACGGTCAAGGCCATCAGCGAAGCCTCATTCATTGCATTTCATCACATCGCATCGCGTCATGTTTCACGACTTACATGGGCGGAGCTTGAGGGGCTAATATCCGAACAGCGAAAGTCAACAGCGAGAGGCCGAAAGAGGCGTAGCTTCACAGTGTCTGAGACGCGGGTTTAGTGCCGAGACGCGAGAACAATACAGCCAATAAATTTGATGTAAAACGTCTCACGGCATTTACGAGCTTATTCTAGGTCAGGCTGCTTATGCTTTAATTCTCGTTGCGGGTAAATGCAGTTGATCTCTGACACGCATCGTAGTTTCTGCTTGCTTATCCCATTCTCTGGTGGGGCTAGCCAACTGGAGCACCTCCAAGCTCAGTATTGTTGTTTTCTGAGAGCCACTGACACCCGAACGGGTTGGAAAGACGCATCTGTCTCATATTCTAGATCTGGAAAGACCTTAAAGATCATTTTTACTGGTAAAACAGAGCTCAATAGTGACGTTGTAATGTGTTCTGATTCATGTTGTTTTGATGCCAATTACCCTACAACCCCACCTTGACCATCTAAGACAGCAATGTTCCTCCTGTAGTCTCAACAACACTACCAGAAGTATTCTTGTTCTTCATCAAGTACAAATAGGCCTCCACGACATCCTCAACCTTTCCAATCTCGCCCGTCGTCATTCTTCCCTTCAAGTGTCCAGTCACGTTGTCCCAATACCCCATCTCCTTCACGTAGCTCCAGATCTCAGTGTCCGTTGGGCCCTGCGCAACAGCATTAACGCGAATCGGCGCAAGGTCAACAGCCAAACCGCGGATCATGCCGCGAAGACCAGAGAGGTAAGAGTACATGATGGACCAATCCTTGGAGACATGCTCTGTTGCGCCACCGGTAGCGACGGTGAATGATGAAGAACCGCTTTCGTTCAAGTGCTTGCGGAGTTGCTGCGCGACAACAAGTGGTGCAAAGAAGCGCACGGTGCCAGCTTGACGAATAGCATCAAGCGTGAAATCCTCCAGCTTCCCAACAGCGAGCTTGTCGCCTGCCGTGAAGACAACGTGGTCCAGCTTGCCAGACTTGGCGACCTCGGTGAAGAGGTTCTCAACCTCTGAGGTGAGTGTGTCAGGCGAGCCCAGGTTGCAGGGAAACCCGTGAAGTTGAGCTTTGGAAGATTGGTTGTTCTCTTTCAGGCGCTCAATGGCGCTGGAGATCTTTGTCTGGGAGGATGAGGAGATGAACACAGACGACGCGCCGTTTTGGATCGCTGCTTCTGCGACGCCAAAGCCGATTCCTGATGAACCGCCGATGACGAGGACGCGAGATCCTGCGAGCTTGGAGACGTATTTTCCGAGTGAAGCCATTTTGATGTGTATGTTTGAGAGAGTGTGAGGTGCAAGATGAGGTTGAGGGGAGAAGGTGAAGAGGAGAAGAGTTGTTCGCTGAGCAACGTAGATACGGCTTTTATGTTGGGGTGGTATGGGAGAAGCAAACATGGCTTACATGGCTTGAGCTAAGGCCTATTGTCATGATGTTAGTCCCCCCGCCTCCAGCCATGGCACTGTTTGATCGACCAACCACTCAAAATGACCCCTCATAATTACAGAATATCCAGTGAATCATGGAGAGGGAAATATCTCGGAGTCCGGGACTGTTCCTTGCCGATTCTGTGTCTGTGTAACTTGATGCGTGCCTGATGAGTGCCCCGCTATATGCACGACGGCCAACATTTCTCGCGACTGTGTTGAAAAGCGAGGCCGAAACAGGGATCAAATGCCATCCTTTTCTGTGAGATTTCGGGGATAAAAAATGAGAGAAAAATGAGGCTCAAGATAAGAGAGATAAAGTAGCCTGGAACCGTTAGATTCGGCACCGGTGCAAGCGCTCTTTCAATACGCCACTGCACAATTCGCCAACTAGCTTGATGATTATGAAGGGTGCATCATTGAGTCTAGCCTTATCAGGTACATAACAGTCTTGGTACGAGAGGGTACAGGTACATCTGCCATAGGATGTTTCCTCACTCGGCCAGCGCTGAGGAAACAACAGACCCTCACGTCAGATATTGTCCCAATCTAGTAACCCTGGCGCCTGGCGGTATGCAGAGCGGGAAGAAATCAAGGCCTGGACCGGATATCTGCTTCAATATGTATGCATCAGCGTCTTGATAAGTCTCCCGATATCCATGCTGTTATCCCGCTGAAACGTAAGATACGATCAGCATTCAGTCATGCATGCTTCGGCTTCCGAATTCCAGGCACGTATGCACCAGCAGCTGCCAGCCAATCCTATACCGGAGCTGCATAGACACTGTATTTGTGCCTGATGAGACTCTGAAAACACGAAGATATTGTGGAGAGTCATATTATGGCTGTATCACATGATACAGAATCACATGGAATATCAAGTGACCAGGGTAAAAATAGATGCAGTCATGTTAGACGTTTTATTGCCATTGCAATAGTGCCAGGGAATACACCAACGGGATAGACTACGGACATTGTGACGCCACGCACAGCTCGGCGTTCGGGCTGGTGAAGGGCCGGCATCAACTGACTTCGCGTTGCACCTGATGACGACACAGAGGCTTACAGGCCTACTGAATATACCCTCACTAGAGACTTCTGGGTTTTCATCATTAATAAGGACAGGATCAGTGTTGATGCAGTCGTAGTGACTGTAAATGATAGTTACGATGCGTTTGGCAAATCGCTGAGCTACATATCTAATGAGTTCCGTGGAACCCCAAAGGAATGACGTAAATCAAACAATTCAGCCTTTTATATAAGTTACAGGTAACATGATGCAACAAACAAAAATGTTCACATCATCTCTCCTTGGCCTTTCTTGATCTTCTGGATGATTCCTTGCAACTCCTCCCTCATATTCCTTACAGCAACAACATGCCAATTCAACCCGCCATCATCCCCTCCAGCAAAAGAATCAAACGTCTCCATGACCTTCTCAGCCTTTCTCAACTCTCTCAAAACAACAGTTCTTTGCAGCGTAGCTTGATCCTCATCATCAAGATCCAGCATCCCAAGCTGGATCTTCATAGGTCGGAGTTCAACTCCGTCGGTGTGATACCGCGCTGTGACTGCGACTCTGTACCAGAATATGACCTTTGATAAGATTGCGCTGTGTAGCATTGCGATATGGGGGTTCCGTGCGCAGTGACATTTGAGGAGGGGAATGAGGTTTGTGAGGGCGGCTTTGTTGACGGATAGGACTGTGTCGATGGACGGTGTTGAACAGGTTTGCTTTGGGGGAATGGGGGAGGATTTGCAGATGCTTTGGGCGGCGTTAGTGTTGCAGTGCAGCGATCTCAACACCTTGAGAGCAAGGGCCTCACAATCGTGAGAGTGCACCGCTGTTGGCTCCGGCGCCTTGATCGACAATATCGGCTTAGTCGATAAGCTCAAATCAGGTGATACCACACCGCTTGACTGCGACGCAGTAGTATCCGACACAAAACCCAGTGACTTCCATGGATCAACCCAAGATATACCGTTCCCATCATCAAAGTCAACAGTGCGCGACGCCCAACTATCAAGCATCTCAAGATCACCAGCCGAGTATGTACTGTAATCCTCCCACGCATTCGTAAACTGCGTCGTAAGACTACTCCCACTATCCTGCACACTCTTCCTCTGTCGCGCCCGCTTGCCATGTCGTCGCGAAGCGCTGTAGCAGCACTCCTTGGCCTGCCCGTTGTCCTCGCAGCGCTCGCAGGGGTGAGTCCTGCTGCAACGGACCTTGGCTGTCGTACAAGCGTCGCAAGCGAGGCGCAGCCGGACGGGCTTTGCGGACCGAGTCTCGGACATGGTTTTGTGAAAAGATTTGCGAGGTGCTTTAGTTTGGGGGTCTTGAGCTTTGTGGTTTGATACATATATGAAGCAAACTGTGGTCGCCTTTTCTCTCTTTTTGCCAAGGGGTGAATTGGGAGCCGCGTGAGTGGGAGGGTTGGGAGATAGACGCCATCTGTGGTCTAGTCTAAGCCCGTCATGTCGGCATGGTAGGACGGTAAGCGGCTGGCTGACAGCCCTTTTGCCTATTACAAAGGATTTATGACCATTATACTATCTACGCTGACCAGTCATATTGTTAGAAAGCTCCTTTCGAATCCTTCCCTACGGTGTATACTTGACAAGTCCTGAATCATGATGTGTTTCGATCCTCCAGGATTTAATTCTCCGAGGACTGCAGTTCCACACTCGAACGGAACAGCAACATGGCACGAGTCTGAAGCTAGTATAGAAATTTCCATAGCACTCAATGTAGCCTTCAGAGTCAAGAGGATCCGGGAGTTACTCCGGTCCCGGTCGTCATTCATATCAGATATGCCTCCAACGGAAAAGGCTACGTGCGTATGCAGGACTTGCAATGGAAAAGGTACCGGCCGACGGCAGCGGAGTCCGGACATCTTCAAGACTCCATCTTACTCCGGACCTCGTCCGCCTAGATACCTACCCGTCTGCCACCAATCGGAACGGAAATCAGCTGCATAAGACTGAGATGAGACATGATAGATATGCTTTTGTAAAGGATAAGAGAAACTTGCGGATCAGCGGACGAATACTTGGTTACTGTGCCAAGATCCTGGTTTGACAGGAAATACGAGCAAACCGACGAGTCCCTGATTCAGGGACGGTTCTGTTGGAATCTTCTGGTGAAATGATGTCAAGTTACTCCAAAATCAAGCCCGCTTTTATCGTAGAAAAAAAGCCATACCTGAAATGCGGTTTCACGACGTGGATACGGCACAAGGGAAGCAATCAGCGGTAGCTGGTTTGACGTGCTTGATTACGCCATGTAAGCTGTGTAACCGCTCAAGAATAAAACAAGATAAGGGACCATGTAATCAGGTCCCAGGGACATATAATGGGCCTCAATTGAGGAGGTGGTGGGTGTACTTGCTAGGTCAGCTCAATACTATTGCAACGGAGCTTCGGGGTGAGATGGGAAATAAAGATCTTACAGAGACATTGATAATGAAACTGATTGAAGATAATAGTATTACGTGCTCGTCGGTGGACGTTTGCTGACATCAGAGGCGTTTTGTGCAAACCCCAAATGTCGTCCAACCACAATAATCGCTGGAATCTTCTGTCGCTGAGATCTTAAGTTTTCCCCCGTTTTGTGCGGCTCACTCAGCCTTGTCTTATCACGTAACACGCATGATGCGGAGACGCGTGCCGATCCCAACACCGTCAGCAATGACATTTTCCCTCCCTTGCCAACAACCACGACATAATCTCACTAATTACCTGTTTTAGCCATGCAGTTTTTCATTCTCGCTGCTATAATCGCAGCGACGATCGGAAAATACTCCGATGCCGTGCGCTCTGAAATACCCGCTACACGATCCTTCTTCTACGTCGGCGGGCGGTACGACCATGACGGTGACGGCGGCCATGTTTTTCGGGACCAGATGTATGTTGAGAAACTCGCCCCCGTAAGGGGAGCTTGGAAAGACACGCCTATCGTTATGATTCACGGTATGGCGCAGACAGGCACGGTACGTTTCAACCTCCGTGAAATCTCGGAAGCCGTGGTGACTTTTTCGCCACGTTTAGAATTTCCTGAATAAGCCCGACGGCGGAGTTGGTTGGGCCTCGAGGTTTATTGAGCAGGGATATGAGGTGTACATTGTTGACCAGACCTTTCGGGGAAGATCTGCTTGGATGCCTGGGCAAGGCGCTGCGAAGCTTAGCACCCTTTCGGCCGAGGCTGTGGAGGTTGCGTTTACTGATTCGAGGACGCATATGCTCTGGCCTCAGGCTCTGAACCATACCCAATGGCCTGGCTCTGGGGTTCGGGGCGATCCAGTGTTTGACGCGTTTTACAGCTCGAATGTGGAGTTTGTTGATAATACGACCTATCAGCAGACTTCGGTTCAGGCAGCTGGTGCAGCCTTATTGGATAGGATTGAGAAACCGGCTGTTCTTCTGGGACATAGTCAGGGAAGCTTCATGCCTACTTTGATTGCTGACATGAGGCCGAACCTTACGAAGAGCATTGTTCTGCTAGAAGCTGCTGGACCGCCGTTCAAAGATGAGATTTTCAAGTTTGGCGGAGAGTTTCCTAGGCCATGGGGTCTGTGGGATGTTCCTATCACGTATGACCCTCCTGTAGACGACCCGAAGAAGGACCTTGTCCAGAAGGTTCATGCCCAGAAAGATGATTTGTCTACAGAGTGTATACTTCAGGCAGATGAACCTTCGCCCCGAAAGTTGGTCAACTTGATGGACATTCCTATTCTTATTGTCACAGGTGAGGCATCATACCATATGCCTTATGAGCACTGCACGGCTGCGTATTATAAACAGGCGGGATGTTTAAAGACGGAGCTTATTGAGTTGGGAACTATTGGGATTCATGGGAACGGGCATATGCTTATCATGGAGAAGAACAGTGACGAGATACATGCTGTTGTCGAGAAGTGGATACGTAAAAGTTAGGTTCAGAATATCATCACAAGATTTCGATACTGCCGAGTCATAATATTTCTATGAAGTTTGTGTGAGCTTTGTGGTCTGTTCATTGGTTTGCCAGTAGTGAACGAGCCTTCGCAAACTCACGATGTCCCGTCAACACCAAGATAAAGTTACGATTCACGAGCCCTGCCCTAATCTCCAGCATCAATTTGCCACGATAAACCCTATCTGAAACTTACTTCTCACACGTTATAGTCAAGTATCTGCTGTTCTCCCGTTCCATTAAAAGTCTTTCCAACCATGCCTCGCACCCAGTCAGTTTCTCTCCCCTTTCAACCATTTCCCTAGTTAAGATGTCCAACGCAGGGTCATCCTCTACTGCCCTCACCAGGGCGCGCAACAGGCCCTGCGAGATGGAAAACCTGTTCAGCCGAGAATCTCGGTATACCGTCTGGCGAAAACTTTGGCTATGGCTTGCTGAAAGCCAAAAGCAGCTTGGCATCGTCTACCGCGTCCCCATCCCCGACACCAAGCCTCAGAGGTTCACAGTAGAGAGAATAATCGACGATGAGGGTCTGGAACAGCTGAGGCGCTGTAGTCAAGTCCTGAGCTACCAAGTTCATACTGCGCAAATGCGCTCACTGATGGGTAATTTCCTATGTGTATGTGGCGCCCGTTGTCTTGCGTTGGGCCGTTTGACTAACTCTGCCTTTAGGATCTCCGGGCTGTAAGATCTATGAGGCTTAGCCGTTGGCGATAACTGGTAACTGATATATGATCTAGCAATATCACTACGTCACTGATATAGACGCCCCTCGATCTGAGCACTGGCTCAACATTGGCGTCACCCACGACTACACCCTCGAGAACACGGAGCAGATTCTCATGGCTCAAGCCCTGGATATCCTGAACACCAAGATCTCGATGCTTCTCTACCGACTTCGAAATTTTGCCATGGATCACAGGTCTGCACAATGTGTCATGTATAAGCCAGACTCCGATAGACCTATCTACGTTACAACAATCGGAGGGAGAGGTTAGTCACCCGTAAACTGACTTTTCTTGACAGGTTCTGACACGTTTATAGTTGCTTCTTGGGCTAGGGCACTCGTCGAAGTTCTGTGGGCTTTTCAAAGGCTTCGATGCAGCATTCGATCGGCTGGTTCTCAGCCAATTACTCAATGTGAACAGGGAAACATTGACTATTATGACAAGCCATCCATGCGGGAACAGTAAGAACTCTCCACCAGTTGCACATTTCCTCAGTCTAATATTTTTCAGCTTCGAGGGTGACGACTCAAAGTGCGAGAAGTTAGATGAACTCCTTTGCCAAAGGATGGGGCTTGAAAAGTGTCACGCAGTAAGTAATTGAGGCTCCGCTATCATATGACTCTCAGCTAACTCCTCAGAAGCACTATTTCACATAGTAAGCCAAGAGCTCACTGCTGCTGCATCATATACTAATCATCTAATATAGCCGCGCCGAGACTAACGCACTTTTGGGTCGCTTCTGCCATGCTCTAGGCGAAATAGCTCTTAATGCTGTTGAAGATCTGGACCATTTTCACTCTAGTGAGCAGATGGTCGAGAAAAGGGCGAGGAACGATGGCTCCCCTGTCACAGTGAGTTGGCCATCTGAGGTAGAATAAGCATTTCGCTAACTGACTTGAAAGGCGGACGATCCATTGTACAGACAGTCACCGCTCCTTAGGATTGCTGCAGAAGCACTCATGCAAGCGGCACTCACTTTCAAGGATCCCCAAGTGCCCAAGACCATTAGATATGTAAGACGTCGAGCACTCTGTTTTATATTGATACTAACCCGTATTAGGGGGAATACATCATGGCACGGCTGTTCAAGCACGCGGCACGAGTCGTCAGGGTACTCCAAAGCATCGTCGAAGGTCTTTACTACGATGCTGTGAAAGCCAACGCCCTCAAGTGGCTCGAGATGCCATTCATGATGAGAGCCCCTCTCATCGCTAGATATACCCTCCGCGGCGAGGATTCAATGACGTAAAGTGCTCAACTATCAAGAATCAACAGGATGCTAACAGTTCTAGTATTTTGTGGCATCTAAGAAACGTTAGCATGTGGGTGATGCACCAACCATCTCAGCTTCAAGCGCAAAGCTTTGTGGCCACACTCCAGTGCCACGAATTCTTCAACAACCATGCTGGCGAAGTTAACAATGCTATCTTGTCGGTTCAGGATGTCAAACATATTGTAAAAGAAGTCAAAGATATTTGTGGAGGGAACGGTATCGTCGCCAGGAGACTTCAGCCTTACTCGGGGTATATTCGAGAGATGACAGCTGGAGAGATGCGCCTGCAGGCACCTCTGATGATTGAGGCTGGCCGTCGTCACTAGGTGTTACGGTTACCTTGTGGTCGCCGATGGGCATGTGGGAGCTGGGCGTTTCTGAAGCTATTGGCTTGTTGGGATTAGCGTTCGATCTGGGATTGGGGCGTTTTCATGTGTCTTGGAGTTTCGCGGAGTATGCGGCTGATGATTCACTGTGTTGCATAAATCCCACTGGAACAAGGGGAATATCATTAGGTAGCCTACCTATCTTGGTGCATGTGCTTCTGTGCACTGTTAGTTGGTGACGTAATTTTTATTTTGTTTCTGCATCGTCGATGCTTCATTCTCTTATCTACCTCCATCCCTCCTCAACTTCTCCTCTCAACAACACATGAAGACCTAGTAACTCAACAACACCAGTCTTTCAATAATTAATCTATCATTATTGAAGCCTGAGAGACATACGCCGTCGTTTTCTCTCAGCTTCGACTTCACTCAAAGTCTCGCGGCGTCGGTGTGTTACGCCTCGTCTTCTTCGGTAGGAGGAGGTCAAGAGATTTTCAGCCGATCATCACTAACGGCCTCTCTAGTCTGCAACACGATTCTCCCGCATTCATCTGCGACGCCATAACTAGCTTTGATCGGTGGGACTTCTTATTGTACTCTGCCTGTATCTCTTGTTGGCTTCTTGTCCATCGATTGCGACAAGTTGCAACATCAGCGGCATCGTTGAACTTCAAGGGTTCTTCTCTCAAGTTTCGAACCTCCAACGCAACGTGGGTTAGTGCACAAATCCTTTGCACTTACGCAGGAAACAAAAGGTTTGATGATTGCGGAAGCTTTCTATCATCTCGTGCTAACTTATGCCAGCTCGCAGTCCTCCCAGTCTACTCAGCCGCCTGACCATTACCCTCCCTCCCTGCCAAACTTTGCACTATATTACTAGGCTCATGGCCTTGGAAGGTACTGTCACAAAGGATTGTAACAAGTGCTTGTCCTCCAGAACTTGATCAACCACGATGGGAGACAACGCACTAGAGCTGCCAGTCCTAGAAGAAGCAAAGCCCACCGTGAGACTCAAAGGCAAAGAAAACGAGTATGTCGAGACTCTAGAGTATAATACTTTCCAGTCTCGAGGTGGGAACCCAGAAACCCTCATGGACGAGGAACGATGGCTTGACTTTCCTGTTCATGTCTCACGCCCCTTGAAAAAGGCTAAGATTCACGGATCCGACAGAGATGCTTCTCTGCCACCCATGGAAACATCTGGGACGACAACCATCTGGAACCCAGAACCAGTCTCTGGCCTTGGAAATAACCGCATTTCGAAATTAGACATTGGTCGAAAGGCGACTGAGACACATGTGGCCGTTAAGCTAGCTGCCAGAGCTAGTAATTCTATCAACAGACTACACTGCAGGACAAAAGAATGGATTAGTACCGCCAATGGTATGCAGCTCATAACGAACATCAAGGTCAGCGGCGTGTTTGTAGGGATATCTGCATTAAACTACAACGCCATCTTCATGATGAAGTCGAGTACTCAACATTTACCGGATGGCTTTAATGGCCTCTCAAGGCGGCAAACTATCAAAAACATGTTGAATTTAGACAACACAGAACTTGTCGAACTAGTATTTGGGCCAGAGCATTACGTACAAGGGCAAGAGATCATTTGGACCGAGAACATGCTGATCCCAAGCAACATGTCATATGTCAAACGCGCACTCCATGGACACTTGGATGATGGTGAGAAAACTCGGTTCATGCAGCTATTGAGGCGAGAACACCACCTCCTTGTGTCTGGGAATGGTCCAGCTGGTGTTGCTAAGACCCTCCCGTCCAATGAAGCGCCAAGTCGAAAGCCATTGATTTGTCGCGCTATTCAAGGTGGAAAGGGTTACAACGATCTACATTTCATCTTGAGGTGGCCTCCAATGGCACTGCTGGAGTTTCCCGGAGACATGATCAACGAAATGCAAAGCTTTCTCGACAGATATCCTTCTGACAATGTGCCCTTGAACATTGCACTGGCCGCAACAATTGTCTATTTCGATATTGAGGAAACAGACGACCACGACATGGAGGGCTTTGTGGATTCCTTTCCTGGGCGGAAGCCAGCTCTTGTGCAAAAAGCCCCCTTAGCAACTTTTATTATATACTTTCCTCACATGCTGAGGTTCGTTGAAACACACCATTTGACGTCGTTCCTCCACCCGTTTCGGTTCGCCAATTATTTCAGATCCCACCGCGATCCCCTCGAAGTCTCTACCGTTCGCGATAACCTCAATCCAATCTCAATGCGCTCCTGGGTCCACCAGGTACGCTCTCGTCATCCGCAAGTTCTTGCGGACTCAAGGTTCACTCTGATTCCCGCATCTATGCCAGGGTCAACAATGGTATTTCCCGAAGACTGCACTCATGCTGAGAGACCATCATCTGACCTGTTCGCGCTATGTTGTTTGAATGACGTGCGAACTCTGGGAATTCCAAGTTATTCGCGTAACCCGGGTTTCCCTTTTCAGTGTGTAGGAGCACCCAAATGGCTCTTCACAAAGGCGGTTCAGAAATTTGATAAGAATTGCTTTTCACTCACTGGAAATCCTACAGTCGCCTATTGGAATACTACCACTCCTGAGACAGTCAAAGCTCTTACCGGTTCGGCAAGGGCAATCGGCCCTGTTTTCCCAGATGTCGGGTCTGATTACTACAACACGGAGGCCATATTCTCTTGCGTGAAGCGGTGGTTCGGCGACGAGTCTTACTACACCGAGAACCCTCAGTTTTGCCTCGATAATCCAGAGCTTGATCGACAGAATATGGCAACCAGGGCGGACGAGCTCATCAGGATTGCGGATCGCTTGGGTATACCACCCAATGAGAGAAGGACGAGCCACGAGACCATGTTGATTGAGTGGGATGGTATGGAAACACAATTGAAGTCGCTTCGAAAGAAGGGAAAGTTGAAGCGGCTCGCTGCGCCGGAATATTATACACCTCCAGCCAAGCGCGCACAACCTGTCGAACCAACCTTGAGCTCGCACATTAAAGGGGAGATTCTTCAAACTATCAAAGGCCTTGCAGCTTCATCGTGCGACTGGGACAAGCTGCTAAAGGATCTTGAAACTCCAGCCCCAACAATTAAAGCAATTCACGAGTCATTCTCCCATGTGCGTTTGTTTGTAGCAGAGTCAGAGAAGATACTACAGGATACGAATGATGGCAATGGAGAAGGAGATCTGGACCATGTCATTCGACTGGTGTTTCGAGCCGAGGGACTTTTCGGGTCGGGAGTAGAAGCAATGGACTACGAGTCAAAATGGGACCAACACCGCAACAGGCTTTCCCAGCTGTTTGGACAGCCAACGGGGAAGGCTATGGAAGCTGTTTTCAGACTCCGGAATACTCCTGACGCGTTCAGTATCATTCTTCCCCAGATTCAGGTTTTGGCAGAATCTTCTTTGATCAAAGACCAAGTCGAGGCCTTCAAGAAGATCGAGGCACTACTGGGACAGCCGCCGACCGAGATCGATGATCAGACAGCTTCGGGGAGAAATGAGGGACAATAATAAACGATGACTGGACTTTGATGAACTCGAACTTGACTTCTAGGGATAGATATTCAAGTATTTTAGGATCGAGATGGTAACTGAAAAGGATTAAAAATTGCTGAGGGGAGGTTTGATGAGAGATGATGGGCTGGAACATCGAACGATTACGAGATAGAACGAAAGCGCCATGAAAGTTGACTTTTGAACTTGAGCAGACCATGAAACTAAGCAACCTTTATTGGGTCTATGTAATTTGTTTTCGTTGTTTCCTTGCATTAAGTTGTCTACTCTATATCTCCTCTATGCTAACTAATATATCTTTCTCCTTTTTAGGTCTATGCTCTATTATAACTTGTGCAGTCCTGCTGACAGGTTCGTCTTTATCGTGACTCCATCTGGCTCTCCTCATCCGAAGGACTGTCATGTCCATGATTATGCAAAACGCCTTTGCCTTGAGGTTGTTCCTCGTCATCAACGTCTGCAAGATACATCCACCAAAAGTATACACCGCAGCACAAGCTGCCTCCAAGGATATTTCCAAAGAGAGCTGGAATCATTCCTGTGAAAATGTTAGTCAAGGTTCATCGGTAGATGAGACAGTGGTCATACCCTTCCATATATAAAGCCCAACTGTCAAGCCAGGTGTACCCATCCAGATACCCAAAGGCATAAAGAACATATTGGCGACAACATGATCGAAACCCAAAGCCACAAAGGCAAAGATGGGAATCCACATGCCAACTACCTTTGACGTCAAGTCTTTTGCTTGTACGCCGAGGAAACATGCCAGGCAAACAAGCCAGTTGCAGCCAATGGCACGAAGGAAGATCTGGTAGGCCTCGGGGGTTATTTGCTTCTTAGTAGTGAAGGCGATAATTTCTTCGCGGTATGGATCTGAGTCAAAGATTCCTCCGTCTGTGAATGTTATGATTAGATCGTGAATATGAGTGGTGCCGGGCAGGGTGCTTACATCCGACGATAATGGCCATGACAAAGAGACATCCACCTAAGTTTCCGAAGAAACAGAGGAACCAGTGAAGCAACATCCTCCATATCGATAATCTTCCATTGAGGACGGCAACAAAGGTGAACTAAGACATCCATTAGATCACTGCTTGTTAAGGCTTGATACATAAGTCGACCCACCAGATTCGTTGACGTAAATAGATCAGCACCCGTCAATATCACAGTGACCAATCCCAAAGGAAAGACGATGGCTCCGATGAGTTTGATGAGGCCTGGTGCATTCTCCTGATACCATGGTGCCGTCAATGCTGTCAAAGAAACAGCACATCCAAATGCAAGAATGCATCCACCAGAGATACCAGACAACAACACCTTATCTGGTCTCGATCTTCCCTTCTTCACACCAGCTCGACAAATAAGTTCCGCCGTCTCAGCAGGTGTATAAGCCAAAGGGCTCGCAAGATCAATAGTCATCTTGGCCATTTCACCGACTGTCAAAGCACACTCACCAAAAGAAACCTTCAATTTACTCAGCAGGGCTCTCTCCGTTCTTATCTTCCCCTGCGGTGAAAAATTCCCAACTTGATCTCGGCACTCTAAACCGCCCCGTTCCCACCATGCCGAGCAATGTCGAGAAAACTCCGTACGTAATCCACTGTACTAGCTTCCAGAGCCAAGAGTCTAGACCGGTTCAAGAAGCATCCTTATCTCTGGGATGTTTCCCGATGCGGATGTGGTGGCTTGCGGTGCAAAGTCGGGATACGACACACCTGCAGATGAGGCTCAACGGCATCTTGTTTAGTTTCTCTTAACTCCTTCCAGCAGTGAGAATTCAAAGAGTGTAAAATGCGAATGATACAGAGAGATTGAGGATGAATTAAGCTTGTTTCCCCATTTCGGTAATGCATCCCGCACTTTGCTCCACCGCTGATCCAAGAAGAGGTAATTTTATGCTTAATAGTTCATAGATAAGAAACCCGTGGAGTCGTAACTTGTTTTGTTAGTCTTGGCCCGGTCGAGTGGATAAGCTTGTGATCAACCGGAGATGTCATTTGAGAATTTGATTCATTGCGGAGCCTCATCGGAGAAGTGTACGAATATTATGACGCTAATACTGGTCCTCTTGGGCAGCTATCTTGGCACTAATGAATTCAAACCCGGGAGAACGGGACGCGTGAGTCGGGCGATATCGGCATTTGAACCGGTTTGTGAATTGTTTATCATGACGCTTAGGCTAACAGAGATTTCAAAGTGCAGATCTTGAAGTGCGACATATGAATCACTTTGTACCCCAGCCATTCTTTCTAATGTTCAGTCTTTTCACTATCATATCGTTGCAGCAGCACTACAGCCCACGTTGATGATGAAAACTTCTCAACCCTTGTCCTTCCGTCCATCCGCAAATCCGCAATAATCTCATGATAAGCTTATGGATCTTGCGGGGTCCCCGCGGGGTCCTTCTACCGCATCATTCTCGATTTTGACCTTGTCTTATGGGCGTCTGCGGCTTCTGCAGCATCATCAGTTGCGGGCTGCGGGCTGCTGAGATTCTTGTCCGCAATAGAGCCAAATTCGTGATGTCTTCGCAGTTTTATCTCATCACAAACCATGAATTGTTCAACATCTCATGATCCCATCGTTTCCCATCCGTTCTTCCGGAACTGAACAGGGACTGTCGACTGTTGGGTTGAAGTTGGGTCCTGTTCCGGGTCAAAGGCCCCACTGCTGCACTGCATAATGGAATTAATTTGCCCAAAATATGAGTCAGGCCTTGATTGATGGTTCTATTCCAGTCTATATATCTTTTAGTATATTTTATGGGCTAGTGCTTGTAGCTGCTACGATCTATCCAACGGATGAGTCTAATGGAAGAGCCACTCCGTTGGACTCCCCGGCCCTTGGCTGCATGTCGGCTCATCCTCTGGATTTACCTCATTTCTTTCTTTCGCCAAGATTAGCCTTGCTTCACTGTCCCAGAAGATCCAGACATCAGTCTGGCAGCAACAGGAACGGGCCAAGCAAATGTGTCCGTAGGGTCCTCGATCACCTCCCCTGTCGTAACGACATCAATGACAGCAACAGCGGTATAGCCTCCGATAGCGGTGAACACATGCCACCTGACAGATGTTAGCTTGACTCAAGCTCATGAAGTCGGATTCAACATACCATCCATGAAGTTCCAAAAGAAACGCAAAGGGCAGACCAACTGCATGCCTTGCACTCGTCAGATACCGGCAAGCGAACTCGTCAATGAGCCAAACAATATATCCAAAGCCAAAGAATCCTGTCATAATTAGCTCGGCCCAATGGGTACAGAGTCTTTTGTGTTACGTACCAAGTCCGAGAATAGCCATGTTTTGGAATTTCTTCCTGATGGTTGGGTCCTTGACCTGCTGAGGAATTACCTTCAGCACACGGGTAGCAATGACATAAATGCCCATGCCAAACGTAATGGCGTGCAAAAGAAACTCATCCATGACCATATGAGTGACCATGACAATCGTGAATAATATTGAAAGAATGGTCCCAACGATTCGCCTCTTTTGAGGACTGGCTTTGAAGCTGAGAAGTCGGTAGATGAGGGGTGTGGTGAGAAGATGCATTGACAGTTCATCAGCTAGCAATTATTAGGCCTTCCTCTTACTGAAGCAGAAGTATACTTACACATTTGAGTATGATACTTCAAGGTCATGTGATATCCAGCTGAACATATCCCCACGCCTATTAGTCCACAGTACGAGGCCAAGCGTGGCCCAGTCGGGAATTTAGGCGACGTCAACAAGCCATAGAGTCCATATGCCACTAGTGACAAGGTCAATTGCAGATCCCGACCCATGGTAACATTACTTACCATATGTGAAACTGCTAAGAGTATTTATAAACTCAGCAATATACCGTGTGATAACATAATCCTAAAACGACACGTTAACTCCATTTTAGCCAAGGGAGACCATTGCGGTATTTACCTCTTCACAAAAGCTGCAAAAGTCAGTAAATCTTGTCAATTCCAAGTGATCCAATAACTTACTTTAGGTAAGAGGTCTGAGGACCCCAAAATGGTGCTGCCATGGCCGGTCAATTCCACGAGTTGTGATGTTTTGGTCTCCCGAGCGTCGAGACACTGAATGGCTTTTGGAGACTGGAATTAAGGCGGTGAAGTGTTGCAGAATAGACTCCAAGATGCCTCGGAAGAAACGGGATGACGTGTATATGGAAAAAGTCTAAGGATCTGAAATGCCCGCGGGCTGCGATGTCTCACACTCCGGGGCTTTGAGCTAAATAGTTATTTCCGGTGATAAGAAATCTGAGTTTTTTTTATTGGATGTTGAAGCAAGCCACTTTAGTGTAATATGCGTGCACTTTGTCGTGGCTTGGCATTCACATGGAATATTAAAAGTGACAATTCTTGTTTTGAGTTTGTTGATGTCACAAGCTGATTAGTAATTATCGTGATGCTTGATCGTATCGCGATGGTGTCTCATTCCGCGTGGAGTTCATCCTTGTGAGCTGCAGCCATCGCAAGTCGTCTGACTCAGCCCTAGCGATGCTATTCAAGAGAAGACCATTTATCATGAGCAGCCGCCTCTACGATCAATCTTATCCAGTATTTGTCTTGTCTTTTTGCCCTTTCAATATTTTAAAGTGCCTGGTCAGACATAGATACTGCAAAAATGTCTATCTCGATGCTCAAAAAGTATCTGCCGATATCTCTGGCACTACTCCTATTCTACGGCAGCGCTTCGCGATTCAGCCATGGTGCGACATCAACTACATCCTTTTATCAGTATCAAAATGATCGAAGTCCCGATGACGGGTCGACCTTGTCCCGTGTTATTCCCATCTTCGATTTCATCGTTGGAACAGCCATTCTGCAGCGAGGACTTTCACGCAAAGTCGCAACATGCTTTGTAGCATCGACTATCACCAGCGTAGCTGTTCAACGCTACTTGGCTGGATTGGACTGCCAAGGTGACTTTCTGCAGGGTATTTGGGCAACTGCTGCAGCTATTGCGACTTTGGTATGAAATTTGTGCCATGATAGCTGTCTAGGGCTCTTCGTCCATTCGAGGCCAAGTTACATCGTTCATAAGGGTAGAAAAGGCTTCATAACACTAGGAATTCACCTTGAGGAGTTTCGAAGTACAGAGAATACATGAATGAGATTGCAAAACTGAAGAATCGAAGCTCTGGCTGATATTGTCCACCCGCTGAATTGCAATCACCATTACCTCCTACCAGCAATCCAGCGTGAGTTTGAAGATGTGCCCTAGCAGTTTAGAGTGAAAACATTTGCGGCCGATTTCATTTAAAGGGCGTAATAAGTATGGTAGCATCGGCTTAAGCCTGTAGATCCTGTGTTTGACAAGAAGGGCGCAGATCGTAACCGAGCTACCGAGGTCGGCGTTGGCGCATTGCCCTGTTTGGAATAGCTTATCTTATCTAGGCTGGACCACCTATGTAAGAGAACTATTGTCTTTCAACCACCGTTAGTTTGTTGAATCGACATCACATTTTACGTTGTTAGCTGCTCTTTGTTAGGATACTGTCCCCCTGATATTTCAATGTGGTCTAGACTCATACTGCGTTCTTCCTTTCGGGCGGCGCACGTTAGGCGACAAATCTTACCAGCAAACCAAGCCAGATGTCTATCAACCCCGTCTAATTATCGAGTTATTGAGCATACTATTGATTGTAGTCATTCAAGAGAGTATCTCGCTGAAACGGCAAACGGTGATGATGACACACCAAGACTTGCAGTGAAGCAATATGTACCCCACGACAACCCCGATCCTCAGCCTGGTGATGTAACCATTATTGGTGCTCATGCAAATGGTTTTCCAAAGGTAGCAAAGCTCACGGATCTCAGCCCAAGATTACAACGTATCATCTGACTTGCTAGGAACTATATGAGCCACTATGGGATGAGCTGTATGACCGAGCAGGACAACAAGATCTCAGGATACGATCGATATGGATTGCAGATGTATGGAATCAAGGACAATCAGGAGTCATTAACGAGAGAGTACTCGGCAACGATCGTGAGTAAAATCCCAACCGTGGACCATCGCCATTACTCACATATACCAGTCAGTTGGTTTGATCACGCAAGAGACCTAATGAATCTCATCAACCAGCATCAACGAGATATCCCTCACCCCATCGTTGGTATTGGCCATAGTATGGGTGGAACTCAGCTGTAAGTAACCATTACCGACACCGGGTCACTTTGAGAATCCTCTAACTGTAGAAAGTGCACAACTGGCACTTTGGCACCCGCGACTTCTGGACTCGTTAGTACTTATTGATCCCATCATCCAAATACCAAACCCAAGCATTTCCCTGTCCGGTCTTTCTACAAAGAGGCGGGATATCTGGCCATCAAGAGAAGATGCTGTTGTCAGGTTCAAGAAGAGCAAATTCTTCCAGTCTTGGGATCCTCGTGTTCTTGACCTCTGGATTGAGCATGGGCTTCGAGATGTTCCGACAGAGCTTCATCCGAAAGAAAAGGATTCGAGTTCAGATGAGCGAGTTACGCTCACGACTTCAAAGCATCAAGAGCTCTTCAGTTTCGTTCGGCCGACATACTTAGCAAGAGACTGGGAACCATCCAACGACCAAGATGTAGAACAGAACAAAGACTGCCCTGACTACCCATTCCATCGCCCAGAGCCTCCAAAGATATTTCGCCACTTACCCGAGCTGCGACCAAGCACATTATTCGTCTTCGGAAAACAATCAGAGTTCTCATCACCGGAACGACGACAGGAGAAAATGCTGACAACAGGCACCGGAGTCGGGGGCAGTGGAGGCGCAGCTGCTGGCAGGGTTCAAGAGGAGACTCTTGACTGTGGCCATTTGATACCGATGGAGAAGGTTTCTGAGTGTGCGGATGCCATCTCTTCATTCGTCGGGAAAGAAATGAGACGATGGCGTGATCAGCAAGAATCTTTTAAAAGGTACCGTGAAAGCATGTCTAGGCGACAACAAATCACGATCGATGAACGGTGGGAGGAAAAGGTTAAGCTTGGGGGTTAATACTTAAAGAAATCATAGAAGCGCTCGGGTCGAACCAGTCTTCGTAACACGGCTCGACCCAGTAGACACTTGTAAGAGCAAAAATACAATAGATGAGATGTGTAATGGGTAAAGGGACAAAATCAAAAAAAAAAAGAGATCTTGATGAGACTGGGACTCGAACCCAGGGAGGATTGCTCCACCAGGACCAGGAAATTGGTGTTAAGGTTAACCTTAACCTGGCGCCATAACCAACTCGGCCATCTCACCGGTAATTGGATAAAAGTGAGATAGCTAATTAAAATCTATATCTGCAGAAAAATGAGACTCTTACAAACTCAGAGTCTCGGATTGTTCACGCCAACCGAGCATTTGCCACGTCACGTTTGGTAATAGAACGAAGGGAAATGATTTTGAATTTGACGCCCTCTTTCTAGGTGAATCTAGGCGGAGCCGTGCAGTCGACAAAGCTTTGGTCTATAAACTTGCGCTCGTCAATTATCCTTTAGGTACCGACCAATCACGACTATGGTTCAAGAAAGTAACTTGCTTTTTTCCCTCGTAGCCAACCTTCTCCAAGTCTTTATACTTTAGTTTTTGTTCTCCTCCTTGATACGAAGCACGTTCTATTGGTAGACTGCCTCTCCACTCCACGGCTCGTGGCCACGACGGGAAACGCTCTCTGAACGCCCTCTCCTGTCTCTCCATTTGCTTCACCCACAGGTGCTTCGACATGGCTTCGGCAGTGGCTCGTGACCGTGGTTTCTGTACCATGTGAGAAGCTTAGATAGGCCAGAGTACCATAGCTCTCGTGATCTCAAGGCGAAGCAGTATAAAAGAACTGGACTCTCCCACATCCCTGGTGCTCTCGTTTCTTTCTCTCTTGTAGAACAAGGCAAACTAACTCTATTTCTTCTTTAGTCTTTTGTCATGTTCTTCCAGATATTGTTCTCTTATTGGCATATCTCGTTATGCTCTGACACTGTCACCCGCAGCTGCGTATATATCGACGAAACTTTCGAAAGTGACCTATCACAGTGGTTCGTGACTTGACTGTTCGGCTTCTCATTCGACCAGTAGTAGTCTGCTCACGAACTCAACCATTTTACTTCCAAGTCCACTTTAGATAGCATCAGGCATAGAACTCAAATCCCTTTGATCTATAAATTCCCGTCCTCGTGCCATTCTTCCCTCTAAAACTTCTCCTTACCATCATACACATTTCTCAAGCATACTGCAAGCAAAGATTCTTTCGACACTTCTCTTTCAATCTCAACTTGCTGTTTCTTCCAGATTGCGTGTACTGCCTACTCAAGTCTTGGATCATCAGCTACTCAACTTATCTGTACTTTATCTGTCTCTTTGGCACTGTACACATCGCTCTGACTCTCGCACTACTCTTCATCGCCTCACCATACTTTACACCACTGAGCTTTACATCCTGTCACCATGTCTAGCACAACTACCACCAACAACAACCCATATGAGGTTGCCGAGGATTTTAACGTCAGCTCTGATCTACCACTCCGACTGGCATCCTCTGTACGACAAAACTCAGTCTCTATCACACCATCTGTGTTGATTTCATCATCTTCTGTCTCTGAATCAACCCAGGCGTCTGTTACGCCATCTGGGCCAGAAGACACTGATGCTACATCCACCATCTTTGGCATTTCATTTCCACCAGCTCCTCCTCCCAACACTCCAGCCGACAACAATGATGCCGTCTCTGCTTCAAGTGAACCATCACCTAAATCTGGCTGGACAGGAGAATACTCTCAGTCTGATCCTGGTGCTGGTTGGACTGGGGAATACTCTGATCCCGGTACTCCTACCACTAGCATGTCTAAGCTTAGATGGACTGGAGAATACTCTACCTCTGGTGTGGAGCCTGAACATTTAATGGCAAGACTCAGCACTGTGGCCAACAAGTCAGAGGATGCGTCTGTCAAATTCCAGACTGGAGAGGAAGTGAAGTCTTCTGGAGAGAACTCCTTGACTAAAGAGGATGAAAATGCTTCCATTGTCAGGGGCATCAGTTCCGAGGAAGAAGAGGTAGCAAAGTTGGCACGTCAGGCTATCTGGCGTGTTACTCCTCGCTCAGTTAAGGAGTCGCTTGACATCAAGCAAGTCAAGTCTGGTGTCGTTACTATCACCAACTCGGCCGCCCAGCCTCAATCTGCTGTTCTGTGCACTGTTGGGGATGAATATTTTCCTGAGGCTGAAGAGGCTCCGGTGTCATCTCCTACTGAGGCAACGTCCCCAAGAGACGCCAAGTTTGTCAAGGGAGAAAACGACAATTCCATTGGCAGTATGGGTTGCTGCATGAGTGTCTTCAAGATGCGCAGCAGACCCAAGCCTCAGGTTCCAGTCAACCAACCCAAGCACGCCACTCTCTCACCAGACAAGTCTTGTCTCAGGCCAACTACTTCTCTGGCTGGCACTGTTCTTGACAGAATCGAAGAAGACAGCCCTCTTGAGCTTGTCCCAGCACCCAAGCCCTCAGGAGGCAAGAGGGTGACTTTCGATCTAGACGAACCAACGGAGAGTGATGAGTCCAAGCCCAGGCCCAAGCCCAAGTCTAAGTCTTACTTCAATTTCAACATGGCTTCATCCCTCTTAAACAGAATGCGCAGCCAGGAAACGGAAGACAGTTCCGATGAGGAAGAGCTTGATGACCCAGACTCGCCATTTGCAGCACAAGACTTGGAAATACAACGCCGTCTCGCAAGAGCTGATTCTTACCGCGACGCAAATGAACGCGCCTCTATTATCCGAGGCGCGCTGGACTTTCTCTTGGTCGTCTCCGATAGAGTCGACAGTGTTGCTGCTGGTCGCATCAGCGATCTCTTGGACAAGACTGGGAATAGGTGTCTTGGGAGCTATACTGGCGAAGAAAAGGATCACGTAAATCCTCATCAGTATGGGAACAAGGTTGATCAGAAGCTGTACCGTTCCAAGGAGACGGCTATGTCTTATTTGAGAAGACGACAGCCTCGCAAAATTACTCGCCTTGGGACTCCTTATATGAGGGACTGTCCACAATTCTATTATTAGTGTATGTTACTTTTTTTGGATGAATATGGGATGGATTTTGTTTGGTCTAGCGTTGGAGCTCAATGAATGGAGTTGGAGTTATTTGAAGCATATGGGATGATTGATTATATTTGCCAGCGACACCTCAGATGATGGAAGAGGTTGTAATAACATAGATACCCACCAGCGATGAAAACACGTCTTTTTCTTCTTTGTCAAAACGTTGTTGCCTATATGTTCTCTCAGTGACATGTCTGCTCTCAAAGCCTCTGGCTATCAATCACTCGCGACTCTTTCATCATGTCTAGTACAGCATGGACCTTTTCATATTAATTTCATTGAAGAAGTGACTCGGCAGATTAGGCCGAGAAATACAAAGAGAAGAACTCGAAGAAGGGTAGCTCTTTTGGTTGTTACAATGATTGTCACAGCGTCATGTGGCTATATCATGTAGTCACTTATAATAGACGGGGGGGTGTACAAGATTACTTGTCAAGTTGTCGTACTCTGCATGGATCCCTCATATCATAACTAAAGAAGTAAAATGTATGGTCCGTAAGGTCGGCCGTATAATAGATGCTCGGTATTTTGATCAGCTTTCTTGTCACTCTTATCTTCTCTCTTCGAGAACTCTGCAGTTAACGAGTATTTCTGCTCCTTTAAATCGTGACCGCTCCAAGAATTGACAATCGACTTGCGACATACCCTCACGGAAATTTCTCTTGATCCTTAGCCGCACGCAAATCTTGAACGCCACAAATGAACAGCTCATAAAGCGCCTCGGGACCGGGCTCAGCCGAGACATCATCTTCTGTTCTGGGGTCAGACCATAGTCGTAGGCAAGACACGCATGAGTTTCGGGCCGTATGTATCTACTGCAGCTGAAAGAGATTCGGAACTTTGAGACTATCTCTTGCTTCCGATTGGCTTATTGAGTTGTGAGGCGTTTCCTGTGCCGTTATTTAGGTGGTTAGGTACCAGGTTTCGGAGGCCGGGCCATCCATGGAACGACTCTGTCAGTTTCTTATGCTCTTTATGACGGTCATTTACTCTCTACACTGTACCTGTTCGGTCCTTGGAGCAACGAATTCCTTTGTGCTCTCGGCGGCTCTTCTCATTGACGGCACCACAGCGGTTAGGAGAGTGATCAAGTATCATGAGAACTATGGGGGATTATCTGCTTACCGCTATGTTCCACTAACATGAGTGTACCTTCGGTGCTTTTCTCAGTACATCCTTCTTGTGCCACTCACTTGCCTATGATCTACACCTTCACTGTCGTACATGACCCGTTCACCATGTTGTATGCCGCGACGTGGCCAAGCATTGCCTCCTAAATACGTGTCTCACATGTGCTTGTATCCTGGGAAGATCAGTATTGTCCCCGCTTGAAGGACCTTTGCTAAGTCCGACTATGTTCAGAAATCCCCTTGTCCTACCGTCATATAGAAACCACAAGCCGTGGTTAGCAGCGTAGCAATCGTGCGGGGTACTTGCATTAGTTACCATGCAATGAGCCAGGATGCAACCTTATTTCTCAGTGTATCTTCAGCTGGGGGGTTTTAGCTTGGCTCTTTGAGGATGTTCTTTTTTCTGGGCCACCTATTGATTAATCAATAGGGAGTTAGGGATATCTCAAAAAGGGATATTGTATGAGTTTCTCATCTGGGCAGTAGTCACGCGTCAACGCAAGATAGTTGACACATAAGTCATATAGAAAGTTAATTATTTCTTTTGTATTTGTTGTTACTTCCTGATACATAGTCCAGCGGGGGCGAAAAGATCTCGGCCCCGAGATTCTAAGAGACAAGAGTATGAAGGTAATTAGCCTAAGCTTAGAAACTCCCTACCAAGTTTCTTTTCGTATTGTTCTCTGAAGTCTCGAGTTTTCCTAATCCTTGAGGATGCTGTTATTGGTGGAATCAGTTCGCTCTGCATATCAATGGGATATAATTCGGTTGGGTTTTCATCTTCGGTCCCGAACTCATCCGGGGCTCCCTCCCTCCATCACATCAGATCACATCTGGAAGTATGAAATAACGAATGAGAGGCTATGAGATCCCTCGCACGGCATGTAGAGGTTCCGTCTGGATCGCCCCGTCCTCTGGGAGTCATGGATGAAGCTCATCTAGCCATGGCCTGTCAGGCAAAGATGTGAACTCCATGATGCAACTAGGTAAGTCTAGAGCGAGGAGAATATCTATAAAAGCTAGGACATCTCCCGCTCATGCTAACTTTCTGATATCCTCACTCACAGCAGTATTCCAAACCTCAAACCAGTATTTCGACTCTCAACTAGAACTTGACAAGATGCGCTTCTCCATCATCACTTCATCCCTTCTTCTCGCTCAGGGCACCTGCCTTGCTGCTCCCCCCATCAACACGGCCCGAGACTTTTCTCCATTTCCGAGAAGCAAGCTCGAGGCCCGTGATTCCTACGACTGCAACGGAAGCGGACTCTGCGGCATAATTCCCGTCAGAGACTGCGATCAAGCCGTCAACAACAGACTGATTCGTAACAACGATGTCAACTACGGCGCCCCTGGGTAAGCTGACTCTCATCAGATACCAGAAACTGTGTGAATAGATCTAACTGTCAGCATCAGGAGCGGGAGACCGCAGACTGGTACATGCCAAGGCAACTGCGGGATCTTCATCCAGGGGCGATCTACCTGTGCTCGCACGGGTAATCAGATCTGGTATGACTATCAGGATATCAGACGCAATGGTTGCCGAATCTGCGGCAGTAAGCATTGGGGAGATGGTTGCCTGACTACCATCAACCGCGTCACTGGCTGCAACTGAGGCTTGACGGTTCAAGTCTCTCAGTTGATACTTATGGCTGAGAGCTTAAATCAGCACAGAGAACTTAGTCTCTAGCAGTATTGAATGAGCTATCTCATTCTTGAATACAGACCCTATACTTGAGATGTCCGGCTTTGAGTAGTGAATGTAGTTATTGTGCTGTCTCTACTAGTCCATGCCAGAGAACTGCTTTTCCCTCCTGTCTAGTCACCAGTAGTCAGCTTTTGTGCTCTCAACGGTGACAATTATTGTGAAAGTCACTAGAAGTATTGACTTGGGTAGGCACATCAGGTCAAGGTACTCGTCTTCTCTTGATCTTCATAGAACTATGCAGTAACCCCCTACGTCCTCTCCCTTCTCTTAACCATGATCTGCACACCACTCGGCGGATTATTCGCCTCAGCAATCCAATAATTCGGCGGTCTCTTTCCCTCATACCCATCCGCAAATTTAAGATCATAATTCCTCAAAGCATACGCCAAGATCATCTTCATCTCAAAGTCAATGAGGAACCGCCCCGGGCACGCATGCTTCCCATGGCCAAAGGTCAAGAACTCAGGCGACGTGGTGACGAACGTAACAGGCGGTGCTTTTTCGTCGCGATCAGCTGCTGTCTCGCGAACCCTCGAAAAACGGAAGGGGTCGTATTTGAGGCCATCTTCGTAGAACTCGTTGTCGATTTGTGCTGGGTGACCCATGAAGGAGATGATCGAACCCTTGGGGACGTGGTGCCCATCTTCTGTCTTGAAGTCATCGACCATGACTTTGCGAAACACAGCGCGTCCGCCGAACGAGCATAAACGAATTGACTCTCTCGCGACACTATCAGCGCGCGTCATCGCTTGGATACCACTCTTTGTCCAATTCACAGAGTCATCAGTCCCGAGAATACGATCCATCTCATCGCGCAGGGTAGCAATCGTGTTGAACTCGGCATCAGAGCCCAACACGTTTAAAATGAGATTAACGACTTGGATCTGCGTGTTGTGAATTGATCCAAAGTTCTGAGCGACGACGCGACGAGCTAGCGACTCCATGTCGTTGACTTCGTGCTGGCGATGGCGCAGAGCGTAGTTGATCATCATCTGAACTTGGTCTTGCGGTTGCGGTTCGTCGGGGTGATTGTTGATCCTATCGAAGCGGTGTTTGAGGAGAGGGATGATCCATTTCTTCAGCTTGTTTACTTTTGTCTTGACGATTTGGCCGAAGAGTGTTCCGGTTATGGGCTGTAAGATACGCGGGAGACCGCCTGTGAGACCAGCGTTCATGATGAAGAGATCGTTCGTCTCGAGCGCAAGCTGCAGGTACTCTTTATTGCGACCTAACTCATCAGCAATACCCCGAAACAATTGACGTGATGGTTGACTTACAGAGGGGAAGTCCAACGGTGAAGCGACTGGCTGCCTGTGCCACGATCATCTTGACAGTCTTTGTGAGATCAATCCGCTTCCAATTCTCCGCATCAGTGCCAAACTGCTCATCAAACACCTCATGGAGTTCATCCTTCATGTTATTCGCGATAATCTCAATCGCGCGATTGAGATCATACTTCACAACAAGTCCCTGCCACGCATCAACGACATATTTCTCGTGCCCAAGCGACCATCGGACCTGATCGACTTCAGCGAACGCTTGCTCCATGTCGAGAACATCCTCAGGTTGATTGAGTACGCCTTTCATCTGACTCTGTGGCAAATACACTTCTATTCTGACACCGAAGCCTGGGATGACGACGGGTTTGCCTTTCTTGAGATACTGCGCTGTGTCAGCGATAGTCATCGAGAGGGGAGGGAGGCTGTACTTCATGGTACGCTTCGTAGAAGAGTGCTTGACAATCCGTGAGGTAAGCCCATCGTGTACGAAGACTGAAGCGACGAGCACCCTTTGGCTCTCTTATAAGCGGGATATCTGGTGGATAAGGGACAGCAGTGAGCTTGTCAATCACATAAATCGCAACGACCCCAACGACAACAATTGCGGCAATTCCCAGCGGACTCGCCACACGAGCCAACAGGCCCGATTCGGCACTGGAAGACATCATGAGAGAAACGAAGAACTGCCTATCTAGCTACCAACATGCAGCGAGGAGCCTGCTGTATTTAATCCATCGCATCCCACTGGTACAGAGTGACGGCTGTGCATAAGCGCCTAAGCGCGGCACGGAACTCCGTTGTGAGTAGCCCGTTCCATGGTTAGATAGTGAAGGAATGCGCTGA